GCCCTAAAGGAATTGTGTAATCTCGTTTTGTTTTTTTTTTTACTTTACCGATTCCATACCATTTCCAAAGGTGATGTCTGTGGAGGCCAACTCGGCAGACCAGTGCCGGTAGCAGGCTCTGGAGAGTGGTGGTATTTGGTATGATCAGGGTTTTTATTTGGTAGATACTAACCAAAAACAGGAATATAACCCCACTCTATTCAATTCATCTCGATGGTGAGTGGCTGCAGCCGGGGACCCGGTTGAATCTTTCTTGGTAGGGCAAGGGGCAAAGTCTGGTAACAAGCCAGAAATAAGACCGGACTAAACCTTAAAGGGAAAGAAAAATATGAATCGGGGGAGAAAAATAAAAAATAAAAATAAATAAAAAAGAAGGAGCGGGTCAACCAGTGGTACCTGGACGATACCTCCCCCAGCAACCAGAATCAGAAGTATCTCCCCCAAATTGACAAACACGGGATTCTGGGTGCAAAATTCCTCTCTTTCCCTATTTCAATCGGATCGAAATTTTTTTAAATTCTCAAATTTCTTTTCTTTTTTATTTCCCTCACTCTTTTCACTCATTATCCACCCACCCACTCCGGTTCCCTCTTTCTGACCCCCCCGTAATCCCTATAAAACACTCCTTCCTTCGTCCATTTCGTTTTTTTCTCCTTTCCTCTCATTGACATAGGATCCCTTCCGACAATCCCCGTCATTCAGTTGTTCTCTACTCATATCGTTGGGTTCCAAGGCTGAGTGAGCCGAAGCAACAACAATGGCGGAGCGGAGAATTTCCTATGCCGTCGACGTCGAAAACGGCGAGCGCCCTCACCGCGAGGGTGCTGACGAGGGTGGTCTCGACGAGTACTCTGCCCTGAACCGATACATCTCGACTGCTCAAACCAACCGCCGTGGCTCTACCTCCAGCGCCGGTGCCCTGAGCACTGGTGAGGAGAAGAAGCGCCCTTGGTGGAAGTTCGGAGGCAAGAAGTCCGGTGTTGCGGATGGTTTCGTTACTCCCGATGAGTGGCTCCAGACCGACCTCCGTTCTGGTCTGAGCTCCAGCGACATCGAGCCCCGTCGCAAGAAGACCGGCTGGAACGAGCTGGTCACTGAGAAGACCAACATCTTCATTCAGTTCATTGGTTACTTCCGTGGTCCTATTCTCTATGGTATGTGGCATTTGAATTCGAGACGCGTCTAAACCCAGTTACTGACGCGACTTTCACAGTTATGGAACTTGCTGTCCTCCTCGCTGCTGGTCTGCGTGACTGGATCGATCTTGGTGTTATCTGTGGTATTCTGTTGCTTAACGCTCTCGTTGGTTGGTACCAGGAGAAGCAGGCTGCCGATGTCGTCGCTTCTCTCAAGGGTGATATTGCTATGCGTGCTATCGTTGTCCGTAACGGCCAGGAGGAGGAGATTCTCGCTCGTGAGCTCGTTGCTGGTGATATCGTCATCATTGAGGAGGGTACCGTCATCCCTGCCGATGTCCGTCTGATCTGTGACTACTCCAAGCCCGAGATGTTCGACGCCTACAAGGAGTACCTCGCCAACGCCACTTCCGATGATCTCAAGGAGAAGCACGCTGATGACGACGATGATGACAACCTGGAGTCCCACCAGGGTGTCTCCCTCATTGCTTGTGATCAGTCCGCCATCACTGGTGAATCTCTCGCTGTCGACAAGTACATGGCTGATGTCTGCTACTACACCACCGGTTGCAAGCGCGGCAAGGCCTACGGTATTGTCACTGCTACCGCCCGTCACTCTTTCGTCGGTAAGACTGCCGCCCTTGTCCAGGGAGCCCAGGACCAGGGTCACTTCAAGGCCGTCATGGACAACATCGGTACCTCTCTGCTCGTTCTCGTCATGTTCTGGATTCTCGCTGCCTGGATTGGTGGATTCTTCCGTCACTTGAAGATCGCTACCCCTGAGGATTCCGACAACAACCTGCTTCACTACACCCTGATTCTCCTGATTATCGGTGTCCCTGTCGGTCTGCCCGTTGTCACCACCACCACTCTCGCTGTCGGTGCCGCTTACCTCGCTGAGCAGAAGGCTATTGTCCAGAAGCTCACCGCTATTGAGTCGCTTGCTGGTGTCGATATCCTTTGCTCTGACAAGACCGGTACTCTCACTGCCAACCAGCTCTCCATCCGCGAGCCCTACGTCGCTGAGGGTGTTGATGTCAACTGGATGATGGCCGTCGCCGCTATTGCCTCCTCCCACAACATCAAGAACCTCGACCCCATTGACAAGGTCACCGTCCTTACTCTCCGCCGCTACCCCAAGGCCCGTGAGATCCTCTCCCGCAACTGGGTTACCGAGAAGTACACTCCCTTCGACCCCGTGTCCAAGCGTATTACCACTGTCTGCACCTGCGATGGTGTCCGTTACATCTGTGCCAAGGGTGCCCCCAAGGCTATCCTCAACCTGTCTGAGTGCTCCGCCGAGGACGGCCGTCTCTACCGCGAGAAGGTCACTGAGTTCGCTCGCCGTGGTTTCCGTTCTCTCGGTGTTGCCGTCCAGAAGGAGGGTGAGCCCTGGCAATTGCTTGGCATGTACCCCATGTTCGACCCCCCTCGTGAGGATACTGCCCACACCATTGCTGAGGCCCAGCACCTCGGTCTGTCCGTCAAGATGCTTACTGGTGACGCCATCGCTATTGCCAAGGAGACTTGCAAGATGCTTGCTCTCGGTACCAAGGTTTACAACTCCGAGCGTCTGATCCACGGTGGTCTCGCTGGTTCCGCCCAGCACGACCTTGTTGAGAAGGCTGATGGTTTCGCTGAGGTCTTCCCCGAGCACAAGTACCAGGTCGTCGAGATGCTCCAGCAGCGTGGTCACTTGACTGCCATGACTGGTGACGGTGTTAACGATGCCCCCTCCCTCAAGAAGGCCGATTGTGGTATCGCTGTCGAGGGTTCCACCGAGGCTGCCCAGGCTGCCGCCGATATTGTCTTCCTTGCTCCCGGTCTCTCCACCATTGTCGATGCCATCAAGCTTGCCCGCCAGATTTTCCAGCGCATGAAGGCCTACATCCAGTACCGTATCGCCCTCTGCCTGCACCTCGAGATCTACCTGGTTACCTCCATGATCATCATCAACGAGACTGTCGACTCTTCTCTCATTGTCTTCATCGCTCTATTCGCTGATCTTGCTACCATTGCCGTCGCTTACGATAACGCTCACTTCGAGGCCCGCCCCGTCGAGTGGCAGTTGCCCAAGATCTGGGTTATCTCCGTCGTCCTTGGTATCATGCTTGCTATCGCCACCTGGATCATCCGTGGTACTCTCTTCCTCGGCAACGGTGGTATCATCCAGAACTTCGGTTCTCCCCAGGAGATTCTCTTCCTCGAGATTGCTTTGACTGAGAACTGGCTCATCTTCGTTACCCGTGGTGGAAAGACCTGGCCCTCGTGGCAGCTGGTTATTGCCATCTTCGTTGTCGATGTGCTGGCCACCCTCTTCTGTGTCTTCGGCTGGCTCGCACCCGACTTTGAGCAGACCTCCCCCCACAACCCCGGTGCTGAGAACTTCTCCGTCAACAACGATGTCGATATCGTCACCGTCGTTGTCATCTGGGCCTACTCCATCGGTGTTACTGTCATCATCGCCGTTGTCTACTACCTCCTGACCATCGTCCCCGGTCTGGACAACCTTGGCCGCAAGACCCGCTCCAAGGCCGATACCCAGATCGAGAACATGATCGCCCACCTTTCCAAGCTTGCCATCGAGCACGAGCACGACTCGGAAGGAAAGTCCCGTTACACTCTCGGTGCCCGCGCCGAGGATATCGAGGACGACGAGTAAATTACTCGTTCCTTAAGCTTTTCTGCGACTCGTTACTGATCGAGTATAATTTTCCTTACTTCCCCTTTGATCTACACATCTTTGCCGTGCCGCCTACTTGGACATGCATACCGTGGGAGTTAAAAAGAACGTGTCCCGACTTTTTGCTTCCTTTTCCCGTATTATAGACTTTGTGTGTTTCATTTACCCCTTGGCTTCCCTTTGCTCTTGTGTCCTTGAGAGCCAAGTTTTCTTTCTCTACGTGTATGTATGTCGTTAATAGTGGCATTAGCAATCTAAGGGATTCTAATCATTCTTTTCTTGTAAATCCTTGTAAAATACTCTGTATCTTGTGGCATTCCAGTCTCCGTCGTTCATTCTTAGCTTGGTGATCATGTCTTGGCTGTTATGCCTTCATTTCCTTCCCATCCCTGGCTCTTCCTGGAGTCCACGTCCACATTCCTTCCAATGTGAATTCATATAGAAGACCAGCACGTGCGTCTCGATCGCCCTGTACGCACCATAGATTGGGGTGTCAGCCGATCTCTACGCGCTCAATTTCTTGGCAGGCATTGGAATAACCTTTCGAATAATTTTGAATGAGAATACTGACACCGCAAATTCTTTCGAATTCGAATAAGGAGAATCCTCATTCAATTCCTTAAGGAGTAAGGACATATCGACTGCATGTCATGGATGCTGTAGAGTGTAGGAGACGCGGGATCTGATGGTACTTGTCGCCAAGACATCGTTTTGGAATAGTTTGATCATGCACGTGCTTCCATGCCTTGTATCACATTCAATCACACTGATTGTTCTGTCGCTACTTGCATTGGCATTGGATATCATAGACGTACCTCCAGATGAGTAGATAGTGCCTTCTTCAAGCCGTGTAATCCTGGCTTCCACCTTGGCGTTTGTCACTCTCGACTCATTTTTCATGGCATTGTGTCCTCCAAAAGCCTCAATATCACCATGTTGGGCTTTACGTACCTCATGCAGGATTCTCATGTGGAGCTTATCCCGTCTCAACCAATGTCTGCACCCAATGCCTGCCCCACCGTTCGTGTTTTGTTGTCAACGCCCCGCACCGTGACATAGTCTCTTCCCGAACGAAGACAAGCAGGTTTCTAGGCGAAGCTGTACAGCTCTGAGACCTGATCCCCAGCATCGTCCTCCTTTTTCGATCCGACTTTCAAGCACACTTTGGCGTACTTCTCACAATGGACGCCCAAGAACCTTCCGAATATCTCATTCCCAACGATCCCTTCTTCCATGAGCTGTTCAATCGCTATACCCAAGACCCAGAAGCATGTGTCATATATGACCGAGCTTCGGAGCGCTCGATTACCCCGTATCACTTCCTTGTCGATATTTTCCAGACAATCGACAGGATTCGCCGCAATTTCAACTTAGGCGAAGAAACTCCAAGTACCAATAACATCTTCGTTTGCGTTCTGGTGCCCTACGGCTATGAGTACGCTGTTACTATACTCGCTCTACGAGCACTCGGACTCACCGCAGTAAATGTGTGTAAGTACTAAAACCCCGAGTTCCCGAAGTCCTCTCAGTACTACCTGAAGTAGGCTCTTGCAAGTCCCTGTTTCCGAATCTGACTTGTGGTGCATGAACTAGCGGAAGCCATATTACCCGAGGAATTCAAGTATTTCGTTGAAGTCTGCAACGCGGCATATTTCATCACAATCCCTCAACTACAGGAGCATGCAGAGTCTCTCCTCGATGGTGTTAGCCTCACCACTCTAACCATAGAGCTTTCCCCCTCCATCACACAGCCACTGCCGGTGCTCCGAAGCCCTTCGGAATTATCAAAGACCTGGAATCAAGACCGTGGCGCCATTCTTCTCTTCACTTCGGGGACCTCAGGCCCTCCCAAAGGTGTACTGCATACACATGGCAGCATCTACGCCGGAGCCAAAGAATGGTTTGAAACCTATGGCCTGACCCGCGATGACCGGATGCTTCTTCCTTTCAACAGCCACTGGGTCGCAGGCTTCATGATGCTGTCTGGCTGTATTCTCGCTGGGACCTGTGCAGAGATCTGTCCTACAGTCTTCAGTCCCGCCTGGTTCTGGGAAAGGATTAAGGCCGCAGACGTCACATTCCTAGAGTTAATACCCTACACTCTCGGTCCGGTCGTTGAGTGGTACACAAGGGAAGCAGTAAATAAGTCTCGACAGGAAGTTGAAGAATACTTGGCGGGGTTAAAGCGGCTGAGGACTATCGTTACTGGGTCGACGGCGGTACCGACGTCGGTTGCAAATTTCTGGATTGAGAAAGGGGTCAAGGTCGATATACATTATGGTTGTACCGAGTGCTGGATGATCGCTGCCACGGACTGGAGAAAGTCCAATGGGTTCACACCTGTGAGTATCGTAAGCCAATTGCTTTCCCTTCTTCTTGAATTAACGTGTGAAAGCGTCATGTCGGAAAGCTAGTGTCTTCTGTCGAAACAACTCTCGCGAGTGAGAGCGAAGGCGAGATGGCGATAAAGAGCCAAGCGTTATTTCAGAAGTAAGCAGTTCCCTTGCGATCATAACAGTATGATAAGAACACTAACAGCCTTGGCGTGCTTAAGATATCTGTCCAACAATCCTCAAGTCATGAAGAACGTATTCGACGACAATGGTTATTACCTAACCGGTGACTTCATCCGACGCGCACACGACGACAGTCTCTTCATCCTTGGCCGTGCTTCGCAAGATGGTAAGCAATACTCTGTTGGCGAGCTTTGGCCTATCATGCTAATCATCCTGTTCCATCCTCAGTGGTGCGCTTCACTGGCTGGAAGGTCTTTACTTTGGACGTTGAAGAAGCCCTCCTGAAGATCCCTCACATCTCCGCCGCCGTGGTCCTTGGTGTCGACGATGACCAAGTGGACCAACGGGTTTCTGCCCTTGTTGTCACAGAACCTCAGCATGAGCAGACAGTGCCAGAACAAGTGTCCCTTGCTACCCTGCGACGGACTCTTGCTCTCGAGCACCAATTATCGGTATACAAGCTGCCAACGCTTCTGCGAGTCTTAGCCCCAGGGGAGGAAATCCCGCGAACAAGCAGCGGCAAAATAAGCAAACCAGCGGCTCGGGAAAAGTTCTTCGCTAAGAATGATATCGAGTCTGAGAAAGTGGAAGTGTGGGACTTGGGTAGGAAAGACGAAGGTCTACCGACAAGAGCGTGGGATTGGGCTGGAATTGGAGCACGCTAAGCACGCTAAAGTCACTAGTTTACCTAGTTCCATGCAAGATTACAGACTAGTTAAAGTAGAACGTACCGACTTTCCATGGAATTACTCTTCAGACCGCCAATAGATAATGACCACCAGTTTTCATACAAACTCTGAGAGCAACCGTAAGGATGACCTACCATGTCACGAGTGTGCACGTTTTGACTGTGAAACAATACGATGAATACTGTTTTTGGCGTAATCAGGTAATGATCAGCAGACCATGCGTTACCAAAGTAAAGGCTAAGCCAGCATGATGCATCAGAAGCTTTTGACATCACTTTTTCACTCTTACCTGTGACTATACTGGGCAACATGGGGCACCTAGGAGAGCCTTTACCCCCTGGAGATATACATGTAAGGTCAATCATCCAAACACAAGGATATTTTCTCACTGATCAAAGGGCGTGAGCGTGAACCTTCCGAAGTGGGAAGATACAGTGGGATGGTCAAGCCGAAACCCGCAAGTTCTGGCACAGCTCAAGACAGGATACCCTCGGTTTTTTATCCATCGTCTTATCGACAAACTCGCGGAGCAGATTGTCAAGAGGTTTCACACGCACAATGACCACTCACCTTTGTCTTCAGAGGAAACGTTAGCAGTGCTATTTCCTTGCCAGCGAAGTGCAGATCAGTGTGGGCAATTCCTGAGGAAAAACCTCACTGAGATCCAAGCAGGTCGGGTCACGGTACTCCCTTTCTGCAATGACCCAAATTCACCGTCTATGCATAAGGCAAAACTCAGTGTAGACTGGCAAAACTTGGAACTGTATGCTGTATTCTATCCCGATTCAGCATTCGGATTGGCCAAGTCGTTCTGGCAGCACACAGGCTTTGGGATCTCAAGTCGCTATGCAGAACTGTGTCTCGAGAATCAACACCTCTTGAGCTTGCAGCGTATGACGACGCCCTATCTTGCTTGCATCGATCGCTGCAACGCTGAGAGTGAGCCTCACGACAGGACAAAGGGACTGGAGCTTCTGGCAGCTGGGGATATAGATTCGCCAAAGGCAATTCTTCGCCAGCGAATTGCAGAGCTCTGTGCTACAGATACAGTACGGCCCGAAAGCAAGGACGTCTTCTTGTATCCATCAGGTATGGCAAGCCTGAGCAATATGGCCCAGTCTCTGCAGCAGCACTTCCAGAAAGACCGCCCCGTCGTTGCAATTTTTGGGTAAGGCATATTGCACCCAAGCCACGAGTTCTTGCAGAACAAGTCTGTAATTCGGCTAATTGTTGCAGTTTCCTATATGTTGATACCATAAAAACGCTCCAAAAGGTTTATGACTTCGAAACAAGACTGTACGGCCATGCGTCGAGTGAAGACCTGGATGCGCTCGAAGAGGATCTTTCTTCCGGAAGAAAGATCCATGCACTCATATGCGAATTTCCAGGAAATCCGCTTTTGCAATCACCGGACTTGAAACGCCTGCACCAACTGGCCAAGCAGCATAGCTTTCGGTTGGTGGTGGATGACACCGTCGGCACTTCTGCCAACCTCGCCCTCCTGCCACATTGCGACATGATCAGTACTAGCCTCACAAAGTTTTTTAGTGGCGGATGTAATGTTATGGGTGGCTCCCTCGTCTTAAATCCGCACTCCCAGTTCTACCGAGCTATGCATGCCGAACTGACCGCCAATTTTATGGACACATACTTCCCCTCTGACGCGTCCGTCATGGAAGCTAATAGTCGCGATTTTGCTGTTCGTCTCCGAAAAGCTTCTGGGAATGCGGAAGTCCTTTGCGATATGCTTCGGCAGCACCCAGCAGTCGCACATGTCTATTATCCCAAAGGCAGTTCTACCCAGTCTTTGTACGACGCGTGCAGACGGACCGATGGACTGTATGGCTACCTTTTCTCTGTCGAATTTGTTACCCCGGCGAAGGCAGTAGCGTTCTATGATGCGCTTGATGTTGCAAAGGGTCCGAGTTTGGGGACGAACTTCTCACTTGCGTGCGCGTACACTTTGCTTGCTCACTACAACGAGTTGGAATGGGCAGCTCAGTATGGTGTGGGGGAGCATTTGGTAAGGATCAGTGTAGGCTTGGAGGACTTGGATACTCTTTCAGAGAAGATAACGGTGGCGTTGAATGCTACGCAGGCAGCAGGGTTGGAAAGAGAATGACAAACTATGAGAGTCTCAGTTTGCAAACACAAAGTCACAAGACACAAACACATGATGTATAGTTGCCAACACTACTTAAACAGGCATCCTGCCTGCTGTAGTAAATCAACTCTTTCTCTTTCTCTCCCTCCGTCTCCCTCTCTCATCTCTCTCTCACACACTCTTATTTTCTCTCACTTTTTCTCTCACTCTCACACACTCTCACTTTCTCTCACTCTCTTACATTCTCTCCCTCCCTCTCCCCCTCGCTCTCTCTCCCTCAACAAGCCGCTTCTACCGATCTGCTTCAAGGCAGCATCGGTAGAACAGATACTGAGATTATGGACCACATCTCAGATGAGGAGCAATTTGAGAGATCGATGACAGATGAGGACGCACAGAATACGAGCCGGGGGAAGCCTTCTACAGAAAAGCGTCGATACACACGCCATCATACGTCTTTCTCAACAATCAACGCAAGAGGAGCACAGTTACCTCGATCTTGAGAAAGAACTTGTGTGGCATTATCTTCGATGGTTCAATGTTAGTGACGCGCAGGCCCCCATCACCAAGGCCTGCCCAGAAGCCGCAGGAAGCCTTGAATACCCCCGAGACGCACGAATGATTGTCTCAGATCGGACTAAGAACTGGAAGGCGCAGGTCACTGGTGCTGACAAAAGTGAATAAGTTAACTCCGTTTTTATTGATTTGATATAAAGATTAACTAACATAGGTAATTATAGGAAGTGATCCAAGATATGATCCAGCAAGCGAAGGAAGACAACCCGGAGAGCAACTTCGCCTCATTGAAAGATAGGAAAGAGTTGGGACAATATTTTTCCAGTCTTTTACGAAAGATAAATGGTTCAAGCCTTCTTTTGGACCACCGACTTCCTTGACTTTGACAATTCCTCACCGGATGGCCAAAAGTTCGTTAAGGGTGAGTGTCAATTTGTATCATGCCTAACCAACCAAGTGTATACTAACTATTACCTGATCTAGTCATCCGGGCAAATCTTGCATCGAGGTCCATCTTGACATCGAAGCGGAAGGGGAGAGGGCGAGAACAAAGGGGGACTGGGCCGATGTGCTATGCTTCTGCGACAAGATGGGGCAAAGCGACATGTTCAAAAATGTCAACCTTCATTTGCAGTCCTTCCACCATGGCTGAAGAGTCATAGGTGCACCAAGGAGGAGGAGACTGCTATTGACGAGATGTTCGACTTCGAATAGTCTCAGGCTCTCAGCCCTGGCAGCCATCCGATTGTCTGTCTGCCCCTCTCTCCTTCCCGGGGGTTGCCGGGCCTTGCGGAAGTTGTTGTACATGGACTCGCGGGATCGCGACCTTTGCGAGATACCTACCATGGACGGCCCTGGCGGTCATCCGATGTGTCTGTCTGCCCTCTCTCTCCTTCCCGGGTTGTCGGGCCTTGAGGTAGTTATACATGGACTCGCGGGATCGCGACCTTTGCGAGATATCTACCATGGACGACCCTGGCGGTCATCCGATTTGTCTGTCTGCCCTCTCTCTCCTTCTCGAGGGTTCTCGGGTCTTGAGGTAACTTGTACATGGACTCGCGGGATCGCGACCTTTGCGAGATATCTACCATGGATGGCCCTGGCGGTCATCCGATGTGTCTGTCTGCCCTCTCTCTCCTTCCCGGGTTGTCGGGCCTTGAGGTAGTTATACATGGACTCGCGGGATCGCGACCTTTGCGAGATATCTACCATGGATGGCCCTGGCGGTCATCCGATTTGTCTGTCTGCCCTCTCTCTCCTTCCCAGGGGCTCTCAGGTCTTGAGGTAGTTGTACATCGATTCGCGGGATCGCAACCTTTGCGAGATATCTACCATGGACGACCCTGGCGGTCATCCGATTTGTCTGTCTGCCCTCTCTCCTTCCCGGGGGTTGCCGGGCCTTGCGGAAGTTGTTGTACATGGACTCGCGGGATCGCGACCTTTGCGAGATATCTACCATGGACGTGCCGCCGCCGTGCGACAAGTCCCACCAACTGATTCTCGTCTGGCCGGGTCCAGGTAAAAGGACCATCAATACACTCTGGACTGCCAAGATATTGGCAGTTGGTCACGAAACTGGAAGTCGCGGACACTCGAGCGCCTTCATGTAAGAGCCTTCCATATACTTAACAGATTACTATTGCCTCATCCACTAATCATCATTGTCCTCGCAGGAGTACATAGTCCGAGCGATCGAGACCAGCGAGGTCAACCTGAGACATATCGTCGAGCCGAAGGCTCTGTTCCGTCATTTCTTCGACCACTTCACCATCGAAGACTTTGTGCACGTCTTCCGATGGATGGCCGACCTTGACTGGCATCGAACCTCGAGGATGGGCCAGAATACATACGATTGTTTCTCCATTGATTCCCATCGTAGTATGTTCCATGAATTATACCTTGAAGGCATGGATCGATATCGATGCTATGTACACTGAGATTCTAGACAAACAGACAAAAGAGAACAGCATGACCGTATATTATATGCAACGAGAAAATCAAAAGCATATTCACAATGAAACAGCAAATGAAAAAGAATTATAAAACAGCCGTGTATAGAACAATCTTAGACGCTCATCTCAATCAAACATCCTCAAGTATACATAGGCCTCCACTCCTGTCCCGGATAAGACGTCGGCGACATAACAATCTCCTCACTGGAATCATCCGCCGTGATAGCTAGTTCGACCGGCTGCGAGTCATTGACGACACGCACTTGATCTTCGCTGCGTAGAGGGTGCGAGGATACGGATACGGATATACCTGCATTCGAGATGGTGGCCTTGCCAACCTTGTCTTCTTCGCGTTCTTCCTGTTCCGTATTCTCGTTCAGCGTGCCGAGCTGTGAATCTTGATTTTCTGCTTGAAGACTGGGATACTGGTCCGAGGTCTGGAGTTGGCGTTGGATATAGGGGTCTGGTGACTCGATCTCCTCTAGCGGTGATAGTGGTTTCGAGAGCCGGTTCTCGTGGAGTGAGATTGGAGATGGGGATCGGGATTGGAGAGGTGGGGCGAGGAGGAGTTGAGAGCTGGTGGGGGGTTCGTTTGTTGGTGCGGATCGAAATTGTGAGTAGAAGCGACCGCTTGATAGGGAGGCGGATGATGAACTTGGTGGGAGGGAGATACTGGCACGCTGGGGCGATATACTGGTACGTCCAGGAGTGCTGGACGGTAGATGTTCGTTGTTTTGTGGTACTGGAGACATCATCGGTTGATTTGCTTCGAATGGACTGCTCAGGACTGGTGCTGCGTCCTGTGCAGTGGAGGTATCTGCATTTCCATTTCCATGTCCAGTTGGACGCATGGGTAGGTCTTTGGCCTTAATCGGTTCCGAAGCACGCCTTGAATCATCGGTAGATCTTTTCTCGGGATCTTGAGAATCTTGTCGACCGAATAGTACCTGTTCCGAGTTAGAAAAATAAATCACAAAGACGTTGTCGAAGGGTTGTCATACACTAATCCTGCCAAATGACCGTTTCCGTTCGTGAGCAGCAGGCACTTGAGACCCCTGCCCCTGAATGCTCGAGAGAAGATCTCCCACCGAAGACCGACGTCGTCTGCCGAAGCTCTTCAGCTTCCCGATGGCGGATTCCTCGTTCTGCACCTGTACGGAGGAACCGGCCTCTGAAGTTTGCGATAGATCTTTAGCAGGCGTGAGCGGCCGCGAGCTCTTGTCATTGGCGCTGTGTTTGCCGAAGCGCAGCATCCTGCTTCGGGAGCCTGGAGAGTACCTCACTTCGTTCCTCAAGGGACTTTGCACGTCTGGAGTAGAAGGTGGCAGACCATTGATTGACTTTCTTCTCGACTCGAGGGACTCGGTTGAGCTTGCGGATTTTGATGGATAGAACGGTATGAAAGATTTCCTCTTCTTGTGGGCACTTGGTAGGACAGCACTAGAAGCGTTGCCAGTTGGGACGGAATTGCCATTGTGTAGATGTTCATCCTTGCATTCAATTTTAGGAGGAACCTCTTCACTGGTCTCTCGCAGAGGAGACGGGGGATCACTGTTGTTATCAGCTTCTGACGGGCCTCCGGTCTGTTCGTCAGGCCCGAGTGTTGAGACGGAGTGTTGGCGTTCATGGCCCCCGTCTGGTGCAAGCCCATGACCATTGTCCTTTGGAGGAGGTGGAGGCTTGGTGTCTTCCACCACCACGGGAATTGCTGACGTAGTGACTATGTCCGGTGTACTCTTGCTTGGCCAATGCGTCTGTTTGTTCATGCTTGAAGCAGAGGAATCAGAATGCTCATTAGGAACAAGCGGCAAACTCTTCTCTGCGTACAGAGCCTGTTTCATTGAAGGTTCACAGGAAGACCGATTGCCAGTCGTGGGTTCCGCTGATTCATGCGGCAGCTCTTTAAATTGCCCTTTGTCACCAGGCATCTGGGTATGCGAACTGGTCGCTACGGGGGTACTTGCCGATCTCCGAGAAGAAGGATCCGTTGGCGAAAGACCAAACGAAGCAATCATCTCCTGCTCGAACCCTTGGGCGTGGTCAAATTTATCCGCCTTAGGAGGAACCCCAGGCGGAGATGCTAATTGAGTCGGTTGCACAGCCGAATCGCCATCAAGGTTGTGCGACAGGGAAACATCCCCAGGTCTGGGGGCGTTGCGGGCATTTTCTTCATCTTGTGGGTTATCTAGAGAGACATCACCACTCGTCCGACCGGGCACAGAGTTTGCTTCAGTTCGCCCGGACTTGAAGATAGGCAGACTGCCAAACGTGACAGAGTTGCGCAGGGACGAAGAATTACCAGCCACATCACCCGACCCTGAGGGAAACGAGAGTTGAAAGCTGCGGCGAGACGCACTCGGCGTTGATTGAACCTACAGCATTACCAACATCAGAACCAAAACAAATAAGCGCGGGGAATAAATTGTAGCAAGAGGGCAGATGCATCATTCGTGTGGCATTCTAGATCTCAATGCCATCATGCGCTCGGAATTACATCGTGGTATCCCAGGAAGTCAAACAATGCGGCGGAATTAAGGGAGACATGAACGGGATGACCTCCACTATCCAAAGGGAAATAAAGCGCTCAAATGAAGGAAAAATCAAGCATCTACCTTGTCAGGCCCACCACTGGGTCGGAACTTGCTTCTGCCCTTGGCAAATAACCCCTTAGCTGCGCCGCTCGCCTTGCCACTAAACGCGCCTGCAGTGTGAAGGAGTTCCTTTCCTTTCTCTCCGACTTTCTCCCTGTTCATCACAGTCCCAATATGGCCCGACGGACGTCTTATGTGAGTGGCGCTGGTGGGTGTACCGTCATTCAGGGAACCGAGGGCCCCAAGAGAACCCAACTTAGGGAACCTGCTTCTGGAAGGAGACGGCTGTTGCAAGTTGGGGGAGACATTCTGGTTTTGCTGGACTAGGCCAGCATATTCAGGGTTTTCCTGAACTGTGAATTGCAGCCATTGAGTCAAACCAGTGTCAAGGGTAGCGAACTGGTCACGAGTGTGTTCAAAAGACTTGATGCGCTGGTTTATAGAGGTGATACCGAGAATGTCACGGAAGCCCAGGAGCTTAGACTCGTCGAGGGAGATAGTTCCAACGTTAGAGGGAATTGGGACTTGTGGAGGTGGCGTAGTTCCTGGTCCCCCAATTTGCTCCGGTGGTGTGATATTCTCTGGAACGGGCGGTACAATTGAGAGTCGAGGCTTTTCGGTAGGTTGGGCATCAGAGCCTTCAATATCAGAAGCATGCGCTTCCTGCGGCGCATCCGAGGGTAATGGAGCAGCCTCATCAGCGATGGGCTGAGGCTCTTGCATGGATAGTGACGTGCCCACAGGAGGGGGCGATGAATGACTGCCAGGAATTTGGGGTTCTGGTTCCTCATCGTCGGAGGATTCCCAGGAAAACCGTCTTTCTAACTTGGGCTTCTTTGGCAGATTAAAGATAGCGGAAGAGGATTTACCGGCCTCACCCGGACTCTGGGAATAAGGGTCCTTGGACGCCAACGGATGCTGGCCGGTCCAGTCTGGATGATTCTCAGTGACCATAGCCTCAGGCGCTCCATTCGGACCAGGCCCAGTCTGGCCATCCCAATACTTTTCGAATTGTTGCGGGATGGAGGCGGCGGGTGCCTGCGGCTGGGGTTGACCGCTCTGCCCCGGGTCTTCGGAAGGAGTGGCTTCCCGGCTCAATGACCGAATGATTTCCTCCCTCAAACGATCATTGTCGGCATTCTGTGGCGAGTCTTCAGCGCCTCTGATGGTAGGTATTTCGCCATGGACATTTTCAGGGCCGGATGTGTTTCCGAACTTGAGAGGAGCAGGCCGATCTGCCTCTTCGTTGGAGTATGGCTGCATCGATGGATTCTGAGGAGTACTACCAGCGTCGCTTGCCTGCGGGGTCAGGTCCTGAGTTGAAACGGAAGCCAATTCTGCATGGCCCGCCGTTGGGGTATCCAGGTCTGTAATTTGTGGTTTCCTTGAAGGACTGTTGTCGGAACCAGGAAGACTCAGATCCCTGCGATGGCCAGGGTTAATCACTGGCGCCGCAGTCGCAGTTGCCTTCGGGCTCGGCTCATTAGGCTCTTCGGGAATCGTCGGGGTTCTATCGTCAGTCATGCTACGACCGCCGATGATAGGGCTGATCGTTGAAGTGCCGTCACTGTTTGACCGTGCGACACTAGTGGTGGTGGATTGTGGGGTTTCTGGGACATCAAAGGCCTGCTGAACCACTGATTGGAACCCCGATGAAGAGTCTTGATGTGTAGGGGTATATTGCGGGATAGAATTGGACCCGTTCAAAAAGTCGGTACCGAAGGCAGACACGCGCTTGACTTCGGGTAGACCCAAAGGAGGTTGTTGGGTTTGTTGAGTGGAATTCCCAAAGCTATTAAGCTGGGGAACTTTGCTTTCAGGAGGAGGAGATTGCTGAGCCGCTTGCTCCTCGCGCATCCGTTTGTAGAGGTCAGCTGGCCTTACAAACGGGAGCGGCTTCTCGGCTATATTAGGATTGCTTCCCTTGCCATCGGCTGAAGCCCGCTCATCAGCTGCAGCTGTGAGGCCAGACAAACGCCTCGAGGCTAAATCGGAGGAACTGCCAGTATTGTGGGTGGCATAAGGAGGCCGAGGTACTGGAGGCGCCTCTTCCTCTTCCTCCTCGTCCTCCTCCTCATCGCCCCAATCGCCTCCGTCATACGAATATTGTTTGGCTTCCACCCATCGTTTCGTCTTGGAGCGATTCACATTTGGTTGAAAAGAGATCGGGGTACCGCCACTGCTGCCTGGCGAAAGCGGACTGCGAGGATTTGACGAGGAAGGGCTAAAGTAGGTCTCAGTATTCGTGCGACTGTACATGCGACTGAAGCGAAATGTGTTGCCTTACAAGTTCTGGGCTCCGCGCCCATGCGAGTTGGTGGGGTCTGCCATCAGGAGAACAGAGTCAGGGGGTTGTCGCAAGCTCGATTACCAGCATCGACTGCTGCCTGAGGGGTTGCGCAAAATCCGCAGATGAGGGCGTAAGGGACTGATAAGGACGGGAACAGCAAGAACTGGTACTGTCCCCTGTCCAACGGCTTTGGGCGAGGACAAATGTGGCGATTCGGCCTATATACTGTGGTAGGTTGGGCAAGCTGCCGATCAAATGGCTAGTTGCGCAAGTTGCGGTTGGACACGAGGAAACAAGATTAGTGCACGAGAATGACGTTGACGTGTTTCCCGAGGTAGATGAGGACAAAGCAACAGGACATTAAGACAGTAAATGCGACTGCAGCAAGTAAGATCTGAAACAAAGAAATAAACGGGGCTCAGTACTTGGCCCCTGATCTTTTCGAAGCTACGTAAGGTAGAAATGCGCTTTCTAAATTTGGATTGCGGGGCTTATGTAAGAGTTTGTCCAGCTGCCTTACTGACGGGGGTTTACTGGGATTTTGTATAGTTTGACATTTTGATATGTTTGTCTCTCATCTTCTTATTTGACGAGGATTTAGTTGTTTTGTTTCGTTCCTGTTGAGTCCTCTTACTTCAGGTACCTGCAACCGGACACGTCTTCGCCCCCGACGCCCCCTTATCGATTGCAGATCGACCACCACACTTCACTTTCACCAATTCAACCCTCCGAGTCAGCACAAATTACGAGAGAGTCGCCCTCTTGTGCCTTCCTGTCTTCGATTAGATACATCTTGGACCGTTCACTTCTTCGCAATTCCACTATCCTTCACAACCTCCCGCACAAAATGACCGGGCCATCGATACAAGACCGGACCGGCGAGTTCAGCGCCATCCTAAGCCAGACCCAAAAGCGACTAGGGGCATCGAAAGTCGGAACACAGCGCCAGGCTCTGTTGACTGATGCGCAAAGACGTCAATCAAATATGTCGCCTACAGGTGCCGCGCAAGAGGCAAAGGTGGCAAGGTCGGAGTTTGCGCGGCGGGCACGAGATATCGGAAGGGGGATCACCGGAACAATGGCCAAATTGCAGCGACTGGCTGAATGTGAGTGTGTGGAAAAGCAAGGCCGAGAATGCCAGCCAATCTAACCACGAAGAATAGTGGCGAAACGGAAAACGCTGTTCGACGACCGACCTGTGGAGATTTCCGAATTGACGTACGTGATCAAACAAGATCTTGCCGGGTTGAACCAAAGCATTGCCTCGCTGCAGGCGCTCACCCAAGCACAACACCCCAAGTCAACCCGTTCTAAGACAGACCAGGAGGGAGAACACAATGATAATGTAAGTGAGACACGAGAAGACAAGCACGGACGCGTTGCTGATGGCCTTCACCAGGTTGTTGTTATGTTGCAGGGAAAGTTGGCCGATGTAGGTGCCAGTTTCAAGGAGGTGCTCGAGGTCCGCACGAAGAACATCCAAGCATCCCGAACACGAACCGAGAACTTTGTCTCCTCCGTATCCTCGAAGTCACACAGTGCCCTTGACACACAGCGCTCAGATTCTCCTTTGTATAATCCATCGGGACGACGGACACCGCAGCCTGGATACCAGGGCAATTCTTCCGACCTATTGACGCTTGAGCCCTCAAACCCTTCGCCATTAGGGCGGCCATCGTTCCAATCAGACCAGCAGCTTCTGGTCATGGAAGAGGGTGAATCGAGTAATACATATGTGCAAGCTCGAGGCGAAGCCATCGAGGCTATCGAGCGAACCATCAGCGAGTTGGGTGGCATTTTCGGCCAGCTGGCGCAGATGGTCAGCGAGCAGTCAGAAATGATTCAGCGCATAGATGCCAATACCGAAGATGTGGTCGACAACGTCCAGGGCGCGCAGAGGGAACTCATGAAATACTGGACGCGAGTGTCTGGGAATCGCTGGCTAATCGCGAAGATGTTTGGTATTCTGATGGTATGTTTATCTCGCCCTACATTTCTCTTGAACGATTAACTAATGACCGTGATAGATCTTCTTCCTTCTCTGGGTCTTGATTTCGTGATAGACACGATATCACCACTTTTTTCATACTGTATTATAATACCTGGCCCATGTGTTTCCGGCAGATCATGGCCCTTCTGCATGTCCGCACTCGCTGAGCATTCCTGTTTCTTTTTACACTGGCTAGACTCTGGGATGTCTGAACCATCACACTCTTTATCTTTTCCTTTCTGTTCGTGCTACCTGGGGCTGTGTCCCAAAGTGTCGCCTGCGTAAATACTCTTCATGTACTAATTGAATTCAATTGTTCGCCGTGGGCTAACCATGAGCGACTTCAATGAACTGGGTATCTGTGCCATTGCAACTTAGAACGGAACAGTTCTAATACTATGAAATGGATATTGCTACACATCCACATTTTGAGTATCATCAAACTGCGTCATGGCACTCCACAGTTCCGATTCCGCCCACCCTAACGAGGGCTGGTTATCGAACAATTCCCACACAAGACTATCATCCCATCCCTCTGCAGGCCGCGTTGCAGTAGAAATCCCGGCGCCGCGAAGACTGTCTATACCCTGGTCCATAGCTCGCCCTAATATATCCGGATAAGACCCAACCTGTCCCTCGGAATTTCCAACCATGTCCCCACCAGAAAGTACGGCAACTGGCTGCTCTGAGCGAAGCCCCCCGGATGTACCTTTAACTAGTGGCGCACACAGATCTAGGAACAGAGAGAAAAGCTTGTACAGCTTGCCGATGGAGGCATTGGCCTCGGCGAATTGGTGTAGATCATCAGTGATGTTTTTCATCATGTCGAAGTCTCTCTCGTTCGATGTGGCAATCACGTTACAGAATAGGGCAAAGAAGGGTGCTAACGGACATAGCAGCATTGTCCTGAGAGGCTGATTAGTGTCTAATCTTTTTGATTCTTGGGAGATGAGTTTTGAGAATAGGCTGCCCCATACCAAGTTAAGAAGTAAGGGTACGAGTCGATGGTATTGAGGTGGCTTGAGAATTCTTCCTGTAGAGCCCGGAGAGTGGTGAGTGCTTCCCGGGCTGTGTATAGACAGTTCTCGCAGACGAGCCGGGACTTGAGGACCGAGGAGCGCGCTCGGAAGATTGTTGTGAGAAGGGAGTAGTAGCTGAAGTCCATTGCCAGCCACTCGCGCCGCAGGTGGCTCCATGATTGAGCGAATTGCTGTTCCTGGTGTCGACGGGACTGACGATTGGATTAGTGGATGCTTGGTAAAACGTTCGAATACTTCTTTCTCTTACCATCTGCATATTTGCGTGGATGACGTGAGCTCGCGCTACTAGGTCGGATAGTATAATCTCCTTTTCTGCGTCCCCTATCGCCTTGGTGTCAAGCAAGATATCTAGTAACGCACTCTTCAGCTCTGAATACTCGACCATGCCTTTTATCATGGCGGATGTTGGTAGGTCGGGGTCGATGTGTATTAACTGTACTGGCCTGACTTTCAGATCCGGTAGAGAGGGTGGTCGGAGGAGCAGTAAGCTGAGTGTCTTATCGAAGTGGTAGCATGTGTACACGCAAGCGTGGATATTTCCCTCTATCTCGGTTCGTGAACTGATATTCGTGATACTGTGGTAGTTCAAGGCAACGATCATTCTTGATGCCAGTGCCGTGAGCATCCAACAACGTGACATGTTTCCCCGGTACTGCATCAAGCGTGCCTGTCATGGTCAGGATCTGTATGGCGCTGCACATAAGATAAACCTACTGCTGACAGTATTGATTGAAGCAATAGAAGACTGGGCGCGGCTGCCAGCGGAAGTTGATTCAAGATCTCGATGGCGCTGGCTTCATATCTCTTCTTTAATGTGCGGAAATGAATCCTTAAAGAGTCGCTTGTGATTAGTGGGCCCATCTTTGATATACAGCCCATGGCTTTCACCCAGACAGTTAGTCGGTAATGCTGGAGCACCTGCTCGGACTCTGTACGCTCGATAATCGCAAGGCCCATTTGCTCCAGAGTTCTGTCGGATATATGATCGGGCCAGGATACTGTTCCATGGGGACTAGTTATTCTGTCGGGTCCTGTATATATCAGTATTTTCCTTATATGAGCTCACTTAGTGGCCCAAAATTTACCAGGTAGCATCATATATAGTAATTCAGACGTGAGAGTCGGAGCTTCAAGACTTTCTTGCACATCCACCTCATCCATAGCCGCAGTCCCCTCCCACTGTAGTGTGGGATTAGACAACTGACCGACGAACTTGCGTGCTGATTCAAGTGCAGTGCGTCTATCTTCTGAAAGAGTCGGATTGCATTGGAGTTCATGTTCAATGTACTCCCTAGCCTCGCTGACATGATGCGTTGAGCCAGGGGAATGAACATGTTGCTGGGCCACAGTCTTGGACTTTCGGCGCTTGCTTGCTGGCGGCTGTAGCGGAGCTGCATCATGTGGCTCATACACTCGATGGCGCTTATGCATCTCTAGCGCCTCGTTAATACTCATAAGATTGGCCGAAGACGACGAGGATGCGCTGCTAGTAGTATGACTTGTTGCATATTCCTTTGGCTCTTTACTGCGTCCCTCTTCTAGCTTTGCGAGCCTTCGGGTTAATGCCTCCAACCTTAGCAGTGTTAGCTTGTGCTTTGCAAGAACTAGTATGATGAATGCGCATACCGAGAGACCCGTGGTCTATGGACTCGTGTTTGGCGAGTGCGAAGACATTCTACGTCCGCATCGACGCAGTTCACGCAAGGTACTTGACGATCGCATTTCACCTGCAGCGGATTCAGATGCGCATTAGTACGGGCGGCTTGAAAGTGTAGCACGGGAGTCCGGGACCAATGAATGTCTAATGTACCTTGCGAGTATGACACAAGTCGCACTGGTAATCTTGATGGTTAGCTTGACAAGTCGATAGTGATAGTACATCTAGACTGACCGCAGACATTGATATGGTATTGCTCCTCTTTGGAGGTTCTACTACAGGGAATCAACGCGATGCTGCAAAGTAGAAGTCTGGTTGAAGTCCGGGATGGTGGGTCGGGACCGGAATGCCGAGCCCCGACTCCCGAGTATCCCGAGTCTGAGGACCATCAATAACGTGTGCAAAGCTCTGTTTCTCTCGCCAGTCCCCTGGAGTTTTCTATTGATTTAGATACTACGATAGACAGCACTCTCTCCCATTGATTTTGAATTCGCGGTACTTCTGAAAACGCCCGGGCCACGATCGATGTCAAAATAAGTTCCTCCGTCATGGTCGTCATGATCAAGATCCACTCTTAAAGCCGTGCAGAATGCAGAAGAGTCACTCTAAACTGCATTGATTAGACTAAGTTTAGTCGCAGTACGTCTACCTACAGCGGGTACATTGCGAAGTACGGAGTATATTTACTCCGTACACGGGCAGTATCAATAATCAGGAAACCTCACATGGCCTATTAACCGAGGTGTGGAATGCGGAGAAATCTAATGAGATGGAACCGTTCCAATGTTTCAATTGGATGAGTTGCCTGATCACGTAGTCACCCGTTCCTCGGCAGGACCGTGCGACGGATCCTTCCCCCACACCAATAGTATTAAGGACAGGCCGTGTCCACTGCCTCCAATCATTCGTTCCTCTAGTTATCCCAGCTTTCACCTACTGTGTACTCCGTACTATTCCTCCCGAAATCATGTCCAACGGCATGTGAGTCTTGACTCTTGATCCTGTCCTCCAATATGTTATATGCAATCTCATATCACATACTAACCTTCAGCCCCATCAATTAGCAACAACCCATCCGGTATCTTCTTTACCGCAACTGCCCCGTTGTACCTGGTTAGTGTGACCCCTGATACATCGACAGACCCGCCCACTAACGAGGCCAAAGGTGTTCGCACCTGTCGCATCTGCAATCACAGCACCCAATGGCATTGTTCAAAATGCCATTAGCACCATGCTCAGTCTCGTGGGCGGCGATATAACATCCGATCGCGCAATCCCTGCACTTGCCCTCCTTTACGGATTTTGGAGTTTCGCCGGCAGTGGCGCTCTGTCCGTCGCCGGGCAGGCCATGTCCAGAGCCGTCGGCTACGACAACGATCACCCCCGCAAGCACCGCGCAAACTTGGACGGCCTCCCATTGCGCCTCGTGTCCGCCCATAATTCGCTGCTGGAGATCTTCCCTCTGTTTGCGACAGTGGCGTGTCTTGCCCAGGTGATTGCGCCCGGAGATCAACAGATTCGGAACCTTGTTGGTCTTCATGTGCTCGCGAAAACATTCGTTTTCTATCCTGCATATCTTGCTGGCCTTCCCCCTTTGAGATCGATGTCACACGTGATTTCTGTCTCGGCCCTTCTCAGGACTCTTTGGCTGCTCACGGTATAATCTGGCCCCTAGACTTGATCCCAAGTCTGGAGCTTCGAAATGCACCTGGGCTTGTATTCTGCGCAGGTGGGGCTACGGGTGTGTTCCGGAACAGATGTCGTCAGGGTTGACCAGTTGACCAGTTGGCTCAAAAGGCAATGAGCCTTTACGACAAGTTACCTAAGTTAGTTCGCAACCTAATGTGCCACAAGTAACAATGGATCTTTAGACTTCTCGTTATTCGGAAGTATCAAGGGTGGAAGTACCCCCCCCCCCCTTGTAACTGTCCATCCTGGATGGGTTTATATTGTAGGTACCCAGTACATCCACCATTTTAGTGTATTCCGCCTTTGCCCGGAAACCACCTGCATATTCTCATCACAACTACCTACATGTATCCAATGGATCTTCAACACACACCCCTATACGGAGTAGGTAGGTATATGTCAGAACAAGCCGTTCACCCTCGCTTCGCTCGGGCGGCTTGAAGGCGAAGTCCGTAGTCAGTAAGCTAATAACATACATCTAATTAACCTACTTTTACAGCTACTCTGTTGTATGGAAGCGCTGTACGGCCTCTGTCTTGAGCGGGGGTGACGGCATCTGTGGCAGGTTTTGAGCTGGACATTTCTGTCGTTGAGGAACGCGGTCAGGGGTCGTTTGTTACGGCGCCGGCTACAGAGCTTGGTAGACGGACGGGCGTTTTCGGAGGCGGAACGCTCACGCAGTGGTGTTGGACGAGAGGTAGGATTCGACATGGCAAGAGGCTGTAGAATTGAGATGGAAGCAACGCGTGAACAGGTAAACGAAGCCAGGGAGATGCAATGGCAGAGGCTAAACCCAAAGGGGGCATGCAGTTTCGCACAAGCCAATGATAACGCGAGAAAAAGAGAACGACGAATGGCAAAGCAGGAAATGGACGGGTTTCGAGAGCTTCCAGCCAACTGGTAAGCCTCCCACCAACTGGCAAACTATCCGCCAACTGGCAAGGCTATAGGTATCCCTACGATTTTCCCCAATGATCCCACTGCCACACGTGCCGCGTCTGATCTGGTGTCTGCCTTTCCACATGCAATGTCCGCTGTAAATTTTACTATAGGTCTGTTCAACGACGCAGCGATGTCAAAGTAGGAGTGTAGGTTTTGGGTATGGGTCGAATGTCGATGAAGTGACGTGATCGTGGACAATACGAAAAACGGTTCTACTTAGTGACAAGCCTGTCGTGGGTGACAATCATGTGATGATCAGACTGTTGAGAAGAAGCAAACGACAACTAAGGGAAGGAGCGAGCACGGAGGAGCATAAGAAGGAGTTCTTCTGCGCAGCTCTTCTTTCCTCTTCCCTTCTCCATCTCACCATAGGATCAAGTTATCTCTTTTGTTTCTTTTCCCTCTGACTTATAACAACCCACAGATCGTCATACAAATATTCTCACTGCTACTCGCGAGGTCCCAGGAGATCATGTCGCGTGTGTATCAAAGCGAGGCCGTTATGTCAGGACTCAGAAGAAGGTGCTGGGAAGTTTCTCGCGCACCTCCCCTCTGGTACGCCCGTTTACTGTTACAACCAACAGTGTGCTATGGAGAGCCTCTTTCCTCCGAACCTCCGTATTCGACATTAGGGATTGGCTTTTCTGCGACAGGGATGAATCAGAGAGACGGAAAACGCGTGGTGGATCAATGGATCGAATGGCGAAGTGAGAATGGGGATCACTATCGACATCAAAAGAGGATCTCACTCCATTGAAGTCAAATCCTGGTCTCCAGCATATGAGCCATCACTACATAATATCTATGTCACATCAGGCGGCAGCCAGATTATCGACAGGCGCATCAACACCGCAATCCTCATCACGAGAGGAAGAGATGGTTCCAGCCCTACGATTGAAGAAGAGCCAGCTCCAGGAGCATGCGAGGGCTAGTGTGGTTTTCCCACTATTACTCTCTCGCTTTCTTCAAGCATCATGGATAGACTCTGCCTCCTATAGATAATAGGTCTACCGTCACTGTGTCTCAGACTTCTGGTTTGACTGCGGAGGAGGCGATCATACACACTTTTCCTGCACTGGCAAAAAGCAACCCTGTCCTTGCATGGAGCTCCATGAATGCTACAGACCGAGTAAATCTTGACAAGGTGGCGAAGGCTGCGAGGATTGGCCTCAAGGGGCTTCTAGAGGCAGCCATCATCGCGACTCAGCGGATCCGGCGCTCACGATCAAGTTCAAGCTCGGTCATGGTAAATCCGGCGAATGAAGGAGTCAATAGCCTCGCTTACAGCGTTCTCGACACGCATACAAACAAGAAGGGAGAAGGCTTCCAGCGGATAATACACCCATTCAAGATGCATGTCGGCGTCCACTATGCTGCGGACGCACCGTGACCGATCGTCCCATCTCTTTCGAATGGAGCTACTTAACTCTCTGCCCTGGTGCATCTTCCCCCTTCCTGGGATGTTCATTCTCGCGATTCGGCGCGTCTTCCGACGTGCAGCAACAGCGCCTGGAAAATATATTGTCCCGATTCACTATGCTGGGCATGGGGCGATAAACACTGGACAGCTCTTTGCTGTTGAAGGCCGGTCCCGCCGAAGCCTCAATTTCCAGAGGATCATTGGCGGTGGCGGGGGATATCCAGGACATGGATATCGGAGACACAGACACTGTCTTCGTCCTGGATTGCTGTTATTCGCATGTCGCAACGCGGGCATCTAATCCCACGACTCGCACGGTCGAAATTCTTTCTGCGAGCGATGACAGCACTCCCGAGGCCTTTGCACCACCGCGCAATACCTTGACCGGAAAATGCGGGGCGAGATTGCTCGGCGCAAGCGCGATGGCCATCGCTTCGTGATATTTTCGGAGGTGATAGCGGCTATTCGAGCGAACAGCCCCGCTGTCAAGCCAACACATCAAGCGAAGTTAGGGGTATCCGTCTGCTTCCGTTTCACTGGCGTCACGCGGGTTCATCCGAGCACGATCACCCCTTCTCTGCGTGCAGTGTTTTCGGTTCGCATCGCCGAAAACATGACGCAGGAACAGCTCCAAAGGTTCCTCACGTGGATGGAGACCCTCCCACCTGCGTACACCATAGAACTCGACGGGATCTACAGCACAACCTCGACTCTCCTCATCTTCCAGAGCGCATATGCGCTGTTCGCGGATCTTGCTGGCTATCCTGGTGTCACCTTTATCTCGGATGTGACAAGCCCGAACCGTCGTAAATATCTCGACGAAGAGCAGTGACAAGAATACCTTTCATCTACTTGGAAGGAGAGCATACCATTCAGGCTGCCGGAATAGATCGGGCCACAACTTGGTCTAATCTCGCCCCACTTTACACATTTGGGGACATTTCTGCTGAGCCAGATGGATGCTGGGGCCCGGCCTCTGATAACAATCCTACGATCGTCATGGAGGTCGGAAACTCGGAGACGAGCGGCCACTTACTCCTTGACGATCGACATTGGCTAGAGGACATGCACTCATCCGTCAAAGTCAGTATTCTCGTCAAGCTCAAGAGGAATGCTGATGCCATCCTCTATCTGGGAGTTGAACCATTCCCGCTATCTCCGACCTCTCCGCTCACCCCTCACAAATCATCGACTGGCAAAACGCACCCAAATTTCCAGGAGCGGATATGGGCTAAGGAGCGAGAGAGATAGAAGGAGTAACTAGAAAATCAATTTAAAAACAAGCCATACTGGCAAAAACACAATCACTTGCACAGTGTTATTCAATAGGACCTCTGACAGCTCCACATCGCTTTGGCCATCCTTTTTCGTGTTTTACATAGGGAATTGGTTAAATATCATTGCGACGCTTGTTGCGACGCCTTACTTACGGCCAAAACGACCTCGGAGATAATTCGGCTTGAATTCTGTCCCTCCGATTGGTTGTCCTTCGACTCACGGATTTTGCCTCTCCGGTGACTTTCCGCCTGCCTTTCACGGCATAGGGCTAGGCGAAGCTGAGCGTCGCAGTTAATTCCCAAGACCATCGGGCGCCGGGAGACCTCGTAAGAGCTTCTCAACTTCTCTATACTGTACTTCCATCCCTTCGGGCTAAGATCTTATCCTCCTCCCTTCCAAGGTTCCATCTCTTCATAGTGGCAGGCACATACGAAATTATCATAATCATATAACTACCGAGTGGAGGCACTTAGGCACTAACGGGCACAAACTGCTTTTTAATAGGTACAGGCCTCGATGAACCCGATAATGTCTGCCCGGGAAAGAAGCATTCGATTCGGCAGAGTAGGTCGTGCGATGAATGACATATCCCTAGGCTGCAGGCTAGGTAGTCTGGAAAGTGGAAAAACACTAAACAGAAAGTCTGCCATGGAGTTCTTCCACATATTCGCAACTGGTTTATGGTAGGGTGGGGTGGGCGTGGTGGTACCGTGGTAGTGGGCTGAATGCCTGATATCCAAGGCATGATAGAGGTGCTCGGACCTCCCAACCACGACATTCTTCGAAGGTATCCAGCTATCCGCATCCTTTCTTCGTCGTCGCCATCTAATTGATCGACGGAACACCCAAATCATGAAAATCTATTCTGATAAAACTGGGGTCATCTAAAAGTGCACCGCAGCAATGGCTGATTCAACTGCTCCGTTGAATGGTGACCGGGCGACAGACTCGCCATCCAAACAACCCGCATCCTTTTCATGCACGGTCTGTCACAACCGGAAGGTCAAATGCGATAGGCAAGATCCCTGCTCAAATTGCTCAAAGGTGGGTGTCGAGTGTATCTACCGTGCTCCACCACCACGTCGTCGCAAAAGGGACAAAGAGACCACCGGGACTGAGTCTCAGGGACGTGAGAAGTCCCTCAAACGGAGTCCGGAAGTCGCAAAGGCTGCCTCGACCACTCACAATCTACCTGCTGGGAAAAATCGCCGAACGAAACCATTAGAAAATGGATCTGGGAGGATGATCCTGAAGGATGGAAAATCCATATACCTCGACAAGTGAGTTATCTGCTCTGCATTAGCCCAACGTCAGCCTTCTTACATGACTTATCAGCGGTCTTTGGACGAGTGTCAGCGACGAGGTTAGCTTTCTACAACTCCCTGTGATACCGTGTCTAACCACCCTTGCTAGCTCCCAAATGCAGCTGATGTACTGGGCAATGTATCAGATAGTGGTACCGATGACCTAGCCCAGGACATGGATGACGAGTATACGGTACTCTCAAGCTCTGCAACTAGATATGCTCTCACAGAACTTCATCCAGATCCCATACATATCTTCAAACTGTGGCAGACATTCCTCGAGAATGTGAACCCACTTACCAAAATCATACATGCCCCAACTGTGCAACAGCAAATTTTGGAAGCTATGAGTGATCTGTCCAAAGTAAGCCGAGAACTCGAAGTTTTGATGTTCGCTATATACTGCATGGCACTGGTTTCTATGGAGGCAGAAGATGTCGAAACATCATTTGGGGAAATCAAGGAAACTTTGCTATCAAAGTACAAACGAGGAGCCCAACTCGGCTTCAAGAACGCAGCGCTACTTCGTACATCCAGCTCAACGGTTCTTCAGGCATTCATGCTGTATTTGGTGGGCCCTCCTTGCTTTCATGTGGATCAGGTCCATACTGACGGAGTTCGGTAGCTTTGCATGCGCACTTTCTCTGACCCACATACTATTTGGACATTATGTGGAATTGCAGTTCGGGTTGCGCAACGAATTGGGATCCACCGCGATGGATCTGCACATGGACTTTCAGTATTCGAGACTGAGATGCGCCGTCGCATCTGGCTCCAGCTTATTCTCATAGATGCCACATCTGCACAATTCTGCGGTGTGGCATCAACACCCCTTCCAGCCACAATTGACGTTCAAGCACCAAAGAACGCAAATGACAGCGACCTTGACCCTCGCATGACCGTGGCTCACGATAAGCCAGGGCCGACAGAGATGATTTTTGTTCTAACTCGGAGTGCGCTTGGCAAATGGCTTCATCGACTGTCAAATCAAAGCGAGAGTCCTAACACCAGTCCGTGGGCTTTTTTGTCGTCGTCCTCGATGTCTCTAAGGGACAAGGATGAGGCCATTGATGAACTTGAAAGACACCTGGAAGGTGACTTTCTGTGCCACTGTGACAAATCCATTCCGCTACATATAGCAACAACAATTATGGCCCGTTCAGCTATATACTACACCCGGCTGATGGCACACCACCCTCGACAATACCAGTGTCCCAATAAACGCATCTCTGAAGCAGAGAAAGACATCATATTCGAGTATTCTCTCAAGATGACGGAGTACACTGACTATGCGCAGAACTGTTTAGTAGTACGGAAATTCTCGTGGCACATGATTAATCACATGCCGTGGGACGCCATAATCTTCATGCTATCAGAATTGCGGCATCGGACCGACCCGGAAGAGAAGGAAAAAGTCTGGCAGTTGATTGGAAATGTCTACTCTAGGCATCTCCAAGGGTTAGGCAAGAAAGGCCTCGGACTCCTCCACAAGGCCATTCAAAGCCTGATGATTAAAGCCTGGCGGGCATACATTGAAGAGTGTAATCTCAACCACCGCACACCAACGCCTTGTCCAACCATTGTTGCATCCTTGTTAGCCAACGCACCAAGCAGCTCATGTCCCCAACCAGGAAGGCAGGGCCAGGTCGCCGAGAGTGGTGCCGAGTCACAAGGTCAACCCAGCCACGACCTTTCGGTTTCACAATTTGTACCGGAGGCTGAGAACTTTGATTTTCTATTTGGCGATAGCCCGCAGGATTGGTCTGGATGGGATAATCTTCTCAGCCAATTTCAAGGATCTTTAACAGATGATACAACGTATGGGCTGTCGTGACTCGAGTCTCAACCCTCAGCCTTGGGTCTCTACAGCTTGGACATGGCTGCCGATCGCTCGACATTCGGTCCCACGCACCATGTAGCAAGGACTTGCCATGCTGCAGATCCAGAGGTTCGACAAAATGCATCGTGTACAACACAAACAAGTCGTGGTCGCCCACGATTTTCTCGCCGAGCCGGCCGATCGGCAAGCGAAACCCCGAGCCCGCACGGGTCTCTTGGCTGTCACACGGCCCACACCCATCGGGGTCGGCGTTCGAAAGACCGACATTGAAGCTCAGGGCTCTCATGTGTTGATTGATTGGCTTTAGAATATTACAGTTCTCGCCTGTTATAGCGCTGACTTTGTACCTAAAAGACTCACTTTCTACGTGGGAATCATCTCTTATCACTTTTTTTTCTTTTTTCTATATTGATACATCCTCCATACTCAACCTGCCAAGATGAGAACCCCAACAGATGTCTACGATGTCCTAATTGCGGGTGCAGGTCCAACTGGTCTCGTTCTCGCTCTGTGGCTCCATCACCAAGGTCTCAAAGTCCACATCGTTGACCAGGCAGAAGCTCCCGCAAAAGATTCTCGGGCGATCGTTGTCCATGCGCGCATAGTAGAACTGTATAGACAGCTCGGATTGGCCGATGATCTGCTTGAGCTCGGGTACAAGCTACCGGCTACAAATCTCTGGTTTGATGGGCAGCACAAGGCGCAAATTCCAATACGGGAATTCGGCCAAGACTTGACTGCATATCCGTTCTTGTTGATTGTGCCGCAATCTGAGCATGAAACAATGCTAGAGAGACGGCTGAATGACCTTGGTGTTCACGTTGAGCGGAAGACAAAGTTGCAGGACTTTGTGGATCACGATTCGAGCATCACCGCTACACTATCCCACCAGCCTGGAGGGACCTCATCTACCATCAACGCATCGTACATAGTTGGATGTGATGGGGCACATTCGGTTGTTCGTCGGAAAATCGGAGCCAAATACGAGGGCGACACGTATGAACCGCTGTTCTACATTGCGGATATCGAAGCTAGAGACGACACGTTCATCAATGGCGAAGGGCACCTGATATTCACGGACGATACTTACAATCTGCTTGTACCCTACAACAAAGCAGGTCATGTCAGAGTGGTCGGTCTCACAACCCAGAGGAACAATGATAACAATGACCATGGATCACCAACACACGAGCACGGGATCGCATTTGAAGACGTTCGGCCGCAGATCACGAAAGCAACGAACATTGATATCACAAAGGTCAACTGGTTCTCCACCTACCGGAGCCATCACCGCGTGGCCGAAAAATTCCGCCGCAATCGCGCATTTCTTGCCGGGGACGCGGCTCATATCCACAGCCCGGCTGGAGGACAGGGTATGAACACCGGCATCATGGACGCAATCAACCTGGCTTGGAAGTTGGCAACAGTCCTCAAACAGACAAACATGAGCGAAGATGCAAAACACCAACTTTTGGAATCCTACGAGTCGGAGCGCCGGTCTTTCGCTATGATGATAGTCAAATCGACCGACACAGGGTTCACCCTCATTACGTCGAAAGGATTCGTCCCCCACATTGTTCGAACCTGGGTCATTCCGTACCTTGCGCCACTGGCCTTGAAATTTGATGCCGCTAGGGGTCGGGTCTTCAAGGGACTTTCTCAGCTCATCTGCAACTACCGGGCGAGCAGTCTTAGTCGATCTGGAGAAGGGGCGGTTCAGGCCGGAGATCGGCTTCCATGGGCTGAAATGGACGAAGAGGACAACTTTTCAACGCTGCGATATGTCTGTTGGCAGCTTCATGCCTATGGGGAGATTCTCCCGCACCTTGAAGAATGGGCGCGGGATAATGGTGTGAAGGTCTTTGCATTCGATTGGCATGATCAGTATGTCAAAGCCGGGCTGGTGAAGGACGCCGTTTATCTGCTGCGACCTGACCAGTATATTGCAGGAATCTTTGAGGGTCCGAGTATCGAATCAGAGCTGAAGGAGTACTTCGCTACTCGGGGGCTTAAGTGCTAGACTGTCTTCATACCCTATTCTCTCCACTCTGCTCTTCAATATCAGCCGTTCAATGTGAGCCACCTATAGGTGGAAGTCCCCATTTAGCCGTTGTCCGTTTATGATGCGGCATTTGTATAATTTTACAGGCCAACCTACATGTGCATAATGTGCTTTACCTAGTTAAGATACCTATGGCACATAAGGGAAGGCAACTGGCCTTCGATACTAGAGTCCGCATGCGCCAAGAATGGCACTTGATTGGTGATTTGGCATCGGATTTAAGCCCGCCGGGAGTGATTTGATTGGTGTGCCTGCCAAGACTAGCCAAAAAGAGGTTCCGCGTCCCGCTATGGGTCCCTCTGGACCCACTTATATACTTCCAAACTAGTCCCCGGAGGGGACCAGGGTCCAGGGCTGCCCTCAATTGCACGTCTTCCTTTGCACCATTCTCTATGGAGGCCAGGCAATTGGTATGTCGGAATGTTCCGAAGGTCAGATTCAGAGCAATCTCTGGGTAACCCACTAATCCCACTCCAGCTTACCTTTGCGATAACTAGTCGATACCTCTAAGAGCTCCCATCCCAAGCATGTGGCCGCAATCACGTCTATCATTTGCCATAGAGACGCCCGCCCGCGGGGAAGTACACCGGCACGAATGCCGGCTGAACCCCGCCAGCGAGTCTTCGAGTCCGTCAGTATGTGGATGTTTTAATACGTCTACCCCAAGAACAACGATATAAAAGCCCCCTGAAGAAGCCTCTGAAATGGCCTCCTCACTCACTTTCATCAACATCTCTCCAACCTATTCCATTCCTCACAAGATGAAGACTAGCTCTCTCATTTCCTTGCTTGGTCTGTCCGGCAGCACCATGGCTGCAGCCGTAGCCAAGGGCAATCACGAGCCCTTTGGCTACAAGTCCGGATCAAAGGAGTCCATTGCCAACCTGAAGGACAAGATCGAGAATGTTGTGTGGATCCTGCTCGAAAACCGCGGATTCGACAACATCTTGGGTGGTGTAAAGAACCGCGGACTGGATAACGTTGTCAACAATGGTCCCTTCTGGAACCCCGAGAAAGTGAGTGATGCCAACAGCAAGAAATGGTACAGCCAGGCCAAGAACTACGACTCGGTTCTCCATGACCCCAACCACTCCGTCACCGGAGTGAACTACGAGCTCTACGGCACCTATAGCCCCGACAATGAGGCTATTGCCAACGGTACATTGCATGCCAATCTGGAAGGCTTTGTCGAGCGCCAGATGGTGTCCTATCCCAGTATCTCTGCCCAGCGAGCAACGGAGGAGGTCATGGGCTACTACACCGAGGACGAGATTCCAACCCTCGTTGACCTGGTTGACGAGTTTACCACCTTCAACTACTGGCACTCCTGTGTTCCTGGTGTAAGTGCAATCCGAACCCAATCTGAATTACAATCCGAGACAGAGATCTAACAATCACCCAACCCAGCCCACCAACCCCAACCGTCTCTGTGCAATTGCGGGTACACCTGACGGCCACGGCAGTAACGACGAAAGCTTCGACGTATCCGGCATCAGCATCCCCAGCGTCTTCGAAGTCGCCTCGGAGAAGAACATCTCATGGCTCAACTACGACGGCACCAACGGCGCCTTCCAGCCAGACTCCATGTTCTTCGACTGGACGGCCAAAAACGCCAAGAAGAACGTTGTCCCGCTCGAAAACTTCTTCCAGGACGCTTACCTCGGCCTCCTCCCCCAACTATCATACATCAACCCCTCCTGCTGCGGCCTTAACACAAACTCCATGCACCCAACCGGAAACGTCTCCTTCGGCCAGGTTCTCGTGAAACAAGTCTACGACGCCGTCCGCGCAAGCCCACAATGGGACAAGACGCTTCTGCTCATCACCTTCGATGAAACAGGCGGGTTCTTCGACCATGTCGCGCCCCCGCTGGCTGTTCGTCCGGATGATAAGAGCTATACCGAGTCTGCGCCTGATGGCAGTAAATACACCCTTAACTTTGATCGTCTGGGTGGACGGATGCCGACTTGGTTGGTCTCGCCGTATACGCCTCGTGGACATGTTGAGAATTACGGGACCGACCAGGTCACTGGGAAGTCGTCTTCGTACAGTGCTACTTCGGTGCTGAAGACTCTTGGGTACTTGTGGGATTTGAAGGATATGAGTCCTCGTGTGGAACACTCGCCTGCCTTTGACCACCTTATTGGCACGAAGGCGCGAAGGTCGACTCCAGCTACTCTTAAGAACCCTCATCCGTTCCCCGATGCTGTTTGAGAGTTTTAAGAACCGATGTCCTGGCTTGGTCAAACTACTGTCTAGTGTCTGATGTGAGATGAAGAAAAAATAGTTTATCATACCTGTATCTTGAGTGTGAGGCTGAAATGAAGATTGTTCAACTCCCATTTTCCACCCTATTTCGCACCCGGCCTCTCCTCTCTAGCTCGCAGACTTTTGACGTCGCCATCTTTCCCTACCGACAGACTGCTAAAGCCATTGCCGCTTCTAATCTGAATCCTCGGAAATACTTCCCAATTAAGGCGGTTTGGCCGAGTGGTCTAAGGCGATTGACTAGAAATCAATTCTCTTCGGAGGCGCATGTTCGAATCATGCAGCCGTCGTTACTTTTTTGTCCTTTGAAGGTCTTCTGTATGGGAAGTGACGCGTTGCCGATTGATCTTGGAGGGTTACATTTTGTTGGACAACGTCATTTGGGCGCAGATATGCTTGTATGCATGGCGCGGCTGAAGTTTTTGGCGGCGCACTGCGACTTCTTTACCGAATGAAAGAACTCCCCCTACCATTCATAGTACAGAAGACAGCTTGTAATGTGGTCTGCAAGACCTCTGTCCTCTCGACCACCAATTGAAGGGGGTATGCAAGATCGTACTATGTAGACAACCATCGCTGAGAATCCAAGTCCATCTGTAACTACGAAAGCTCTTATTGGAATGACATTTTGGTAATATCATACTATGGATTCGGTACGGATTTCTTCACCTCCGGGGCTAGCCGTAACTAGTTCGTCAACTTTATACCGCGGGTTAGCGTCTGCCAAGGCATCACAGACACTACGAACAAACTGCCCACAGCTCTCGTACACTCATCGTCCAAGCTCCAGACTTATATCCGATCAGGTAACCCTTGTTGTTGCAGCTCATACGACTTGACCTGAAAGTCTTCCCTTGGAACGGCGGCTAATGCAAACCATCGGATATCAACAGGTCTGAATTTCTATGAAGCCCCTGGCTGGCAATTTGTATGGGCATAACAATGACTAATCTAAGTGGGATATGGTATCTCCGTTCTCCGATCTCCACTGCTGCTGTTGTTCCGACACATCCCCTCAGCGGTTAGCGAGTGTTGAAATCTACTCAGTGAGCCTGATTTTGAGCACCCTCATAAAAGCGGCGGCAGCTTAGATAGGAAAGCTCCACCCGGCAGAGGAAATCCTCTACATAGTCACCTATGTAGACTGTTTAAGTCTTTCGCCGTTCATTTGGAATATTAGTGGCACATGCCTCGTATAGTTACACCCTTGTCTTTGAATACGTAATATTATCAAAAAAGAAAGCCCAGGTTGAGCCTATGAACAAATGAAGATCGACAATGCATTACATTCAGCTTATACTCTTGATATTCCATAACGTTACGCTCTCTGTCTCTTCTGATCTTCTCCCTCCGGCCAATCTATGCTTCTCCAAGAGATCTCTTGAAGCTCAATGGAGCGGTACAGTTACTTTCAACATGATTCTCCAATGGAAGACTGAATTTCGTACATGTTAATCCATAATCTGTCTACAGCCATATTTCGAATTCGCCTGCCCAATACGCCCTAACGCCAAGGCACTGGCGGCCTTACAATAAAACCCGTTGTTAAGATGGGATCTATGTAGTATCAAGATCGACGGGGTCTATTGCCAAGATGACAACTAGAGCCTCCATTCGAGAGTGCTGGTTACACAATAGGACCTTACTCCACTCCCCCGCAATGCACTGTTAATTCTAGGGTGTCTGAGGTCTCTGCATAATCATTCACGGCTGCCTCCCTCCAGCCTTATGCCAAGGGCTCCAGGTCACTATATCAAAGGGTCTAACGTGCAGAATAAGGCGTCCGAGTTACTGCAAGGCGTCCGACTTCTCATGCTTGCCAAGATGATCTTCATTCTCTTCCTAAACAGGAACAATAAAACTAGACAGCTATACTGGCATCTGTTGCGGCACTTTAAGGTATAAATATCCATCGGTGTGTTCCTCAGAATCCCAATTTCTTTATTCATCAATCTTTTCTAACATATCATCTTTCTATCTGATTCTCTATACTACAATCTTCCGGTATGGCAACACCTCCTCTTCAAAAGACCTCCGCTAACTCTCTCAGTCCATCAACATGAAGTATATGTTCTTGATCGCCACTTTCCTCGGCCTGGCTATGGCCGCTGGCAACTGCCCTGACTTCCCTTCCTGCCATTGTCCCGGGGACCTCTGCAGAATCGGTAGTGGAACACCCGGTGACGGCGTATGCTGCGAAGGCAAGAAGTGTGTGCGGAAATCCGGAAGTGAGAACTGGGTGAGTCTTTTGTCTCCCCATGACTTATTTAACAATGTCACTAATATCTTTGGTATCAGTACTGCAAGTAATGAGCTTTGTCGAGTTACTAGACGGTGTCATGAATCGGCTGTCTGGAGGGTGGGTTTGGTTGGTACTACAGTTTTGGATTTCAGGACCTAGAGTCGTTCCAATATCAAAATCAATGCTCCCATCCCTGATTTTATCTGAGAATCTGTATGTAGTCTGGTCGCCTGCTCACCAGGGTAGAAGAGAATTTTGAGATCAAGACAATTGGTTTCGTTTCATTACATACATCCATGTTAGGGCTATGTTACTGTGGCGATCACAACAAAATTGGGGTCCTCAAATCATATCTCCTGCAACTGGCAGGCCTTTAAATTTCATCACTGCTTCTTTGGAACAAAGCGGAATGCAATGAGATTTTTAGTCTGACTACCATCGACCTCAACATACTCGCGGAATCGCTCAAACCCAGATTTCAGTAGCACCCTCTGACTACCAGCATTTTCAGCTTCGGTAATAGCAATCAGGTGCTCATCAACTACACCTTCCCCGACGACCGTTTCCTTGTGAACCCTGGCCAACCCCTGTGGACATGAGGAGATAGGGCCGCTTGGCGGCTTGACTGGCCTGTTGCCGGCATCCATGATATGACCGGCTATAGTTGGGGGGCATGCCGGTCGCTGTACTGTGTACACGGTTAGCTAGGATGAAAAAATAACAAGAGGGCAGCAAGAACAATGGTTGTTGAAGGAAGAGGGCTTTGAACCATATGAGTGCAGTATAGTTTCATGCCTAAGGCAAACACACTAAACTCTATTGAGGTGTCGATCTGGAGATTCTCGAATTCCACACCCGCCGCAGTCAATTGATCATCAACCCTCCCTCTTCCCAACCACAGTCTCAAAGTAACCAAAATGTCTTCTCCAATGAGACTGGCAAGTGGCCTTCTAGGCCGAGCCACCCGCAATTCTACTATCGAATCCGCCCCGACACAACGCATCCTTCCTCTCCTTCGGAACAACGCCGTGCAATGCCGAGCCTACAGCCAAGCACAACGTCCACGATGCGAACAAAGCATGCGTACCATGATAAACACACAGAATAACTTCTCAACCTCCGCTTTCCGCGCAAAAGGCAAGACAATGGGCCAGATGAAACAGCGCAACGCGACCGGCCCATTCTCGTGGAAGGCCGCGCTGCTTTTCGTGCTGACCGGCGCCGGAATGACGCTGTACTTCCGGGTTGAAAAGGCCCGTCTGGAGCGGAAGCGCATGACGGAGATGAGCAAGGGCGTTGGCAAGCCGAAGGTCGGCGGTCCGTTCGTGTTGAAGGATCTCGACGGGAAAGAGTTCACGGCAGAGGACCTGAAGGGGAAATACAGCTTTGTGAGTGATTTATCGGATGACTGGGAAGAAATGAAAAGGGTGGACCTGGTATACTTGGATGGGATTTTGCTAACAAGACCTTGCTTCATTGTAGGTCTACTTCGGCTTCACTCACTGCCCGGATATTTGCCCCGACGAGTTGGACAAAATGGCCGAGATCATCGAGAAGGTCAAGGCCGCTACTAAGGATGAGAAGCTCTTCATGCCTGTTTTCATTACTTGCGATCCTGTCCGCGATACCCCCGAGGTGCTCCGCGAGTACCTGAAGGAGTTCCATCCCGGCATTGTCGGTCTGACTGGCACGTACGAACAGATTAAGCACGTCTGCAAGCAGTACCGTGTGTACTTCAGTACTCCTAAGGATGTCAAGCCTGGCGAGGACTACCTCGTGGACCACAGTATCTACTTCTACCTGATGGGTGAGTGCGCAGAAGACTCCATAACCTGGGTTTTTATGTTTCAGGATGCTGACTATCTATCATAGATCCCGACAACGATTTCGTCGAGTGTATCGGGCGCCAGGACACCCCCGAGTCTGCTTCCAAGGTCATCTTAGAGCACATCAATGACTGGAAGCGGGAGGGAAAGCCTCTCAAGACGGAGTAAGCATCTTGCATTCATGTATCTTCGCAAACTGTACAATATTTCTATTCAATCATCTGAATACCCTACTCACATCGTGGCCATGCTCCAAATCCTTCTGTCACTCATAGGTACCCGCACGTATAATCGAGATATCCGGACAACCCCCAGCCGAACCAAGTATGCAATGTAAAATCCGAGGTCCAAAAGCCCAATGCATCCCAGAAACACCAGTCCAGCGCAGCAACCTGTAATTTCAAACACATCAGCATCACCCACAACCCAGGGAGAGACATAACCAACCATCCGACTCCCTAAACCGCCTTATCCCCCAAAAGCCTCCCCTCAGAATCCCGATCCGCATTAGCCCTCCACTCCATCCTCCCATCAACGAATTCCTCCCTCTTCCAAATCTCCGCTTTCTCCTTACAAGCCTCCAGCACCTCCTCGCCAGCCCTCCACGCCGCCTTCCGATGCCCCGCACTAACCGCAATAGCAATAGAAGCCTCCCCAATCGGCACAGACCCCAGCCGATGCGCAATACTCACGCCCTCAAGTCCGTGCGTCTCGACAGCGGTCTCGGCGATGGTCGTTAGCGTCTTCATCGTCAGAGGCGGGTAGGCTGTGTAGCTGAGTTGGGAAACGGAACGGCCCTCGAAGGTGTCGCGCGTTGTGCCGAGGAATAGAACGTTTGCGCCTGCTGCTGGTGAGGCGGTTTCGGAGAGATAGGTGTTTGCATCGAGGGGGTTGTAGGTTAGTGTTAGATGGATGTTTTTGGTTGGATCGTGGTAGTGGCGCGGGTAGGTTCTTGGGTCGAGGTGTGGTGGGAGCGTTGGTTCGGTGGATGTCATTTTGGGGAGGGAATTGGGGGTATTGAGGGGATGTTTGGAGGAGATCGTGCGTAATTCTGGGGAGGGTTGCGTCTGTTTCTCGGAGGGACCTCGAGGCTTATCTGCTGCGGGGAGCGGCGGATAAGAGCTCTGGACCCGCCCCGATTTTGCGGAGTGCGCCGGAGCCTGGAGGTGTTGTATACCGAATTGACATTCTCGAGGGTTGTTTTTGGCATTCTTCGCGTAGATATGCATTCATTGTAGGAATTGTCTAGGTACAGAGTCTGATGACATGGAGATCTCATTTTTATGTATCACACAAGTAGCACGACAGCCTCAAAGGGTCTGAGGGTCCATTTATCCCCAGAGAACCTTTGGGAGGCTTCCTCAACACCCTCATAGGTGTTCAGCAGTACTTCCTTCACGCCCGTAATACCGTTGCTCGTTGCATCCCATTCAAGGGTCTTGTCAGTCCAGTGACACAGTACCAAGGCCTTTTGATCGCCATATTGGCGGGTGTATGCGAAGTCTTCCTGGCTTTGTTTGTCCAGGAGTGTAAAGTTACCGTAGACAAAGATGTCAAGGTACTTCTTGCGCAGTTTCAACACAGTTGCCCAGTAATGGTACGTTGAGTTGGGATCTTTGACCGCGGCTTCGGCATTGACCTGCACGTAATCTGTGTTCACAGACATCCAGGGCTTCACACCGGGTCCAGTGAAACCCGCATTTTCGGCAGCAGACCACTGGACTGGAGTGCGTCCGTTGTCGCGGGATTTCTTCTGGTATTCCCCGAGGGCGATTACTTGGGAATTTCTGTCATGCTTCTGCAATCTGTAGATCGTTAGCCGCATCACTCACAAAAAGGACCAAGGGTCCAGGGAGTAGAGGTACCTCTTCCAATGATTCAAACAGTCAATATCCTTGTATTCCTCAATGCCCCATTCCTTTGGCACGTTTCTGGTTCCCAGCTCCTGTCCTTGGTAAACGAAGGGGGTGCCGGCCATCAAGGTCAGGGCGGTGGCCAGCATCTTGGACGCAACTAGCCGGTGTTCCTCACTGGCATTTGTGTAGCGATCAATAGAGCGCGGTTGGTCATGGTTCTCCCAGTAGAGCGCATTCCAACCATCATTGTCATACATGAAAGTCTGCCAACGCTCAAAGAAATCTTTGAGATCGGTGAGCTGCCAGCTACCAGGTTCAAATTTGTCATGTTTGCCATGGTCAATGTCAACGTGCTCAAAATTGAAGATCATGTTGATCTCGTTGCGATCAAATTGCACCGCACGAAGCACCTCCTTCTCGTCCTTGACAAAAGGCATCTCACCGACACTGAAGGTATCGTATTCCTTCAGAATCTGGCCTATACCCTGGAGGTACTCATGCAAGCGCGGTCCGTTAGCGTACCACTTGTCTCCCCATTGCCAGGGAGTACGGGGATCTTGGATGGGCCCATCTGGGAAGCGCTGATCCTTGCTAATGAAGTTGATCACGTCCATGCGGAAACCGTCACAGCCCTTGTTGAGCCAGAACCGCACGATATCGTGCACGGCCTCGCGGACGGGTGGGTGCTCCCAATTAAGGTCTGGCTGCTCAACGGCGTATAGATGCAAATAGTACTCTTGAGTATGCTCGTCCCATTGCCAAGCGCTCCCTAGATTATGTTCCGGGTTAGAGGATCTCTTCGACTAGAAAGAGGAACAGCAAGCATACCCTGGAAATGAGATACCCAATTGTTCGGAGGCTGGCGGTTGCCCTGCTCGTCATACTTGGCCGGCTTCCAGACATACCAATCCCGGTATTTGTTGTCTTTGGAGCTGCGCGACTGCTTGAACCATTCATGCTGATCGCTGGTATGATTCACGACCAGATCCATGAGAAGCTTCATACCGCGCTGGTGGCATCCGGCTATCAGCTTCTCGACATCTTCAACCGTACCGTACTCATCGGCGATGCTATAGTAATCGGCGATATCATAGCCCATGTCCACCTGTGGGGACTCGTAGGACGGGCACAGCCAGACAATATCAACGGCTAGGTTCTTGATGTAGTCCAGCTCAGATATGATACCAGGGATATCACCAATGCCATCGTTATTCGAGTCCTTGAAGGACGCCGGCCATATTTGGTAAACAGAGCTCTCTTTCCACCATGCACGGTGGTTAGAATTTCTCGGGGTAGACATGGTGCCTTGTGAAAAGGATGGCGACTGGGAGAGAAGATTGGGATCTTGTAGAGAAGGGGAAAAGACTTGGAGGATTCAGAGAGATTAGACGATTCAAATACATGTACTACTGGTTCATTTAAGTAGGCAGATGTATGAGTGAGGATGAAGGTGGTGGTCTCCACGCACATCCCACCGCGGGGAAGCTGCGGAGAATCATCGGGATGAACAGCACTTGATATTGGACAGGGATAGGCCGTCCATTCACTGCAATTTGGATGCACTCGTTAAATCACAAGCCCTGATAGCCCATGGTCAGTGGAGCCTCTCCACTTGGACGATAATGGATACGACGCGTAACGCGGATGGGAACTGCACGGCGTTTCTTGGCGGGCTGGTTGGCAGAACTATATACATGTACAGTTATTAGACCCATGAGCACCGCTCCGGGCTGAATGGAATTGAGGCCCGAGGGAATTCGAAGAAAACTCAGTCTGAATGGATCCGTGATTGGAATCCTTTCGCGAACAGATTGAGGCGGTGATCTTGGCGGATTCAGAGTCAAGATCGGCAGAACATTTGTCACGCCTAGCGAACCCATCTCGGGCCGAGATATAGGCCAATGGCAGTTCAGTCCTTTGTTAGGCGGTGTAAGGCTCCTTATCGGTTATCGACTGGGCGGGTAGCTCTCAGCTGTAGGAATGCAGTTTATCCTTTCAACTGCGCCTTCGAACTTGGGATGTTTGTAAAGCACCACGGCCATGGCGCATCCTCGTGAGAGACATGATGGCTCTTCTCATCGACCGTACTTCTCGCATAATGACCACGACAGCAGCATGTATGACGATCGATCTCGATCTCGCTCGGCTGGTAAAGTAGCTCCCCGCACGGCAACGGTTGCATCCTTGTATGGCGTGGCCTCGTGCCCTACGTCCATTGCCTTGCCTGGTTTCATCGAATATTGACTGATAGTTTCAATAGAGCTAAGACATCAAGCACACGGCCACACGCATCGAGGGCCAGCTGCGGACGGCAGGTTTGAACGCCCCAGAGATTGGGAGGCTGACCAACGCTACCGAGGTCACTATGACCGAGACGATCATCGCCCCCCAAAACGGAGGTCTTCCCCTCGTCGAGGTAGAGACACATACAGAGACCGTGATAGGGAGGGATATCAAAGTGGCAGCTACAGTCGCAGCCGCAGCCCTCGTCAAGGGCAGTCCCATGTTGGACAAGTCAGCAGGGAAGTAATGATGGAAGGCTTTCCAGTGGATATGACAGAACAAGATGTGAGTTACCAACCGAAGAAAGCTCATATCAGCTACTCAAGTATGTGTTGTTGACGACAAATGCTGACAACGCACGATTTGGGAACAATAGATCTCCGATGAGCTGAGAAATGCCTATCATATAGATGGCCTGGAAGATATTCGAGTGATTCGGGATCGGCAGACCAGTATGTGAATGTGATAGACCGTTGCAAGGATTGTGAACATGGTCAATCTGACATTGCGTTCAATAGAATTGTCGAGGCAGCTAGGCTTCCTGCGTTTCTCCACTATTGAGGCATCGCGCGCATTCGTCGAAAGCAACCTGCCTTGCATTTATCTTTATGGCCCTAGTGCAGGCGCGAATGACAGAAGCACCAAAGTTCGGATTGCTTACAGTCGCGAAAGAGAAGATCGAGCTCGCCCGAAAGGAGCAGGCGACTGGAACTGCAGGAAAGTAAGTTACCACGGTGAAAATTGCCTTAGTTGAACTACTTTTCCCGGGCCTGCGCTTACTGATTTAGTGTTTCATCATCAACTTTTCTACACGTCCGCATTGCTTCAAATGCGGAAATCCACGACCCAGTACGTTTTATCGCCGTGTCCGCTCTCATTCCTTACACCCTCTTCTATTGCTCATCCTCAGGTCTGGTTGCCCTTACTGACATGCTGAACAGACATGGACCCTACCGGCCCTCCCGGAATTCCTGCTCACAGAGCAGCTAATGACGGCGATAGCGATGCCGCTCCGGAGCACCAGCCCTCCCAGTTTCTTCTACTCCGTGGTCTGGAGGCGTCCGTCACGGAAGAGCTTCTTGCAAAAGGAGTCGCTAAGTTGTATCGGCCCTCCAGCTCCACTGAAAACGCCCCGGGTAATCAGAAGAAGGGAGCTAAGGTTGCCTCGACGACTGGCGACAGCAATCTCGGAGCGCGTGAAGGATCCCTTCGTCGCGTGCTCCTTGTACGTGACCGCAAAACCAATGAAAGCTGGCGTTATGGATTTGCGGAATTCGCAGGACTCAATGTATGTTCTTTTTGGCTATTTACTTTCTTGTTCTCCCCTGACGCTTCGAACTTAGGATGCGCAAGCTGCAATGGCGCGGTTCAACTCATTCGACAGATTTACAATTTCTTCAAAGCCGGTTCTTGCCACCTACATTCATGGAGGAGTGTTTGTTCCTGTCATAAACCCCCTCAACTAGTGCTAGTCCCTACACATTCAGCCCATCAAACAACCCATCTCTGCAGTTGATGTACTGGGATGATGCAGCTTACGTGACTGAACTCAAGCTTACGACCGAAGAAGACGATGCTGCGCAGGAGCAGAGTGGCGCCAAGAACACCTCCAACAAGCAAGACGCTCAGGGCAAGGTCGTGAAAGACTCCGACAAGGCGAAAAAGAGAAAAGCCGATAACACAGCCAGTACGACTACCAAGAAGCTTGCCATGCCCTCGCAGCTGCAATTCTGGAGTGACCGTCACGCTGAGCTACATGGGATTAACCGAGGTGATGACAACACTACGGAAGCCGTCGCGGACCAGGACATCCCCATGACTGACCAAGATGCTCCGCCCGCCGCTTTTTCCGCTTCTCCCGCTGGTCCCGTAGCTGGTGCATTGGCCGAGTCCTACCTGGATTTGAACACCGCCTGCTGCCACCTGTGCGTGCGCCAATTTGCATCAGCGGACGATGTTCTCCTCCATGAGAAAACCAGTGAATTGCACCAAGGAAGTCTGCAGGATGAAGATGCAAGAGTGTGCGGCAACTACAGATTGGTTAAATTTGGACTTGCGCCTTGCCCAAGTCCAGTTTACCGATTCACCGCGGAGGATTTTGCTGGTGAAAATCCTAGCACTTCTATCCCCGAGCAGGCTTCGTCTTATGCGGACATGAACCGGCTCATCTGCACGTTGTGTCAAACCCGGTTTATCAGTCGGGAAGCCGCCATCTGGCACGACCGCCTCGATGTACAGCATCAGGAAAACCTAAAGAAGCCGGCAATGAGGGATCGTGCCTTGCGTGAGTTGATCGAGCATGGCATTGTCGAAGCACCTCAGATCTATCGAGATCGCGCCAAAGAGCGTCGTGAGACGTTCGGTCTTGGAAAGTCCGGTGCCGCGCAGGTTTCCTACGCAGATATTAAAGAGCTCCGATGCCTGTTATGCTGGTGGAAGTTTACAACCGCTGAAGCTCTCGTTTACCATGAGCGTCACAATTCAGAACATCAGGAGAATCTGCAAAAGGAAGAAAAGAGGGCCGATGGTGACTGCAGATTGATCAAGTACGGTTATGCCCCTCTACCGACTCCAGTCTATCGGTGTAATCCAGAGAACCTCGGAGGAAGCGATTCTCCGCCGTATTCATCATACGCAGACCTGGAAAAGAAGTGCTGCTACTTGTGCTGGCAGGAGTTCCCGAGTCCGGAAGAAACACTCCGCCACGAGCGTATCAATGACTTGCACCACGCGAATCTAAAGATTAAAGAAAAGAGGGAAAAAGGCATGCGTGCTTTGGTCACCAGAGGTCTTGTGAAATTGACCCAGAAGTCCCAAGGCTCCGCAAACGAGAACCGTGAGACGTCTGGCCCCGATGGTGCTAGTGCCCGTCAGAAACCCGCCGAACAACAGAGCCAGCCCCAGCCACCTGCGCAGACAGGTTCGATTGGCGCTTCTCTTCTCAGCAAGATGGGCTGGAAAGAAGGCTCTGGCCTCGGTGCTGACGGTGCTGGTGTGACAGCACCGATCTCTACCGACGTTTATGCACCAGGTGTGGGACTGGGTGCTCAAGGAGGAAGACTGGGTGATGCAGCCGAGGAAGCGGGTCGCAACACTAGAGGACGGTATGATGAGTTCCTGCAGAAGACCAAGGATAATGCACGCCAGCGCTTCGAGGACATGGATAAATCCTAACTCACGTCTGGGATGATTCCGCAGTTGCTCAACTGCACACGGACACCGTTGCACGCCAGTGCTTCGAGGGCAAGCTAATTTATGTCTGGATGATACCCAGCTGCTGAACTGTACAAATATGATACTGCCATGACCATAGGGAAAAAACCCCATTAATCAGTCCTCGTTACTCATTCATAGAGCTACGAACTTTGAACTTCGTAGGTCATTCTCCACCGTCAGTGGCTGTGTTTTCCGGCTCAATGTCTTGAGGTACAGCTGGAGGGCATGCTTTCCTGGAAGAATGTGACAGCCAAACTGCCGACTATTTTCATCGAACCGGGATGAGCTTTGTCGAATCGCTTCCCGTCTTTCTGGCCGCTTGGAGTGCGTGGCCTTAGACCAGATTGTGAGCGGGCTCATTGCCTCTGGCCCGTTATTACTTTCTCTAAAGTAGCATCATGGTGGATGCGGACAGCTTCGAGGTAGCGGGAATAATTGACTGGGAAAATGCATTTACAGTTTCCCTTATGCTCGTCTCCGAATTCCTTTCAGCCATGCCCACCTCCTTTGACCTGGGAAGTATGATCCGGGATAGGGCAGCCGTTGATCGAAGGAAGTACCTCTGGGACCGGATATCGTCCCAGGGACGTGAAGAGCACAACTCGCAATTTGATACTGTGTACGCGGCCAAATTTCTAATGTGGGAATCATATGATAGGTGAGTTGTTCGTTCCCACTGGGGTAAGTACGTGCCTTCCTGAACAGGAAACAACCAACCTATATAATCCCCTTCCCCAACTTTCCCTTCTTTTTCTTTCTTCCTTCTTCAACTCCCCATCTTCCAGCTCTTCCGTCTCTCGCTCCACCTTGGAACCATCCATATTCCATCAAGTCTTCCATCTAAGACTTCCATCATATATCAAGACTTCCATCAACCCTCCATCACCTAATTTTCTATCAGGAGACACCGAAGGAACCCATCCATATCTACCATTCACCGCTAACGGGTCTTCCGGCCCTCTGTCATACATCGAAGACGACGACCCTCTGCCCGCCGAAGATACGGACAGTACACCGACCCAGGTACGTTCTACAATCGGCCGCTAACACAAAATACACAGTTAATATCCATATTGACTCAGTCTTACTTATCTAGGGTACTATCCTACCGTCGGGCGGTCACGACTCTGAAGACAGAGACATCGACGAGGATTGCGACGGTGTCCCAAGCAGAGAAGATATTTTACTAGCCATTGAGGAAGCACTTCTCGACGAGGAGCCCCAGGACCCAAGTTTGGACTACACCTCCGGTCTCATTGAGCCTACTACAACTCCCCCAGTGACGCTTCCAGGCTCTTCAGTCACTGAACAGGAACTAGAGGCATCGTCTACGGTCACATTGGAGCAAGCGGTTCAGGATGCCGGAACATCATCGATGGCCCCACCGGAGCGTCCAATCACAAGCATTTCGGACTCAATTGTGATGCCGCCTCCCCGTTATCCGGCTTCTGGCAACCAGACTGGTAGCGACTTTGAAGTGGCGAAGATTCGTCGCTGTACCCGAAAAATGACACAGTTTCATTTCAATATCGCTGTCTGGTGTATTACCGCTGGGATTTCACGAACGCAATACAAGTCCTTCTGTGAAGCGATCAAGTGCCTCGAAGCTAGTGCTGCGGAAGAGCCCTTGCCAAGGGATCTTAGTGCCCTGAAGAGAACTATGTACGGCCAGATAAATACACTAGAGATGCTCTGCTGCAAGATTCCCGTAATCACGACAAAGCTGCCTACTTTATCCGAGCAGGATCGTAGACTCGCAGAGTCTGTCACGCGGACACTCTACCTGATCAACCCGATACCGATGGTGATCAGGCTTCTGCAGTCCCCGGCGTTTCGTAAGCTCATGCACAAAGGGCTAGCGCGATCTGTTCAAAGCCCGACAGAGCTTTGGGAATCAGATGCATGGACTTCTTCAATCCGATCCACGTCTGGGAAATTCGCAACCTACCCTGACGGCAAGCCAATCTTTCCCTCTGATATTGTATACTACCAGTGTAACGCTTCTTGTTGCCTCCAATTCGGAGCACCTGGGCACATAGGCCGAGTGTATAGTGTCAGTGAATGTCAAGCTAAGGATTCAGATATGTGGAAATGTGTTATCCACATTCAACCGGTATTGCAGCGACAGGAAGTTCACGTGGAGGATGAACGGACTATTATCGCAAGTGGGCCAGGTCTTGCACCCCATGAGCTTATCCTCCTCACTGACCGACGATACACTATCTCTCCAAGAAAGGTGCTCCGACAAGAGGAATCTGTCTATCTTGATCGCCAATTCGAGCTTGAGGATGATATACTAGCAGAGAGGACATCTGAACGTGCGGCAAAGTCTTCGGCGAAGTCATCGGCAAAGGCTTCGGCAAAGTCTACTCTTCCGAAGGGACGTCAGCGCTTTGTGCTTAAGCACCCTGACTACAAATTCACTATCTGCCGGGCAATCAAATCGGATATGCAGGTCTATGCCCTCAAAAATACCAATCCGATCCGTGGCGAGCTTGAGATTTGGCACTATGGCCGAGAGCACCTTGTCGAGACCCTCTTTAGGCAGCGTTGTATCTCGTTTCCAATGCAGATTTTCTGCGACGGATTTCGGCTGAAGCGGACCATTCAAGACTCTCTGATGGGTATTTACATGATTCCTTCATTTATCCCAGCCAAAGAACGGGAAAAACGGGCCAACCTCTTCACTCTCACACTGGGGCCGCATGGCACGAACTACACTGACGTTACCCGTTGCCTTATGAATATCAATGAACTTGAACGCGGAATCGAAGTCGACTGGGTCGACGGGAAGAAGATGCGGGTTGTTGCATTTTGTCTTTCATACATTGGGGATATGCCCCAGCAACAGCTTAATGCAGGCTTCAAAGGTCCTACTGCCACATATAGCTGCCGCAAGTGCTTCGTGAGAGATGACCAACGCGGCGACCTTGACTTCAACATCGTGAAACATGGTCGTTATCATTTTGAGTGTCTTGCTCAACGCAAGCAAGCTATTGCCCACCGTATTCGAGGTAACAAGACAGTCCAGAGAGAGTACCTCCAAAACACTGGAATGCTCGAGCAAGCGTCACCAATATCTCGACTTTCACCGGAACTGGATCTAGTCACCGGGTTTCCTTCTGACCCAGCTCACTCGGAGTACAAGGGTCTCTCTTATCTCGTTCAAAAACTACTCATAGAGGATATTTTGTCGCCAGTAGGGCGTGAGGAGTTTGCAGCTGCGCTTTACAGATTTCCCACTCCGCCAGGCTGGACCCGGCTACAATCTCCACTACACCATCTCGAGAGTTATCAAATTCAAGAACACGCGAGAGCCTCTATCATCTTTCCCCTCTTACTGCGTCAGCGTATCAAGAAGAAATGGATCAAAGATAGCGTCTACGAATCGATTCGGCGGACGTTCGGAGTCGTCCAATACCAACCGGAGGAGCGTGTCGTTACAGTGTTTGCAGCGATTGCTAAGAGTAATTCTCTCTTGGCATATCATACAATACCCGAGGAAGATCGACAGTCATTTAACAAGATTATAACGGATGCCCGGTCAGCATTTCAAAGCCTATGCACTGCGGTTATCAAGGCATCACGAGGGCCCCGAAGATCAAGAAACTCCTCACGGGCGGCCAGGAGTAGTAGCACCTCGAGGGAACGATCACCCACAGCCCAGACCGATGATCCAGGGACTACACAGAAGGCTGACTTTTGGGGGCTTGCTATGAAAAGACCGAACGTGCACACTGCTCTTCATTATTCCCTCGATGCGTCAATGTACGCTACACCATGGAACAGTAATGTTCTTGCAGGAGAAGACAAGCACAGGTAAGTATGATACTTTGCTTTATCGTAATCGTGGACCCCTAGGTATCTTTATGAATATAATGCTAATACCGGACACCGAATCCCAAGATTCTTCAAACGCCAGGTCACAAGGACTAACAACAAAAACGTCGAGCGGACTTTGATTTTTGACGAAGACTTACTTATCTCATTACGCTTGTACCTTGAGGGTGCCTTTGATCATGACGAGCCTGAGATAGCGGGAATGGTCCAGGATGCTGCACGCCAATGCCCCCAGCTTTTCTCCAAATTTTTCAATAAGCCACTTGAGGGCGACTCAGAAACACAGGAAGACTCTTTTCAAGCTGACGACACCTCTGCGCCTGTTCAAAACTACATTGACCTCGATACCTCCGATCACAGGAAAATCAGACTATGGCTCAGCTTCTCTCCGAGGAATGATCCGGATATTCCTACCATCCGTCTCTCCAACCTGGACCCAGACCACCCTTTCTTGAAGCTTTTAGGAGAGGCGTACCGCAGAGATTTCGGCGTTCGGGCCATGTTTTATCATGGAACGGGCGTATTAAAATGGTATAGGAAATTGTCTTTCGATCACACGTACGTTCCTTTTTTTGAGGCTTCCGCAGTATAAGTACTAATACTCATCCGGCTTACTACTATAGTCCAACCGGCACTCGCGTAACATTGTCCGAAGGTGATTTTGTTGAGTATAGTGACGGTGCTCTCGGCCAAGCCGTAGGATTCTTCGTGCATGAGATTCGTGCAAAACACGCACGAATCTTCGTATACCTCCGTCCGGTCACACCTTTACCAGACAAAGACCCAATTCTCTCTCTACCGCTCGTGACACTTCAGAAGCGCAAGTCCACCATTGTGGGGCTGCCAAAACTTGGGGGTTATCGCCATTACCTTGTCCCAGTGGGCTCGAACGAGAGCAACAGTACGGAAACCTCCCGAGTACAGACTCTTGTCCATTGTACCTGGAAGATATCATTTTTCTGATTTTAGATCAATTTGTGAGCCTTGACGAGACCGCACATAGCCTGCCTGAACGTTGCAAACTTCCGGAATATCATCCATTGAAGATCCAGTCGCCAAATAGACAACATTACCTAGGTAGTAAGCTATAAGCCTTGGAGTATTCCGATCTGTATTTAGGATGTACCCAACGAGGGCCATGAATAGATGTCCATGGATGGTAATTCCATAGGTAGAATTCGAAAGGATGCGGGCATGCTTGGATGCCCGAGGGGGGGGGGGGGGGGGGGTCCGTACCTATGATGCTGCCCGGCACCGGGCTGCAAGGCTGCACCCATGCCCGGCCTACCTTATCCACCTATACAGCATATTCAGGAGGCAGATAGATATAAATATATAGAGGAGGCCTGGTACCAGCACTACCTAGGTAGTACTCTCGTCTATTTCACTCACTAGCCCCTACTTACTTAGGCCTCCAGAGATTGGAGTTAATCATCACCACCTAGTGCCCAGTCCTCCGGGCATCGATCCAACATGGCACAGGTCAGTGTTTACAACGCATCCTCATAACGACTCTGCTTCGTTGGTCTCTTTCAGGTTTCCATCCTTGTCAATTGAAACTTAAGTGACTAGTCAGTGGACTAGTCCAGTGTCTCTGGGGATGGAGTTGCGCAAAATGCCAAGAGACCAATGGTTCCCAGGCAGTGAGGTCCACCTTGACTGATAGCAGGTTATCTCGTAAGGCTCCAGAAAGCCAAGTGTCGCATTTCCAATGCGATTGACCATATGATGTCCTTGACATGGTCTCCCTAAGGCAAAATGCAAAGATCCACAAAAGAAGATTTGCGGGACCGGGGTAACTTTCAGCCAATCAAAATTAAAGGATCTTATCTAGAATGGAATCAGACCCACTCTGATGTAAAGCTTGCCCTCATCGACGGAAGACGGCGGCAACATTCACATTTGCCATGGTTTCGACAACCAACTACATCGATCGAATGCAAGTCCCAGCTTGAAATTGAGTCGCCAGCAAACCTGTCATTCTGACGGTCATAAAATCAGCAATTGACGTCATCTAACCTACTCCACGGCGGCGTATATATAAGAAGGCGACAGTACGCAGTACAACCCCCAAATCCTTGCACAAACCAACCTCACACGAACCTTACAATCCATCCAAAATGAGTGAACTTACCAACCCGGACTCTATCACCCACAAACAGGGCCCAATCCACCCCTCCGTGGAACCACAGGGTCCAGGGAGAGCCCAAGGCGTGAGTCCATCAATACACTCTAAAACAAAAGCCCAAACTAAAACGCTCTCAACAGCACAAACCCGGCCAACACAAGCCCGGAACCAAACTCTCAGAGCTCGACCAACGCCAAACCTACCACATGGAGGGCTTCCCTCCAGGCACCGCCCCAGCCAGTAATTCCTTCACCGCCAACCCCATCTCCGAAGGCGGCAGCCAAGCGCTCAACCCGAACGTCGAGGCCGGACCGGACAAGGAAGCCACGTACACTTCTGTATCGGATACGCTGCACGGCTCGACTTCGGCAGATCTGAACAGGGGAATCGGTAAGCCGATGCAAGGCCAGACAAGCACGGAAATGAGACATGATGGCCAGCATGGCCGGAAGAATCCGGGAAGATCGGTTGACGCGTATGGCCCCAATGCGTTGAAACCGGAGATGGAGAGACGGTATCCGGATCAGAGGGCGATGGAGCGGGAGGCGCCGCTTGAGAGGCATGAGGATCTTTATAAGACGAGGGTTCAGAAGCATAGTCGTCTTGATGATGAGCCTCAAGGGGAGTATGCGTAGGTGATAGATTCAGCGGATTGGGAGGAGTGTAGATAGGTGCAGTTTTGGTTGGATAGGACTTCATTTGTATATGGTTGGGTGAATATAACATCAAGTGAAGGTTGATATGGTGGGTTCGAGTGTTGCTGTTGCCGTTCGTATCTGGATGTAGGAACAGGGACTCAGTTGGACAGAATCATGATTGATGTCGAGGGTTGGTTAGTTATTGAGGTTCTGGGATGGCAAAAAGAGAAGCGCTGTATTTGATCTGGCGCTGATTTGAATTTTGGCGCATTGCCACAAGCTAGTTAACTGTACTCGACAAGAGAATTCTATGTTGCTTTGAAAGGCACATAATTGACAGTCCACGCAGTGGAAAAACAGAAAAGAAATTAATCACATCGAGTGCCTGGATCGTAGATAAAAGCCAGGCACTTTGAAACCGGCTTCTGTACACCGTGTCCACCTGCTGCTATACATCGAAGGTAGGTGGAGCACGTCGTAGCAAGTAAGGCTTTCTTGATATCAATGACTGCCGGTTGAATCGGTTTCACCAGATCAAGGGAAGTCCTGAGGTTCAAGTCCAAGACAAAGGGGTTTGTGGAGAAGAAAAAGGGGGCAAAGACACTGTAACTCCGGCCCGCCAGATGACCCAGTGTGCCATAAGACCGAGGAGCAAAATGTCATCCAAATATTTACCCAGAGAATTGAAGAGATGAAAAGGGTATCGCGAGGTATAGAAAGGTGAAAGAATCGTGTCAAACGTGACAGACACTGAATAGCCGATGATCATCATTAAACTAGCAAAATGTCAGCAAGGCTCTGTCCAATTTATAAATTTGCTGAAATACTCACAGTGAGCAGCTCCAGGTGTCAGAGAAGAGGGAATCGCAGCATCATTGGCGGGCGATGGGTGACGAGCGAACCGAGGGTCCACGTCTTCGTAGTACGCAGCCCCCGTGTTGTTGGCCTGCAAACCTGGGCCACCTGGTCGTGGGGACACGGTGCGGTCACCCCAACCAGACTCCGAACGGGGAGGAATATAGGAACTAAGTAGAGAAAGTCAATGTCCATTCCAAGATCAGGTCATCTTAAGATATATGCTTACCCAGGTCGGCTGTACAGGCTTGTTGGGCTCTCCTCAGGAACGTCGGGATTGTTCACCGTCAGCGCATGCGGTACGCTGCTCATTGGCTGATTTGATTCATGCATATCGTATTGCGGCCGAGGTTGTGGCGTCATCTCAATGGCCTGGCCAATCGTATCCGGCGATATAGCCATACCAATGGGCCCGGGAGACGGCTGGCGCATCTGGCCCGGTGCCGGCCCATAGCCATATTCATCCTGCGGAGGAGACACAGATCGACCATACCCGTCGAGGCTGCGGTTAGGGCCACCTGGCCCCTGGCTATAGCCGGCTGGAGGTCCTCGAGGCGGCATACCACTGTGACCACCACGGCCTGGCATGGGGCCCATATAGCCACCGCGCGGGCCAGGTGAAGGTCCCATGTACGGTCCTCCACGTCCACCCCGCGGCGGATAACCACCTCGTCCCCGGCCGTTGAAACCAGGTGGCGCTCCTCCTCTGCGAGAACCCATGCTGCCATCTGAATATTGCGGACGAATGCGCGGATCAGAGGGGTTGCGGGACATTGCGCCAGCACCGTAGGGACCCGGGCCTTGGGGTGGGACGTTTCCAAACTCATCTTGCTGAGAGCGGTACGGAGTGCCGCGCCGGTCCTGCGGTGCTGGAATGTCGTTCATGGGTGTCCGCGAATTCAGAGGCGTGCGATCATCATCACTGTCACGCCTTTCCGTGTGGAATGTTGCGAACGTCGGGCCCGAGTCGGAGGTGAGAGAACTGGACATGAATGCTTCCTTGGGTTCCGCGGGAGCCGGAGCAGGGGCGTTGATTGCAGCCGCAGCTGCGTTCTGGCGGTTGTAATAGTTCTCTCCGCTCATTTCAGCGTTTTCGGCGATTCGGCGCTTCCTTGCCTTCCGGCTCACGAGAGTTCGGCGCATGGCGCAAGTGACCACTCCGCAGGAGGTGAGGATAATGGTCGCCGCCAAGACAATCCAACCACCCCATCCTAGATGTGGCACAAAGAGTAATATATCGACCAGGAACGCCAGGAGAGTGACGAGGAGTGTCGGCAGCAGCAGAATAAGAAGCGCCAACAAAAAGCGCGGCGAGTGGGAGGGTCCATGGAAGTGGGCCGCAATGGCCAGGCAGAGACAAACGAGGGTCATGAAGGCGGCGACTGGGTGAACGATGAGAATCGAGGATAGCGACTTGCGAGTACCGGAAGGGAGATTGAAATCATCGCCAGTGTTGTTGATGTCATCTGCATAAAGAATCAGCGGAGATCAGGCAGAACGGAGAGAGAAACACTGACTGCTTGTGTATCCCACATGGATATTGGTACAGGTATCACCCTTGCAATATCCAAAGACGCCATAATCCACATCTCTGAAAGTTGCGAGGGGAATGCCTCTAACAATAGGCGTAGAAAGGCATGAGAGTAGCAACAGGGCGAATGCGATCAGCAGTAAGATACTGAGGGGTGTCGCAGGCTTCAGCAACATGGTGAGGGGAGGCGACCCTGGAAGTCAACCTTGGGGTTCCAAGCACGGAGACAGACAGTAAGAAGGAAATGAGAAAATAGCGATCGACTCTAATGGCTTGGAAGGTTACGGCACATGCGATACCGCAAGAGATCGAATGATTGACTCCAAGGCAGCATTGGCAGGGGACATTGGCCTGCGATCAGGTTGTGAAATTAAGCACTCCAAGTGTGCCCAAGACAAAGCGGCAGGAAGTAAATGAGGGGAAAGGCCTACAAAGAACAAAGGAATGACAGGCAGATAAGCCACCGGCGAAGAAAACCGAGGGCGTTTGTGAGGAGAAGGTTGGTTTTGGCCTCAGGCAGCAGTCAGATGATCTCGACCACTTTTCCTGATTTCGCTTTTTCCTCCTTCGATGTATCAATCAGGGATTCAAGTATTTCGTCTCTTCTTTCTCTATCATCTACTTTAATTTGTTATCACTCGATTCTTGCTATTGCTTGACTATCGCGACACTTTCCTGCTCGAGGCTAAATTAGCCTGCACGGTTCCCCTCTCTGGAAGCCGGGGTTGATGGCGCAGAGCTGTTCTGCCCCTTCATTGGCTGTGCCCTGTCTCGGCGTCGTTGGCGTCGCTTCGGGGCATGTTGACCGGGCGCTGGAGTAATCGCGGTCAGCCGCTGGATAATCTCGACTTCCCTGAAATCCTTTGTTTCCGGCCGAACCTTACCTCAGCATGCTCAGACCAAACATTATTATTGGCTGGGTCATGTGTAGTCACATGACATACCTAACCAAGTTAGTTTTTGATTCATTGTCTGTGCTATCTGCTTTTTTGTACCCTTTTCTTGTACCCTGCCTTCTTGAAGCATTTGCTCTCCGGGTGGTTTTTCAGTCCACAGTGAGGACATTCCGGGAACTTCGGACGTTTTTGGTCCTTTCCTGCTTCCTCGTGGGGGCTTCTATTTCTTTTCTTCCCATTTGCTTTCTGGTCCTTCCTGGCCTCCCTTTCGGTTAGGTTTTCGGAGCTCTTGAGATCGGATTCGATCGTCTGGTACAGGGTGAGCACCTGTTCGTAAGATGCGTCGTCGGGTAGCTCTGGACGCCTTCCCGCCTCATTCTGGAGTTGGATCTTGAGGCCAGTTTCCAGCCGTCGGATCTTTTCCGCCTCGGTTGGTTCGACTTTCAAGGCGTCCAGAGCTACCCGACGACGCATCTTACGAAAAGGGGTGGGAAGCTAAAAGGCACGGATAAAATTTATTGACCAAATGGAGTGATTCAATGGATTCCTTATTCCTAAGGTTACCTAAATCACATGATTCAGCCAATCAGCGTGGTTCGAGCATGCTGAGGTTCGGACTTCCCCTGTTCTCATATCCCAGTGTAATGGCATTTCGGGCGCTGTTCCTACTGAAAAAATTCCACCCCAGATTTTGGGTCGTGCCCCCGACAGTACCACGGCATCTTATTCCAGGAGACCCATCGCAATGATGAAACAAGATCTGTGGTCGTTTGGAGGTTTTGCCAGAGTCCTCTAGAAGCGATCATTGCTGTCCACGGTCAAGCACACCATACTCGTGTCCCCTTGCTGGCAGCGCTAGTCGTGTTTAGCGTCTTTTTGGATAGAGCGCTCCGCTGCGGACACCAGCAGCCAGCCATGACACCATACGAGATACGCTACGGCCAGAAACCAGACGCCAGCTTCGCTTTTGACCGTCGTATGCCATCACCATTGTGCGCATGATTTCTGGCCATACGGTGTGAATGCACGATAGAGTCTCAGGAGCCATTCGCATCTTCGTGTTCGACTCGGCGGTGATGCCACTCCGCACACAGGGACTTCGAGTGGTATCACTGTTGCTCCGACCATGAAGATGCGAACCGCTCCTGCAAGTGCAGCAGGAGCAAGACGACGGAACACATTGCTCTGTGCCGGAGGGCACAGCGAACGTTCCTGGACTGGCAGGTCCGTCACGAGAATTCTGGTTCATCACGCCATTGAACAGAGCCCATGAGTCAGGACCCATCGCCTTCCTGGTCAAGTATCGTGTGGCCTACAATACTCTGAATGTCAACTACGTCCAGAAATCGATATGCTGCCACTTAAATGCAACGGACATATTCTTTGATAAACGGTCATGTTAACTTGCTAGTACTCGAATGCACTTTTGCGCAGCTCCACCCTCCCCTCCACGATACTATGAGATATTTATCGGCATCAGCAATTCGGAACTCGGTGCCGATAGTTCATCCTGCAAAAGCGATGCATGTGATGTTACACATAGTGGTAATGTCGCAATCAGGCATTCGACTGAAGGTAATCTGTCCTGCACCAACATAGATGTGAATATACACGCAAGCAAGGGACACCTTGAGCATTCCTCTTTAACATCGAAAGGCCATGCCCATTCTCAACTGTATAGTTGGACTGCCACTCGTTCCGAGGAGTTCCTTTCTCATCAGAGATGTCGCGTTTGACTTCAAGATTTCGCACTTCGGGGCAATATAGGCTTCTCCGGTCATACAGTGTTTGTGCAACCCCTTGTCTGAACAGCAGGCTAAGGGACCAGTCTGTAAAACGTATAACTAGCTATCAAGATATCATGAGATGAGTCCCTGAAAACATTGTATGAACTTGACCACTTGGAAAATTTGGAACCAAGGGTGAGTTAAATGCATGAGCACACCAGGAACAAAATGACTGATCCGAAGAGTCACTCCTCCAAAGTTGCCAGTCAATCTCTCTATGAGACCGAAGCCTACGAAGGAAGTTCCTCCCTCCCGCAGTCTCGAATTATGGGTTGCATATGGAAATTGTTCAAATGGCCAAAACGGCAAAAATCCGAGGGCGAAGAGAGGCTGCCTCTGGAGACCTTCGACAGAATAACCCTACTCCAGTCGTTGGAAGGCCCTCAGAGCGGCGAATGTCGAGATGATAGGAAAACAAACGGTCTGCAAGAGCGTTATGTTAGGTTTGGTATTGGGGGAGCTGGTAATAAGCGCAAGTAATGCTTCCCTCTCCTAAATTTGGAATCCTTGATTTGATAGTTGCGTACCTTGCTGACATCTAAGTGTGAGCAGAGTTTTGTCACATAATGGAAGAGAGGTAGCAGTTTCGCGTTGAACGGCTTTGGGGTTAACCATCATGATCATGGAAGACAGACCGATAGATTCCAATGGAATGGGAATACGAAGCCACGAACGTGAAAAGGGCGCCAAATCACTTCGCGACATTCTGTTCATCTATCGTTGAGGTCATTCAACCATGTGTACCGAGAACATCTACTTTTGGCCCTCGGGGTCTAAGAGCAGAGAGTCCCGGGTTATTAGATTGCGCTTGCAGATGAAGACCGGCAGAGGCCCCAAGCCCTAAGCGAGATCCTTATCAACGACCCAGCACAATATGTGCAATACGCCCATCAGTGCCAGTCAGTTACGATGACCATCACGTCTGAAATGGTCCTCGGGAGAAGGTCGATGAGCTTGACAATAGAAGCACTGCCAGTGACGAACAATGACAATGAGATGGGATGCTCATGACTCGAGGTTGTCAAGAAGCTCGACCACTTTCAGACATTGTTCCACCAGAAGTGAGCTACGTACTTTGTGCAAATTAAATTGCCTGTTTGCTTCATTTCCCAAACCCCTTGGAACAACGATACGCAACTAGCTGGAGTTGTCAAGACAAACGTCCTTCCTTATGGTGTAGCTACAGCGAAAAGGTAAAACCAGATCCTCCCAGGTAAGAACAGATGTAATAGTACCTCAGACATATCCATGACAGTACCTATCTGCCCCGACAATGTCTTTCATGCTGTCCTTGATACAGCCTTATGTTTTCATGTCCACTTGTGTTCCGACCACCTGCGAAGCCTGAGGCCCAGCCACCTATACCAGCAAGGGAGAGAAAACAATTGTATCGTTATACTGCATCATTTAACTCATTTAACTAGAAAGAGTAACAATAATTAATAAAGTGAGACACCCTGCTTTCAGATTGTAATTAACAAGAATCTAGGATGGCAATTGTTGGCAATTATTGTGGTGAGTGCCCAGTGAGGGTCTTGTCTGCGACACACCAGGCCAGAGCCTGGATGGTCACATGTAGGGTTGAGTAACATGTCCATCTTTAGGGGAACACACAAACAAACGTTATACAGTTAGTTTCTGATTGCAATCAGATTCGAATGTAGAGATCCATCCGATACGATACGGGGAGATCTGGGTATAAAAAAGCCAAGCTTTGGGGCCAACCATGGTCTGATGATCGGGCCGCGAAACAACTCAAAACACTATCCCGATGTCGAACGCTTCCTCACCTTTTGATTGGATGTGGATATTGTGTGATTCATCAAATTGATAGCCCACGGGACTCTGAGTCGATAATCCAAATAGACTAATTATCTTTATTGGCCTGTTGGGCCCTAACCTCGACGTGGTGGCTGGGCCGCTGGGGTGGCTGGGAAACGTCACCCAACACCATGACAGCCAAAAAGTCGCTGGGCAGCGATTGTAAGCCTTCAAGAACCCCTTCGCACCTGCAGCGCCAGGTCTAGGAATGCTTCTGGATTAATTACCGTCGCGCGTGGGTTTCATATCCACATTCCAGGGCCACCATGTTGAACCCGACTAGAAACCTCAGCCTGCGCAACGTTAATTGTACGTGCATATAAATCCCCCGCCCCATTGCCAATTCAAATGGCAAGAATCCCCACAGCTCACCGAAGCTTCCATGTCAACTAATTCTTATACAGCAAGCAAGCCCCAGCTTGCTCGAACCGAATCAAGACAATCCGTGGCTGCATCAGACGACTACTATTCATTCTCTGATCGAGCTTCAGCTACATCTAGTCCTGATAGCCGGGTAACGGTTATGCGATTCAGGACTGCGGACTCTCATCATTCATCTCAACCACCTTCACCCACAATGCCCCAACCACAGTATACCGAGGATGATCTTCCATCACGACCACCAACAGCCAGCACAGTCCGCTTTGAAGATCGAGTGACTCACATTTATCCTCGATCTGAAGACGAGAGATCTGATGACACTGCCCGCCGAGTACCGAGCGACTACACAGGACCAACCCCCACTCCAGGCTTGGACGACTCCTCATATGTCCGATTCGCAATTAACCAGCTCACCCATGAAAGAGCCCGAGGAATCCAAAGGCACGACTCTGTCTCTACCACGACCACTGGGAATTATCCGACTGATCAGTTGGTATGGGATGAGGGACTTGGTTATTTCACTCGCACCCGCACCCCAATTCGACATGATACGCCCCCTGTGAGACCGTCATATACATCTCCCTCGCCACAGGCTTTACCGCAGAGGCCAGCCTCTGTGGACCCAGAGTCCTTCATGGCCGTTGACCCGCCAGAGCAGAGCTTGTTATATCCTCCCTTGGACTACTTGCCTCTTGCTTTGCGGCCGTGGACTTTGGCGCTGACTATGCTCTGTTCTCTGCTCATGATTGCTGCTATAATCTTCTGCAATATATGGTCCCGCCGTCATGACGGGCTGTGGGACTACGAGCGTCAAGGCGGCGGACGGTATTTTGTCCTTCAATTTTTACCGCAAATCCTGGCCACGCCGATTATCATTTGGTCGTTTGTCATTCAAGCTGCCCTCTACCGCATTGCACCCTTTTCTATAATGTCCGCGGAAAGACAGGGCGGATTGGTCATGCATCGCCTACCTATCCTCTCAAAAAACTTCGTTTTCCCAGATTTCTCCCACTTTCAACATGGTGAATCGTTGTTCGGAATCTCACTGTTTACAATCTGGCTTTCCAACTTCTTTGCCATTCCTCTTCTCAGCTGTCTTTTTCAGGCGAAACACTACATTATTGACGGACAGGGTGTCTGGAGATGGGCGTCCGTCCAGTCTGTGGGCTGGACATTGGTGGCACTATATGGCGTTTTGACCATTGGTCTGATGTTCTTATTCCTCCGATTCGTCCGTAGCTGGTCTGGCTTGATGTGGGATCCCGTGAGCTTGGCAGATTTGATTTCCATCATCCAGCGATCGAACATTCTCCACGATTTCGAGCATTCAGAGACAGTCCCTTCCGTGCGGGAGTCACTGGATTCCCGGATCCTTCGACTGGGCTACTGGAAACTCTCAAGCAAGCCCGAGATATTTTACGGCATCGGCGAAGTTGATGCTCCCGTGCGCACTCCATCCTTGCATCAAACCGGCAAAAGAGAGAACCAGCCACATGGACTTGCTAAGGTCTGCTTCGATGTCGAACACAATGGTGGGTTTGCCAATGATCAACTGGATCACCATCTCTACTCGCCAATCGCCCGTTACCGCTGGACACCGTGGTTTTTGAGAAAAATCGCGGTGTTCGTTTGGGTTGCCATCGTTTTCGCCTTGTTCATAGCTTTCGTCGCAGTCAGCTTCATTCACAACGGCATTCAAGGCGGCTTCCCTCCCAAACTTCCAACCCTCCCATCGACAACTGCATTCTCCTCCTCGAATTTCCTCTACAGCTTTGTCCCCGCACTTATCGGCAACATCCTCTTCCTCGCTTGGCAACCCATCGATGTATATTTCCGCGCTCTCCAACCCTTCGTCGAGCTGTCATCGCCCACCGGCGCATCCGCGGAACGGAGTGTTCTACTCTCCTACCCATCCTCATACCCACTCCAAGTCACATTCCAGGCCATCATCAACGGCCACTTCAAAGTTGCCTGGATCTCTCTCATGAGTCTGGTATCCGTTGCGATCCCGATCCTCGCCGGCGGAGTCTTCATTGCCCTCTGGTTCCCCTCCCACAACGATATCCGCATTTCCGCCTTGATGCCGGCATTCTACGCATTGGTTGCCTTTTGCGGTTTATATGCTGTGTCTTTCCTGGCCATCTGGCCAGGAAAGACCCGCTACCTGCCGCACGACATAACCACCTTGGCTGATCTCATGAGCTATCTCTACCAGTCACCACTTCTTTCGGACAAGATCCTGCGCGAACCCCGAAGCAAGACGGACCTTGTCACTCGTCTTATCATTGCCCCGCCTTCAGAGCGTGAGCAGCCTCGGTATGGATTTGGAATCTATATTGGCCGGGATGGAAAGGAGCATCTTGGTATTGATCGTTTCCATCGCCCCGGTCGAGCTGATATGCTCATTACCACGAGCACCAAGGAATGATTTCGCTGTCGATGTCTATCCTGTCCCACGATTCCTATTTATCATGATTTGCATTTCTATTGAGCGTATTGATTGTTATCTCAAGCGCACCGATTTACGAACATATGTGATTCAACGTTGGAGTTTTTGATTCGGTTTTGCGATCTACTCTTGTTGATATTCTGACTGCATTTCAGGCGTTATTATCACACTTTATACTGCGAAGACTTCTGTTTCTATTACCATTAATCCTGGCTGCTATATAGGCCATAATTTATCGCATTGCATTGATTACAATACAAAGAGCACAAAGCACGTTTGAACTTAGCTGTAATCGAGTAGAAGTTCATTGACCAGTTGGCCCGTTGGGCAATTGACCAGTTGACCAACGGGAGAAGGCCGTAGAGAAGCCTCGGTGGAGAAAAGAATCGAGTCACGTGGCGGTGATCTGCCACCGTCTCCACTTCATCGCGGATTTGCTTCATCTTCAACGACCGACCAATCGCCCCACGCAGCCATAAGATCCTACAATATCTTGTGGAAACAACACCAACATATCCAGTCTACCACCCATTCGTCCAAGCCAAAAGTCCTGACCCCCTGGTCACTTATCGATTCCCCGGGACCTGTCAGCACCACCACCACAACACAACCCCCAACCCCTCACACACACAGACACCGCGCATAGCAATGGTGTCACTATTTGGCTGGGGCTCAAGTGCCCCCTCCCCAGAGTCTAATCAGACACCACCGCAAGAAAAGCCAACCGAACAATCTCAAATTCCCGCTTCACCGCCGCCGCAAACACAATTAGCGCAACCACCAAAACCGAAACCAAACACGAACCTCAAACTCCTCTTCGGAGGCATGACCTTTTTCGCACTCTCGGTCCTCGTAACACGGCGTGCATTCCGCAAGAAGAACCTCGCCGCCATGCCACCATACTACACAAGTTCGGTGTACCACCAACCGCACTCGAACTCCGCAGCGGATGCATTCGAAGCTTTGAATCTGGCCACGCTGAATGTTATCTCTTTCGGTCTCATGGCAGGTGGTGCGGTCGGGTATGCGCTAGATATCAATGAGTTGGAGGATTTGCGGAAATTCGTGCGTGCGGGATTGCGGGGTGGGAGTGATACACCTGTGAAGAGTGATGAGGAGCTTGAGATGGAGGTTACGGAGTGGGTTAGTAAGGTCTTTGGTGATAAATTTGAGAAGGAGTTGGAGAAGGAAAAGATGAAGAGGGCTTTCCAGGATGCTCGGGAGCAGGATACGAAATAGAGCTCATGAGAGGCGTATTTTCTCATTTGCAAGACGCTTTTACACAGTCCATATACCATACACACTCTACTCATCATTTCACTCACCGTTTGATACCAGCTGTACATTATGCATTGATTTGGAGGATATAATGGAAAGAAATATGCCAAACAGGCGTTACCATGACTTCTTGTGTGTTGTACTGTATAACCAGGAAAGCAACGAGTTCTTGTTGTTAGTGGTGAGTATCCGGGTGGTGCGACTTATCGACAAGCGACGGTCGACAGCTGGCGAAGTCGGTGCCGATCAACATCGAGAAATACAAGTCACTGAGGCACCTGTCTACAATTGATCTAAGCCCTACCGCTTTACCGAGTACAAATATACGGCCACAAGCAACTACAGGCAACTGTGAAGACACAAAGTAGGAGAAGATAAGATAATCTTGTACCTAGCTAAACATAAAAGCAATACCAATGATCCAACCAGCAACAGCGAAACGGATACAGAGGTGAACAGTCGGACATTGTCTCAGCTAAAAGGTCTCCGGGGTCAACTGGATTGCCCGGATGACAGATCCAACATGAGATTGCTGATAGCCACCTCCTCTGGTTCGAATGTCCACCAGAGCAGCCAAAAAGGGCAGAGGGTTTACCATAAATGGTGAATCGAGCGGCCACCGTAGCCGAAAGCGAGTGAAGAACTCCACAAATCCCTCAGAAGTGATCCCTTCTTGGGGGATATTCTCATAGTTCTCAGTGAGGAGCCCTAGGAAGTACCGGAAATACTTGTATTCTTCGAAGTTGTCAAAGTATAGACTTCCAGCAAACAACTCCAAACAGCATCTCATTCTCTGAGTCGGCATCGGGCAGCCTGAACCAATGCCAAAGAAATCCAGATTCCCAAAGGAGCGCATGGGCTTCGTGAACCGTGCTGTGTAAATGTTCAGCCTGGTGTGCTTTGATTGGCGAACGATAGGCAGGACGGCATTGGCCTCATATTGGCTGACAATGACCAGATCATTGTTATGCACACTTGAGAGAACCCAATGTGGAGGTTTGGAGAACTCATCTTCCATATCATGCTCACGTACTTGCACAGTCTGAATAAAGTCCCATGATGAGTAGAGCCCAGGCCCTAACCCGTTTGGATATTGAGTGTCACCAACAGATGTGTTGGCTAGGCCTTCGAATGCCAAAGTAAGGGCAGATCGGGACGGATGATCTCCAGGGAACTTGCCGAACTTGGCAAAATATTCGATGTCCTCGTGAAGTCGATGCTGGTGAGGAATGTAATTTGGGGGTCTGGCGACCTGTCGTTCTCGCTCCACTTCACATGCAATCTCTCTCTCTTGCTCCTCGTGAAGATAAGCAGAGCTCACGCTCTGGCCTGTAGTAGAGCGTAGAGCGTTCAATAGCACACGTACATCTTCAATATTCGAATCATTGGGCGCTGTGTCGTCCAAGACACTCAATCGGTCAGCATCGGAAGGTAAGTAGTGCTGTAGGAGCGTTTTTGCCTCGGGTTCCTGCATAGAGACTGCTACCTGCGTTGAGGCGTTGCTCTCCTTCACAAGCAAATCCCAAAGAGCGATCTTCCGATAGTACTGGAGTCCTTGGTTGGCCCAAAGCGGCCGTAGATTGTCTAAAGCATCGCATGTCTGGAGCATGGACCACCTCAACACATCTGCCGAAGTGAAGTCACGGTCAGATGAGATCCCCAACTGGGACCTCATATTGTGACTCACCTCGGGGGGCACCAGAAACAGTAGTGACTGGCGCTTCGCGAGGCCACGGAGTCTATTACAGGCTTCAACAACGTCAGTAACATGTTGATATAGAGACCATCGATACTACTTACCTTGTACAAGCTTGTCCTTTGTTAGTCGTGGCCCTAGGGTGACCGCAGCTCGGGTCGTGGGTGGAAGCTTTAAGTCAACACCCCGCGAGTGGTGTTGGTCAAGGAAAACCAAGCAAGCTCCCAGTCTTTGCCGGAATGGAGATGACAGAAGAGTCTCGATAAGTCCGTCGCGATCAATCACCATGAGCTCGTCATTTTCGTTGAAAAAGATGGCTGCTTGAACCTCGTCCACGGTCGTTATTGACAGCCATTTCTCGGCAACTGATTGGTTTCCTGCTTCCAGAATTTGGGCACCAACATCGATCAAGACTCGTACAGGCTGGGCTGTTGATGAACGTTCACCACAAGATAGCACAAGCTTCAAGAGCTGATCGACACCGAGCTGGTGGCCCTTTTCATCCTGCGCCATGACACACTGCCTGTTGCAATCTCGCAGCAAATAGCCGAGAACCATAGCATTCGTGTGCAGGAGATCAGGGAGATCCCGCTGGCAAATCGAAAGTGGCAGAAGAGAACGGTTATCGTTTGTCCCGCTGAAGCCAGTCGTCAATTGCAGACCTCGCTGTGCAGGGATATCCCATGCCGAAGACGAGAGCTTCCGTGGGAATTCCTTTGCTTCTCTGGAGAAGACTACCCGAGAGAGGTAAAAGTCAAGTATCTCTTTTTGGTAGCGGAGAATTGGAAACAAAACCTTCTTGAAGGCCATGCCATCCTCTAGATTCACGCCGGAATATGTTCGCAGGCTGAATGGCAGATCATGAACACATTGGGCGACCCAGTTGTGGTACACCGTTGAAGGGTCATTCTCTTTGGCCAAAAGCAAGAAGCAAGTTCTCAGCTGCTTCTCTTGCAGCCCCTCATAGTAGTAGCTGAGACATGTCAGAGTTACTGCGACGTCAGGATGTCCAAATTCCGCATTATCAGACGGGACACCCTTCGCACGATATGGCACAGCCATAAAACACCGCAATGGGTGAAGACCATACTCCACCAGCCAACGTTTATTGGCAAGTGAAAACCTGAGTAAGCCATATGCAAAGTGCCCTCGTAGAACAAGCAGCTTGGTGATAAATACACCATCCTTAAATTCGCCACGAACGGTCGCTTCATCCTCCTTGCTCAGCTCGAGGTCTTTGATGAATTTCAATGCGCTGCTTTTGACCTTTGTAGTCCATTGATTGAAAGGTAGACCAGGGATCCCGTTCTCCGAGATTTCCTGTAGGATATAACGCAATAGTCGCCCAATGGCATCATCTTCCAAGAACCGCAGAAGCGGATAGCGATAACCTGTCTGATCCACCTCAATGCAATTCGGATCATCTTGATGCAGGCGTTTGGCTTGTGTCGATACCAGGCGAAGCAAGTCTTGTGTTGTTTCCCAACGACTGCTGAGACCGTCCATGGATTTCTGCGTACCCATGGTGTAAACAAGCTGGAATTTGGTGTCTAAAACCTCGTCGCTTTCATCAATGATATCTCGACAGTGTAGTTGTAACCAATGCTCGAACTTGATCAGTGAAGGGTAGATATTCGGACTGCTTTCTGCAGCATCAAGACCAAGGAGCCTGAAAGACAGTATGTGTTCAGGAAGGGCAATGAGAATGCCTCTGTCTCGAAGACACTTGCCATATATTGATTGGAGCTTCCTGATCGTCGAATCGTCGAGTTCGGTATTGCGGGAGACAGGTATATGGTAGATACGACGATTGATCAAGCCTCCAAGTCGCTGAGAGAGATCATTGACACTTTGGCGCAGTAAAGGTTTCAAGACAATAAGCCTGACAAGGATTCGGCCATCTGCCAGGTGCACAACCGTCATCCCCGTGATAACGGTAGTTTTACCCTCGCCCATGTTAAGCTGAAGGAGTGCATTTCCATCACAATCTGGTTGAATTATCTGACCTGCAACTTCCACTTGACGTTTCCGAATTGTAATGTTTTGTTCAAGTTCAAGAAGCAGCCAAGTTGGATGAGCCGAGGGTTCCCACCCCTCATAGCCTGGATTCTCTGCCTCCTTGAAGAACCCATCGAGGTCTCGCATATCAATACAAGAGATTAATCGCTCGCAGCGGCGCAAGGTGGAAATTGATTTTCCGAATGCCACAAGCAATAACCTCCATTGATCAGGAATCATGGTCCACTGGTCAGAGCCCAAGACGGCCAAGACAGACCAAACCGTGATGGAGGGACAGACAGTATCAAACCCTACTATGGAGTAACCGTCTCTCAAAGCTGCAATAATGACACCCCAGAGTGTGTCCCTCTGAGTCTTGAGGCCCTGTTGATGGGAGACTATCTCACTCCGGGCTTCCTGCCAGTTGAAAGATACACATCCTTCTGGGTCCTCCGCTTCAGCTGCGGAGTTCGAAAGAGCCTCCAAGGCCTGGATGCTACGAGCAAGCTCATTGCCATAGCCTTGCTTGCATATGTCCGAATTTGTTTTGAAGTACTCCGCCAGTGCCCGAAGCTCGGGCGTCGGCCTCGGAATCAACGACGCCCCACGATACGTAAATGAGACACACTCAGCCTCATGACCCATTAGCGGAGACTCTTGAATGAGCTCAATAATTCCGGGAGGCTTGAATAGGCTGTGCTCTACATCATTGCAACAAGTGGGGGGATTGGAAATGGCCTGCGCCTTAGCCTTCCCATTGCCCGAGGGAGGGGCCTTGTCCTGCACTTGTCGTAGGAAGCCGAGAAATTCACCGTTTTGAACCCAGGTGCTACAAAGAGATTGACATTTTTGCTGTGCCGCTTCTCTCCTAACCAACGAAACTGAGCTTTGAGATGGAAGTCCGGGAGTTCTGGTAGGCCACTGGTCTTGTATATGGCGTCCACAATACCCTACAACCTGGCGTCTCCGATCAGCCCACTCCTTTCTAGCATCTGTGTCCGCCTGAAATTGGTTTGGTCTCGTGTGGTCGGTGCTAGGTGTGAACGGCGTATAGCACTCCCAGATTGCGTCTTCAATCTTCCGGATGTCGAAGTCCTCACCCATCGTCAGATCGAAAGAAGTCACTTGACTGCATGGCCAAGGAATCTCACGGCAACTTGCTGAGAAAGCAATCGAGAGTAATTGGAGAAGGACAGATTGATCAATGATGCCACCGAAACCGACCTTAGCAAAAACGGAGATTAATGAATAGGTGTCACGAGATCGAGATTTCGAGCGACAGAAGTTGTAGAGGGCTACCCAGTCACTTTCGGTCGATAAGCCCATAAGCTGAGAGCAGGAAGAGTGGCTCAAATTGGGTGAGTGGGTTGAGACATTTGTGAATTTCCTCATTGTCTCCACAACGTTAGACGAATGATTCACTGCTGAAGGCCAGTCTCTGACCAGAGCTGTCAATTCATACACACTGTTGCTGCGCGGGCTCCTGATGTCCTGATCGCGGGAGGGGTATGTTTTCTTCGTGCATAGAGACGGAGGCCCACCGACCTCAGCGCATCTCAATTGCTCGTTCCGACATCGAGCACGTTCCAGTAGATTCATACTGCCTGCATATGAAACCTGCCTTGCCCTCGGCTCGGTGACGTGAAATGACGAGAATTGATCAGCGAACTCGAGGATTTCTAGCGACAAGGGCTGGAAATCATCATCTTGAGCGAGTTGACCTAGGTTACCAGACCATGCAACTGTCTGCATCACACGGGGTTTTGGAGGGTAGAATACACGAACTGGGGTGAGGGCAGCAATTCTTTTGAGGTTCTTGATGCAGTCACTGTTGGGTGGAAACGAGGATCTCAAACACCCTTGACGTAGGATACGGATAGCCTCCGCGGTGCCTGAACGGTGAGTGAAGTGATCAGGGACAGGAAAGGACGTGAGCGCATGCAGATATGCTTGATATAACGCCGCCAGGCTGTCAGAGCATCGCAGAATTTGGAGGTGAGTGTCCATAGAATAAACCATGTACTTCACACGATCCCCTTCCGGTCGTTTGACTTTCAACGAAACATGGTAACCCTTTCGAGTAACGACAGGCTCGCCGTAGGGAATAATCACACATCTGGCGTTCGAAGAATCAATGAGGACAAGTTTATCCACTAACCCATACAAGCAGCCGATCCTTTGCGTCGAGTCAACGAAAGCACCAAACTCCTTGGAAACCACACGTCCGTCGCTGTTCACAAAGAACTTCAACCGCAGGCGGCTCAGTTCTGCCTCTAGAGTTCCCGTGGATGTCTGCACCAGAATAATTTCTTCGGTCTCGTCAAGTACATTCAGTATACAGTCAAGTAGCGCGAAAGGTCGGCTGCGTATATCGACCAAGGTCTTCGACCCCGCCTGCATGAGCATTTGATCAGGCATTTGAGGATCAAATGACAAATGCCAATTGCTTTCGCAAGATTTCCAAGGCTGGTTCAGTGGACGAAACACGACAGCGCCAGTCTGCAGATTCAGCCAATGATAGTACTCAGTGACAAATGGTCTGGGGAAGTCCTCTTTGAACACGGCATGCGGTATGAGTTGCAGTATTTGAGAGCCCTTCCGAGTTTTGATGAAGAACTCCCCTGCTGCCATCCCGAAATGAACCTTTTCACTTGTGTGAGTGTGCCATGGTCGAATCAGTGGGGTTCAGAAAGTCTTACCTCAAAGCCTTCAATATTCTGTGACGATACAAAGGACGCCCCAGGTAGATTTGATGGGATAACCGGAAGAGATCTCTATTTATTCATCAGATAGGTTAACACAGGTGTGTACGTTCGATCATAGTTCAGGTAGACTTACCTGTCCGAAAAGCCCTTGATAAAGGGGGTCACTCAGATAGCTGCGAGGTAGCTTTCCTGGAGGGGTTCCATCTACCAGGATCTCCCCCGTAATATAGTTGAAATGGACATGCTGTGAAAAGCCTTTGAAAGTACTTCCAGTTCTGGTAGCTACCCAGGCGTTTGATCCTTCGCAGATACTCCAGGGCTCCGATATCTCAAGGCAGCTGATGCCACGGTGTATAGCTTCATTCAGTCCAGACGGATGTGCCATGATCAAGTTTTTCACGCTTTCTCTTATCAAAAACGCGATCTTTTGCGAGTTCTCTACCATAGTTTTGACCGAAGCGGGAAGTTCGCAAGACTCGGAAGCTGCGTTCTCAAAGAGCAGAAGCGAGGATCGAACAAAGCAAAAGAGGTCCTGAGAGCTGCTCATAACTTGAGAGATATTAGTCCGCTCGACATCATAAGTCGTTTGACAGATTGATGCAACTCGAAGTATGAGCTGCTGCTTTCTTCCAACATCCTCCCCTTGATCGGTCGAAAGAGCTTTGCTCAGGCTGTCACACCATTCCATTGCCACTTGCCGGCACTGTCTCAAAAAGTTGATAACCCTCTCAGGAGACGGCGATTCATTTGACAAAGCCAATATACGGACCGCAAGTGTAACGACAAGCTCGAGCGTCCAATACTGGTTCCAGTTTCTCTCTATAGCCTCCAGTATGTCTTGCAAGGTTTGAAGGAGACGGTCTCCAAAACCAATATCCTCAAAGGCTCTATGGGTAACTCTTCGAATGGAGTACGGATCGGAGGATGGTGTTCCAAGCTCCCAGGCTGTCTGCTGGACGAGGGAGACAACAGACTGTTCATTCAATGATAAGGCTGAAGAAGCCAGCTCCCGCAAGATGTTATGCCATTGCACATTTTCACCAGAACGAAGGCATCCGTACGCAATGAATTCATCTAAGTCAAGCATTCTATCGCAGTCTGCCTGTCTCGCGAGAACTTCGTTCTGGTGATGGGAAGTAGAATCGACGGTATATTGCAATTTGGAACATGGCCCGGAAGGTAGTTGAATAGTGCACATGGTCTTGACTGTTGATTCTTGGGTCTGATTGCTGACCCAGGCAGATTGGCTACTGTCAAGAAGCCTCAACCGAAGCGCGTTCTCTGGGCTGACTACCTCAAATGTCACATCGACACTGCGATGTTTCCGATAATGACTAGTGCCCCAGGGCTTTGTATACGAGGCCAACTCGAGCTTCGAGTGCCGCCTTACCTTGAACTCATTGACTCCGGAGTAGTCGAGCCATTTGTATATCGCGCCGCCTGTCGAGCTTCTCGGCCTTTGTGGCAAGTGATCAACCAGTGTCCAGGTCACATTACGCCAGGAAGCAAACCAAATGGGTATGTCGAGTTCAAATACAGCGCATTTTCGAGCGATATCTTCTGGAGGCAGCGGCCATTCGTAGACTTCAATGGAGAGTTGATTGGCTTTGCCAATGATGGAACACTTTTCACAACCAGCAGTCAGGGAAACGTATCGGCGCCTCCGGATGTAGCCATGATGATTCCGATGCTCCAGTTGCGCTGTCTGGTCTTGTAGCTCTTTGTACTTCGCGTGCAAATCTTTCCATTCCAACCGCTTGCGCTCCCGGAGTTGGGTTGCGTGCTTTTCAATTCTGACTTCGAGCTTTTGGTGATAGTCAGAGCGGTCAAAGTACTGAGCACCAAAGCAATTTGGTTCTGGATCACTGAAGATACTCGGGTAATTTTCAACCTTTCCTTCGTGTCGTGTGCTGAGATGGTGCTCTATATCTCTTGCTCGTCTCATTTCACTCATCTTAGAAAGTAATAATGGTTCGAGAAACCTCCGGGGTACTTCCGGCGAGAACGCCTTCAACAGGGGACAGATTTGGACAGCAATTTTGTCCAGAACAGCCCACAGCTCCACCAGCACCAAAACCATAAGTGACGTGGCCCGTGGATCGGCCTGATACTTTAACTGCGCGAGTGTGAAATATTGCTCAATCGCATCTTCAATCTTAAGACACGCTTGTTCATATTTTGAAGTGGGCTGGGCCTCGAACCAGGACTGCAGATGTTCCTCGACCCATCCCTCAAATTCACCGAGTGCCGCTACCGAGCCGTGTTTCAGAACGGGGAACCCATCGCTCCAACTCAAGTTGATTGTATCAGTTGGGTCAAATTGCGTTCTTCGCGCTTTCTCGGGTGACAAACGCATCTTAGCTTGAAGGTAGGGTCTGGAGTTGACTAGTGACATGTGCAGGTCTTCTGGTGAGGCTGATGGTGGAACAAATGGAATATCAGCCCCATCAGACGCTCCGATCTGGGTCTGAATGCACTTCAGTTTGTCAAGCAAATGGTTACTTGTGGATATCACTTCCTCGACAACAAATGGGAAAACGTCATGTCCCAGCTTAAAGATCCGCCGGCCAAGCCGTTGACGTATTATTGCCCAACAGTCCACAGCATTGGTTGGATCTCCATATCTATTGGCTCCGGCTGAAAGCCTTGCCATGAGAAATAGCATGAAATTCTTGTATTGCACCTGGTCCTCGTTTTCGGAAAAGCAACGCCGCAAGACTACCTGAAGGGCAACTCGAAGTACAAGCCAAGCTGGAGAGCGCCTCCATGGCAGTAGAGCGGAGCACCAGTTGACTTCATCTCGTACGCACTTCAGGATCTTGTCAGGATGTTCATTATGTTCTCCGAGTGCGAGCAGCTCCGTCATCAACCCTTCTGTTATGAGACCTGGATGGGTGGTCTGCCGATGCTCATCCACCTTTGTGTTGGCTTTTGTGGTCTTTGGCAGCATCTCACTAACCTCCTCAGATGCTAGCTGGGAGATGGAGGAGGCCAGATAGGAGCAGAACAAGGTGTCATTGAGTTTGTTCCCGGATAGTGTGACGCTGACTCCCGGGAAGTGGCGTATGAGTGCCCCTGGAGAGGAAAGCACCGGTGCATCTTGGCAAGATACCTCGAAAGCGTCAATGAGGAGGACGTCTTTCTCTCTATCGTAAGAGGCAACCAATCCACAGTTCTGAGCTCGGATATGGCATGCGAGAGCCCCTGGCTAAGTCAGTTCTATTCGTGTCGGGGGATATGTTGTGTGTGGGTAGAACTCAGTCAGGACAGAGAAGTAGCGTAGCTGGACTGCCATCTCCACCAGCCACAACAAAGTAAGATATCCAACTTACCAGCAGATTTCAATTTTGAGAGCTCTATTTCTAGACTCTGCTGTGAGATACCCTGGTCCATGTGCATCTGGAGCCAGCTATCCACTAGATTGTAAGCGAACTCCCATTGGGGCTGTGACTCAGGTGTGAGATTTCGAATGAATTCTTGTAGAACAGCCTGGATAACTGCGACCATGCGGTACTCCAGCTGGGCCAAGTGTTCCTCGGCCTCCTGTGGGAGCTTTTTGGGAAAGAAGATATGATGGAACACAAAAGAGAACAACTCTTCATCGAGATCCATGGCGGGGTGATGAGACATCCTTAAATGCCAGGGAGTTTGATGAGTGAGTGGTGGGTTCAGTGTAAAGATTTTCCAAGAAGGAAGAAGAGAAAGGTGAACAGAAATCTTAAGTATTCTCACTATCAACTGAGTCAAACGTGATTTGATGACAATTATTTTACGATGGGCAGAACAAAGCACGAAGATTTAAGAAGAGAAAGCGCGACCATCATGCCTCTTGAAGACTCCACAGTCCCCAAACATGGGATATCTTTTGCTAGTTTGCTAATGATTGGTCATGTGATGGAGGTCTAAAGAAGGACTTGGGAGACTTCCCCAGATAACTAGTTCCTCCACTGTTGAAAACCAGGCCTTTTCCCGGAGTATATCTATACCCACCTACAGTAGGTCCCTAGGCTTATAGGAAGGGGAGACAGTTGACGAGAATACATCTGCAAATGTCGACTCTGGTGTTGTGGTCGTGGTGAATCCGGAATAAGGAAAATCACCTATAGTCATTAGTAGACGAAACGGTAGGCGTAGGCTGCATGAATCAGAAACCTGGGGTAGTCGATTCTGCACGAGTCGAGGGTGCACGTACATCAACGTCTGGATCTTATGTCTCATCACCGTTTTCCTAAAAAGCCCGATGACATCCAGACATCGATCTGGGAATGCTTTGGCAGCAACCTCCTGCTCATGTTGGGTGTAGCGTGGCATCTTCGCTTTCACTGGCTTTGCACCTGACTCCGAAAGATCGGCCATTGGGGGTACCGGGTATGTTTTCCCTCTGGCCTTAAACGCCCTTTCCAGTGCATATTTTAGATCAGGAAGAGCAAGCCTTTTGGAGCTAATCCTGGCATCGAATCGATGGAGTACCCAATCAAATCGGTCGGCCTGATATCCTGTACCGAACGTGCAAAAGCACCCACTGCATCCACCGCGCCCAGCACGGCAATGCAACGTTTTCTAGCCACCGTCGTAATGGCTTGCATCAGCTCATGCTAGCCTAGCTCCAGGAGATATTGCCCCTCCTCGACTTGTCGAGGCACTTGTTGAAGTAGAGGCCTCGTAGTGGCCACCATTTGGGGTGTTGGCAGTACCAATCGGGGCTTCTCATAGGGCTGACAACCCTTGATGACTCGCTCGGGTTGCTCCCTTGGTCCACCTGTTAGAGCTCCTCCTTGGTCTCCATCAGGATCCTTAGGCTTTGGCTTCGAAACCAGATCCCCCTTTAGGTCTTCATCTCTCTTCTGCTGAAGTTGCTCCGGAAAGGTAACATCACGCGACTCTACAGTCTCCCCAGCGTCTCCAAGACGAAGACGCAGAGAATCTCTCACATTGAATGCGATACACTCAGCGGCGGAGGTATTGTATAATGGCGTTGGGAGGAAATTAACGGTGGCTTGACGACGGAGTCGACTTGTACTTGAAATGGTTGGGGTTTCCAATGAGCCTTCTCTTAATACCGGTCTGGAGTACGTCACCTCGTGCAACTGTGATAATCTGTCAGCATACAGCCCGATATCGACATAGAACAGTCAGGTGTGGCACAGTACCAGGTTCATCATTGATAGTGTAGTGGGAGAACCGCGCCACCCAGAAGATCGATGCCTTGGAGCCTCAGGCCGTGAGGTTAGGTCATACCCTAGACTACGTACAAGCTCATCTTCGCTAGGAGGATCCGTATGGAACACACATCTCTTGCCTCATGATCAGTCTGTCACTGTCAGACTGTCAGTATGATTTCTATCGGTTCCCAGTAGGTCACAGGACGTCCCCTGCTACTGTCTCCTGTGCTGCAGTCCTCCCATCGTCCTGTCTGCGACGTCAGACCGCCATCGCGCTCTTCCCACTTCAATAGGTAACAGGACGTAACCGGCCCTTGCAGGACATGCTACCATTTGTTGCCAGTGGTGCATCACGATAGGTGAAGAAAGGCCGGCGGAAGTAAGATATCAGACTAGCGACATCGCTAGACGACTCAACATGGCGACGATCGAGGATGACGACGAGCAAGAGCAGGTCCCGGGTGCCCAGTACCCCCGCGGGACGGTCGCACAGTCGCACGGTCGCACCCCATGTGGGATACAAAAGGGAGTTTCAGCAGGAAGGTCTGGCCAATCCTGCCAATCGTACGGACCCAGTCCATGATCCCTCATAGATTCCGATAGTAGTCTATGATCCCTTCCATTGTTAGGTTGCTTACACAACCTCGGGTTGGACCACATTTCCCGCAGAGAATAGAACTCTGCAGGGTAAGAAGTCGTCCGATGCGGAAGACTCGCAGCAGTGTCCGGGACATAATTCCGCACACTCTCAGTGACTCTCTCGAAAGCACCGTCACGAGATGCAGCAGTGCCGGACGTGGGAAACAGCAAACAACTTTTGTTTCCTGTTGGCTATCCTCCACAGCTTGTAGAGGACAGAGATGTGTGGGAGAGAGAAGAGAGAAGAGAGATGTGAGATGTGAGAAGAGAGATGTGAGAGGCATGAGGGTATATAAATAAAGGTTCAGTGGAGGATCTCATCTCCTTGATGGGACCCAGGAAGGCGCGACGCCCAGATCAAGAACCTTCTAGCCTACCTAGCTAGTGATTCTCCCCATCGATATCTTTGACTGTCTCACATATTGAGCAGCATAGGTAGCGTCAATTGTCGTTACCTCAATCAGGAACATCCCCAGACTTCGTACCTAAGATGATATACGGTAAGAGGGTATATCTAGGTGGTTTGAAAGAATATATAATGGATGGAAGTGGATGGAACCACCTGCCTCCTAGGTTGGTAGGAGGTAGGAGGTATTGCCACGAGAGGATGGTGCTGATGGGTAGTTGCAGAAGGAGAAACGACCTAGGCTATGATGGATGTGGGGAGCAGTATATATACGAGTTGTCATGTGATATCAAACGGCTTTTATTGCGGACGTTCCAATAGTCCCAGGTCAGATGGAAGACGATATCTCTCACTCAAGAAGCGAAAGATGTAGAAAGAGAAAGGAAGGGAAGTCCAAATGCCATAACTCTCTTTCTACGGCTTCATGATGCACCGTTCCGGCTAGAAGAAACTGCTTGCTTTGCTAATTCAATGCTGTTACGTTCTAACAGGAAACACATATCATGGAGCATTCGGCGGAGCACCGAAGTCGAAGTCGTCGGAATCATCGTCGAACTCGTCGTCCTCCAAAATCTGTAGCTGGGAATTAGTTGACTATTCGTTGCACAAGCAAAATCCAAGAGAGATCACCGCCACTGTCACGATCAAAAACAAAATAAGATTGTTGTATCAATTACGAGCCAGAGTATGGAGCGTGGTTCACCTGATGAAGGAAGGCGCAGGCATTGAACGTAAAAGAAAAGGTTGCACCACGCTCTTCTGCAATGTCCGAACTATTCGCACGTTGTCTGTTGTTCGCGAAAATCAAAGTGGAGGCTTTAACTGCAACAACTTAATATACGCTATTGGAGCTGGAATTACCGCGGCTAAACTCCCGAAACTTAACTAGCCTGTTTGTGAGATTAGAGACGACTGACAAGCACACGAGAAACAATCTATATAATTGACTTCGATGAGCCCGGTTCGCGCGCAATACGGTCTTTACGAATCAGTATGCGATATTATGCTGGAGGCGGTTCGAATCGTCGACATCTTGTAAAACCAAGGAAAGATTAGACCAGATGCGTCGGCGTCTAAGTGTAATGCTGCGCGCTTTGATGACATTCTCCCATGTCGTGAATGGGTTGATCTGGAAATCGTCCAGCCACTCATGCATGATAATGAGGTTTCAATAGTGCCTCAAGGAGAGGCTAAGTTTTGCCCGACGAGGAAGGTGCCAGTCCGAGCTGCACGGAAGCAGTAAGTACATGACCTCGTTGATGCCATGGATAAAGCTGGCGCTAGAAATGGAAGACATGTATACATCGTATCACAGCTGAAGTCGGCCTGAGGTGACATCCTTCAGGGAAGTTCATATGATCGCTCACTCGGCGCGCTAGCAGTCTCCTTCGTAGACTCCGCAATGTTACAGCACATTGTACGAAGAAATATAGACGACAACTCATCATTATTACCATGGAGGACAAGAATAGAAACACAAACGGCAAGTTAAAAAAAAAAAAAAGAGCGATAGGGGAATTAAACGCCAACTCTACAGAATCAGATGAGCAGGGGACAGACGAAGAAAAAAGGCTAGTGGACAGGGGACTGCACTGAGAATGATAACAAAGAATAGAAGAGATAACCTCAATAAAGATACGAGAACACCTCCCAGTGACTTCCCTATGCATGCATCAAACGACTTGGAGAGCACAAAATTCAGCGCTAAATACCCCAGTGCAGACCAGAAAGCAGACAACTTGGGTTCAAAGAATGGTCCGACTGGCCTGGCTGCGGCTAGCCAGACTAGCGCGGCTGGGGCTTGTGCGACTAGGCTCGTCTTCCTCGAGAACATCGCTCAGACGCGTCGGGTGGCGATGGCGCGGTGTCATGGATTCCCATCCGGGGCCCCAGCCAGCGCCGGTGTAGTCGGCAGTGCCCGGTGGGTATGGTGCTTGCAATGGGGCGGAGGAAGCGGCGGAGGTGTAGGCGCCGTCGTAGTGGCCCTCTACTGGGGAGTGCTCGTACTCCTCGCTTCCCTCGGAGAGAGGCGCGGGCGGGTAGCTGAAAGGCTGGTTATGCGCGTCGTGGGGGTAGTGGGCGTAGTCATCGTCTCCAGCTTCGCTGCTTCCGACATAGGAGCGCGCGTCAGGCTCTGAGCTTGCGGGATCGTGGTAGGGGACAGTCATGTTTTCGTGTTCATAGAGTGTGTCCGGGTAAGGGGCTTTGGAGGCGGGTGGGTCGACCTTCTTGGGCTCGATGAAGGGATCTGAGCCTGTGGGTGACATCGGCATGTCGTCTCCGTAGTATTGTCCGCCTGCACTTGGTGCTGCGGATTTACCTTGGTAGGCGTCAGTGGTATTTGGTCCACTGTGGTATGGGCCTTCGCGAGTTTGCGGACGAGTGCTGTTGTGACGACCCGGGAGGCCAGAGACCATAGGCACAACTTGGACACCGCCGACAAGTGTGGGCTCTCCATTGCGCAGGGAGTTGGTTCGATCCCGTTCCTCTTGCTCGCGACGTCCAAGCTCCTCCCAAGCACGACGTGCTTCCTCCTTGGAGATTTGGAGTTCGCGGCGCATCTCCTTGAGGAGCTCCTCGGCCTTGACCTTGTCCTTCTCGGATTGTTTGGCGGCAGCGAAGGCATCGGCTCGGCCCTGTCGTTCCGCTTTGAGCTGGCGTTCCAGCTCGGCTTGCTGTTCCTTCGCGCGTTCTTGCTCAGCGCGGGTGTCGAAGAACCAGCGCTGGAATTTGCGTTCGGAGGAGGCTCGCAGCCGCTGCAGTTCGACAACGGCATGGAACAGATTAGCACCAGCGGCAGACAGGTCTGTGATCTGTCGAGCAAGTTGTTGGCTGAGTGGATCACGCTCTAGGTCCTCGTTGTTTTGTTCCAGCTTGCGCATCCAATAGCTGGTGAGACCTTCCCAGTGCGAAGACAGGGTCTCCCATCGCTCAAACGCATGGGGGAACCCAGCTCGTTTTGGCTGCTGGAGAGCTTGAGGTGCACCGCTCTGTCCTGTGGATGTGGTCTGGGCGGGTTTGGAGACACCACTCGGTTTCGTTTGAGCTCCAATATTTGTGGCGCTCTGCAAGCGACCGTGCTGAGGCTGCTGGCCAGTTGCCTGTGTCGGTCGTGGCTGGCTAGCCAATGGTGCAGTCCCAGTAGCGGGTTGTGCGGTTTGGTATTCTAATGGTCGACTACTCGGGGCAGCATCCGCTGCTGGTCGGTAACCAGGTGCTTGGCCCGAAGCGACGGGAATTTGGGTCTGTCCTTCGGTGCCTCTTGTTGCTCGTGGGGCCCTAATTCTCGACTGTGAGGTGTTGTTGGCGGCAACGCCGGCAGTGTACTGTTCAGCCTTTGTCTGTTGAGCTTGCGCCTGAGCCTCATTCTGAGCCTGTTGTTCTTGCTCCAAATGTTGTCGTTCCAATTCCTCCTGTTCCGCTTTTCGGCGGGCTTCCCGGTCCCGGCGTTGCCTCATTATATCTGTAGGTGTCCTCACACCACTGGGTGGTTGTGATGTTCCTGAAATAGGGTTCTGAGGAAAACGGGCTCCTCCATTTTGAACGCGGCCATTGCCCACGGGCCCAGCGGGGCCAGCGACGCCTACCATGTCTGACATAGAAGCATTCACCTCGTCCCAATCTGTGGAAAGCTGAAGGGGTCCACGGATGGCTTCTTCGAGGGCGAAAAGGACTGCCGACGCGGTGCGTGACGAGACTCGGGTGGTTCGCTGCGGCCAGTATGATGTATGGAGGAGCTGGTACGGGTCGTCGATCGTAGACCCGTTGTCGTCTGTGTGCGCTTCGGAAAGGGCGGGACGTAGCTCTGCAATGCCACTGGTCGGGGCGTGTTGTACAGGGACCGAGGGCGAGTGCGCTGGCTGAGGACGAGTGGGCTGTGAACTCGGGGCGCCCAAGGATACAGCTCGACGATGAAGGGATTGGGGTTCCGCTGGTTGGCGACTAACACGGCGCAATCGACGCTGGGAGTCAGAAGTGCTGGGTCGGCGTTGGTGATCCGAAGAAGAGGAAGAAGGTCGCTGAACAGTTGGCTGGCGTTGCCGCGCAGAGGTCGTTAACGTGGGTCGGTCGTAAGAGTCGTGAACTTCGTCAGACACTCTTGGGGCGTGTCGAGACACCTCTAAGAATTGTGTATATAGTCGTGAATTGGAAGGCAATGCGAAGTGTTGCGTCACTCAAGCAGTGGATAGCTCTCGAGGATCGCGATCGCAGAATTATCGATCGCGCGAGGCCTGAAACAAGTTGACAGCACCAATGGCTGTACAAATTGAAATTCAATGCACAGCTTAATGCAACTGAGAGGAAAGTAGAAGCAATTCAAAATCAGGAGAGACGAGAGAACGGGGAAAGAATCGAGAGTGTGAGGTGGCTGGTTAATTAGGATGGCTGGGGCCGCCGCAGCTCGAGCTGCAGCGCTCCAAACGTGTCTCGGGGATGAAGCGTCAACTTCAAAGCGCCAGCGGTTATCAACCTGATGAACACAAACGTCAAACAAGAGGGAATAGAGAAGAGAAATACAAAAGCTAAATGCAAATCCACGTTCCCGACCGCAGGAATGCCAGGCTCGGTTCCTGCCCTAATTGAGCTAAATGAGTTCAGCTCTGAAGGGCGAGAGCTCCCAACATCCAATATCTCCAAAATTAGAAGTGCCTAAATAAAATATCAGACTCCGATAATTACTCCAATGCCATTACGGGCCTCTGAAATGTTGCTGCGCAACTGAATTGGGGGAAGCAATATACCTCAATAGTTAGCTGCGAGCTGACCCGATCGCACGGACGACCGGTGCTGTAGACAACCAATTGTCCCAACAGGTAAAATTCGAAGCCCAGGATTTAGGACATTCATACGGTACACATGCAGCACATCTGCATGGACAGTACCTATGGAGGATGAGTCTTAGGGGAGATGGAAGAAGTTCAGAGCTACAGAAGATCCCCGATGGTAACTGAAAATAACCCAAATCTGCAAATTAATGAAACACGAATTGCCAGAACCTTGGAATTGCCCATTTGTCGTGCCACGGTTAGATTTTGAGGCTAGGCACAACAGAGCTAAATAGTAGGTGATGCGCTGGCAGAGAGCGCTAACCTTGGAAGTTGTGTATGTCGGGCAGCTATATATCCAAACTGCAGTCCCGAGGTCAAAATATATACATGCAACCTAGTCGGTCAGATGGATCAAAATACGCATCCCCTTCAGACTGACAAGGCTATTCAACCTGCGTATTGCCATAATTATCTTCACACCAACGGCGCCAACGACTGGGTCAGGATCCATTCGATCCACTGGTTCGCTTCGCGCCGGCGGGTATGATTTTCATGGAACGAACTGGTTTTCCCCACACCAGTACATCATAGTTCGAGGGCCGAGAGGGGTCGTTCGACCCTTTCCTCCTTATTTTCTTGGATCCCGAACTATTTCTCAAGTGTTCATTGCTCACATTTATCGATTGCCTATTTTGATCATGATAGTGATCAGTTGAATGCTATATCGAGTCTATGACATCCGTTCAACTTCTTCCCCGCAATGGCGCTAGTTCCCGAGAGGTCCGAACACAAAAAGATGACGAAGCATAGAATGTACCTGGGCCGAAATCACGTGGGATGTTGGTTTCAATTGATTTCGATGTCAGTATTCTTTGTAGAACCTAATAGATAGGCTGGTATCTGAGTGATGTCTAAAGTAATGAAAACTAGGTCGATGGAGACGGGACACATAAAACCCAACGTTGCCGTCAACGCTCGATTGTTGTTCAGACTCGCCAGTTGACTACTAGACTCGCCAGTTGACTGTTAGGCTCGCCAGTTGACGCTTCCATGACTGTCGGAGCCGAACGGTTACATCTCTCACCTTATTGAGCAAGCCAGTCGCCCACACCCGTAATTGCAGCATACAAGCCTGACTACAGGAGCAACCCGGGAGCGATCCCTAGCGACCCTCTACCCAGGCAACAGTGAACACCATACATATGCAATCAGTGCAGCCAACTAGTAGTCTAGCTCAACCCCCTAGCTATCCCAATTCCAAATTTCCAATTACCCACGCCAGGAGGCTCGAATACAACCAGAGCCGACCGAGGCATAACGAGACACAAACAAACAAACACGAGCCCAGCAGCACGAAGACATAGAGAGTACGATCTACATACACAGTGAACCCCTAGGGTGGAAGGCCTGGAGCCTAGATCTCACTAGACAAAAAAGCAAGGGCACCAGAGTCGGGACGGGAAATTTGACACCTCAGTCGGGCCGGGGAAGACGCTCCGCGGATGATCGAATGCAAGCCGGGAAGGCCATTATGAGGGAGCTCCGACCCAGTATTGAGGTAGGTTTCAAGCATGCCTTGCAGGCTGCATCTCAGATCGGGAGCTTAGGCTCGGGGATGTTTCAGTTTTCGCCCTATCCCGGGCCCTGGGATTTGGGGGACTATTGGTCATACTGCGGGTTTTGGAAGAGACTTCCGGGGATCGAGGGGTGGGATTAACCTCTAGAAGGGATCGAGGCTAGCTGTCTCTGGGTTTCGGTTTCATTGGGCTGATTATTGTTCTTCATTTAGATCTGGGCTATTTCAGTCTTCAGATGAGTTTTGGAATTGGGTGGTCTGTTCTACTGTAGGAGTCGAAGTACCCTCGATGGCTGGCTGGTCTTAATCCTCGGCGCTTAGGTGCTTTCTCCTTCCAAACACCCGATTCCGTGGGGAGTAGAACTTTGGTGGATGGGGTTATGTTGCACTCCAGATGCTGGTGGCCTGCGTCTGTTTTGCAGAACTGTAGGATGTGAGTTCTACACGGTAGGCATATGCCTGCAATTGAGCACCGAGGAAAGAATGTGACCCGGAGGATGGGAGGCGAGGGCTTCTGCAGCGGCTGCGTCCGCGGTGAGTTAATCGCTCAAAGATCGCGAACAGTGCATGAAATGGACGATTGAGAGCAATTGTGTCTGCCGATCAGGGGTACTACTGGGGATGCGTCGATACTTATACATAGAGGTACATGGCCCGGATGGCTGCACTGCGGCTGTCTGTATAGCGGGATGCATGTAAGTTAGGATTTTCAATGGAATGTGGGGTTTATTCTGTGCATGTATGTCTCGGGTTTGTTATTGTTTTTCTTCTTTTGGATGAGGGTCTCCAGGGTCTCGATAACGACGTGAATCTGATTGTGTCGAGACACAATGTGTTGTAGACCTGTAGAGAGAGAGTAAGAAGAATCGGACCCTACACATTGACAGCTTGACAGCAAGGCCAGATCACAAAAGTATCAGAAAAGACTTTTTCGATGAGCCAATCAATGGCTGCGGAACCCCCACAGAATCATAGACGCATAACATTTGTGATATGTCAACTGTCAAGACGGGTGGTGCCCATGTCCACCGATCATGGCTGTGTTGCAGAAACTTAGGATGGGTCATCCGGGTCAGTCTCATTCGTAGAGATCTATACTCATGTGGGATTCAGAGTCAATATAGAGAGGTATTAATAGTCGAGCGGACATGACCCGGTGAAGTGGGAGGCGTCAAATAGACATGTTAATAGTAGAACATTCATGAATTGCTCAGTGCCACAACCAAAACAGGTAGAAATGGCATTCTAGTAACTAACTGGCCAATGATCTATACAAAGTAGATGTACAGAGAAAATAAGAACCAAGACACAAGCCCATGACGTAGGTGCTGGTTGAACAATTTGCGGGATGAAACGTTGAAGAGGCTCCAAAGTGAACGCTAGGCCTTGAGGAATGGAAAAGTCCTCGTACTCTTTACACATCTCTTTCCAACCATATTGCACTGTACAAAAGTCCTGCCAAAGTGACGAAGCAGAATTGACCAAACATATGAGGCGGATCGGCAACTTTTGCTGATCCGGGCCCGTCAGAGTTCCCCGAGTGGCTTGAATCTTGATATCTCACATTTTCCCTCCTCCAGCCTCTTCGGACTTCTGTCTGCAGCCTGCAATGCTCTTTCCCTGTTCAATGGACTTTTGCTCTAGTCTACAGCCAGCTGAACATGACGAAGGTGATAATTAGACAGAATTTGGAATTTTGGGGAGGGAAAAAGAATCAGAATAGTTCAACATCAGTCCGATCGCATGTGGTCGAAGAGTACACCCATCTCATTTCGTTGGCTTCTAGAGCTCACATCGCTGGTACACACTACACAGCACAACAATAACAACTCTATTGTATGCCGCGGATATGGTTCGGGGTGTTTCTCTAAGCCCTACGGATCGAGTTCCGCGCCCTTGCTGGGGGATCCAATCGAAAGGTCCTTGCTGCAACCCCATCCCTACGGAAGGGGACCATGCAAGGTCGGATAGGTCATGATCGTCTGTGCTTCGGTCTGTTTACATTGTGCATTTGGCATGCATCTGTTTTTCCGGCCACCCGGGTCATAGTCCTAGGGCTTCGAGCTCAAGAGGCTATTTTGGTATAAACATATCCCCTTCACCCTGGCCTCCACATCGGTCATTCATTCCTCATTCCTTCTCTTCTTCTTCTTATCTTGTCCTGGCGGCAATCTCCTCTCTTCCATTCTGTTGTTGTGACTGTGTCTGGGTCCTAGAGGTCCTGCATTACTCGTTTACTTCTCATTCACTCTACTCGAGAAACATAGTCCCATGGATCACAGAGGTCTTTACTGTCCAGGCGAGTTGGACGTGTTGCATCAAGACAGGAACAGATCAGAGACAACCATTTGTCTCCCGTCGCCCTCACCTGCAAAGCGAACTTCATCTTACTATCCCCTCACCGGGCCAAAGGTTCTCGAGGATTCTAACCTCGATCCATTCTACCTCGAAGAGTCATTGGCCGCTACGCCTACTTGGAATCCTTACACCTCGGACATGCGCAATGATAATTTTGAGGACGATAATCAATACTATACCTTGTCCTTGACCAACGACAAGGACTACCAACAATACCCCGGGCCAGATCGCTCCACACTTGCGCAGGTCGAGTTAGAAAACAGCTTGAGATTCCACAGATACACCCCCTCAACGGACGAACATAGTCCTCTGCACAGCAGCCAGGTCTCGTTCAGCTCCGTACACACAGACAGCACCACCCCAGACTTGACACCCAGCACATCCTTCTCTTCATACGATTCTCACGGCTGTCCCGACGTTGTCCTTGAGGCAACTCAGCAGCTCTACAAGCACGCGCAGAAGGTTCAAATTGAGCCCCGCCGCCGATTCTATCTCCCTGCTTCCACACCTCCCACTTACTCTCTTCCTCCCCCTCCTCCGCCGGTGGCTCCCTTGACCCCGGCGGATACACGTCCAACCACACCCTGCTTTGAACACTCCAACGAGTCCACCGCTACTATCACAATGGGCTACGAGGACGTGACTGGCTCCTGCTCCTCGCGGTCACAACGCAGGAAGCAGCCTCCTGCTATGCTCAACCTGTCGCGCGCTGCCAGCGCGCACAGCTCCTCCCGGCGCAAGCAATCCAGCCCCGGGACCCGCCCACCTTTGGACCCTTCCATGATCTCTCCTCCATCCTTGATCAATCCAGTTACCATGGAACCTCACATGACCCACTTCGACCACCCTCTCTTCATCCCTGCCAACGACTGTCCTAGCCCTGTTCCTAGCCCTGTGGCTAGCTCTCCACCTATCTCTCGCCAATGGACGGCAACCTCCATGGAGCGCCCCTCAATCTCTACAATGGATGGCTTCTGTGAGCAGTCCGTGTGGGAGTCAGACTCCGACTCAGAGTCCGTCGGCCGGAAGTCCATGTCCCGTCGACCCATTGACACACTACGCAAGGTTCGCAGCCGTGCTAAGCTCCGCGGCGCCAAGTCACAGCCGCGACTGCACCAGACCATGCTTGATGATCAAGCCACGGAACAATTCCCCTGCATGCCTGATGACATCCTGGGAGAGCCAATGTCAGAAGTTTATCGTCCCAGCATGGACCGCCCTAGCCTCAGCAGACCCAGCACCAGCCGAGATGGCATGCGAACACAAGCTGCCCTCCAAACTCTGCGTCTCGTCGCCCCTTCATCTACCTCTCTCACCCGCCCTGCTCGTTCCCGCAAGAATAGTAGTACCAACAGCTCGGACGTCGACCGCTCTGCAGCTGCAGCGCTTCAAGCTCAGCAGCGCCGTCGCCAGCGTTCAGACTCTCCTGAATACTCCACTTCCGACAAGAGCTCCAAGGAGAAGCTCACCTCTTTCTGCTACGAGCAACACTTGCAGTCTACCATTGTCGCAGAAGTCAGCGAGCAAAAGCCCCTTTTCCAGCGCTTCATGGATTCTCTGCGATCCTTAAATTGCCAAAAGTCCCACAAGTCTCACAAGAAGACTAATGTTACCACCATCTGATGCATTCAACCCCGGCGTTCCGGTTCTATTCAACCGTCATTCAATTGCTCCATGTTCTCATGCTCACCACGTGTTCTCTACGATTACAAACAACTCACACTCGCTCACGCAATATAACTGATCTTGCCTCCCGCGCACACAACGAAAGTAATGAATCTCCAGACCCGACTGTGGCTGGACACCGACGCGCAAACACACGTTCTCTACACGCGCCCATCTGGCGCCACGAAACGAATATCACGCCTGGTCCTAGTGACCACTACCGACTCATGACTCGATGCCTTCGAGCTGACTATCTTTAATTTTCATTTTCTGTCTCTTCTTTTTTTTGTCTCTTTTTCTGTCTTGATTGCGCTCACTGCGTGCTGTATTACCATCGCCCTGCTTACGAAGTTATCAACTTACGGTCTTCATTCTACCAACGCCTGTCTGATTGATTCATGTCTCGCTCTCACACACATGACCCCCATTTCTTTCCAACTGTGACCTACTATAATTCCCAATATACAGGAATACGGCGCTCACTGGTTTCTGTTTCACAAGACTCAAAAATCTGCATTACTCAAGGATAGACAAAAATAGACACCAACCATACTTTACTTCAAACAAACATAAAAAGTGATCTCTCGCTCCTTCGTTGTCCAGGGAATACCAGGAATGCTACAGAATTGCCCTTTAGGACGATCGTCAAGGTATCTTCAATACCACCACAGACTCCTACCTAACCATCGCCCTGAACAATGATGGATGAAAGGCTACTTGGAAACGCCCTAGGTCATGCATGGGGCCTCAATGGTCCTCAATGGCTCAAATCACCAACAAGGGCGACAAACCCTTTCCTACACACTTTCGGATTTGCTTTTCCACCTGAACAGTAACCTCGTAGGCTGTAGCGAAACTAAGAACTCAATGGCCACGTACACATCATCCATCCTCGATTTGCACCGATCGTCTGCGGCTGTCTCGGACTACTCCGCCCCTAATGTACAGCAGAACCTGGGTCCTGGGTCTGCGTCTCCACCAGGACTTTCGTCGTACTTTACTTACCTGTCGAAGGTTCGATGGGATTCGTATGTTTCTCCACCACGGCTGCGCCGGGGAATGAATCCGGGTGGGGATCCGCTTGTCTGGGATGTGGAATGGGATGGTTGTTGCTGGATCGACATGTCGAGGGGGTGGTAGTTTGAGTTCTTAGGGCTAGGGTGGGCACTTGTTCGCCGTGTTGCCAGTTGGCGTACTTTAGACATTTCTCTACAATCTCGTACACAGCTAAGTAATCTGTTTCTATTGTCGTTAAGGCATAAAGAAAGGAACAATTGAATACTAAAGTACGAATGTTTACTGTAGGTAGAAGAGCAAAATACAAAAAGCCCCTTGCATCAGCTTAAACGTCTGCCAAGAACTCTTCGTCCAACGCGATCGTACGATCGTACTTATGAGGGCCTCTTCTTCGATCTCGGTCCAGAACATCGTACAATTTACATATAGGTAACATAGACAAACAATCCAGTGAATCAATTCCTGTCTTGCTATTTCGATTCGCCAATAACAATATACCAACCAACTGGCGAATGTTGTTCCTTCCCTCCCCTCATCTGATATCATAAGTCTAGTCGCCTCGTCAAATCTCAAGCTACCTCAGATCACCAGTTTGACAGGTAACGCTAGACAGGGGGTTTATTTGTCCCGGCCCACAAATCTCCTACTATGCCCTGTACTCGAGGTCCTTCCGCTGCGAGTCTGCGACCTCATATGTAAGGCGGCCGATCCATCGGATGCGCACTCCGCTACATCCCCGAGAGTCGCCGGCGGGTCGGGTTTCAGATCTATCGGACATTGGTGGGGATAGATACTGTAGGGGGGGGGGGGGGGGGGGGCTAGATCTGGAACGTTGTTCAGACTTTTGCTTTTTTGTTTGTGATTTCTACTCCGTAGTCTAGTAGGGCTGGTAGATGTGTTGACATATGACTTGTCTGTTTTGCCTCGTGTTTGACAGTTGGTGGCATTTGCCTTGTGCGTGCTATCACAAAGCCAGTTTGAGTTGCAAAATCCATCGTAATGTGATTGAGTTGTGTTCCCTTAACGCATTTCCTTCAGGCTGGACATATGTCTCAAGGCTGCAACAGAGAAACTTTCATCTAAAGTCCATCATATAACCTCCATGGCAACAGCCGTGGCTACAGTAATCTGCAGAACCCCAGCGTCAGTGTCTCACCAGCAGCGCAGCCGTTTTGTCCCAAAGACCCAACAACACACAGCCCGGACCGGCTTTCCGCCCCGCCGTCCGCTGCATCGACCTCGCAGCCGCGGAAGACTGTTCCAAGTCCCTGGAAACATCCCTTGACGGGATGATCCTGCATCGCGGGACGAGCAGCGGGACCCCCGAGAGACAGTTGACCCGCGCGGTCTGCAGAAACGTAATACTGCATCTGCATCTGCATCTGCAAGATGCTTTTTCCCCCCACCTGTCTCTTCGTGCCTAGCTGGAGGCATTGGTATGTAGATCATCAGAGCAAACACAGCCCACACTCGCATCCACGACAAGACACACAGTGCAAGCAGTGCAAAGCCCCCGAAAACAACCTCAACCCCTCTGCACAGCATCCTCCGTCTTCTCCCTCTCCATCTCCAACGCCTCCATATTCTCCTCCCACCTCGGAACATCAACCCTCCCCTCCCATTTCGCCAAAACCCCCTCTCCCCTTTGCGCAAGCAGCCTCTCCGCCTTCTCCTCCTCCTCCCCATCCGCAGGCTTAGACTCAACCTCCGCAAAAACAGCCCTTACATCCAATTCCTTCAGCGCAGCCTCGTAGAGCGTCCGAATCTGCTCCCTCTTCTCCCGCTGCAATCCATCCACCCCGTCCTTATCCGTAGACTCAGCCGTGCCCCGCACACCGGGCTTCTTGACGACGCCCGGCCCACTGCGCTCTTCGAATCCGCGTAGCAGGCCCTCCATAATACCAAGCACCGTCCCGGCTCGCATGCCCATCTGCGCACCGACCGGGAACCCTGCGTCGAAGCCGTTCTGCACGTGTGCGCCTTTGGAGGCGGCGGTGCCGTCGCGGTAGCCTGCTGTGACGTGTTGGCGGCGTAGGGAAGGGAGGTCGGAGGGTTCGGATGCGTCGGCGTTTTGGGATGTGTGTGAGAGGTTGAGGTCTCGTTCTGTTGGCGAGGAGCCGAAGATGTCGTCGAGGGAGTTGTCGGGGTTTGGGTCTGTTTGGGTTGAGGTGATTGTTGTTGATGGGGAGGAGGGGGTGGAGTGTGCGGATTCGGAATCTGTTTGGTGTGCCATTTCGGTGTTATATTCTGACGAGTTGGATTGGGTGGGATATTAGTGTTGGGTGAAGTTGGTTGTGAGGTGAGTTGGAAGGGAAAAAGTTGAGAGCGGGTGGGGCCGATGGATGTCCGCAGTATGAATGGAAGCGCGACACTTGGAAGGTTCACTGCTGAAGGGCTTTTGCGTTAGTATTGTCCATGCTGTGTCTGGCATATTAATCGCTCTTTAGGAAGTAAGTCTCGATTTACATCTATGTGGTGCTTTATAGCGAGGTAACCTCGTTAGACACGATTTACCTACTGAGTACGGACTACGGAGTATCCGGGGCAGCATCGAAAGATCTGAAATATCCGGACTGATGCATTCACATACCACGCAGTTTACAGGAACGAGGAGAGGTTTATTCCTCGTCTGGGCTATCACCATCAACACCATCCTCCACCTCACCACCATCCACATCACCATCGACACCTTCACCACCTTCACTACCTTCACCACCCACAGCAACACACGGATCTCCTTTCGCAACAACACTCCACCCCAGGAACCCATTGTACAGATAGCACACATCCCAGCCATTGGTAATAGTCGACAGGAAACTCTCAGGGGCACAATCATACGTGGCGAAAAAGCAAATATCATGCGGGTAAGAATCCCCCGGACTCTTCCATGAAATACTCTTCACATTCGTGGAGTTGTAATAATCCGTTTCCAATGCCTGGCAGGCGCGCGCCTTCTGACCGTATCGATGAGCAATGGAGAACTGGAGGTTCGATTCCGACGCGTTGCAAATCGGCGGTGCTTCGCTTAGGAGGCGGAAATCCCACTGTGATGCATTAGCAAGCTCACTACGAATAGGGGTACCACTCTTCTTCATGGCACTTTGTACATACCGCTCTCCAGGCTTGAATTTCAAAGTCCGCTGGGCTGGGTAGGGCATTTACGGTGGTCGAGACGCCGAGGAGCGTCGCGCACAGTGTGAGGAATCTCATCTTGCGTTGATATTGATAATACTCCAGGCGAAAAGCGGCGGTCCAGCTCAGAAACCTGGCGACAATTCTGTGTTTGAAATCTTGAAAGCAGAGCAGCATTGCTTCTTTTATACATCAGCACATCCCCGTCGGACTATTTTAGTACAAAGCCGCAGATGCAGGAAGCGGGCCCAGCTGTCCCCCAATCATGTTGGTCGGTGGCTAGTCGAGACTCCATGGGCTCGAGGATATAACCCTGCACTTGCAGCTAACAGGGTAGCTGAAAAAGAGATAAGTTTTCTCAGTTTGTTTAGCTGACAGCGGTGGGGTGCATCGTGTGATAGTTCCTTGGCGTCGGAGAGAAAGCTGCTGCGAACTTGGTCTCTTATTGGGCGCATTCGGCGGTGTCGAGACCTTCGTCGCTGGAGGGTAGTATCGCGTATTGTGCGGAGTTGCTTGTTCGGGTCTCGAACACGAGTGAAGAAGAGGCGATGGGATCAGGCTGACAGTGTCATTGGGTACGAGATCGGGTGTTTTGCGGGTTCAGGAACATGGCGAATGAGCGCTTACTTGGCTGATGGGATTCAGGAACAGGATATTGTCTTACGTGCAGACACGCACTGCAGATACGAGTATTCTCGTCCGGGCACTATTTCTGGGTCATACGAGGTTGATTATCGGTTATTCTATGATTGCGGCTGAGGTGTGTACTCAGACATGACTGATATTTCCTACTAGCCATCTTCTGCCTTGGGTCAAATGGTTCTACTAAACAGCTAAATGCATCATTTCTTTGCACGTCCAAGGTTCTGACCACATTATTCCGACGAGGCCTACATACCCTAGTGCATGCAGGAAGCAACCACTTAGGACTGACCGACCAAGCACCAGAAACAAACTCGACGAACTCAGATCAACCTCATCCAACAGATAGCCTCCTAAGTGATCCCAGAAGTCCGAGAGGAACCTCTCAACCAACAACAGAAATACGCATCACGTCTGTCAAGTCTGCCCATCGTAGAAGCGCCAAAATGAGAACCCTCTATACCTGACACATGCTAAATGATTTATTCATTCAATCTATAGAGATAGATATCCCAGACAATGGGTATAGAAAAGACATTATAGGCCGTCACAACACAGAACCAATCCAAACAGAAGATCATTGCCGCTGCGGGCCAGCGTTCAACCGCCAAGCACGGAGAGGCAAGTCCTGCAGCTTCTGTGCTGCTGGTTTGATGAACATTATAAAGGTGATAGTGCCAATGGCCACACAGAGCATGTTGGTCAGGTAGTACCCGTCACGGTCGACGTTGCACGTACCTCCGCCGCTAATGCAGCGATTTTTCTCCGGTTCAATAGCGCATGAAAATGCGGTGGTGATGAGGGCGCCTTTTAGGGAGTCGGCTGCTGGGGCGGTGACTGGGGGAAGACATGTTGCTACTGTGAACATGTCGACGAGTTTGAGGACGAAGATGCGAGGGAATGTTCCACCCAGGTTGGAGACGCTGGAAGTAATGTGTCAGCTTTGTACAGTGTACCAAGTGCGGAATCGAACTTTGAACTTACGTTGCGAGCAGAGTCATGTATGTTCCGCCAATGGCAGGGTCGGCGATGCGCGCGTGGAAGGCTGAGATGGCGACGAACATGACAGTGTTCATGAATGTTGAGAGTACATGCTCGCCAATTACAGTGAGCATGTACCACATGGGCACTTCTGGGCCACTAGGGTAAATCATGACAGTGAACTGGGCGAGGACAGCAGCTGCCAATCGTCCGATGAAGGCCCAACCCCAGAGACGCATGGCGCCATAGTTGGTTGACCACTGACCGGCATAATAACCCAACATAATTTCGAATGGGAAGTCGATCAACACAACCAGGGCCATGTTATCCTGGCCGAAACCCTTGTCCAAGAGCTTGAGACTGGTGACTCCGTCGTTGGCCTGGAAGCCGATCTTGGCAATCAGGTGAATGATAATGATCGTCTGGATATTCTTCAACTTCAAGACACTCCACATGCTCTTATACACATCCATGATGCTATCGCGCTCCTTGGTGCGCTCTTCCTTCTTCAGGAAAGCCAGACCACAGGTCACAATCAGATACGCCCAGCCCCAGAAGCTGAGGTAGGTGCCAAGCGACAGAAGGCCACCCTCACCAGCTACGGTTCGGAACCACCTGTTGGCAAAGTCTTTCGAGTTGAAGGCCAAGAACACCGTGTACGACAGGAAATGGCCTGCCGTCAGTCCGACCGTCTGGGCAGTCGAGGCGTAGGAGATGTTCGGCGGGGACATCAGAGTGATAGCCCAGCCATCCACAGCAATGTCCTGGGTAGCGCAGAACAGCACCAGCATGAACCACCAGTATGTGAAGGTCCAGACGCCCGCACCGCCGTTCGCGCCAGCCTGAACCATCATGGCCTCGATGTGGCCACCCATATAGATCATCGCTAATCCAGCAATCACTTGCACAGGGGTGATCCAGCTCTTGCGGCGGCCAAAGCGCGTGCTCCACACAGCATCCACAATGGGACTCCAGAACAGTTTGAGAGAGTATGGGTATGAGGCGAGCGAGAAGATTCCGATCTGGCCGTATGAGAGGTATGGTTTGAGGAGGAAAGGCACAGATCCGGTGGCGAGGCCCATTGGGACACCTTGGAGGAAGTATAGCAGCACCAACAACAGGAAGTTGCGGCGATCACTGCGCGGTAGGTCATGGAAGGTTGTGGTGGTCTGGACGGGAGTCTGCGGGATGACGGAGGGCTCGTTATCGAGTGAGAAGCTGGGTCTTGACATGAGTTGGGCGGTCCTGTCTGCAGAGTTCTCGGAGGAGGGAGTGTCCCTCCTGCGCATTTCAATGTTGTTGTTCATATTGCCATTCGCATGCCCGTTGGACCCGGTTGCGAGTTTCAAGCTCGGTTTTGAGCGACGTTTTGAGAGGCTCGCGTTTTTGCGTGTCATTGAAGATTAGTTAGGGTAGAGCTCGTGGTCGTCAATGGTGGTTGAAATGTGGACTGGAACTGAATGTTATGATAAGGGAAAGAGGGATAGGAATGAGGGCGGGCTGGGTCGGAAGCCAGTGTGATCGGTTTAGATGAGTAGGTCGGTTAAGTATAGTAAAAGAGCGAATGCATGAAGAGGGATCTAGAAAATGAAGGAATCCTCACATGGGGAGAGATCTCCAGGATTTCGATGACAAAAGATAGTTTTGAGGCAAGCTGGCCTCTTGGCTTTTCGCAGATCCGGGGTCAATCCTCGACGAACATCACCAGCAGAGATAATTTGGCTTCATTCTCCAACATTGAGTACTATACTTATTGACATATTTGACTCGATATCTCTTCTCATCCTATTGTCATACACATAGTGCAAGGCTATGAGGTCATATCAACTGGGACTTATGTCAGGGGTTTAGCCAACTTGATTTACGCAGTAACTCGTGTAGTGGTTAAAGTCTGAAAGAGCACAAGCCCAGCCTAGACCTACTAGACCTGGATCTCCCTGTTCTTCATAGATCCCACATGTAACTATCGCAGAGGGTCAGTGTGACACTAAGCTTTGGCTCCTCAGCGGCTCAAGTCGTGACACGATCACGTGCAAATACAAACAATAGTCTTCATGCTGCATGACAGCATCACATCACGTACACCACCATCTCAACCGTACCTAGGCACTGACGAGAATACAATTTCAGTACCCACCAACACAAGAGTAACCAGTTCCAGAATTACATCCCTCAACAATCCCCCACATCCACAATGGCAACAACGTTATCACGCGTCACCGCATCACCGGACCCGGAGGAGGAGGAATTAGATCTGGAGCTCAGTTCGCTTCGCGCAAAAAGTGAGCTGCCAACGATGCCAAGGAGCAAACCGATCAAACTGACTAACAACTATCAAGTCTGCAAAGTTCGAAGCCGCAAGCGTATCCTCACCTCCAGCCTTCTGACGACCGACCCCGTCCAAAAACTCCTCCGCAATCCAGCGCAAGTCCCTACATCGCTCAACAACATTGCAGCAATATCCCCCCTAGTCCACGCGGCTGGCGCCCACACCTCATCAAACCACCACCGCATCGCCTTCAGCGCCACCGCCTTCCCCTTCAAAGACCCATCACCAACAGCCACCGTCACAAACCTCCTCGGCCTGCGCCTTGACGTCTGCACGCGCAATGGCCGCTTCACTAAGCCCTACTATGTTCTTCTGCGACAAGAACCGAGCCACACTGCTGCTGGTTCCGCGAAGGTCCTAAAGGTTCATAGACATACAGTGCCAAGCTTCATATCCATCCCCCGGCTAGAGCGCGTCTATCTTCCCCGAGCTCACACATCACACAAAAACGACGACCGTGAAGGTTCGGCCGAGGATGAAGCCGAAGCTGCTGACCCTGCAAAGCCATGGAAGAAGAGCAGCCGAGCTGTGCTAGAACAAGATGTACGGGGTTTCGTGCGCGAGCTGCGGAGGGAGCTGGTGGCGTGGCATATGCGGACTGATGCTATTGACTTCCTGCGCGAGAAGCTGGGTCTTGTTGGCGAGGATGGGGAACCGCAGCCGTTTGACGTTTCGCCGGATCGGGATACGGGGATTGTGTCTTTGGCTGCTGCTGCGCTGGAGGCGCGGTATGTGCGACTTGAGTGGGCAGACGGACGGGTTGGGCGGTTTAAGCTTTCTAATGCTGGTATTGTGGAGCGGGCTGTTGTTATTGGCGATGAGGGCCGTGATAAGAAGACTGAAGATGCCATGACTGGGGGTGGGGGCAGGGTTGAGACGGTTTTAGATAGGTTGAAGGTGGATGTTTCGTCAAAATCACCTTGATTCATTGTTATGCTTGTTGTCGGGTAGGTCTCATTCAGTCATTAGCGAGATACCCCAATTTGAATTGTCCATGCTTGAAGATAGGAGAATGTGTTTAGGTTGTCGGTTGGCGATTAGGATAGTCTTCGAATTCGCTGAGGAGCCACCACCATCACAACACGCAGCTGGTCGATACTTGGGGATTGTATATGCATGTAGGTATCGCATACCGCATAAGGATGGCAGGTGCCCTAAGGCTTCCATCAGGGCTACTTCTAGATCTCGTCGCTCTTTCTGTATTTGGGTATAGGTAAACAGACCAAGACGTCGCCGGTCAGGCAGGCGCATAGATGGAGGAAACTTCCACCCCCTAGGTCCTTCCTTCTCTCACCGCACCATCCGTCCACCACCTATCATGGAGGGGAATCCTGGTCTCTCCAAGGTAAACTGAGATACATTTCACGCATGTTCCAGCTATGATGTCCTGGGGTCCTTTCCCCGTAGTTCCTGCTATGTCTATTTAATATCTCTATTACAGCAGACTCCTTTGCAATCATGAAACTTAAAGGCCACCGCAATCCGTGCGGTATGCAGGACCAATGACTGGTCCAAGACCAGAGCAAGAGCCTTGACAAGGCAAAGAAGACTTACTAGGAGACGGGGTGATGTGACAATAGAAGGAGTAGGAAAGGCTGATTAAAAAGGGTATATTAGACTGTACATCGTTTCATCATGAATCTCCAATTCAAAGCACCACGGAATCCGAATTCGGATCAGTTGCACCCGTTCCTAACATGTCGAGAGGAGATTCTGTCGGAACAGCAACAGGGGTGTCTGTATCAGGCGTATAATCCTCAAACGAAACAACCGGTAGAGGGCCATACGATTGGCCATGTCGCACCTCAAGTTGCCGACGTAGCACAGCCTCTTCCAGTTGCCAGCGCTGACACATAGCTATCTTTTTCTGATCCAAAGCTTGCATAAGGTCCGTCTCTTCCCGCTCATGCTCACTCCGCAGCGTAGCAATCTCCCTGACATGTCGATCACACATCTCGTCCAATTCCCTTTCCATGCGCGCCATGGCTTCCTGTAACTTGACTTCCTGGCGGTCACGCAGGACCTTGATCCGCGCATTGTGCAGCTGATCCATCGATTCATGATCGTGGTATTGCTGTTCCAGCTGTTCCATGTGCTGCCGGGTTAATACGCGGGGCGGCGGGGTGGATTCGGATTCCGAGAATGATCCCGAGAACCGCTCGGGCTCGGATCTTGTTGCTAATCTTGCCTGAGAGGGAGAGGGAGAGGGCGGTGGGCTGGCATTGCGGAGGTAGCCCTCCATGTGTTTTATGCGGGTGCGGGAGTTCATTTTGGCGCGGTCGAATTCGCGTTGTTGTTCGATTTCGACTGCTAGTTGGCGTTCTTCCATTTGGAGGATGGAGGAAATGTTCTGTGCAATTTATCAGTATAAGAAAATGGGTGGGGGATCGGTGTGGGTTGAACGGACCTTTTCGCGTTTCCATTCCTCGCGACGCTGGTTCTCGGATTGCTGTTCTGAGATGGCCGTTTGATGTCTGCGTCGGAGGTTACTTAGAGCGACGTCTTGAAATGCGAGGTGTCGGTTCTTTTCCAGCTGATGCCTCTCGTGCAATTCACTCATTTCGGGGTCGTCTAGGGTCCTTTGTAACGCCTCTTTGCTGGGAAGAGGGGCTTCGGGAATCTCTAATCTAGATGGTGGATGCGCAATGCTTGCACAAGGCGGGGCATCTTCATTGGCTGCGCCGTTCGGTTCTGCTTCAGGTTCCACGAACACATTGACCGAGCCATTGTCACCCGGGGAGATAGTAACAGGAGCTTCTGAAGGAAGGAAGGACGAGGAAGATGAGCGCTTCTTCCGGAAGTGTAGTCTCCCAATCGCGGACTTCAAACTGCTCCGGCGCTTCTCCTTCTTGTCGGCAGAAGCAACACTCAGCATCGAATGCCTATGCAACTTAGGCTCGAACGAATCGATATGATATCCGTGCCCCGCAAGGCCTGTTTTCCCATCACTAGAACAGAACGAGGTAGGGCGCGTGGAGAGCGAGGCCAACGATCGCGTGCTCCCAGGCTTGATGCGCTCAGACGCAAGCGTGACATCCGATAGCGACGAAACGACCTGGTCCAGCGCGGAGCGGGTGGGGGATGCGGACTCGCGAAGCGGAGTACCGGAACCGCATATTGAATACCGGTCGGTCGACGATCCAGAAGATAGCACCGGCGAGGAGTAACCAATCACTCCAGAGGCGTTTGAGGCAGCCAGCGGCGGAGATATTTCTTTCTCGGGCACTTTCAGCCCTAGTTTCCGTGCCTCGTCGATGAGCCGTTGCGCCTGCGCTTCTTCGGATTCCGGTGAGGGGGAGGTGGAGGACCGCGCGCCGGTATTCAGCCTCATCGAGCAAAGGCCCGGCGCTTGATGCCATTATATTGTATAGGGTGTGTATATATGGCGCATAACCAGCGGGCGCACATGGAGTAGCGGGGTTGTAAGAAGAGGAAAGTCGTCCAATGTACCTGGACGAGAAAAACACGATCTATGACGGCATTCAGGGGAGGATAGAGTTGAGGGGTTTCTGTAAAGACAGTGTGGTGGAGGTAGAGGGTCCAAGCTAACAAGTTTCAAGAATTCAGTACGGTCAAATAGGGGCAGGAAGGGGAAACAAAGACCATCTTGGTTTCTTCACGTTTTCTTTTTCGGGCAATTTTTTATTTTTTTTTCCGTCTAAAAAAAACTAGTCGACCCACGGTTGACCCTGACGCAATCCCTGGCTCTACTTGGGGACAATGGGGGAGTTCTCATTAGGGGCATTTTGAAACGGGGCTAACATGTGCGCTTGAAGATGCAATCTGATATCGGTTTCAATGACTCTCCGTATTACCTATACTGTGTACAATGGTGGGAGCTAAGGAGTAGTATATCGGAGAAATAGATCGCATATGTCGGCATTTGTGAAGATACCCTTGCGCCATCGGACAATTCTAACTCTATCTCTCCGTTGTATGGACCATGGACGATCTACGGTACTTGAACAGCACGATATCTTTGGCCTGGTTGGGGAAGTAGGGCTTAGGGCTACAGACATAGCCTCGGTCCAGTCTCAAGGTTTTGGTGTGATCAGGTCAGGATAAGAAGATCATCTTGGGATCATGCTGGGCCACTGTCATTGCTGGCAGCTGAACCAATGATCCATAGTTGCGTGTAACACAACTTCACAAGTGTCAAGTGGGAAGCAAAAGAAATTATTCGTTCAACATGTCAAACGCCAGTTGATATGCCCGTTCTTTAGCCTCGTATTGCGGGGTTCCCGCCCTCGTGGTCTTGTCCCACGCATGGCTGCAGTTAGGCTCCATGCGCTGGCTGACCACATACCAACCCTCCAACTTCTGGATCTTTTGGGCTAGTTCTTCAGCCTCCAGTGCGAGACTATCCCCGTCAGCCGTGATCATGAGAATACGCCGTGGGAATTGGTCTGCCTGCGCATAAAGCGGCGAGATGCGCGGGTCCCGCCTGTCCAAGGCCGAGGGCAGGTAGGAACTGTTGAAGAAACGCATAATAGGGACGGGAATATGGAAGTCCGCGCGGGCTGGGGCGATCTTTGAAGCAGACTCCCGGCTCAGATCGGTCACAGGATAGATTGCCAGTAAGGAGCGGAAAGTATCGCGCGGGAAGAGGTTTGAGGCAGCTGCCAACGCGAGATTACCGCCAGCACTGAATCCAGATAAAGACACATGCGTCAGGTCGAACTCTTCTGGGCTTGCGAGGACATATTTGATCGCATCTTCCACGTCGTTTAGAGCGGCGGGAAAGGGGTGCTCTGGCGCTAGACGATAGGGGACATCCAGGACGGTATACTTTGTTTCGCGGCTGACTCGGCGGCAAAACTCATCGTCGTCTCCATGAAGAGGAAGTACAAAGCCACTTCCGTGGAAGTTCATGAGAACAGGGGATGGGCTGGGGCCGGAGGAGCGATACAGATGAGCCTTGATGGTTCGACCAGTGTCGCGGGACTTGATATGGCGTATTTCATCTGGTGTGGCTGTGAGATTCCTGGATAGCCTCATAAAGGCTCGCAGGATGAATGCAAAGCATTTATTGTAGATATAGATGAGCGTCGACATGTCCAGCATTGGAGGAGGCATTGAAGCTGAGCCTCGACTCCCAGCCGAGGCCTCGGTTAAAGGATGCCACTAACGGTCGATCTTCCCAGCCCATGGCGTCTGACCTAACCTCTTACAGTAAGTACAATAGTTTTACCTCGTGTAGAATGTCAAGCTTATCTCTTATGCACAAGGTACTTCGGGGGTATGCGCACCTTCCTAGCCTTCTGGAAGTCTTCCCTAGCTGCCAGAAATGGCTCGCGGGACTTTCAGTTGTGACGAACAGACATGCAGAAGGAGGGTTGAGTGACGGGGTTGAACTAGTCATATGACTGGGTTGAGGACTGACGGTTGTTGAGTCCGAGTCCTGTGACAAGAGGGGAGTTTAAAAGCTCCTTGCCTGATTCCGTTCTTCTTCTCTTTTCCTTTCCTCTTCATATTTGTTGTCTTTCTTTGAATGCACTCTTTCTTCAAAGATCTGGCACATCACATCCGTTGCCGTTCCTATGGAGCCACATCAGTCGGAACGACTTGCGATCTGACACATACTACCCCAACAAGCGCCCACGCATGCTGGAAGCCCTCCGTTGGCTGGCACAGGGGAATGCCGTTCGTCGTGGTGCGGCGCCCATAACGGTCGATAGGCGATGCTTCGTATGTACAATTTCTCATTGTGGTTGTTCGGTGTCGGATCTAACATGATAAGCAGAATCGGCGAGCCACGCACCGAGTCAGCCAATACATGAGGGAGAGGTTCCGGCTCGACACAGCCCAACGGACAATAGACAAGACCCTTCCCAGTATCCGGCTGTGCACACAGCTGAGAGGACTGGGCTCAATATGCTTACTCGAGCCGAAAAGTCCACTGGCGAATGTGCGAGTACCGAACGCACCCCTCCGGCTAATTTGCGTATCCCGAGCCATCAATTGCTCATAGCACCTCTTCTGAAGCCGTTTCTCCTCCGACCGATTCTCCCTAAGGCTCTCGCAAAAGACCAGTTCGAGGTCTTTGCTAAGCTCATTGGCATGATCTAAATCCACATGAAAAATACAGAGTTTTACTATGTATGCCAGAATTGGAGGTTTTGATAGGAGATGTCATGCAGGTTCTATGAGGGGGATGTTGGATGCCTTGATGCCCCAGGCATCACATGTGTGTAGATGGAACCCCATAGTTTCTCTCTCTCTCTCCTTCTCTCTTTCTCCTCTTCGTCCACCTGAATACATACACCGTTTTCTCCATTGATCTCACATTGTATCTGTATTCCATGAATAGCTCAAGAGCGAGACCCGCCGGGCGTCTGATGGAGCCATCAATCTGGCCGCGTGGCGCGACATTGCCATGGCGGTCAGTCGACGCTACCTGCGGCAATCCAGCCATTTCCTCAGGGATGTCCACACAGAGGACAACAGTCCACAGGACTTAGATGATGTCGACTACGAGGGGTCCGGGGATGGGGGTGGTGGAGGAGTGGGCCGGCCACGCCGCAGATCTACACTCCACGCATTCCTCCCACGTCGCCGGGATGGATCATGGTGCCCTATGGGCGTGAGATCAGCATCCGAGAAGACCCGGAGAAAGGCCCCGGCAGTTCGTGACGGACTCTCTTTCTCTGTTGTTTCCATTGTTTTTGTTTTGTTTTTTCTCTTAAATGCTTCTCCACAGGACAGGGAGCTCGAATAGTACTGAAATCTCACAATATGATTCTCTCTTGAAAGTTCCTTCGTCACTACCTACTTAGAGCATAGGTGCTGGGGGAATGACCGCTCAAGCTAGCCCTTGGACTCGGCCTAGGTTGCGAAGGGTTCCTTTCCTCAGTTCCTGCCTAGCCATGCGTACGGTATGCGTCAAGTCTTTGGGATGAGCTTATGGTTCACCAGTTGTGGACTCGCCTCGTCAGAAGTGGCAGATAAAGATTTTGCGTGGCCCTTAAGGTCGGCAAAGTATTGATCGTGCTTCCTGGTCCATTTCCGCAGCGGTATCGCCGCGATGGTGTCGTTGTTGACAGTTGCGCATGAAACATCCCAGTTCTGGAGTGCGTGCATATACCTGGTCTCTTTCGGGGGTAGGTGTAGCTCCTGTGGAAGATCCCCGCAATTAGAAAGTTCCACGTAGAGCCGCATTTATTTCCACGCACCTTGCCCACCAATCAGAATGACCGCCTGCCGTCATCGCGCCCATCTCCATCTTCCATCGCCATCGCATCTACTGTCTCCCTTTAGGAGTCCCAAGCTGTCTCAAACCACAGGTCTATGTACTTCTAACGTTATCCGTCTTGCATCTTATCAACCGCATCAAGACTACGTGCTGTACCGAACCCAAGCGTTAAATCTGCCTTCATCACCGCCGTCCACAAGATGACCACCAAAGCCAACGCCGACACTAACTTCACAGTTTTCATTCGCTTACCATTCCCTAGGGGGGACTCTGTTGACCCACAACCTGCAAGTATTCCCTTGAAGCCGTCTGGACAGTTTACTAACGAAAGTAGGTGATATGGAACGCGTCTAAGGACCAAGCACTATGGGATATTTTATCGCGGCCATCGAAAGGAGACATAGACTGTATGAACCCTATGGATCTCGGCTATAGTCTATAAGGGTACTAACATACTACAGGGAAAGCACTGTAAATGACTTGCACCATCCCTATCTCCAACTTGAGGGGTTCTAACGTGCATCATTTAGGGCAGAGGACTTTGATGTCACTTTGCAGTTCCTCCTTCAACAAGCAGCGTGGCTCTATGACCGTAAGTTATCACAGGTCCGAGCTCAGATGCGCAAGGTTGGCACTACACAGTCGCACTCTCCTTCTCCACTTCCAGGGTCTGTTTCTGGAAGTGCAGCCTTAGGCGGACAGCCACAGAGAGAAACACCAGGTATATACCGTACTGCATAGATTTCTTACTATGACTTGAAGCTCATGCCCAACAGGGTCTCACGCGCCATCAAGACACGTATCTCAGCAAAAGGATACCCCCCAGCGAGGTATGGACCTATGCACTACCTGAATAGAAGTCTCGATATAGCCGATGGTCGGATTGTATCTGACATTGATTTCAGCCCCCGAAGTCCGAGGTACGAGCCTTACTACAACAACCACAACTAATCAAACCCAAGGTCCTCGGGATCCTGCACGCACTGTTACACCGACCGTCAATGACAGAGAACCACGGTGGGATTCCTTCAGTCGTCGGCCTTCAGCTGTCAGACGGGAACCGCCACCGGTCGCATCTTTGCCCCGATCACCCCACGCTCGATGGGGAATTATCATCAAGCTTGTCTGAAGAATCCGAGTCCGACGATGAAATCCCAGGCCGACATGCACCCCTGTTCAAACGGTTTGGTAAATTTTCTATCCAGCGTTCTGGTCTGCGGGATGACGAGGACGATGAAGACGATACCCCGGCATTCCTTCCCCTCTCCCGGGACCCCGATCATAGTTACCAGGAGCGACCGGCCCAGGAGCTCAGCGCTACTCTTCGGTTAGATGCCGAGCGAGCAGCGACGCAACGACGACGTCCCGATCAGCAACCCGGTCCCCGGATGCCAGTAACTACGGAGTCATCTGGCAGCTCTATGAGCTCCAATGGGCCTGTCAGTCTATCCGGCAGTAACCGACGGATTGGCCATGCTCCACAGATAATAACTAGCCCCCAACGAGCCCTTGGGTCACGTCAAAACTCGCGCAAGTCTACTACCTCCGGTCGCGAAACCAGTGACGGTACCCCCAGCATGGGGAGCAGCTTCAGTGACCTTGACGGTATGTACTCCGAACCGGAGGATTCTGGATTTCAACTAATCGACTGGTCAGATGCAAGCGTTACACAATCAGCCCTGGAAGAGGCGCTTCTCAGCAACATGCAGCATGGCGGAATGGCGAGTCGTATGAGCACCATCAGCCAAGCGTTGCGCAGTCGGTATCTGCAGTGATGTCCATAGCCCGTATTTTACTGCAACCTCTTGGAATCGGCATTCGGGATTGTATGATGTCGGAGTAGTTGCGGGGACACCCCGCATATGGCATTCACGTGACGGGTAGCGGTCCTCGGCGACTCCTCGGTGATGGCACTGAGCAGTGATTAAATGATCAATCTTCATGTCTTCAGTTTGTACGTCCAATTCGTCCCAAATATACCAAGTTTTCACATCTCATCTTCATCGGTCCAGCGGGAGCGCTAGTGCCGATCAGCAGTCGGTGTTAACAGTATATCTCCACATGGAGGGGTAGTTCGACAACTATAACATTTAAAATCGCAGCAACTGCCGTTTATCCCAAGCCCTGGAATATTGCATATCCGCGACAAGCCGAATCAATCGTGAGCAGCTGATCAGCGTACACAAAGTCACGAACAAAGAAAAAAAAACCGTTGACCCCACTAAAGCGGACGCGGGGCGGCATCCTCGGTATCTTATCACAATCCTAAGACATTAGAAAGACTCCCACTTCATAATTGCTCAACGTTTCTCTACATCGCTAAGCGCTCTCATTGCACACAATGGCTCCCTCAGTCGGCGAAATGTCGCCAGCGGCAGCAGAATCAGTCTATTTCAACGAGTACCCCCCACCCAAGGCACTACCGAAGCACGAAGCGCTCGCGCGCGCATTCATCGAGCTGCACGTGGAAGCAAACCGGCGCGTGGTGCTAGTCACATCTGGTGGCACAACGGTACCATTGGAAGCGCAAACCGTGCGTTTCATCGACAACTTCTCAGCCGGAACTCGCGGCGCCACATCAGCCGAATACTTCCTCGAACAAGGGTACGCCGTGATCTTCCTGCACCGACAGTACAGTCTCCTGCCATACTCGCGACACTACAGCCACTCGACCAACTGCTTCCTCGATTTCATGGACGAGGCCCCGCCTTCGGCCGACTCCTCCAACCCGGGCGATGGACCGATCATGGTGCGAGACGAGTACCAGGACCAGATGCGCAGCGTGCTGCGAAAGTACCGCTACGCGAAACAGAACAACCGACTCCTGCTCCTTCCTTTCACGACTGTCTCTGAGTACATGTTCGAGCTGCGATCGTTAGCGAAGCTGATGCGACCATTGAATGAGAATGCGCTCTTCTATCTCGCTGCTGCCGTCAGCGATTTCTTCATCCCGCGCAGCCGTATGGCCGAGCATAAGATCCAGTCTTCCGAGCTCCCTCCGCATATGCAGGGTAGCGCGGTCGGTCCGGATGAGATCTACACCGGCGAGAATGAGGAACAGCCCTCGAATCGCAAGAAGCTCGTTATCAACCTCGACCCCGTGCCTAAGTTCCTGCACCAGTTGGTGGACGGCTGGGCTCCGGAGGGCAGTATGGTTGTCTCATTCAAGCTGGAGACGGATCCGTCGTTGCTTGTCTACAAGGCGCGCACTGCGCTGCAGCGGTATTCGCATCACCTGGTTATTGGCAACTTGCTCTCGACGCGCAAATGGGAGGTTGTGTTTATTACGCCGGATGAGCCGCATGAGCGCTGGATTCGGGTGCCTAAGTCCCGGCGCAGCAAGAGTATCTCTGGGGTGGAGGATCAGGTCGGTTTGGCTGAGGCTATGAAGGGGAAACACCCGTCGGTGGAGCAGTTGGAGGCTGAGCAAGCTGCCGAAGGCGAGCGGGATGGAATCGAGATTGAGAGTCTGATCATTCCAGAGTTGGTGAAGTTGCACACGAAGATGGTGGAGAAGAAGAAGAAGCCCGCGGAGTGATCTCGGGCTGTACAAACTTGAATAGAAGAGTTATAAGGTCATACACAGTATACTACGGAGAATGAATAAACTGATGAACTCATTCAAGTCTTCTATCATTGTTAGCTCTTGGCTTGCGTGTCGATCCTGGTGGATCCTGGCAATAAGCGGGAAGGGGGAGCTTGAGCTTCACATCCATAACCTTGGAAACAGCCAATTCACCGACTCTGCAGCAAGGGATCAGATATTACTATAAACAGAAGACTGAATATCAAGGGAGTCACATATTCTGAAACCTCCAAATTCCTGGACCTACGCGTCGCGATGTGTCAGCAAAAAGGCCAAAAGCGGCACAGTTGGTCGATCATCTAGCTTTCCCTTCACTCTTTGGTCCCTGATTGACAGGAGAGAGCGGGGGGTAAATGAAGATCTGATTTCTACGGCCTTATTCCAAGAAAATGATCAATTGATTCATCTCCTCCTCGGCTTCTCTCAAAGATGGTCCCCCGTCGCTTCAGTCGCCGCCTGATTGCACTTGCAACCGCCATCGCCCTCTTCTTCTTCTACCACGTCACCACCATCTCCGACCACCACCGCTCATGGCGGCCACACTTCACAGCCGACATCCCCCCAGACCTCGATGAGAATGGCGAACCAGCCACCTTCTGTCCGCCCTTACCAGGCATCGAAGACGTCCTCGTCGTCATGAAGACCGGGGTAACAGAATCGCAAGCCAAAGTCCCCATCCACTTCAAAACAACCCTCCGCTGCGTCCCGCACTTCGTAATCTTCTCCGACTTCGCCGAAGAAATCGAAGGCGTCCAAATCCACGATGTCCTCCAAAACATGGACAGCGCCGCAAAAAGAACCCCGACTTCGACCTCTACCACCGCATCGTAAAATACGGCCGCCAGGGCCTCGAGCAGCAAGACTTCGCCGACGAAGCAAACTCCGCCATTGGAAAACCCAACAACCCAGGCTGGAAACTGGACAAATGGAAATTCCTACCAATGGCCCAGGAAGCGCTCCGCTACAAGCCCGACGCAAAATGGTTCGTCTTCATCGAAGCCGACACCTACGTCTCCTGGCCAACGGTCCTCACCTGGCTGGCCCGGTTCGACCACACAAAGCCTCACTACCTCGGCACCGAGACGCAGATCGCAGACGTGATCTTTGCCCACGGAGGCTCGGGCTTCATGCTTTCGAACCCGGCGCTGCAGCGAGCCTCAGACGAGTATAGTGCCCGCGAGGTCGAGCTGAATATCTTCACCGACCAGCACTGGGCCGGCGACTGTGTTCTAGGCAAGGTTCTCAGCGACGCGGGCGTCAATTTACATTTCACCTGGCCGATTCTGCAGAATTCAAACGTTGGCGAGCTGGATGAGTTCACTACGGACTTCTACCGGCATCCATGGTGCTTCATTGCCGTCGCAATGCACCACCTCTCGCCATCGGATATCGCTAATCTCTGGAAATTCGAACAAAAGCGCTGGCGCGATGTGAGTAACTCCCTTCATCCCATCCCTGCTCTGCTTCTGCAAATATCTAATCATAAATCGCAAACAGAAAAATAAACGCATCCTCCTCCACGCCGACCTCTTCCGCGAATACATCTACCCGGAAATCGCCACACAACCCACCCGTCTAAACTGGAACAACCTAGCAGACGAAGACCAGCCCTTCGCGCACTCCTACGAAGATTGTCGCACAGTCTGTGAAGTGCAGAAGTCATGCACGCAGTTCGTCTACCGTGACAATGCCTGCTTCACAAGTCCGAAACCCCGTCTCGGACATGCCGTTTCCGGTGGCGATGCGACGTCTGGTTGGATTGTCCCTCGTATCCGGGATGCGATGGAGTCGAAGGGGTTGTGTCGGAAGCCTGATTTTGGGGATTGAGTTAAGGATACCTTTTTTTCACTTTGTGCTCTTTTCTCGATTCTGGTGATTGCTTTATGAGTATGTCGTTCGGTATATGAGATATCGATATTGTTTGCATGGTAGATGGTTGTTGGCTAAGGGGGTATATGCATGCCGGGCTCGGGCTCGGTTCGGAGAACTTGCTATGTCTTATTTTCTGTATCAACATTCTCGATTCTGTTCTTTGGCGTCGGTGCTGGGTTGCTCAATATATACAACTTTCTTGGCTCAATACACACTCGACACGCTTAGCGGTTTCCATTTTTCGTCCATCATAATCCACTCAGTGGCCTTCGTGTACGTATCTCGAGAGGAATGACAAGTGCTTACATCAAGGATGCAGCAAAAGGATAAACGTTCATAATAATCTGAAGGTGTACCTAGGAGGAAGAGGTATATACGCTAAGAATAACTCATAACAGGACCAGCTCGAGTCTATACAAATTCCACGGACTCACGGAAATCATCCTACAGCGGTGGAGCAGACACATCTTCCAAACACTGATCAATACGCATAATCTGGTATCCAGCACTCTTGACATGTCGAATGAACTGAGGCAAGTACCGAATAGTCGTAGGATTCAAGTAGTGCATGACCGCCAGGTTACCACCCAAGCCCACGCTGCGGTAGAAAGCGTCAAGCTGTTTCTCCGGCGTAGTGGTATTGGCCCACAACCAGTCTTCGACATCAACGCTCCAATTCACAATGTACGGGTTTGGGATGTGTCGAGCGAGCTGCTGTCGCAGCCGGGCAGCTACTGTGCCGTATGGTGGACGGAAGTATGAAGCTATATCACACTGTGTCAGAATATGGAGGAGAGGGCATCCGGGACGAACATACATTCAATTCCCAGCTTTTCCTTGAAGGTTGCTATGGTCTGGATAATCTCGTCGTCGATATCACGAAGTGTTGGCAATGCCTCCATCCTGAACCACCATGTCAGAGTTGTCACAACCAACAAAGTATTTCCAAGATTAACTTACTTAGGATGAGTATTAGAATGAAATGCCACCTGATGGCCCTTCCTCAACATCTCCTTATAAAACTCAGTGAAATTAGTCGTCTGATCACGCAGTCCAGCCGCAACAACAAAAAAGGTAACCCGCACATTCTCCTCATCCAGCATCCGCATGACTTCCTGCGAGAACTGTGGCTGGCCGTCGTCAATACCAAATGCAAAGGAACCCGGCCGCGAACAACGCAGCACCAATCTCCCACTAGGCAGCTTGCCGGGCAAACGGTAATGGCCATTCTCCTGCGTCGGCTGTGGGACAGCAGGAACAATTTCAACAAGATGGAGAGTCACGGACTCATTGGTGTAGAAGCCGTGGAATGAGAAGGACACGACGCGGTGGAAATCAACGTTGAAATGGCTGAGCGGAATGAAGAGCTCGCGACGGCCTGTTGGGATCTTGGCTGTGCCTGGGTGCTTGCGTCGGGTATCCTTAGATCCTGCGTTCTTGAGATAGTTTCTGGCCTGGGCATCTGCTTCCAGGTCATCATCCTCTTCCCAGTCATCCTCATCATCGCAATCATCCTCCTCATCACAGTCATCGTCATCCCCATCATCTCCTCCGCCTGCTAGTTCCGAGGCTGGATGCACCACATACCGCTCTGCCTGGACAGAGTCCGCAACACCAGGGAAGGGACTGCGACGTGGGTTACACTCGTCATTGTGTTGGTTCAAAGAGACGCTGAATTGATCCGTGCCTTCAAATATGACATGTAGAAACTCATTATACCACCCCATCAAGCTGTAGCAGGCATTCGTATCGAACTGGGTATGGTAGTTTTGATCCGGGTCTGTTGGAGACAGTTTGATGAATCCCGGTCCATGTTGGACGGTGAGGTTTTCGCCGGAGCCGTGCCAAAAGCCCAGGTCATTGTGTAGTGGGTTCTGGAAAGTGTCGATTATGATAGGAGGGCTGGATTTGTGCGTCTGAGAGGTATTACGTGGAGGGTTGGTGAGTCCGCGGAGTTCATTCCAGTGGCCGTGGTCAACGATTGTGGAGGGTGAGGCAGTTGTTGGGAGGAATAGAGAAAGAAAGGCGCCTCCTATGAATAGCCAATGCATGATGGAGTGTTTCTGTGGAAAGGAGTGAATGTGCTTGGGTGAAAGAGTGACGGCAGAGAGGCAACGTTGTAGGGTACGCGCACGATTCTGATGTTTATAGAAGTCAAGAGCGACTGGCCGTAGACCATTAGGTAGGTAGGAGCTCGACATCTTAGGGTTAATCTACTAGACAATATATGTACCTTCAAGCATTGGGCTCTGTACACTCTACACTTTTACGGGAAATGTTAGGGAATGGGATCCTATTTCATGGGCTAAACTATCCAGTATTGACTATTCTCCCTCTCATCGTATGTAATTCTGATCCTTGTGCCCGTGGAAGCGTTCAAAGCCAGCAAGAATCTTAGATCCTCATGTGAGATGCATAAGATGCTGAAATAATTCTGAAACTGCTTCAACCTGACCTAGGCCGTACAACATAGCGAGAGATCAAGCCATCAAACCTCATTTCGGACGAATCGTAGTAAATGTTGGACTTCTTTCGTTTCCATTTTTTTGGTCGGTCTTTTTTCCCGTTCATAATTCATAATTCGTTGATCCTGTCGGTTGAGACTTGAACATGGGCTCGAGACATTTAGAGGTCTAACCCCAGAAATCAGACTGCTTAGGAGCTTGGGCCTCGGGAGCAGGGCTGGTAGCATAGGCAGAATCAACGAGGCCGCTCTTCTTTCGAGACTTTTGGTCCACATCACGTTCATCAAGGGTCTTACGGTCGTCATAAGCGGCGTCTCTCGCTTTTCCTTCATCGCTTCCGGCTTCCTTGCCAGATCCGGCATCACTGTAAGCATCTTCTTTGGTTTCCGGGACCTCGTCAAGTCTGCCTTCATCGGAAACAGAGCCAGCACCAGCGTCGGTGCCCGCAGCAGATCCCTGTTCGAAAAACTCGTCGTCCGAGTCATCATCAAACACAAGTTCGCCCTCAGGGCGGAATTCCTCAAGGAAATCAGGAACAATTTGTTTACACTCAATCAAGTTCTTAACGAGGTCCTGAGCAATTTCCTCGTTCTTTTCATTGTAGAAAGACGTCGCAATGCCTTCGTTACCGATGCGGGCGGTACGGCCTGTAGGTTTGAAAAGATGTATTAGCGGCATGTCCATCAGAAAAGGAGGGTCAGTTAATGTGAGTCTCACCAATACGGTGGATGTACTCAGTTATGCCACCATGCACAGCACTGGGTAGATCATAATTCACGACATGCAAAACATTGATCACATCAAGACCACGGGCAGAAACTCCAGTAGCAACCATGATAGGGCACTTGGCGGACCGGAAGGCGCGCCTATCCAGTGAATTAGCAGGGCAGAATGTAATAACGGAACTAAAGGAGTACTCACATGGCATCCTCACGCTCACGCTGGGTACGTCCACTGTGGATTGAAGTGCTTGGCATGCCCGAATTGTAGAGATAATCGTCGACAAAGTCAACCTGGTCCCTGCTGTTGACAAAGATTAGGGTGCGGACAGGCGGCATGCTGATCAGAAGATCATAAAGGGCACGCATCTTCTGGCGCTGCTCAACCCAGATGAACTAATCATTGAGCGTCAGCATTGTTTCTTGATTTCTAGCGCACATTGCCACAAAACTTCTGGCGATCCACATACTGTTTGAACAACGTTGTGATGTGAGCTACCGGCTCGGCCAACACGCAGACGCACATGGTCGTCACTGAGGTATGTCTTCGCCAGCTTGCGGAACATCTTGTTGAAAGTAGCTGAAAACATCAAATAGCGATGATCCTCATCCTCGTTGATATCTTGCGCAGGTCAGCAGAGAAAAGGTATATAATATGCGCAAGGGCACTCACCTCCTCCAGACATGATTTTTTTGAATTCATCCTCCCAATCGGCGTCAAGCATTTCATCGGCCTCGTCAATGACCGTGTACCTACCTCTCCATTAGCATCCTTGTTCACTCTGATGCATATCAGAACTTGTTCGCAGATATAGCTTACCGAACACGGCGAAGAGACAGGACGTGAGTTTGGGCCATAAAATCGAGAAGACGACCCGGAGTCGCAATGAGAATATCGCATCCCTTTTGAAGCTCTTCACGCTGAAGGCGAGCAGGGGCACCACCATAAGCAACACAGGGACGAAGCATCGATCGGTAGCAGAGCCGGCGGGCATCGTCAAAGATCTGAGTTGCCAATTCACGAGTAGGGCAGACAATCAGAACCAGAGGCTCGGCTCGAACAGCGTCCTCCCTTGGGTTGAAAAGTTCAGCGACATTTGGGCGTGGAGCAGCCAGTTTCTTCGCCTTGCCCATCAACTTAGAGAGGATGGGGATAAGAAAAGCGCCCGTTTTTCCGGAACCTACATTTGTCAGTACCAAATCAGACATGGCACAGTAAGCCTGAGCACTCACCAGTCTGTGCGACTGCAATGAGATCATGGTTCGTCAAAACGGCTGGGATAGCATACGACTGGACCGCAGTAGGAGCCGCATAGCCACAAAGGCGGATGTTTTGAAGCATTACCGGATGCAGACCCAAGTTCTCCCACTACTCATTGTTAGAATGACACAGCATTATTGACTTCCCGCAGACTGACCTCAGTGACTGCCACAATTTCGTTGGGGCTCTCAATGTTGACCTTGTAGCTATTAAGCCTGTAGGAGACGCGATATTAGCTATCATCGTTGTTACATGGCCGTCAGTTCAGGTCACTTACTCGTCAATTTTATCGCCAGCACGACCAACATGGTCACTACCGAAGAGCTGCTTCTCGAGTTCTGGAACGGCAGGTCCGATCTCACCGTAATCGTCATTCCACTCGTAGCGGGTGGCAACACTAGCCCAATCACGATGGTCTTTATTGTTGGAGAGGTCAGCATACGCATAAGGGACCCGCTCAGTCCAACCCTTATTGCGAGCGACCTCGATGAGAGTGTCAGTATCGGGACCGACACCCGAGAGCACGCCTTGAGTAGGCTCATGTTCTTGTGTGTCAAGACCCTCCACTGCGGAAGCGGCATCGTCAACAATGGAGGAGGTCTCGGCCGCCGACACGATATGAGTCTCCGGAAGGTCCATGGTGAACTTTTGCAGCTCGATGGGCCCAGTAGGGTAGGGATGTAAATGAACGTAAGTTAGAACCTTGGAATGCGGGCAAGGGAAAGAAGAAGACGAAGAGGATGACACACGTAGAAGATTTTATATCGTATAAACAACAAATAAATTCCTGCGAGCTCGACACGTCGTTGAAGCAAAAGTTGTTGGGCAAGTACGCACGAGAGTTGAGATGGGAAGGAACGAAGATGACCGTCCAAATTTTGGCAATAGCCATAGATTCTTTGGAGTTACCTCGACATAACACTGACCTTATATGGAATAACATGTACCCCGGATGTACCATATGCTAGCTACCTACTCTCACGGAAAGAACAACCTCACTAACAACAAGCTGAAGATTGATAGACACATCATCACATGTATACTATTCCTTTTATTTTTAAGGTTAACACTGTTATTCTGTTGCTTAGTGCTTACCTAGATATCCAAATCACCACAGAGTCAGGACTTGTTGAGAGGTATGTCTCCCTAGATGGTGTGCGTAGCTGATGGTTAAGCTCTTCGTGCTGGTCACTGCTGACTGGGCATTCACACTTTAAATGACAAACAACACGATATGCCATCATTTGCCATGTCTGGTCCAGGATAATCCTGGTCCCCTGGACATTTATTGACCCTAAGCCTGTGATACTAGTGTCCTGCGTATACTTGCAAATATCAGATCTGATAACACAAAGTCGTAAGGAAGGTCAGCCGAGCACAAGGGACGAAAACGGAAAGCGGAAACGTGCCTAATCCATCACGTGAATTTTTTCAATGTGTAGAAGACTGATTCTCATCTCGATCATATCATCATACAATGCAGTTAGTTAGCTGGATATCTCAAACATTCCCAGATCTACAAAGCCTCGGGACGTTGTTAGCTCCTCGGCTTCTTGAGGTGGAACCGGTGGATCGGGTAGAAGGAGATTTACGCCGTAAGCCTGGGCACGGGCCCCCGGGGTACCTCTCCAGCTTCAGCTTCAGCTTCACTTATCTTCTATACTTTTTACAAGTCCCTCGCAATGGCTCCCTCCGATCGCACTCCGGAGGTAGATACCAATTCTCGACGCAAGCGCCCCAATCGTCTGGAGCAAGCCATCACCAATCCCGGCGCAGTGAAGATAAACGTTACTGGTGCATTTATCGTCGATGATGAGCCGCGGTCCAAGAGTCCTGTCGAGGCGGAGGGTGTGCACTACGAGAACAAGGATATCCGACTTCCTCACCATACAGGCGTTGTGAGCCATGTGGCTGTCGATGTGAGTTACCCGCGAGAATTTCTTTTCGCTGTGTGCCCCGCACTCCCGCCGGTTCCCCCGCAACCAAGGGGGCCATGAAGAAAATACGTCCAGGAGACCGCGAGATGGCATCGGCTGACGCGGAAGTGGCATTGGTAGATTGGCGGAACACTGGCGAAGCTGGTCTACTTTACTCGGGAATTGAATAGCGCGGACAATGGCGGTCGATTGAATTTCCTTAATTTCGAAACCCACCGCATCGACCTGTGCATCAACTTCATTCGACAGCTCAAAGAGGAACACGAGAAGAGCAACGGCTCCAACAGCGAGGGACTGTGTGTAGTCGCGACCGGAGGAGGTGCCTACAAGTACTATGACAGGTTGAAGAATGAACTGAATGTTAATATTCTACGGGAAGAGGAGATGGAATGCTTGATCATTGGTAAGTTATTTGACCTCTACAAGCGTTCGAGCGTCCTTTCTAACATCTCGAAACAGGTCTTGACTTTTTTATTACCGAGATTCCCAATGAAGTTTTCAGATATACCGGTGGCGATGACGAGCCGTTGGAATATGCCGAGGCCAGGCCCGATGTCTACCCCTATCTCCTCGTCAATATCGGATCAGGCGTGTCGATCATTAAAGTCTCTGGCCCAAGGCAATTCGAGCGCGTCGGCGGAACGCATCTTGGAGGTGGAACGTTCTGGGGCATCATGTCTTTGCTGACCGGCGCCCGGACATTCGATGAGATGCTGGCAATGGCCGATCGTGGAGACAACAGTGCGGTGGACATGCTTGTGGGAGATATCTACGGCATGGACTACACCAAAATTGGCTTGAAGAGTACAGCTATTGCCAGTACTTTCGGCAAGGTACTCCGATTGAAGAACGACGCAGAGCGCGGTGCCGAGGACGGCGAGGGCTTAATTCGCGGCGACCCGGGCGAGGCAAACGACTCCAGCCGCGGAGTGAAGCCCAATCCGGAGGATATGAGCCGAAGTTTGCTATACGCCATCAGGTATGTCCCATCGTCCAGATATTCCAATGCCCGAGTCCCGAGACTAACCGTTGATTAGTAATAATATCGGCCAGATCGCATATCTGCAGTCAGAAAAACATTCCGTCGAACACATCTACTTTGGTGGCTCTTTCATTCGGGGCCACCGGCAAACCATGAATACCCTCTCTTATGCCATCCGCTTCTGGTCCAAGGGCAAGAAGCAAGCGTATTTCTTGCGCCACGAGGGCTACCTCGGCGCCGTTGGCGCCTTCATCCGACGCCAGCCGGAAAACTGGGGTCGCAGAAACAGCGTCGACGAGGTGATTGCACCGCAGGCGGTTCGAACCCTCGTTCAGAATAAAGATATCCTTCAGCAACATGACAGGTCCTCTAGCGATCTTTAATCTCTGACAAACCAACATGTTGCGACTCTACCTCCTCCTCCTCATTGAGTCTTGATACCCCCCAACACGCAAATCTTGAACCACCTACCTATCTTGTGCCAACGTCGGAATATTTCTTGTGCATTTCTGCCCCCAGAGTGGCCCTTCCATGGACAGACTATCTGTGGAAGGCCATTGTGTCTTTCGGGCATCTTTCCATGTTGTGCGTTTAGATTCAATTTGTGGCAGTTTCCTGCTTCACTATGTCTGAATATGGCTGGCTATGTTGTGCTAGAAATAAGATATCCTTCTCTAATTCTCCATACTGTGGGTGCGGACTGTGTTGCTAATCTACATGGAGAAGTCATGTGGTTTGCTCAGGTGAAGTCTAGAGTCTAAAGCCCTGTCCACATATCTGACGATGATGTCGTCGCCAACTCACCGCGACGACGATGTAATCACTGCGTTTATGTCGTGGGTACTTACTACTTAAATGAGATTTTACTCTTGAGATCTCTTCTCCGCTCTTTCACCTTCCATTCATCTTTTCCCAATTATGCGTGTCCTCATACTCACACTTTCTCGACGTTCCATCACATCCTGCAATTAGTTGCACATTTCCCTTGCCTCTCGCGCCTTTTCGACTTCACTTACTCGGAATCCTCGAGACTCATTCGTTCATCCCAAGCACAGCCGACTTCATCTCTTGAACACGTCTTCTCTCACTTTCGTTCATCCGTCTCTCCACGCCATCTTCCTTCATTGCAATCTCACTTCTCTTTGCTTACACATCGTCATCATCCAGATCCCATCCATGTCGGGACTGGACCCCACTCGCTCTTCTTCATCTCTCGAGCCCGTCGACATGCCTCCGGCTTCTTCCACCCCAATGGAACGTACCCCAAAAAAATGCACCAAAAAGAAGAAGCGCAAGTCAAAGGAGCGCACCCCAAAGGAAGAGCAGCACAAGCCCAATAGTTCCGATTCCACCACATGCGAAGGAACTCCTACTCTCGCCAGCGAGTGGAACCATATTTCGGGCAGGTGTTCTGCCAATTTTTCCTTGAGCGACACTGCGTTGGATGTTGAATATTGGTCTGCTTGCCGGCTCTCGCGGTCTTCTACGCCCACTCCTGTATCTTCCAGGCGTAATTCGGTGGTTAACCACAAGGCCACCCAAGCGAGGTCTTCTACGCCCACTCCTGTATCTTCCAGGCGTGATTCGGTGCTTAACTACATCGCCACCCAGGCGAGGTCTTCTACGCCCACTCCTGCATCTTCCAGGCGTGAATCGGTGTTTAACTCCAAGGCCACCCGAACGAAGCACAGTAGGACGAAAGATCCTCGCGCTGGTATCTATATCCGGTTCCAATTTAGGGGACCTGCGTCTGAGCCAGGCCGCATCTTCCAGGCCAACCAGCTACACATCCTGTACCGGAGGGCCCGGGAGTACTACAACATTGATGGGGATCTTGGGCTCTGGTGCTCTCCTCCAGGTATCAAGTCGGTTCGCTACATTTTCGTGGGTGAGGAAGGCCTGAATGAGTTCCGGATCCTCCAAAACCTCATGTACAATGTGGGAGTGGTCAATGAGAATGCCCTTGTGGAGGTGAGGCTTCATGAGCCTGTCTATTGGTGAGGTGGAGTGGCCTAAGGCCCATGACGAGACCATTCAACTGTGTGGGAGCCCACGCGTACGATAAGCTTTCCGATATTTTGACAGTGCAGTATCAAGGCAATTTATCTTCCAGTTTCTATGAGACATTGCTTCGCTTAGTTTACGTCGGTCATTTTTGCCCTTTCAACTATCACATGCGTAAAGTTCATCAATGGAAGACGCGATAAATCCTCGCCAAATATGATTCATAGTCAAGTTGATCTATTGAGCTCTTAGATCTTAATCTGTCTTAAGGTAAACATGCGTTGATTTCCGAGTTCCGCCAGAAGTCAATTCATTCCTAATAATTGGTTCATAGCTTTCTATAGTACCCATTGGCGGTGGGGCCATTGCATTATTGTTGCGCGATCACAGATATATTACCTAGGTACCGGATGAGATTGCAAGTAATCGGGATCTCGATGCATGGTTTGGTAGGCATAGACTGGAAGGTACCTATTATGCGTCGCAACGACCTGACTTGTTGAGCCAAGTCATACATGATACCGAGCCTGTAGATAGGTTCTTAATCAGTGCTTATACCTAGAACTCAAATTGGAAGACATCCGTCCGGAGGTTGAACACTAAGGTTCCATACCATTGAGTCTGGACAATTGAGGGTTGATAAAATCACGTGTTTACCTCAATTAGATCAGGAAGCTATCCGATTAGGTTTAGCGCGTCAAGAATCTGAATGTTTGGATCATGTGATAAGGTCTGTGGTACGTACTGGTACAGCGGTAAGCCCGCGGCTTGCGCGTTTCGTTCACAGCTGTCACCTCGCTAAGAATATCATCCAACGGGCTAATCTCTTTCTTCGCGCCATGCCCCGATGCTAGCTCTGCCAGTGCTCGATGACTTCCCCTTCCTCGACAGACCCTTTTCCACCCCCGATTCCCGTTGACACTCATCCCCGCCGCGCGTCCGGGTCCAAGTCCCCTGAGTTCGAACGGTCCCTCCCCGACCCTAATCGATTGGCACCGGAGGATGCATACTTCGCTCCGTCGCTGTCAAGGGTCCGATCAGCCCCGGTCAACTATGGAGAAAGTCTGCAGTCCCTGAATGGCGATAGCGGTGCCCATATTGGGTCGGCGGCTGCCTTACGGAAGAGAGTTGGCGGTGCAGGGAGGAGACGAAGACGAAAAGGTGCTTGGAAGAAGCTCCTTTGGGTCAAGCAATCGTGTATGTAACATGCGCTTATACCGGATTGAAAAGCTGTCGTTGTGTCGTTGCTGACAGTCGACTTTAGATCCCGACAACTACACCGACACGGAAACATTTTTGGATCACCTCCAGCGCAATCCTCGAGTACGGCCATATGACTTCTGGCCACTGGTCGCCGATTCGACTGTGATTGTGCAGCATGTATGCTCAGTGGTGATCTTCGTTTGTTGCTTCATCGGTATCGTCCAGGACCGAGTGAGTCCGGTCTCCATTGTGTGCTGGGGAAGTGTTGGCACAGCCGTGGGCTGGATTCTATGGGACAACTGGATTTGGAAGGAGCATGCAGATTCAGTGCAAGACCGAAATGGAATAACTGGAGGCGACGACAACTCCAGCTCAGATTCATTTGCCAGCGCCATCAACACGCCCGCAAACATTTCACAATCCGATGACTCCAAGTCGAGCGCTATTCATGGCCTCGGGCTGTCTATAGCAGGGAATGAATCAAAAGAGAACCTGGCTTGTCGGAGTGCAAATTTCAGCGAAAGCATCGACGCAGTGGCTGATTTGACAGCCCAAAGTGCTGTACCGTCTGCCTTAGGCAGCTCTATGGGCAGCATGGATGCATCGGTGTCGCCGAATACCCACCGGATTTCAATGCTATCACCCCGCAATCGCCAGCGACTCACTACGGTCAAGTCGGCATTCCTCATCTACTTCTCCCTCCTGGGCCTCAGTCCCATCCTGAAATCACTTACCAAATCCACTGCCAGTGACTCTATCTGGGCAATGAGCTGTTGGCTTTTAATAATGAACATATTTTCTTTCGACTATGGGAGTGGGGAAGGCGCAGGCGCCACCACCAAGTTCCCTGCTTCTTTGTCCACGAACGCCGCTGTGATGGCTTCGACTGTGCTCGCATCCCGGCTGCCGTCTACGACACATGTGTTCAGTCTCATGCTATTCTCGATGGAAGTATTTGGGCTGTTTCCGATATTCCGGCGCCAACTACGCCAGAAGTCATGGACTGGTCACATTCTCCTGACATTGGCCCTCGTGATCATTGCTGGCGGTGCCGTCGGTGTCACACTGAGCGGCGGCTGGGCAGCAGCTATTATCGGATCTGTTCTAGGCAGCATCTTGACTGCGTTCGTCATGGGAGGGTGTAGCTGGTGGCTCATCAGCCTGCAGAAGTACAAGAACGTCGTGATCGGTCCATGGGATCCTGCCCGGCCTATCATTCGGCGGCACTGGAACTAAGCGTTATCCTTATGCTCCTCAAGTGATGGGGTTTCAGCGCCCTTGTAATATATATTTTCGGCGTTTGTTTGGATCTTCTCGTTTATACCCCTAGATTAGTCTGTCTTGCTTTTGACATCCTCGAAAGTTCAATTGTCTTCCTGCTGCTTAGATCGTCACGATAGGCGCATAACCCATACCAGACTCAGTGTTCCATACAGCCGGGTCACGACGCGGCGAATGTTCTTCAACAAGGCCTGATCGATTTATCGATTAAGCATTCGGTGACGTAGGGGCAGGAATGCGAACTGGGAAGGAGTGACCGAGTGAATGTCGAGTTAACTTGGCATGTCGGGACATCCTGGTGCCTTCCTCCCAGCCGTGCACAAACAAAAGGGCAAAAGGGAAACGCCGTCGATTGATACTTCAAACGCTTCTGTTTCAATTAGAATGGATGGTGAAGTCCTACTACTGCCTAAATTCTAATCTTGGACTGGTGGACTTCGCTTGGCATTCCGAAGCCTCCCTTAGCGCCTGCTGCCCTTTCTCCTACGAGTTTAGGGCTGCTTCATATCCTGTCCTACGACATTCCCCTGAAAGAATGGCCCACATGTCCCGGGGCCATTCAAAGATCAGCTGCCAGGGCAAGGCGCATGTTCAAACCAACAATGAAAATAATGCGGGGCCCATGCGTTTTGCTGGGGTATATACCTCAATGGTCTCCTGCCCTTAAGAAATGCTTTGATTCCTTGTCCATTTTCCATTTCGTTCGTGGAGTGTAAGTAGCTGGTCGCTAAACCAGAACGACAGACGGGGTGTTCGCTCATATCCTCCAATTTCATAACCTACCTTTCAGCCCAACAATAGCCCTATTCTGTCGCCTGGCTACTTCGCATCATGTTCAAACGACTCGCATTTGGCCTCCTGGCCCTTCAATCCGTGGCCGCAACGCGCTTCGTCATGTATATTGATGAGTAAGTCTAGAATGCTGCAATTGACCTGCTACAGGACTTACCGCTGACCGATTTAAGATGGCATGTAACAGATCTCCCCGGATCAGACAAGACCGAGGGCATAGACTATGCTGTCATGGGATTCGCTCCCTCGAAGAATTTCAACTCAGGCTCATCATTCACACCATTCGAGTCTCCCAACAGTATGCGCAAGCGTTTCAGCCCTGACACCAAGCTGATGATTGCCATTGGCGGCTGGGGTGATACAGAGGGTTTCACTGAGGCAGCGAAGACCGAGGCTTCGCGTGAGCGATACGCCAAGAATGTTGCTTCGATGCTCGATGCCAATGGATTCGACGGCGTTGGTAAGATTCCTTCCATCACACCCCCTTACTGAAGAAAAAAGAAAAACAGTAAATAACTCATATGAACAGACATCGACTGGGAGTACCCTGGTGGTAATGGCCAAGATTACAAACAGCATCCAAACTCGGAGAAAGTCGACGAGATCGAAACTTATCCCTTGTTTCTCGAGGCCATGCGAAAGGCAATCGGCGACAAGATCCTTTCTATCGCAGTGCCCGGTCGCAAGCAGGACTTCATTGCCTTCACCAAGGAGCAGAGCCCCAAGATCTTCAAGTCGGTTGATATGGTCAATGTGATGAGCTATGATCTGATCAACCGCCGCGATAACGTCACCGGCCACCACAGCGGTGTCCAGGGTTCTTTGAACACTGTCAACGAGTATCTCGCCCTTGGTGCTGATCCTGAGCAGCTTAATCTTGGCTTTGCTTATTATGCCAAGTGGTTCACCACCGACCCCGACTCCGATTGTGACGAGAACCCCCTCGGCTGCAAGCTCGCCGTTCTCGAGAATTCTGATGGATCAGACAATGGCAAGTCCGGCGCTCTGACATTTGAGGCTAGCACTGTCGCGGATCCCCCAAGAATCTGAAGGATTCTTCCAACGGACAGTGTGGATTTGCAGCGGGCGCCAAGTGCCCTAGCGGACAGTGCTGCAGTTCTTCCGGTTATTGGTATGTTCAGCAATCATCTACTGTTAATTGGAATTCGAGCTGACTTTGTAACAGCGGAACCACCGATGAGTTCTGCCAAGCTGGCTGTCTTTCCGACTATGGCACTTGCAAGGGGGTCTCCATTACAGCCTCGTGGCGTAAGGCCCAGCAGGATGGCAAGACCGACGACAAGGGCGGTGGCCAGTACTACTTTGATAAGGAGAACAATCTCTTCTGGACTTGGGACACACCGGAGATGATTGATCGCAAGTTCAAGGAGATTGTCGCGGAGAAGAAGCTTGGCGGTGTCATGGCTTGGAGCTTGGGTGAGGATACCTACAAGTTTGAGCACCTGCAGGCCATGCAGAAGGGTCTCAAGTCTCACTCTCCTAAGGCACCTGCAAAGGCACCTGCAAAGCCAATTGGAACTTGTGGTAAGCACTAGAATGTTTACCATCGGAGTATAAGTCCAAACTGGAAGTTGGCTTGTTCCATAGATGGTTGGGTTTTTCTAGACGTATATTCGGACGGAGAGAATACTTTCCGTCCTGATATGACGAACTCAGCGAATTCAATATTTACGAAGCTATCTACAATCATCTTGGAATCTATTTACTTGTCCACTTTTTCATCCAAATCTCGATATACCTGTTCACCAATCCCTCAGCCACAGGATCACCCACAAGAGCCAAGGAGGGGCAGTCTTGAATCGTCAGTCCAGTTTCAAACGTGGGCCCAGCCTCATCTTTTCCTTCTTCTGTAGAGTCTCCCGCTTGTTGCAGGCCCGCATACTTCGCCTGCCAGAAATCAAAGAGCTTGATACTCGGATTCTTCTCCGGGTCCTGCTCACTGCCAGCCAACCTCCGAAGCCACTCCTGAGGAGCCACAACCTCAAACCCAGGCAACGCCGACCCCCGCTTCAAAGCAGGAAGCAAATCCTCCTTCCAGCTAAACGTCCTCGGATTGACCAAATGATAAACCAGATCCGCATCGCGTGAGACAGTAGCCTCATTTATAGCAATGTCCGAAATAGCCTGACCACACCGATCAACAGGCAACCAGCTCAACCTCTCATCCAACTCCGGCAAAGCGCCCGTCGCCAACGCACTGCGGAACATAAGCGCAACAGCTTCCGTTTCATTCCAATGCGCGCTGACCGTATCGCCGCCCAGCTGCCCAATCCGCAAAACCCGTGCCTGCATTCCAGTCTGCCGCATGGCGTTGCGGACAATAAGTTCCGTAACTAGCTTGGATCTCCCGTACCCCGTCCCCTGTGCGTGTTCCAGACTCTCGATTATGCTCTCGGGGATGAATGCGGGCTTGGGGGTGCCACTTGCGGCGCTGACGCTGGAGCAGAAGAAGAAGCGGGCAGGGGCGGGCAGGTGAGAGCGCAGACATAGGTTGATGAGATTTTGTGTTCCGCGGATGTGTTGCTGCTCGAAGGAGCGTACGCCTAGGTTGAAATTTACCGCCCAGGCGCTGTGAATGACGCATGTCAGTGACGAGAGCAAGTGCTGGAGATCGTGGTTCTCGAGACCGAGGTTGGGCTGGGATAAGTAGCTGGGGACGGCGTGCAGCTTTGCGGCTTCTGTGTCAGTGAGAACGATGTTGCGGTCGGCTAGTGAGTTGTAGAGACGAGCTCCGGCTGCTGCTTGGCCTGGTGCGCGTATGAGTGCCCATACTTCGGAAACTGTTGGTCGTTTCAGTAATTCTGCGACAATGAATGCGCCCAGGTTGCCTGTTGCACCGGTGACCATTACCACTTCCGTATCTGGCCGCTTGGTGGTGCAGGGGAAATGTTGAGTGAAGTGGGAGTACTTTTCGATGAGCTCACGCATAACATGAAGTTCATCTTCTTTCTCTGATTTCTGACCTGTCCGCAGCTGGTAAAGGTGTTGAGCAAGCGCTCTGACCGTTCCTTTTTCGAACACGATGTTTTGCGAGAGCTGGTCTCCTTGATCGCCGATATCAATATCGCGAACGATGAATCTCCAGATTCGCATTGTTTGCAAACTGTCCACTCCTGCCGAGAAGATATCAGCGTCGGCATCAGGTAGAGTGACGCTCAAGTCATCCTTGAACCTTGTCAGAAGCCAATCCTGCAGCTCAGGGACACTAAGTGCCAGGGACCCTCTTGTCTGATCGTTGCCGTCAAACTTGGCGTATGTTTGTTTGATATCATCTTCAAATTGTTGATACACTTGAGCACGGATGCATGTCCCTTTGTCCGTCTTGGGATATACGACGTCTGCGCCCTTGATAACGACCAATTCCTTCGGGATCCGAGAAAACGTCTCAGAGCGAGCATTCGCTGCTTCAACAGCTGGCCAGATAGCATCCAAGAACTCGTCATCGCTCAAATGCGACACCTTGCCAGGAGCGCGGAAGATCAAAGCCCCAGGCACAGTCCGCTGGAATCCAAAGACCACGCAGTCACTCACGATCGGCTCTTCTCTGATTCGACCTTCAATTGGAATGGGAAGAACCTTTTCACCGTTGATCAGCGTGATTCGGTCATCCAGCCGACTCAAATATTTGTAAAAATTGCACTTTGCAGGGTCCGGGTGTCTGGTAAACAGGTCGGCCGTCCTGAAACTATTCTCTGGGTTCTTTGCGCTGAACGGTGGTTTTGAATTCGAAGGACCTTTGCTCGGCAGACCATCCAATGCGACGCATTCAAAGACACCTGGTGAAATCTCATCCATCAGAGTGAAGTCGGCAACAGGGCGATGCAGGCGCATGTACTGCCACTCCTTATCTTCCGCGGGGCGGAAAGAGGTCATGATCTGTCCTGTCTCAGTTGCTCCATAGTTGGCGACTAGGTTGACACCTTGCGCAACGAGACGGTCGCCAAGGTCATCTGGACAGCTGGAGCCGCCGAATAGCACAAGCTGGGCTTTAGCCAGTGCATCAATGCCCTCCTGTCCCTCTGCGAGTAGCTTTATAGCATACGGCACAGCGCTGATTTGCTGGGGCTGGGCCACCTGCAGGGCGTCGCAAAGGGTTTGATATGTCACCGGAAGAGAATGATTTCCCAGATACGTCGGTGCTCTTGTATAAAATGCCCGCCCGAGCTCCATCAGCGCAAAGGAGTGGAAGAGCGGGCTGATAGTGAAGAGGCGCAGCCCGAAGCTCTTGCGGAAATTAGCCAGGGTTTGCAGGTTTGTCAAAAAGATCGGCTTCGGAAAGCCAGTGCTCCCAGATGAATGCAGAATCCACGCAATCTTTTTACCTTCTCGCGATGGATTCACATCCTCTCGCTTGAAGCGATATGGGCTCACTGGCTGATTGAACCAGTCCTCCCTGCTCAGGAGAGTGAAGGTACTCCATTCAAGACGCCCCGTGCGCATTTCAGATACGATCTGCTGGAACTGACAGGTATGGATAATCTTCCTGCAGTTGGCCATATCCATCAGTCGAGAATATGCTGGTGCTGTCAGGCGCGTCGACAAAAAAAGCACTGCATAGCCCAACCTATTCAACGCGAAGAGAGTCACCACGACCTCGAAACTGGATCCGACCAGCATGGCTACCACAGGGGCCTCGTCGAGAGTTGGGTCCTAGGGTAATGTTAGTCGAGTCTGACACATAAGCCGGGCTGTCTTCGTACCGCAGGGGCAAGTCCTTGCTGTGTGTAATAGCGAACTGCAACCTCGGTATAATGATCGATGTCTTTGGCTGTATGCTTCTCGAAATCGGCAGCTCCATGGACCGGGTAGCATATTAGCGGGTGCTGTGCCTCATCTGGTTGAGCTGCATGCGATCTCAATAACCCGTCGATAGTTGCGAACTGTTCATGTTTGGGCCATTGGGAGTGGAGTGTCCCGTTCAACAGACGGGTTGCGATGTGAATGTCTCCCATCTGGGGTGACTCTACGTCTCTTTCGGTGAGGGTGATAGTGGCCATTAGGTTTGTTTGTTAGGTTGGAACAGGGTTGGAAGTCGCATTCACACCCAGCTCGCGATGTCTTTATATCTGGGGTAAACCCCACACTTGGGGTAATCCCACGTTATGTGGGTGCTTTTCCGGTTTTCCGGATCGTCGACCCGGAAAACACCTTGGCCCCGGATATTGATCTCTGTCCCATTTCCGGTATCAATCTAGCTGGGATGACGAAGCTTTTGTTATGATCTACGCCGGGGGGAGGGAGGTGCGCGGGCTTATCCTAACCTACATCGAAATCGCGGTCCTGGGGTGGGAGGGGCACCTCCGATGAGGTCAGCCAACTGGCGAGTTTTTACAGGGACGGATACATATCCGACATCCAAAACGCATAGGTATCATCGCATATGTAGGTGAGTGAAAATGATTATCCATGGAATGGAAGGTATTCAGTGTGTATACCTTTGAGAAATGCACATATGCCCCTAAGTCCAAGGTATGCATTTACCGCATCTCGTCTGTCTAAACACGGCACAAACGGCCATTTTGATCCGGAAGACCATCGTCGCTCTTCACAACCCAGCCCTCACTCCTCGCTACCAACACCGGTAGGCGCATAGAAGAAGGATTTCGGGTCATACCGCTGCTTAAGTTTATACAAACGCTCATAGTTGCTACCATAGAAAGCCAGTTGAAAATCCGATTCCTGGATATCCGACTCGGACATGTAAGCACCGGAATTAGGGCAAACAGCACGCCATTGGGAGATGACATTATTAGTGAGGTAGTTCAGCTTGGACTTGATGGCCGAATCCGACGTCGTGTTCGTCCATTCAGTCGATGTGATCGCATGCAATGAGCATCTGACGAGAAGCTGGATTTGCTGCATTGGGAGCAAGGCCTTCTTGAAGCCCGGCTTTCATGTTGAATGCGAGTAATGGGAAGCCAGCTGTGATAGTACTTCGCAGTGCATCGAATGTGGCATTGAATAACATGGGGCTCTTCCAATCTGCGCGGGGGAATAGACGAGAACCTGTGCTCCGGATGGTTTCACCGACCACTTCGCGGGGAAATCCGCCTAGCCAACTGTCGTAAAAGCTATCGTAGTATGTCGTGTTTGGCTGAAAGGCGATGCCTAGCTCGTGTAGCTCATTAAACCATGGTTTTACTGTTTTACAAGAGCGTTGAACTGGGCTACCGTGTGGTTGACGGCGAAGAAAGGGTTCATCAGAAAGGTGAAGGCATCGGGGCCTGTCGACATCACCCAAAAGTAGGCGTACGTGCCGGCATCGGCGTGGGCTGGGAATCTCTCAAAAGAGGGTCGGACTCCAGCCCAGAAGGTATCGACCGAAACGTCCTTGCCAGTGGATGCATATGATCTATCATCTGCATGAGAGAAGTGTGTCTAGACTTGCCTAGTCCTGCTGAACGCTCATGTCTCTCCTTATCCCCGGCCCACGGGCCAGATATAACAAAGGAACATCTCCGCGGACTTATTCAGTACGCAGACTAACAAAGGGCGTGCGGGGTGCGGGGTACTCAGTGCTTGTGAGCAGGATCAGATTCTCAGCATCTGAATTTCAATGAAGACACCATATGATCTAGCCAGCCTCCATTGCTCCATTCTCTGTCCACATTGTCCACATTGTCCACCGTGCCCCACTTCGGCAAAGCCGATCATCTTCCTGAGCAATGAGAAGCCCGCAATGCAAGGGACTCCGAGAACTATGGAGAACATTGCATTCCAGACCACTCTGTCAAGACTTGCATAAAGAAAGCCATCAAAAGCTTATGATCGGCAGGACCCGCCGGTCGGTAGTGAACATCCCCGGGGAAGATCTGGAGATCTCGAGGTCTTGAATCGCTCCACTCAACCATGGTATCATGGAGTCTTGATTCTTTGAGATCTTCCAACCGAGTACTCGTCATTGGCGAGAGTAGATACTTATCCGGAGCTCAACCATGGTACAAGTACATTATCCGGGGAGTTATTGAACAGCTCGTTTGCTCCTGCCAATGGCATGCTCCTTTCATATTTGAAATTAACCGCTCCGAGGACGGCTACATTTTCCGGCCTCATGATTCATCCGAGAGTCAAAGTTTTCGTTATGCCAGTACCTGAGCTCCGAATTCCGTTCTGTGCAAATCGTGGGGAAATTGAAGCTCAGAACCTTGGTATCATACATGTACCGTCTTAGTGATGGGCTGGATGACCCAATGATTCATGGAACAATGCCGCATTGAGCCTGAGGAGCATAATCGTGGCATCGGCCATTGCTCTTTGCGGTAACAGACCGAATAGAAGTCCCCGAAACTCAGTCGCATCGGTGACATTCCCGGCGACTCTTGCGATGAATCATAGAGTCGGGTCAAAGAATGAAAGAAAAGAAAGTCATTGAAGCTCGTACTCCTGACTCGCGGCAGCGTTCACGATATGCCTTATATTTTAACCCAAGATCCGGTGTTGATTTGACTGGAGTTCTTTAGCATGGCCTATTCAGTCGCATCATGATAATGGACGACCATCACCAGAAGGCTGCACTGGCGATTGTCCTCGCATTGACGATCCTCGGTGGAGTTGCAGTTATACTTCGGCTTTGGAGCCGATGGCTATCACGTTCGTCGCTCACTTGGGGTATGATATCTTCGCCTGGCTTGAACTGGACTTGCTTCGAGAAAAACCTGCTGACGAGGATCCTTATATAGATGACTTCTTCATTGTGGTTGGATATGTAAGATCCCCAGGTCTTCGCATGACGGGAGCATACTGGCTGGCTAATTAGATGATCTCAATCTGCCAATGTGTTACATCGTGGTACTGTGAGTGAATTCGATCGACAAGAACAATGACCAACCTCTAATTCGCATAAATAGTCATCAAAACAAACTACGTCGGCATCCACATTTGGGATATCCCCAAAGACAACGATCCGAGACCTGGGATGATTGTAAGTCTGCTTCACAGCTCGTATCAACCAAAGACTGACACCGACAGTGGAACTTTGCAAATCAGCTCCCCTACATCCCAGCCTTGACAATGGTAAAGATCTCCGTTCTCTTATTCATACGCCGACTCGACTCGCACTCACGGCTAGTGAAGTATCTCGTCTGGAGTTCCTTCGCCGTCGTAATCGGCCTATTCCTCGCCGTCCTCCCAGTCGTCATTTTCCAATGCCATCCAGTGAGATACATGTTCGACAAAACCATCCCGGCAAATGCATAAACCAAGGTGTATTCTATGTCTCAAGCGCGGCGCTCAACCTCTTAACCGACATCATGGTCCTCTCAATCCCCATCATCATCACCGCACGCCTCCACATACCCCTTCGGCGCAAGATCGCCGTATGTATCATCCTATGTCTGGGTATAGCGTAAGCGATCCACAAGTCCGATATCCCACACAGATCCTAACAAAGTCCCTCCGCCCACAGCGCAACAGCAGTCGGATTATGGCGCATCATCGTTCTCGTCCAAGCCACCATGTCAAAAAGCCAAGGCGCAGACCCAACCTACCACGTCGGCTTCTGCAGCTCTGTGATCGAAGTCAACGTTGCCATCATCGCAGCCTGTGGCCCGTCAATGAAAGCCATTAGCACGAGATTCCGGCCCCGTTTACTTGGCAGTTCGCCCAGCAGCGAGTCCGACAAATCCGCCTACGGCGCCGGCCCGAGTTCCGGGACGGGCTTTGGGTCGCGCATCTCTCGATTCTCGCATATCTTTACCAAGCCAACTTCACGGAAACGCACATCCATGTACTCGACCGCCAACGGTCGTGGGTATCCCTCGGCGCCGCCGGCGGCTCCGGTGGACTGGCCGCGGGCTAATGTCGGCTCTTGCGATGAGCGGTTTGATTTGCGCAAGTATACGCGCGGCACTGATAGCTCGAGTATGTTGTATCTGACTGATGATGAAAATCATCTTGGGATTATCCAGACGACCGATATTTCGGTCGGGTACAGTATTGAGTCGGTGGTGGGGGATGGGAGTTCCCGAGAGGGGAGAGTAGTTAATGCTGAGAGCATAGTGTAGGTCTTTATGCCGGGTGTATATAATGTAATACTAATCATCTTTATCAAGTCAACGTGCCAAGCGATCATCTGATAACCTCGTAGGCTAGTAAACCTTCTAGGTAAGTTGCCCCGAAAGGTAATTGCATGAAGTCGCCGAGGATCGGTACCCCAATGGCGTACTGATATGCGTGAGGGGTTCGGCTTTCCCCTCCTCTCACCATATAAAATTCTCTTTCCAAGGTCTCAAGTTAATTCTGACAACTAACTGTCAAATCAGTACTGTGTATATTACTTGAATCATTGCACTATGGCGACCAACTACGAGCTACCATTCCAGGTATGGCCTATGTCCGCGTTTCACGCCCTGCGGGGTATTCGGCGAGATGTCCGAACATTGAACGAACACCCATCACAAAAGGGGCTTAGCCATGAACGGTGCTGATATCATTGCCTACAGCTATCCGATCCCAGTCTGCTACATTTCGAGTCTTTCATAGGCGACAAATGGGTAGGCGCAAAGAGCGGGAAGCGGTTTGAAGTACTCGGTAAGCGAAAGTCCCACGAGCCAGCTTTATTTCAAAGCCAGAGAGACCACAATTTAACATATCTCACGCGATTTAGACCCCGGTAGCGATAAGGCGTGGGCCAGCTGCCCCGCGAACGCAGCAGAAGATGTGTCCGCAGCTGTGGAAAGCGCCCATACCGCATTCGAGTCATTCCGCAAAGTCAACCCCCGCCAACGGGCCAAGTGGCTCCTAGAGTGGTACAATTTGACCGTCGCAGCAAAGGAGGATCTCGCCAAGATTGTGACGCACGAGACCGGCAAGCCGTTGGCAGAAGCATACGGCGAGATCGACTACTCACTCGGCTTCCTATGGTGGTTTGCCGGCGAAGCAGAGCGTATCCAAGGCACGGTGTCAACAGCATCAGCACCGAACCGACGTATCTTCACCATCAAACAGCCGATCGGTGTGACTGCAGCTCTGGTCCCATGGAACTTCCCCGTTGCCATGGTTCTGCGGAAAGTGGGCGCCGCACTGGCAGCCGGCTGCACAATGGTCGTGAAGCCCAGCCCTGAGACGCCGATTTCGGCGCTCGTGTTGGCGGAGCTGGCGCGGCGAGCGGGCATCCCAGCCGGTGTGTTCAATGTGTTGACCACGGACTTGGAGAACACTCCGCCGTTGAGTGAGGCGCTATGCAAGCACCCGCTTGTCAAGAAGGTGACGTTTACTGGATCGACACGTGTGGGCAAGCTGGTCGCTGCGCACTGTTCGCACGGTCTCAAGAAGCTGACACTCGAGCTGGGCGGTAACTGTCCTTTCCTCGTGTTCGACGATGCGAACCTTGATCAGGCGATTGAGCAGCTGATGGCGCTGAAATGGCGCCATGCTGGACAGGCTTGTATTACCGCCAATCGGATCTACGTGCAGGCGGGAATTTATGATCGCTTCGCTGCCCTTCTGAAGGAGCGCACTGCTGCTCTGGTTGTTGGACATGGTGCGGTCGCTGAGACCACTATGGGTCCGTTGACGACGCCTCGTAGTCTCGATAAGGCTACTGCCCAGGTTGAGGATGCTCGCAGTCGCGGTGCAGAGGTCATTCTGGGTGGTAAACCTCTCACGTCGAAGCCGGGCTACTTCTTCGAGCCCACCATTCTCTCCGGGATGACGGAGGACATGCTCATCTCGCAGGAGGAGTCGTTTGCGCCGATTGCTGCGCTGTATCGATTCGAGACTGAGGAGCAGGCTGTCAAGCTGGCCAATGATACCAGCATGGGTCTGGCTAGTTATGCGTTCACCAAGAACGTCGATCGCATGTGGCGTCTCTTGGAAAACTTGGAGGCTGGAATGATCGGAATGAATACAGGTGGGTTGCCAAAAAAAAAAGACAGTTTGAGATCCGCCAGTTGACTGACATATTTCGCAGGCAATCAATCCGCCGCTGAGTCGCCGTTCGGTGGTATCAAGGAATCTGGTTATGGTAAAGAGAGCGGAAAGGATGTCGCCATCAATGAGTACTTGGTCACAAAAACAGGAACCTTGACGATTGAGGGGCAATACTGAGTGAATAGGGCTCTCCGAGCCTAACTGTTTCTATGAATCTGATCGCGCTCCAACGTCGTGTGATTCGGGGTCTGTTCACGTAGTTCCATTTACCTTAAGAAGCCACGCCTTCGTACAAACACCGCAGCCTGTTGATCTCCATGGGATTCCGTCTTGAACGCCAGATTCAGAAAAAAATATCCTGTAGATCCCTCAGTTTTGTGGCCGGTAAGGGCTAGTAGGTGGCTCCGTGGCTGGCATTGGGACAGGTAGATGTTCTGTGTAGTGTAGTAACACCTGAGATAGCATGCACTTCTCCTATTGGCTCACACTACATGGCCTTTTTCGTCTAGAACATCTACCTGTCCGAATTCCAGCCACCTAAGAGCCGATTGTCGGCCATTGCGAAGGTGTAGATTGTAGTTAGAAGGTGAAGATAGTTAGTGGGCGTTGTGAAGGTGATGGCTTGACTTAAAAGGGTTTAGACTACTAACTGTTTATGGGAAGGCGCTACCGGAAAGCATGTAATAGGCAGGCGGTGGGAGGTTACGCGTTTCTACCTTACAACCGACCAATCATAGGCCAAGGACTCGCCAGAGTCTGATTTTGGGCCGATAGGCGGCGCGAACGATCGAGGCGGTGTAAAAGGCGGTCTAATTTATTGCCGTGGTTCCCACTGTACTGGCAAAAAAAGGCTCGTGGAATAAATAGTCCATCTTGAGCAGCTGGAGTGAAAGAATCCTCTCCTGACAAACCCTGCCTCTCACCATGTCCAATTTCGACGAACAGGACTTGAACCACGTGATTTGGACGCAACCGAGTATCGACCATCATGCCCACCATCTGCTGAATCGCGAAGCAGCGCTTAACCCCGACATGACCACACGGGCCCCACTGGGGGCAATCGTCTCTGCAAATTACGATTCCTCAGACAATATCGAGCAGACAATACCCGTGCGTTGGGCTATGTGCCAGCTTCACGAGCATTACGAGAGCTGCAACTATCGCTGCGACGACTTCAAGTATAGCTGGGACGAGCTCCAAGCCCGCCATGATCGATTCGTGCGCGAGGACTACGGTGGTTTGATCGAAGCGTCGCTAAAAGGCACGCATGTCTTATTCCTAGATGATCCCATACCCGAAGAAGTAGAGGATCTTATACCTTCAAGCGGTTATGATAGCTTCACGACCGTCCCTACGAAGCGTATCGCGCACATCGAAGGAATGGCAGCAGCTCAGATACTTGAGATGGTCCGCAGTGAGCCTAGGCCTGACGAAACGGTTTGGAGTAATTTCCGCCAACGGTTCCAGAATGCCCTTCGCGAGGCAATGGAGGACCCAAAGGTCGTAGCCTTCAAGACCGATATCTGTCATCGCACGGGATTGGACGTGGATCCGTATCCCTCCGATGATGCGACACTTGGTGTCTCGCTGCTGCGCGTTTTGGACTCTGGTACCACGCGTTCGGGATTCCAAGTCAATGATAAGCCCTTGTGTGACTGGCTTGTGCAGCAAACACTACAAGCGATCTCTTACTCAAGACGCGAACCTGCCAAGCCTTTGCATTTTGAGACGGGTTTGGAGCCGGGCTTCTACTTTGCAGGGGGAGAAGCCAACCTTGTGCGGGCTAATCCGGCGTTTTTGCAACCTTTGATCGCCAAATACCCTCAAGTTCCCATTGTGCTGCTTCACGCTGCGTATCCTTATACGCGTGAAGCGGTCTATCTTGCCCACATCTGTAATAACGTCTACCTTGATCTGAGTGTGGTCTTCCCCAAGGTCAGCCAAGGGGGGCAGGAGAAGGTTTTACGGGAATGTCTAGACGTCCTGCCTCCAACACGTCTGTTGTGGAGTTCTGGCGGTCGTGAGCAGCCAGAGTCGTACTACCTAGCAACTTATCAATTTCGCAAGGTACTCGCATTGGTGAGCTAGCCCCATTTTCCATCATGTATCTTTCAAAGTGCTTATTTCTTCTGTCATACAGGTACTTTGGTGCTATGTCAAAAACCTTGACCTAACAATCAAAGCCGCAGGAGATGCTGCTGTAGGGATTCTGTTCGGTAACGCCAACAAGCTTTACGGCCTCGGTTTCGATACTCCCGTGTTACGTGAGTTTACCGAGGGCATAGAGCACCGTGCGAATCGATTTGGTTGACGATTCGACCGATGTGCTCGAAGCTGGAGATTTAATTGATCGCATTTGTGGAGCGGCTGGTGCATGTGCCCCGTGCAAGGCGTGCTATCGATGTCGGCCATAGGCCGGCAAATCGAATTAGTCGTATGAAGCGCCAGTCCTTTTCCCAAATCCCGGCGGTCATGAGGAAACCCATGCGGCACAGCTCGGGCCGGTGAGCTCGGCTGTTCACCCCGCTTGAGGTCTCTACCCTCACGCTATTCGAACAAGCATCATTTGATCATATGGCACCACTTCCTGGTGCATCGTCCAGGGCCTCGAGCCGGTGATGCACCGCAAATAGCGTTCGGTTTCAAGCTTGATTGCTTGGTCAGGCAGGCCGAATTGTCGCATTTGGTGGCCATGCTTGTACCTAGAAGGGGGATCTCGTGCTCGAATGTTCCTTATAACGAAAACAATGGGATCCGGTGTCTTTCCACAACCGGTATGACTAAATCAATGTTTATGTATCATATTTCTTGTGATATAGCTCAATGCTTCCAATTCATTGACTTTTCATGGTATATTGCCCTAATCTTAAATCGTATACATATCGGTGAAGGTCAGCAGAGCGATCCAGCGCCACCTGAAGGAAGTATGTGCGTGCGAATTTCCATCGCCAACACAAAAAAAGTAGACAAAAGCACACGTGTACCACCAGGCAGTCAGATCGTTGCACGCCGGACACCTGGGCAATGGAGTATCATGCGAAAAAGCGAAATGCAAAATAAAACAAGATAAACAGGGGTAGCCCAACTCCGGCCGCCGCTTTCCGTATATCAAGCGTTAGAAGCGTTGCAGCGAGTACAGGTGAATCATGAGTAGTCCAGGGAGGAAGTGGGCGGGGAGACATGTGTGCGAGTCAGAAGACGGGGAACATAGAGCTGAGAAAACAAAATGTATCGTAGGTGTGTTCGGCGAGGTGAGATGACGAGAGAAGAAGTCGGTGTAGAAGAGTGTTGGCCAGGAAGAGGGGTGATGGTGAATGGTATGGTGAATGCCCTGAAGGTATCGAAGCAGAAAAAAAAACCGAGAGCAGAAACACGCTGGCACGCCAATCAAGAATGGACAGCAGCACGCCGAATCAAACTGCCAATCTGCGTTCTGCCTCCATCTCATCCCTTTCCCATTCACCCAGCAGCCGTGCGACTTCTTTGAAAGACACCGGCTTGGTAAGGAACAGGTCCACACCAGAAGCCATGGCATCGGACTCATCGCGTGAACTGCTGAGTCCGGTCAAGGCAACGATGATAGCCGGCTTACGGCCATCCACCTCCCTCTCCAGCGAGCGAATAGCACGAGTAGCCTCGAACCCATTCATCACAGGCATCGACATATCCATGAAGATGATATCATAGCCGCTCTGGTTGCGTTCGACGGCCTCGACGGCCAATTTGCCGTTCTCGGCGGCATCGAGTCGTGCGGTCAGCTGGCGCTTCTTGAGGAAAGTCATCATCAGATTGAGATTTATCCGGTTGTCATCAACTACAAGCACCCGTGTCAGGCTCGTGGTCCTGACCCTGCCCTCTATCAGTGGCGATGGTAAGGGGGAGTTTGGGACGTCCTTGGGTAATGCCGCGACTAGCGGGGCCGAGCACATTGGTGATGCAGACAGAGGGCAAGCTCCAGTGTACTCCAACTCTGGAGCACTCCTGACCTCTGCGTGAGATATGCCAGGGGAAGAGGGAGCAGACGGCAGAGAGAGATTGCTCCGGATCGGTAGGCTCATGGGTTGTTGCGTTGCCGAAGCCGGTATTGCAGATGTCGACTGGCCGTGTTTCAGGCATCTCAGCACACTTCGGGCCAGTTTGTGAGGCCCACAAGGACGACGAATAATGTCTACGGAAGATGCAAGAGGCAACCACTCAGAAAGTGCCCCGCTATAGTCCACTGACTTATGGCATAGTACAAGAAGTGCAGGCAAAGTGGCCGTAGGTGCAATGGTACGGAAGGTAGGTAAGTCATTTTCGTCCATGAGCACAATATCCATATGGACATCGGGTGCCCATGCAACGATCTCCATGTCATACCAGTCTGAAAGATATCGAGCAATTTCGCCCCAATGGGGATCATCAGCCGCGTTCTCTGGATCAAGGCCCCAAATAGCAGCTCGCTTGCCAGGGTATCCCTCACGAAGCAAGAGAGTTTGGGTCAGGAGCTCTCTGTGTTGAATAAGTTGTCCAGAAGGCTCCAAGGTCGGGCTTTCCTTGCCAACAGGACGCTGTAGCGGAAGAGACACGGAGACAACAGTGCCCTCCCCAGGGCAGCTGCGAATACGAATGCTTCCATCCAAAGCCTTGACCAAACTCCGGACAATGGACAATCCCAATCCGGTACCCACAGCCAAGGAGTCTTCTTGAGCAAATGGCGTGTAAAGCTTGCCGCGCAAAAACTCTTCCGATATACCTTTGCCCGTGTCGGTTACAGTCAAGGTTACCAGATCCTCGAGGCCTTGCCGTCGAGACCGTCCTTCGGACTGACTGGATGCTGCCAGGGATAAAGTGACGCGGCCGGATTCTGTGTATTTCATAGCATTTCCAAAAATGTTCATAATAATGCGTCTCAAAGCGCCCGGCTGAGTCCGGTAAACCCAATCCCGGAAGGATACATCGACTACAACCTCCACGTTAGATCGTTGGTTCTGCAGCTTTGGATGATGTGGCATCAACACAGGTAGGTCGGCCGACGCAGTGGAGCTCTGGCCGTATACATGGCCGAGACAGATGCCTTCAACAACTTCCTCCGCGAGAATTGCCACATCCGTAGCGACGTACGTATCCAGATGGTGGGCGAGTTTTGCCGAACCGTGGAGATCCAGCGGTGACTCTTTCTTCCGCTTCATTGACCGCCATGTCCGTTCCAAAGAGACCACTTTGCTGAAATCCAGTACCTGATTCATTGTGTCCAGTAGCGTCCGGCCACAGGCGTTGACGGTCTCGAGCAATGAGTTCTGGAACTCATTTAGATGAGTGCTGTTCAAGAATTCGACAGCGGCCAAGATGCCGTGAAGAGGGCTACGGAGTTCATGACTAAGGGGCAAAATTCGTTAGTAAATGCTGTCTGGGATGTCGCATACATCCTAAAATACAAGGAGGACTCACGAAATACTCCCAATGAAATCGCCCTTCTGCCGGTCTGCGATGAGAGATTCAACGCGGCTGTACTCAGCCATGATAGAGGATGAAAATCCTAGGACTGAACTGAGTTCAACTGATGTGGTGAAGACCTGTGTCTCAATAGTGCTCCAGCAGAAACATCCAGCAAACCATTGCGAAGTGACCGCATTCCACAATGGCACGAACATGATTTGCGTGGCGTTAGGGAAATACTTGTTGAGTATTGAGTTCTCCGCAGCTTTACGCCGGTTGCGGATGGATTTTGAAGCTGGTGTAACGCCAGGGGGAGATAGACTCGTAGCGCTAGTGCTACGAGTGGCTTTGTCTTGAGGTTGTTGATCGTCATCATCCGATGTGGATATGAGACCGTCGCGGTGGAATGACCAGAGCTTTCCTCTAGGGTATCTTCGAAGCAGCAACTGTAGGAAGGATCGGTCCAGATTGGCTGCAGGGCATGTTGCCATTGACCCCGCCTGAGGAGCGAAGGGTTCATCATTCGTTGATGCCGACAGAACAGGGGCAGGACCGCCTGTGTTGGACGGGTCACTTCCTGTATCGACGTCCATGAGTGGACTATTATTCGCCTCCAAGAAAATGACACCGCTGTCGCCGCTCAAGTCAAGACTCTCGCGAAGCAAGTTGGCCGCCCGTCGAAAGCACCAGGAGTTTCCTTGTGAATCATCGGGTGGCAAGCGATTTCGACTGCTGCTCGTGAGCCACTCTGGCAAAGAGCTCTCAACAGTACCGGAGTCCATTTTCGAGGTGTTCTCCCTGGAGCCACCATCCAATCTGGAATCGCTACTCGATCTCGAATCGCCCTGCAATCCTGAATCCTCGTCTAACTTCAAATCAAAGGGCACTGAGCTGAAAGACCGCGTATCGTTACTGAGTGATCTGTTGTTTGGTGAAGAGTCGGACGGCGCTTGTGAGGCGTGTGCTGCGCTGTTTCCACGAGAGCCACTTGAAGCACTCGCCTGTTTATAGGAAGATGGCGGAGTTGCTGCTTGAGAAGCGACACTGTCGGCGCGTGACGGGTCAATGCTATCCACGAAACTGGAGCTTCCCTCAACAAAATAGCTCAGCCCCCGGGAAAGACGCGCTGCTCGTCGTCCCTCGGAGGCCTGTCTGCATATTTTCATATAGTCCATCACGAGCGTTGACAGAGACCCCATAGTATCCTTTTCTAACGGTGTCAATCCGTCCCGTCTCCTTGTGTCCAGCACGAAAAAGCAACCCAAGTTGATGTTTTTCTCGGTTGTCAATGGAGTTCCGGCGTAAAAGTGAAAGTTGGGGTCTTCTTTGACGAAGGGTAATTCTTTGTAGCGCTCGTGTTCGGTCATGTCGTCCACAACAAGGAATTGGTAATCTGCATTCTCGCGATCGTTCGGGGGTAGTGCAAGAGTGTCCTGCCGAGTGACGTCAAAATCAAGCAATCATAGATATCGATAGTGCGGTCGAATGCGACAAGAGCTCCAAGTCAGCTCGCTCGTTGGGAGAGCCAAACCTACCTTGCACACACTCCATGCTTTGCGAGTATCGGAAGTACCTAACCAGGGCCCATCGCTCTCATCGTGAATGGACGAATTGTTCAAGTTAAGAGATCTCGTGGCTTCGGCAATGATGTGTTGGACGTCGCGATCCAAGACCGATATGAACACCCGTTCGACATTCAGGCGCAAGGCCGCTAATTGGGCAAAAGATGTAAATGTACTGTTTGTGGTGCCCAAAACGAGATTTTCGGTGCCGAGTGCAGTCGCTGGCGGTGGACTTGCGCTGCAGCCCGAAGGCTCGTTGCCTTCGGAAATGGGCGGCGTGAGTGTGGTCCCTGAATCTGCAGAAAATGGGAATCCGTCGGTCACAGCAGGGAGCCAAGATGAAACTGTCCCAGGTCGAGAGGGAGGCTGGTAATAGCGGTAGAGTTCCCTTGCCCTACGGTCCGCGTTGTGTATGTCTTCTCGGTGTGTCCTGGGAGCCTTCATGGTTTTTGCGCTGACGTCGGAGAAGCGAAGATGCACTCTGCACCATCGGACTCCAAATTTCGAGATTTCCGTGAGACCAGACCGGGGTTGACCAATATGCGATGAGGGCTAGATTTGTTCGGGGGTGCACAAAAGGAGTGATCGAAATGTCGAGAAGTGTCTTGCAACGATCACCAGTCGTCGATAGAAGAATGGAGAAAAAGGGAAAGTGGAATTCCTAGACTGAGACTGTGATCTACACAGCACAATATCATGTCAGGTGAAACAACAGATGGAGTGAGTTCCAGAGGATGCAACAGTTGGCATGGAATTCGGCCGCGAGCGCAACCCGATCTGTCAAGGTGGGGACGGGTATTGGCGAGGGGAACCAGTGAGGGGAGAAATGCTCCGTTGGATATGATTTGTGAACCCCAGTGCTTTTTGCACACTCAAAGGTGAGTAACCCTTCTCCAGTCTCCACCGCTTCATCAGCTTCTCTCATGGAATTGTCCGGCAGCCTCGGATCGGCGCACAGCCAATGTCGCCGATCAACCATTCTGAATGAGGTAAAATGGATTGGAAAGCTCCAGGGTGCGCCCACTCCGGCACGATGTGCAGCACGAGAGTTGATGTGGTGGGGAAATAGTGTCAGTGGCTGGGTTGTGATCCGGTGGCGGCCTCAGGTTGTCGATCATTGGTTGCTGTTGCCGCCTCAGGCCACATTATTAGCTATGAAGATCAGGCACCGCCGCACCACAAGAAAGCCAATGACATCAAGATATCTTATCACAGGGTCAAACTGTTCATTGCAATGGCTTCACCTTCTCCCTTGCTTCAAGCCACGGTAGAATGAAAGCATATTGTTGTCTTTGCAGCGACCTTGTCAGGTACGGTGACCCATGCCGTCACGCAAAATCCGGTGGTACGTCATCTTCGCTAAGACCTGCGATTCCATACGCACCGGAGCCTATGACGCCGGTGGCACCAAGGAATCGGTGATGCATCCCAAGTGGAACACCGATTCGGTTTGACACATCCTTTAGTTGACTGGAACCTCTTGAAGCGCGGAACATTCTTTGAGACGGTTTGACCAGTCACCACCACCAGATATAAGCCACCCACGTTGTAAGATTTCAACATCAGAACCTCAAAACCATGAGAGAGATACATCGGAGATGACGATAGTGAACCATGGAGCTGTATGCTCGAACCCGATCGATCTCTTCACCCGCCCGACGCCAGGTTAACAGCAGGAAGATGCTGACCAGGATTGCTACAAACTCACCCCGCGCTCCAGCTAGCAGCAAGACAGATAGAAGCGTGCACTGCTCGGCGACATGATGTGTAGGTTATTCTGCGTACTGCAAAGCGTTCACGGTGATCCTAACGCGTTCATGGTGATCTTAACCATACTCAATGGGAACAATCCCGGGGAGAGTTCAGTCTCAAGCATTGCGTATGATGACCCTCCATGCACAGGCGCAGACGCAAAGACCCGTTTGGTGCCAGAGCGTGGTGCCAAGACCGTCGATGACCGAAGTTAGTCCGAGGCGTATCGGCCGAAATCAGCCCCTGTGCGGCTGTGCCTGGGAGAAGCCAACGAGAATGCCGGGATCGACACTGGGATAACTGGGTATCTCCGCGGGATCATACACAGTACCCAACATGACCAGATCTGCTAGAGTCATCATACATAGAAGTAATACCCGTTTTGGGGCAGCTGCGTCGCGTTGCCTCTTGTCGCAGGAACTCGAACACTACGATGAACTGGTACGTATCGGAGCAGCACATCCCGGTAGCCAGGATGGTGGGCTCGTCAAAAAGCCAGCCATGTGGTTCTGACCGGGAATTCGGAACAACCTAAACCAGTCAACGGTAGCGTTCTCAACTTCTCCAGGGCTCTCCTAACTAACTAAATACTGCCATTGGTAGTATTATTAATTCACAGAGCGAGCAACTTCCAAGGCCCGCGGTGGAGACCAAGGCATGGTCGCGGACCCTCTCCGAGGTGTTGCACATTGGCCATCTTGGACACTCAAGTGGATACAGCTGTATGCGATGGACAACATCCACGTATTTACCCAGCTTCTTCCTGTGATGTCAGGGGTGATGCATCACTCATACTAATTGGAATTAGATCGTCATGAACGGCCTTAGAATCGAATCCTCTAGAAGGTTTGGATCCGCTAGCAAAGAAAGCAGATGAGATGGAAGTACCAGATGGTCTAAAATATTCACGGTGTAGAAAGCGTTGCCAATTGTAGGAATGGACGCAATGACAGAAGCCGAAAATACGAGCATAAATGCAATACCGAAGATAGCCCACACAAACCATGCATCTAAATCAGAACTTCAGAAGCGCTCCATCAGCTGCTTGCGAACTGTCCACATGCGCGCCCGTTTGCCATAGATATACATGGGAATCGACATGAGCATGAAGAAAAGCTGGATGCCACCGATAGATAGGAAGACAGTGCGTGAGCCACTGAAGTCCAGCCAGTCGACGATGAAGAGTGAGAAAATCAGGCCGTGGAGAACATCTGGAAGGGCAAAGTGTTAGAACCGACCTGAAGAAACGATAGCGCGACGATAGGTCAACATACTTTTACTGAAGTTCAGTGTCACCAGTGCCTCTCCAGCGTACTGGCGGTAGCTGTCCACACAAAAGGTGATAGCGGTCGTGCTGCCTAAGCAGCAACCGAATGAGATCAATCCAAAGAAGATGGTCGGCACAATCCAAGAATCGCCGATCTCAGCACTCCAGCCAAAAGCCATTAGACCTATGACTGTCGACAATGCGATGGGAATTGCCATCACGAGACGGAACTCGGGCTCATAGATGCCACCATTGCGCCTGGTCATAAATCGCACGATGATGTCCGATACTTTGCCTGCGACCGCAGTTCCCAGCAGACCGCCAATAAACGGCGATATGTATATCAAACCAGTCTGCAGTGCGGTGAAATTGTAAGTTCCTGAGCCTTCAAAAATATGTGCAACGGACTCCGAGAGCACGATCAGCCAGCCGACGGAGAGGGCGTATACCACCGTTGACCATAGCACGGATGGATATGCGAATAGGATGAATGGACGCACGGCAACACGTAGCCAATTGTCTTGATTGATCCTGCCATTCCAGACCTTCAGTAGCTGGGAATATGGGATTTTGGGCCGTTCACGCAGTCGATTTGTATACTGAAGCGTTGTGGTAAGCGGTGGTCCGGAAGGCTCTACTGACTCGGTCCTCGGAGTCGGGGGCGAGCTAGCAGCGGGTCGAGCTGCCTCCAGATCACCTGGGTGCGCACCGAGCACGGGAGTGTGAGGTACGGATTGGTTAAAGCCGTCGTCTTTCTCGTTGGATGAGCTAGCAGGCTGGGTAACTGGTGGGTCACCGTTGGTCGCTTGGTCAACCTCTGGAGAAAACTCGGACTTTTCATTTCCAGTTGCCTGGTTACCTTCTCCTGGCTGGTCGTCCTCAAATCCAAAATGCGCATGTTTGGATTTCTTCGCGCCCAAGGTCGGACTTGAATCGTCCAGCTCAGGAGATTCGTCCGGGAGTTGCACAGCCGGGCGCCGTCCACGGAAGCCATGGGAAACAAGGTCAGAAACACTGCGACCTGGGCCAGGTGGACGTTTGGTTTTGTGTGCACGAGGACGTGGTGTCCGATCCCAAAATGTTTCGGGCACAAAGAAAAATAGTAAGACCAGGCATGCGCCGACAACGATGGCTACAATCCAGAACACCCAGCGCCAGCCCAGGCTTTGAATGATGGCAGCGCTCACTAGAGGAATGAGATTCTTTCCACCTAGCAGCAGGAGCGTGTAAATTCCGACTCGATAGGCTCTTTCGTGCAAAAAATAGATCTCCGCAATAGTGGCAGATGGAAGACATTCGACCGGGCTAACTGCAAACCCTTGGAAAACACGAGCAATCACGAGGCTTGCATAACTCGGCGAGGCTGCGCACCAGATGGCTGAGATCACGAAAAGGGATGCTCCCAGGAGGTAAACAGGCCGTTTTCCAAACAGGATGGCTGTAGGTGACATGACGACAGACCCCAGACCCAGACCCAACATATAGAGCCCGGTAGTGAAAGCCACCTGCTGTGTGGTGACTCCGTACGCGTCTGCGACATCATGGAATCCAGCTGCTAGAATAGGCGTCATGCCACCTCCCATCAAGCAATAGAACCCCAACGATATCAACGCAGCGTCGCGTTGCCACACGGGCCAGTTCAATGGATCGTTCACGGAGTCGTCCGGTTGGGGATCAAGCACAAATTGTCCATCGGCTGTTTTCTTCGTTGGTATCGCGGATCGGGTTCTGGAGTTGGAGCGTGAGGGTCGATAAGAGGAAGAAGCGATAGATGAGGTCGACGTCCGCTGCGGTTGATGCCTCATCCCCAGGGGCTCATTTCGATTTGATGATAATAGAAGTACCGTTCCTATAACAAGGCAGCCGCTTGTCAGTCCTGTTTCACTTGGAGCTTTTGTCTCATGAAGATAAGTCTTCCCACTCACCAGGAACTTCATCGGTGTGTTTATCACTGAGGATTCCCAGTGTAGATCTTGAACGATATGTCTGGTTCTCGCTTGATTCGGACGCTTCCTCGGACTTTCCTCCAAACACTCGTCTCCAGCGCGAGACAGCTGGCTGGGGCTGAGCAAAATCCCCTTCTGTGCTCTGTCCTGACGCAGCGGTAGTGTCTTCTATCGGTGACACCATTTTCGCTAGTGGTACTGTAGGTGCCCTCCTTGGCCGATACCGTTTGCTACAGCAATGTGCTAAACACGCCATGATTAGCTAGGCTTGGAACTGATAGACTGGGAAAGAGCTGTCGAGGGTCATAAAGAACAGCAGGCAAGTCACTCACATATAACTCAGACAACCAGCAGGAGATACCGGAATCCCAAAGATGCAACCTAACGCCCGGAATCCGGTGGTAAGCCCAAAAATGCCGTCGGTTAAATTGGACGTTGTGCTAGTAGTGTTGAGCTGAACCCCCGGCCAGGCCAAATATCGAGGTAAAAACCTATGTCGACGCGTCGTGCAAAAGCGATCACGGCTTGCAAAAGCGATCAACGCTTCTGAATTAACCCAATCGGCAGCAGATGAGCACTTGGAGGCATAACTTGATCAAGCTGTGAAAATCGAGAAAGTAGTGCAGAAGGAGGGAGCGTAAGCACTAAGCAAGTGGATGATATATACATATATTGTAGTAGATTTAGTGTCTTTGGCCCGATAAGCTAAAGAATATCACGCGGATGCAGGTCAAAGACCACAGAGATGATCGACGACATGTGGCAGTCCACCGGAGGCGGTGAGTCACCTCAGGCTACCCGCTGAGTACCATGACCCCTCTCACAATCGCCATGATTATTGAGGTAGCCTCGAGGTACTATATTTATGATTTTCATGATCAGATATCACAATACAATATACATTATACAGATCTGTACAGATGCTAGCGGCATTTGCAACTTGCTACGTGCTTAATTTCCGGTAATTGGCGCAGGGCCCTAGCGATAAGCACACGTTTTCCGGGCAATGCTACTCCGTACTCTCCCCCCACAATGCCGTCGATCTCAGGATCAACAGCCCGCAAGTGGATCCTTGTCTTTAAACATGCCACCCATGGGCGATGATAACGTCAAGGCAATCAAGATGAACAGTCATGAACTCACATGGCCGGCATAGTAGATATGCATCTGATCCCGCTCAAGTAACGGTGAGGTTCGAACACTTTCAAATCCTCCCACCGTATGCATACGGCCATTCCAAGGAACATGCCAAGTCCACTAAGCCCGCCGCTTGTCGCGAGAAGTCTCACTCCGCTAGCTCTAAGGATACAAAGACACCTCTCCCATGAAATTTCGGGTCTCCCTCATGGCTCAGATGATGTCTTCAAAGTGTCTCAGCTGACCAGCGGGCGGTATTGGCAGCCGTCATGGTGCAGATGTCCTGCGGGGGAAGTAGATCCAAACCTTTGGATAATAGAGCTTTCCACTGAGAGTGCTTTGGCTGCCCATGCCGTCACGTATGAGAATGTGGCTGTTACTCTGCATCTTATTCTCCGTACATAAAACTCTCATGCTTAGAGTTGAGGGGTCTCACGAGCTAATGGCGCTCCCAGCATACCGGTGGTCCGGCGGTGGACGCCACCTCAGGTGAGCTGAAGAATTTCGGGCTGGGATCGAGAGACAAATCTGGAGGCTGATAATCCCTGTCTTACTACATATTGATAATTTGATGCTGTACAACATAAGTTAGTATCCCTATCATTATCTCTATTTAACGAGGGGATGAACAGCAGGTTGGAACAGGTGCTGACATGGTCACGTTCTGAATAACCGTTAGGCATCCATGACCCACTTACCCACTTACACATTTTGAAAGAGGAAACAGTCTCCTCTTTCAGAAAGAGGAGAAAAGGGTGCACTATGGCTTCATGGGCAGCAACTAGGTATCTCTGCCGAGGCAGGGGAGGCAGCAAACAAAACTGAAGGTCATAGCAGGAGACACTTGGAAACAAGCCATGTCCCGCGTTTGAACAGTCCATTAGTTGATGCAACAAGTCCGGAGAACAACCGGACGCACCAAAACAGCAAGACGCCAAATATTTGTAGGCATTTGCCATCCATTACCCAGAGGGCCAGAAGGCATAACCTCTATAGCCTCATAGTGGTATGGCTGAATGGGCCCAAAGCCCTAGTCATCATATCATGTTCCTGGTACTTTATGACTGCTTCGGCTGGGACGCCTTGAGACAAGATTCCATGGGATCCATTCATATATAGAAGAACTGACTTGTATTACCACGATCAATCGATGAAAGTGCGTGATAAATCTAGTACCTACGTAAGAGCACTCCAAGGTAGTAGGTGAATGGGTCAAAATAACCACCATTCATGTATGGATTCGAGGGGCCATCAGATTTCATTATCAAGAGGCTCAGAAACTGATTGTTGTACTAGAGAGAGAATAAGGGCTGGTGGGTAATATCAAGGAAGATGGCCTTTCTAGCCTTAGGGACAGAGATGGGTGGGGTGGTGAGATCATAATTCTCATCAGTCGGATCGCAATATCGACCTCGAGAGCGGTCTTTGCAATCCATCAAGCAGTGGCTGAAGACGTTGACAACGGTACATCGAGTACCATTGCAACCGTTCTCAAAGGTCGATATTTCGATGGAGAATGATAGGGGCGCCGATATAGTAGATTGTTATTAGTTAAGGGTGAAGTCAACGTCGATATGGAGAATTTGCCTTTGAGTGCAAGTGGGCGAGCGGCAAACCGGGATCATCGAGGCTGTTCAGCAACTCGGGCGTAATACCATCGGGATAGGCAAAGTCATCATCATCCATCACACAGCTATGGCGGAATACAGCGTGTGATGGATGATGACTTTGCCAATACCGACGACATTACCCCCGAGTTACTGAACAGCATGAATGATCCAGGAGGAGGTCGTTCGTGGCATGGACGGAGTCGTTCAGTGCACTCAAAATGGCACGCCCAGACAGTCGGTTGGGGTCGTTTGGCGCGGCACAAAGATCAGCAGTGGGGTAGACCTCTCGAGGAAGCCATCCATGTCATCAGTTGTTTGCACGACACTCGGTAGCTTGATACGCCCATGCCAACCACCTACTGTCATGATACATGTCCCGTAGGAAGTCGGCTAGTGGGCCATTGACGGCGGTGGCCGAATCCAAACGCATGTTCTCATGGAGATGCAGATGGGTGAGACATAGCCAAATGGGTGCGTACGGTACGGAGACTTAATGCCCACATTTGGCGGTGTTCCAAATCGTGCCTCACTGAGTGAATGGTCCCTAGACAATAATGGTCTGCAGTTGGTAAGAACAGGTTGCCAGATGCAGGGGGAGAATCCGAATGAGCCGCATGACAGGGGTCGTTCGCGGAAGATCACGTGGAACCCCTGGGGCAATTCAAGACGCTTTTGGTCGCCCGCCTTCAAATTCTCGTTGACATATTGTAGTGTTTCTTCTTGATATCTTTTCTTCTTTTTGCCTCACGTTCATTCTCTCGTGATTTTAACATTGTCTTGGTGTCGATCACATTCTTCTCACGCGACACGGTGGCGTGGCAGCTCTCGAAGAAATCTCCCACCTTCAATATCAGTCCCGCCTACTTTTCTCCCTGAGATTCTGAAAGACCATCAATCTCCTTTACGACTAACTCGGATTTGACACTGATTCATTCCTTCTGCGGGAGAAACCGCCAATCATAATGAAGCTCAATCCGTCGTCATTCCTTCTCTTCCTCCTTCCCGCCATCTCGGTCGCGCTCGCCGACACAACATACAATGACAATATCAATTCTCGAGTCTCGCGTGAGACTGCAGGTGACAATGCTCGCCTCGTCGACTCGGACATAGTCGCATCCAATGTCGCCAAAGGGGCGCCGGACGTCCCTGTGGATGGCAAGGATGGCAGACCCCACGCGGGTCCGTGGGTGGAAACCAATGCAGACCGCGACCGCAAAGCAACCAAAGGAAGCGATGCCATTGATCCAATTTCTTCCAAATATGCGACCAAGATATCCTCGGAACACCTAAGCGCCGAAGAAGGGAAGATGATACCGCATTCCAACGGCGGCGTCATGGACGACCCATATCGGGAGGGCCCGAAGCAAGGCACACGGGGAATAGAGGGTGGTGTATCCGAGAAAGGCAAAGAAAATCAATTGGCGTCCGAGAAAGTGCCCGGGGGACCTAAGGAGGCACCTCCGTTACCGCAAAGCGAGACGAAGAAGCTTGTCTCTGGCAGTGAAGACACAACAACCGGGAGTGGAAGCCAGTCTGCTGAGGGTTCGGGCAATCTTGGTATGGTTGAGGTGAGTTCCGTTCTACGATGACTTGAGTTCGAGGGTCATGTCGAACAAACGTTAATTCATTCTATGCATCTAGAAACCCGCCGATCTGCCCGAGAAGCCTCACGATATCCCACACCCGAAGCCTCCGGCCATGGTTAAGGACGATCCTTTGGGTCTTGCACACCACTCGGATGCCTCGGGTTACTCTTCCGGTTCATCTTCATCTCGTTTGGATCATGAACACAAAAGTGATTCTGGTATCCCCGACGCCAGCAGCTCTCTGCACTCGCTCGTCTTCTCTTTCACCATGATCATTGTCTCTGAGATTGGCGATAAGACATTCCTTGTGGCTGCGCTGATGGCTATGAGACACCCCCGCTTGGTTGTGTTCAGCGCGGCATTCAGCGCTTTGATTGGCATGACTGTTCTCTCCGCTGTTCTGGGCCATGCTGTTCCTACTCTCATCCCGAAGACCTTCACCAAGTTCATGGCCGCCATCTTGTTTTTGATTTTCGGTGTGAAGATGCTCAAAGAAGGCCGTGAAATGTCCCCCGACGAGGGTGTTGGTGAAGAAATGCGAGAGGTTGAGGCGGAGCTCGAGGAGAAGGAACATGAGCAATTGCGCATGGGCCGCCGTCGCTCTTCAGTCACTCCCTACAACCTCGAAGCTGGTCGCGCTGGTCGTCCTAAGACCCGTGGCTCTGGAAATCGCCTGCCTTCGCCCCCAGAGAGCTTGTCATCGTCCTCGTCCCGTGGCTCTTCCCCTCAGCCCCGGCAACGGTTGAACGATGTTATCTCCGGTTTCAGCAACCTCCTTTCGCTTCTTCTCAGCCCCGCTTGGGTTCAGACTTTTGCCATGACCTTCCTTGGCGAATGGGGCGACCGCAGCCAAATCGCAACCATTGCCATGGCAGCTGGCCAGGACTACTGGTGGGTGACGATCGGAGCTAGTGCCGGTCATGGAATTTGTACCGCAGCCGCCGTCGTTGGTGGACGTGCTATCGCTGGCCGGGTCAGCATGCGTGTCGGTATGTATCTTCCGCTTACTTTTCAGCCTAATCGAATGCTAATATCGACTGTGATAGTGACTCTGGGTGGTGCTACAGCCTTCCTTGTATTTGGCGTCATCTACTTGATTGAGGCCATCTTCTAAAGCGCTGCATCTTCGCGGTTATATGTGTTGACGGACATTCATCGTTCCTGGCGCTTAAATTGGTGTAAAATTTGAATGCATCTTGTGACATAGATCAGTTTAATGATATAATTATTTCTTTTGGCTCACTCCCGTCGGCCAGCTTTACAGATTCATCTTCTCCCGACGTTAAAAATCCTAGACTTCTTCGTTGTATCGCCCATCTTCTAGGATTTTTTGGATTTTGGAGAATAGTTTGTCTTCAACGGGGTCGCTGGCCTGCTCTGACACAATGACAGTAGCCCATCCATCTCAGTCGGTGACGACGAGGCACCTGGCCCGTCCCTGAGAACCGGATTCTGTACATAACTGATAAGGTTGACTGTTCATTTTGGTCAATATCTTCAAGTGTTAGTTGTGGAGGCTCAGACCGAACTTGATTCAATTGGATACAAGGGGCCTCTGACTTCCTGTCGGGTCCTTGAGTTAGAGACTTGCTGAATCCTGTGGAGAATATTCACGCGACACATGTGACACATGAGCAGATGATGAGCAGATGATGTGCAGGTGCTCAAGATCCGCCTGTGAGCTGTGGCTAGTTATTTGTCAACATTGGGCAATAACCTACCTTAACTGTCGTTTCTGTAGTTCAAATTCACTTCGAATTCAGTGGCTGCCTCCGTAGTATCAGTCATATTGCGAATAATCTCCTGAGGCGGTATAGTGTGGTCTTTGAACTTGAGCGTGTCTTGAGCGTCTCTTGAGCGCCTCTTGAGCCGTGAGCGTGTCTTGGACTGTGTTGGTACCACTTGCTAGGTCCTGTGTACACAGTTAAGTGGACAGATGTGCTATAGTAGCAACGTGTGGATTGTATTCGATTTGATTGATTGATGTATGTCTATCTGTGTGTCTAAGGGGACCTAGGGGGATATGCCCCTGGATCCCGCACGTGACACACCGGCCCTCGGCGGTCACAACGCCGAGCGGCACATACGACTGCAGGCCGCCAAGTCACAAGCGGATATATCCCGACACTGGCAGCTTTTCCTTTGTGCAAAGGGATCAGGGGGATATATCCCGACAGACTGAATAATTCACAAGAGGCTAGTGGATGATACGTGGATGAAATGTGTCATTAACTAGCTATTTCATAGCAGTGGACTGAGGAGAGAAAAAGAAAAGGAGGAAGAATCTAACAAGGGAGGTGCATTCTGGCAGACAAACATGCAGCCTGAGGCACCAAGGCCTCAACAAATAAGCACTCCCTAGATGAGTGACGGAAAGCGATTCAGAGAGGGCTTGAGGGTTTAGGGTTTTTGCTGCCTTGGGCATAGGATTAAGGCATACAAATTGCCATAACAAGGTTAGCTAGTCGGGATTATTGTTATTCCATTTCCCGAGCATGCTCTACCCCGAAAACCCTCATTCTCACCTCTCCGCTTCTGAATGCTCTGACACCTGAGGTCCCCATCGATTCACAGTGTTTAATCAGACCGACATCGATAATCATCTTATCTTTGAAACAGATCGCATTTATTTTGCACACAATTTCACCCAGAGCGCAACCAGACGACGTTCATAACGACGCGTTTCGGGGGCCGGCGCACGTGTCCCACCGCCCGCCGCCCTCCATGGCACGAATCACGGGATCACGTATGACGCGAAGCAGAAGCCGAGAAGCAAGTAATGGTCTTATGCAAACCAAGGGAGCAAATCCTGAGGTTGTATCGGGGGGAAACTGTGAGTTATTTCTCCCATTGTGTTTGTGTGTCGCACTGTGGATCATTACAAAACAACCACCTAAGGGGAACTACGCTTGTATAGTCCCGAAGTGCTGATATGCGACTCGCCCAATGCCCACTTGCCTTGTTGCCGTTCTGGTTATTTTTGATCACTGGTGCTCCACTGTTGCCTTCATTCTGACTTTGACTAGTGCTGAGCGTGCTGCCAGAGGAGCCGTCCATTCCTGCTCCTGTGTTCACTGTACCCGGACAAGTCATACCAGAGTCACCTGAGAACCCTGAGGGTCATACCAATGTCTCTGGTACTACCCTGGGTCACGGTGATGTGGTTCCTGATGATTCTCAGGTAGCCGACAAAATAGTGACCCATCTACCGTTTCTCCAACAACAGGCGAGTCTTCTCATGACTCTCCTGGTTCCCCCGGATTTGAACCCAGATAGCCTCGCAGCTGAAGCGAAGAGGCTCAGCGAGTCCAGCCACCCCCATCGCAAACGTCTGAAGCGATATGTCGAAGGGCTCACGGACGAGTTGGAGGACTCGCCTCTTTCTCGCGATGGAAAATCATTGCTAAATGTGTCGGAGGCTCGTCGTCTGCTGAGCCGCGTTCAGCTGGATGCAGCGATTACGAACCTCCACATGACAAACTGTGCTGTGCTGGCCCTCAATATTTTCCTTCCCAGCATGGGCACCGAGTCCCATTCGCAAGTTATTCATGAGTTGGATGCCAAATTTCCCGCATGTGTAATGAATGACTTTGCGCACAGTTCTACCTCAAGAGAAATAGGGGCGAGTGCTACTAGAGAAGCCACTTTCAACCTTGCTTTGAATATCCGCACGCAATTCTTCATCATGGAACTGGAAAGGCGTCAGCAGGAGCCTGATTTCAGTCCCTTCTCCGTCTTGCGACAGGTCTTTGCAATGGATCTCACCCCCAATGAAGCAGATTCGCAGGATGCACCTAGCTCATTCCGCGGGTTCAACTTGCCAGGTGTCTTGCAAGACGCTGACGGCCATCTTCCAGAGCACCTCCCTGAGAAGTTTCTAATCGCCGTGAACGACAGGTTCAGCGACCTTCAAGAAGAGCTTTCAGAGTGGGATTCGGTTGATATTGGTAGCTTGAAAAAAGCATATAGGTGGCGCGCATTTGAACGAGACCTCGCGCGTTGGATCTGCACTCGTGACAAAGAAATCAAGGACGACGTTAGGCGCCTGTCCGAACGGCAGGCGCATACCTCGCCCCCAGCTCGCCGTCTAACTTCTGTCCCTCTTGGTACTCCTAATCGGCGCCAAGTATCCACCATAGAGCGCAGTGTGGAAACACGCGAACCATCCTTGGTCCTAGGGACCCGGTCTCCTCAAAAAGAACGTGCGGTGAACACGGCATCTGTTACCGACGAAGCAACTGCAGTGAACGAAGCAATTGCGGAAGATGACGCAACTGCGGTGGATGAAGCATCCGTGGCGGACGAAGCACCTGTGGCGAGTCGAGTACCTGGAAACAATGCTTTTCGTTCGCCTGCCTTGCCTCCAAAGCGGCCCGCAACAACGTCGTCTGTTTCAAGCAAACAGTCGCTTCGGCGCACATCCACCAAGTACGTTTTTACATCCGTCTTCTCTACTCTGGTACTAACTTTGATCTACAGCAACTACCTAAATCCATTCTCGCTTGCAGTGCTCAAGAGACGCATGATGAGTTGCCAGCGGGAACCTCCACCCAACGCTGAATCACAAGCACGAGGCAGTTTGGGTCAAGTGGATAATCCTGGACCCTTAGCCAACGGCAGAACTGCCAAGTCCCCCGAAATTCAACAATCCCCGGAACCGAGATACCCAGACATTGGGGACGATTCTACCTATGTTAACCATGACGAAGACTTGGACCCTGCCCACGGCCCAGGAAGCGATATTATGACATCGGACAGCCCGCCAACCTCGGCCAGGATTGAACGAGTCAGTCACAACCCTCGATACTTTGATTCGCGGAGAGATGGGCACTCGCAGCGATCCACAGACTTGGCTCCAGCTTCTCGACGCTTCCTGGACAAACAGACCAATGCTGCAGCTGTGTCACCTATCAGCCAATATGATTCACAGGTTGCAGACAAGGAACACACTACGCTTGGGAAGCGGCCTCGGATTTATGATGGCTCGGATTTGGAGACAGACGATGAATTTGAAGAGGACACACATGACGTTGACCCCATGCGTCGGCTTGATAAGCCCCAACAGAGTCGACCTGCTGCAAAGCGACAGCGTCCCCAGGACAGTTCCCAGGTTGAGGAAAGACAACATTTGCAATCAACCCTCGATGAGCTCAGCAGGAGACAAGATCACCATCAGCCAAAGTCGTCCGGAGTGATTCGCAGGGCCCCATCGATGGAAAGTGACAACATGACGGATCAGGAGACCACACTTGATAGATCTGTCCCCCCTCCCACCCAGAGCCGATGGGCAGCTACCAATTCTGTGGCTGCTGCTCGATCGTTGAAAATTAGAAAGACCCATCGACGATGGTCAGAGGAGGAAGATCAACGCTTAATCCACCTCATGGGAATATGGGGCCCCTCCTGGGCCACCATCAAGAAGCAAGATGGGGCTTGTCCGCCTGCCGATGGTGGGCCCCTGCTTGAGAGTCGCTCTCAGGTCAATTGTAAAGATCGGGCTCGCACTCTGAAGAGGAAGTATCTGAGGTAAGCCATGATACTGTGCTGTCCTTGATTTTTTTAAGACTAACATCCTGGTTTGCAGAGAGGGTCGACCGCTTCCACCGGGCCTGGATAAGGCACTTAGTTGATTGTGCACACTGAGTTTTTGAACAGTTCGATTACTATTATTTTTTTGATTTTCAAGATACCCAGGGAGCTGTCGTGTTGGCGCTTAAATTCTTCTTTCTTGTCCATGTTTCCCCACGCGGCATTGATTCGTTGTATATAATTCCTAGCTTTACGCAGAAGGGTTGTTCCACAGAGAAACCTCCATGGCTACCTAATAACACAACCTTACCTATCCTTTTCTTGCTCTTGGTTCCTAGGTTTAAAGCAATAGGTAGGTACCAAGCGACTTGCTAGGTAACATGAGCTGAATACGGGCACAAGGCTAGGCATAGAGATCGTCTGTTGATGATAGGTACTTGCTATCCCCTCTGGAAGCAACCTTATGGATGCCCGGGTCCCAACAATGAAGAGAAAGAATGAGGGCAGCTGGAGTCCAGTAGAGAAAAGATTAGTACTAATCTAAGACAATATCTCCGTCAGACGGGGAGGAGAGAAATGGAAGCAATGGATTAGCCCTCCACTGATCAAAAGCTCAATGCCTCTATGAGAGCTGTTCACGCCATTATTCTAGTTATTAGATAGCATCTTCTTTCAGAACCTATGCCATAAAGCTTATCCAGGATCCCATAAAGACTTTAGAGGTACCTGTCTATCAGGCACCGAGAGGTCTCACATACCTACAGAGAATTACAAAGTCATTGTCAAGACACGAGTTTCACAGTGCATTAACTAACAACAAAGAGCTAAAGGCATAAAGGCATAACACGGTGTACTCCGTCTTCCTATGTACTCAACAGCGAAATACCGCGTGCCAACTAGCGGATCGAGGACGATAACCTCCAATATAAGAGCAGCCGCAGTCCTTGAAACCAGCTCTTCGAATAAACCATCCAAGGCATCAACCAGTAATCTAACTATATCCAAGCATCCAGCCCCGAACAATCCATCAAATCAGCCAACCTCCAGATCTTACGATGGCCAAGGGCAAAGGCAAAAAGGGCAAGTGTAAGGGTAAGGCCAAACAGCCCAAGACCAGCAAGCAGGTCCACGACGATCTCGCAATCGAGCGATGTGTGACCAAACTCGATAGCCACCTCAAGATAAAGCACAAGCATCACTGTCCCCGAAAACGCCCTACTCACGTTCTAACTGCACGCTGTATCCGATTAGGCCATGTCGTTCAATGCCCAATTCACCCAAGTAAGTTCCCGCGACAACTGGACGAGTGCGTGAGCTGTATCGAGGCTGACAAGCGGCGGTTGCAACAAGAGCGAGGTTGCAGGAAGGAACGGGTTTCCTCATGTTCTTAGAGGTATACATAATGTCTACGAATTGTACTAATACATTTTCTATTTTTTTGGAGAGTCATAGGCATAATTGTAGATTCTCGGATAGGATAACGAAGTCCATCCGGTAATGATGTTGAATGCCAGTCTAGATATGTTGTGGGTGTATGAAAGTATCAAAGCGAAGGTAGAGAGTGCCCATGTCCAGAGAGGTAGTAAATGCATCAAGAATCCGACCAGCGAATTCCTTGGACCAGAAACAAGAACAGAATATCATCCCTGCGATTATGACAATGAACCAGCGAGGGGTTTATATCTGTACATGCAATATGAAGCATAGGAGACCAAAACGACAGCGTAGATGCAGTTTCAAGCACAAAGTTGACACGCTAGTAGCTTCACAGAAGCAAGCCCATGCCTGCGATAGCAGCGCCGATCAGCGATGATCCAGCACGCACAGTTCCGGCAGCATTAAAGGTGGGCGAGGGCGATGGTGACGACGAAGTTGAGCCCGATTCGGAGGCAGTGGATTTCGATCCCGTCTCGGCAGACTTGGTGTTGGTAGATGATAACGCAGTCATGATGCCGGTTGGGGCACCAGCGGCCGTCGAAGGTGCGACGATGATTCCGCCAGCTGCGGTTGATGCTGTGGCGGTAACGGTCGTGGAGGCGCCGGAGGCAGGAGCTCCGACGTTTTCAGCAGCCTGGATGACAGTAAAGGCATCCTTGCCACCGCCTATGTAGAACAACGTTTCTCGTCAGTCTTGGGTCACTTGCTACTGGGGTCTTCCTTGTGCTGTTGATACAGTGGGTTACTCACAGCTTGACCCGGGGTAGCCAATGCAGAGTGCATCGCATTTCTCGTCGGCGACCTTGGCGGAATCAGACGGCATCTTGTTGCCGCAGTAGCACATAGTGCCCCGGGTCAGTGCAGCGATCTTGAAATCTTTCTTTGAACATAGGTCCTGGCAATATCCGTGGGATTGGTAGGTGTAGGGGCCCTGGTTTTCGAAAGATTCAACGTCGGAGTAGCAGCCCATGCCAGCAGTGACGCCAAGCGAATAGACCGGTAGGGCGAGGGCAAGCGCCGAGAAGATGGAGTTGAAATGCATGGTGGCTGGTAGATGATGGCTTCGGTCAAGAACGGAGAGTAGATGAGTACAGAAAGGTTGAACGAGAGAATGTTAAGGAAGGAGAATCAGAGAGAGTAAGCAAAAGAGGGGACCTCGGGCAGTTTGAGACAAGGCGACCTGACAGGACATAAAAATTGGGGTCCGTTTAGCTTCTTTAAAGCTCATTTGGTCGGTGTCAGGAACACCCGGCCGGGGCCGGGGCTCCATTTTTTCGAATGTTTTTCAGTGGGGAACTCCCGCAGGACTGGGATCTATGACATCGGAGTCCCATTGATCGATCGAATATGGCAAGTGATCATCTTGAAACACTAACCGACATGCTCTATTGAATTTGCCCTGGGGCCTCATGGCCGTAAATCGCTTGGAAGTTGACGATCGCCCGATCGGCATCCCCAGGTGTGGCGCCTTGCTTCCTATTTAAGAGGCCAATGACGGCGTGGATGGAGCCTTTCGAAACGAGTGGGGACAATCCGAGGAACAGTTCGCGTGTTTCTGCCCTGCCGCTTGTCTTCATTCGGGATAGGGTGGTTTGAGGGTGTCGCATTTGTGAGGAATCCGACATTGCTGGTCATAGGTTGGTCATGGCTGGTTCACCCCTTGTTCCTCCTTTTCTGGCATGATAGATTATTCTACTTAGTCTGTATCGTACACCTGAGGATGAAGACCTTCAGCTCTGGATAGTAAATACTTGTAGCACGTAGACATCGTTTGTTGACATCGAGATTGACTACGAATAAACTCATCTTGAATCCGTGGTTGGGCCGAACCTTCCGAACTGTTGCATGCCTTGTTTGTCAGGCCAAAATGAGATGTTTGCCCGCGAGCCTCCAGCCACCCTGGAACCACTCCACTCTCTATATTGCGTCCCCTTTGCTTTTCGCAAAAGAGAATCACGATTTGATCTGGCAAGCCAACTTAGCCAAGATCGTCTCAACTTGAGTCAGGTACCGAACGCATAAATGGGGAAACAAACTTGACATGATTGGACTGCCCTGATAGTACGGAATAGAATTACGATTTACCAAATCCCCTTAACTTGGGCTGGGATCTTCCTGCCGAGAGCCACTTTATCGGTATGTTCTTTCACTTAACTACATCATAGCCCGCTATACTTTTTGAATAAGACAAGGACCAAATGGCATTGACTGGGTCAGCCTTGTGGAAGGCTCGTATTGGAATATCGCCTGCGCAACACTTTTGAGCACATTAATTCCGTATCTCAGGGGCAGAAATAGCTCAATATCTTGGCTTTTGCTAAAATCAAGACAACAAGATTATCAAGTGCATGGAGGATCGCCCTCGCGATGATGAGACATCATGCTAGCACTCACCAGTTGGCGGAACGGTAGAAACGATGATCATGTATCCAGCCTCGGCGTGCTTGAGCCGCCGACCCGTCAGATCTTTGGGTGAGTTTCAAGCAGACTCAGATCCGCATGTAAAACACTCATGCTAGCGCCTGGGACCTCGAATCGGGCTGGTAGATTCGTAGACGCCTTGTTCCGTCTCACTTGCCCCTGAGTCTGACCAAGACGACTGGTGACTTCTTATTGGGAAGTTGGCAGCACATAACCGCTTCCGAATGTTTGCTCTTGTCTTCGGGTGACTCTCAGGTGTTTCCTCAGGTGATTGGCCTCGACATTGCCAAATTCACTGATGTCTCTTATTTGAGTCTTTCTTTCTTTCAGATTATCTGGAGCTATTCCCAGTTGGGAAAATCGCCGAGAGATAAACAAATTGAGCTTCCATGGCTTCTGGGGCCTGGGCATTGAGGCTTACATTTCTTGGCTCATCCACCTGGTCCCTCTACCTGAACATCTTCAACATGAACAAGATAAAGTTGAACGGCGAGATCAAGATGATCAATACCACGTCGACCCCAATTTCAACTGCAGCTCGGCAAAGCAGGCGCCCGATTTGGCAATTGGCGGCCGAAACCGCTAGCTGTGAGGGGCCAGCCGTGAGGGGAAGATAAGACGATGCTTGTTCTCGCTACTGTTGCAAGTAAAGGCGAATCCCTTCACGTCAACTTTGCTAGGATTTCTCAAATATCGTAATTGAGGAATGAGGAGTCTTGACTTGATTCAATATTATCATGAAGACCCTCTCCCTCCTCAGCTTGGCTGCCGTGCCATCGCTGGCCCTCAATATCCCCACATTGTCACAGCAGCAGCGTCTCTTCCCCGACAGTCCCTCTCAAACCCACTATGACCGTCTATCTCAGCCCTCTGCACGAGAAACCTGTCCCCAGGCCCCTAAAGTTAGCATCCCGAATGATGGCTTCCACTCATCGCAGACCTTCCTCTCCGACGACGCCTTCCGCGCTCGTCAGGCAGAGCGGCTCTCGCGTGCAGTGCAAGTCCCGACCACCGTGGGTGACTACATGACAGATCCATACGATGAAGGATTTGAGCCTTTTGTCAAATTCCAATCGCTTTTGGAGGAGATGTACCCTCTAGTGTAAGAGATAAGCAGATTCAATCATGGCCCACCGGGCAGCGATGCATCAACGAAAACATATACTAAACAAGAATCCTAGCCACAAGCACGCCAAGGTCGAGCACATCAACCGTCTCGGTCTAGTCTTCACCTTCGAGGGAGTCGACACCACACGCAAGCCACTCCTCTTCATGGCCCACCAGGACGTCGTCCCAATCGACGACGCTTCAGACTGGAGCCGTCCCCCATTCGGAGGTGTCTTCGACGGCGAATGGATTTGGGGCCGCGGCTCCAGTGACTGCAAAAACGTCCTAATCGGCCTGATGTCCGTCGCTGAAGATCTGCTCTCGCAAAACTGGAAGCCCCAGCGCACCGTTCTCTTCGCCTTCGGCTACGACGAGGAATCGCACGGCTTCCTCGGCGCGGGCGCGATTTCCGCCGCTCTGGAGGAGAATTACGGCAAGGACTCTTTCGAGTTTATCCTCGACGAGGGTGGCATGGGACTGCAGAGTCTGGGCGACGAGTCCGATCCCAACGGCGAGGTGCTATATGCGCTCCCCGCTGTCGGCGAGAAGGGCAGTCTTGATCTAATTATCGATATTGCCGTACCGGGCGGCCACAGCTCTATCCCGCCCGCGCATACTGGTATCGGTATCATGGCGGAGATCTTGTATACTCTCGAGCGCCAGGAGCTGTTCCCCGCCTGGTTGGATTCTAACCATCCCGCCCACGGGATGCTGCAGTGTCAGGCACGCTATTCCCCCGACCACGTCGAACCCTGGCTGTCCGAGAAACTGGCTGCGAATGACCCTGCCGCGCTCGGTGAGGCCGTCGCTGCCTCCCGTGGGCCGGCTGTCCGCTACACGATGCAGACATCGCAGGCGGCTGACCTCATCCACGGCGGTGTCAAGACAAATGCGCTGCCCGAGAAGATTTCCGCCGTTGTTAACTACCGCGTTGCGCTCCACCAGACGCCCGATCAGCTGCTCGAGCGCGCTATCCGGCTCATTGGCCCTATCGTCGAAGCTCACAATCTTACTCTTCGCGTTGCCTTCCCCAATGTAGCTGAGTCGATGGAAGGAGATGCGACTGGCCGTACACTCACTCTGTCACCGCTTAGTGTCCCGCTCGTCCCGGCTCCTATCTCACCTACGGATCCGCTTGCATCGAAGGTGTGGGCCCACTTTGCTGGTGTGGCTAAGAGTGTATTCGAGTCGCACCCTGATCCGCTTGCTAAGACGGCATCTGGATCTAAGCCTACCGTTGTTGTCAGTGGTGATGTTATGACCGGTAACACGGATACGCGGTTCTACTGGTCTCTGTCGGAGAACATCTACCGCTGGAGTCCGTCGCGGGTTGGGGGATCACTGAATATCCATACTGTGGATGAGCGGGTCCACTTGGATGTCCATATTGAGGGGATGATGCTTTATTACGGTACGTGCTTTCTTTCGGCTGTGGGTTTGGAGAAATCTTGCTAATCTATATCAGATCTGATTCGGTCTTTCGATGCCTGGGATGGCGAGTCCGAGTAAGTATAGGTCGCATGTGAGGCCCCTGACCTGTCTATAGATATCTTGCACATACGCATGCTGCAACGATGGTCAACATATGTGCCTTGGAAATCGATTTAGAGATCTCAATCCCATAAATCTACAGGTTTTATGAATATAGACAAGGCATACAGATTCTTTCTATCGTCTATGTAATCATTGGAAGGCCTTCCAATGGAAGTATCTTTGATTCAAAGATTAATATCATCCCCCGGATAGGTATGTTCCATATAGCATTTACGACTGCCCTAGCAGTGCGGACTCCAGCACAAGTCCACACATGCCCGTTCAAAGGTCTTCATGAATATTCAAGTTCTCTCACAAAACCTAGTCCACAACAGGACTATAAGGGTATAATCAAGAGCAAAAGATAGCCATCTGTAGGTAATCGAAACGAACGAAAGTGCCTTGCACACATTTTTGCCACCCATGACCATATATGTGCTCGAACTTCTAAACGAGAGTCTTTTAATCACACAAAACAGCCAAAAAAGTGAATGCAATGAATCAAGTAAACAAGAAGCGAAAGGTCCGCTAGCGGACGAGAAGCGGAGCGAATGAACCACCCATGACAGGGCGAGCAACGAAGGTGTTTTGAGGGTAGCTATTGCTCATTAGCAAGAAATCATTATGAGTCCATAAACCGACCAACTTACTTTCCGGTAATAGTATCGTACAGATCAGTCAAGGCGCGGTTGGTCGGCGTCTCGTTAATCCATGTCGCGAGATCCTTGAGGAACATCTTTCGGGTATCACCCGAAGCGACTGCTGCAGCGAAGCACTCCCAGTCACCTATAAGCAGTGTTAGTAATATGCCAATACCAAAAATTTGTCGTAGGAGCCTGTACCCTTGGTGTAAGTGTGTCGCGTGTCGAGAGGCACACCATACTTGTTCGCAACAGTTGGGTAGAAGTCGCTCTGCATCTGATAAACAGACTGGGGGACCAAGCCTAGGCCGAGCTGAGCGTCGGCAAAGAGGTTGTAGAGCAGACCTGGCGGAATGGGTAAGCTAATTTATCATCGAAGCAGAGAAGTGAGCTTACCATGGCTAGCGGTATCGCCATACGACAAGGTCGTTCGCGGTGGGTTCGCATACTTGGCAATGGCCAGACCCTGCCACTGGGAGATGTAGCTATGGGCGATATTCGCGTAGTTCTCAGCATCATCGGCGTGACCAGTCTGGTTGGCAATCACGGACATAGCTTGAATGCCGATCATGCCCTTGAGGGCGAGGTTGGTTTGGTTGCTAATCGTCCTGGTTAGCTTACTCGAGCAGGAAAAAAAACGTGGCTTACTCACGCAAGGGAGCCGGCGAAGTCATCGGTGGAAATCTGGTTCGCAGGGTATAGTGAATCGTCGACCAAATAGCTGGTCCACTGCTTGAGCAGGTTATAGTGGTCACGCAGGTACTGCGTGTTACCGGATTTCTGCGCATAAGCCAAGGTCATGATAAGCATGTTTCCACACTCTTCTAGGGGCATTTTCTCGTCTTGGCCGTCAGAGTGGCCTGTTGCGTTGGGGTAGGAAGAGCCGAGATCGTGCATGGAATAGTCGTTGGGATACTTGCCAGCCTCCTGGTTCTCGAAGAGAGGATTGAGGACAAGCTTGAGCAATTCGGGGTTGGTGTAGAGGAAGATCGGGTATGCTGGGAATACAACGTCCACGGTATTCATGTTGCCGTCGGAGGAGATCTCCTTCAGGAACAGGTACATCTTGTCTGGTGTACCACAGAGCTGGGTGGCACCAAATGCCTGTCGAACCGAGAGCGAAGTGATAGTCAGGTAGTCCTGGCCGGCAGTAGCAATTGAATCCTTGGCCACCTGGCTATCGAAAGCGCTTGCGAGATTGTTGGAGTCAGAGTAATCATGGTGGAAGAACGAAAGCGCCGCCAACTCGGTCTTGAAGTAGCTCTTCCACAAGGATGGTACTGGCGCATACGCCGAAGCGCCTTCGTACTGGATGGCCTGATCCTGTGTCAGACCAAGCGAGAAGAGTGTGCTGACGGGTGAGGAGTTGACTGAGCCCAGATCGGAAGAGAAAGCAAAGACGGGCCAGTTATCAGCAATAGCTCTGAACTTGGTGTCGCGGCCATTGGTGAGTTTTCCATCGCTCATAAACTTTCCACGGACATCGACACCGGAGCCAGACTGGGAAGTCATGTGGTCTGAGACATCGGTGGCCCAATACCAGTTGCCCCATTCGGCCTGCTCGTTGTTTTGGGAATAGGCCAGCTGAGTCTGCCGGTGTACCTTGTGGTAAGCCACGCCATCGGTGGTACCATATTCCCATTGAGCAATGGCATTTCGGTCGCCCGAGACCCATTCTATCATTTGTCAGTGACTGTATGTAAGTGACTAGACGAAAACACCAACCTGCAGAGATGTCCGCATAAACCTGCACGTTGTGCTGTTGACCATCAAGGGAAGAAACCTCGACATTGAGATAAGAGAAAACAAGCGACTGGCGCTTCAAGTCGTTGGGTGTAACGGGCGACAGGAAAGTAATCTTCATCTGGACTTTATTATCTACGTGCATGGTGAATATGCTCTTCGTCGAAGTATACTCATACGCGACTTGATCGACGACGTTTTTGGGGCCTGGCTGGCCCATCCAAGTATAACTAGTGCCATCGACACGAATCATACCTGCCCAGCCCGTCACCTGGTTCCTGTGCACAATCGGTTAGCATGCAATGTTATAAATACTCGTCGAGTAGAACAACAGACGTACTGCCAGAAGACAGGCCATTGACCTGCCAAGTATCCGCCATTACCACCATCACTTCCTGCAGTAAGCCACGTGCTAAGGTACGGGGACCTGACAGCGAGGGGTATAGCTGGGGGTCGAGCAGGCGAGAAGGTTGAAGCTGCTCCAATAGAGGTCACAAAGGACGCGACAAGCAGACCGAGACGATACAGCTGCATTATGGCCGGGTTAAGGGGATATAATGCACAAGCTCCGATGCAGGAGCAAGCCCTGTTCTTTTATTATTTGCAGAAAAGATAACTCAGCTCCCGGGAGCTTGACGGGCCAACAATATGACAAGGTGACTGAAGAAAGGGATCGGCATGCTTACAGGTAAGGAATGCCAGCGACATTTTTATACTCGAGCTCAATCTACCGAGAGAGGGGGAAGGAAACAGAGGCCGAGACCCGCATGCCAGAATGCGCTCTCGATGGAGTAAATATCCAAGCGGTTTAGCGTAATGGAAACAGGTAGCAGTAGACCTGCATGTCTCTTTGGAGATTCTAATCACGCTCGCGTGACCTCCGTTAGCGTCCGCATGGAAGAAGAGTCATGTCAAAAGTGATACGGAGTAAGGTTAGGGGTATTCAGGACAGGGGTATCTGATTGGAAAGACGGTGAAATGGCGGAGATGGGGAGTGAGTTAAGACGGCTCGCGTTCAGAGTCATTTCTGCGAAAACCATGCTTTCAGGTCTCATGGCAGTAGTCAAGCAGCGGTCTATGCGGATCGACAAGTTTGGTGGCGGTAGTAGACAGCAGCACCTGAGTAATCTGACCCTGGTTCTGTGCGCGCCTTGCAGGTGACGGACCCCACAGCAACATGGCGTAAATAAAGGTTTGGAGAAAAGAGGTTAAAATGGGACCGAGGCCTGCGCGAGAAAATGCCAAAATGGAACGGTGGAGGGAAGTCATCGCCGATAGGTGCGCGTATCGGGCAGCATCACGATCCAAGGGAGGGGACCAAGTGCCGGCTCTTCGGTGATAGCATCATGCGGACCCGGTAGCTGGTTTCAACTTTCAAGTGGGCTTATGCACCTAATGCATGGCGTATCATCAGGCTTAATCAGGCTTTGATGCTTAGTGCGAATAGTGTCCGACCATTTTGCGGGGAAATGGCGATCAGCATGGCATTCAGATGGAGCTTCCAAGCATCGGATTTCAGGAGCCACGGTGATCTCAAGTATGGCAGATCTCGAGTACCTGCAGAAATGATGGAATGACTGCCCATGAGGTGAGTGGGACAGAGGGTTCCCCTTGCAGAGAAGTTCCTACGTGCCTTCGGCATCGACTACACCGACAGTCCGATCAGAGATAGAAGAAATGGCACTTGGTACGAGTACGTGCATGAGGTTGCATGTACCCCATGTTATTGGAGAAGTCGGATCTGTTCTTCTTAAAGCCTCCTTGCATCTATGCAGATGCTTACTCTGCTTCAGTCTTCTCGCAATGATATAGGATAGCCACATAATTCAGCATACCGAGTGAATATCCTTATTCACACTCTCGGTGTCCGTTCGAAGTATAACTATAATCTTTCATGTTATTTCTATTTCAGTTTTTTCTTTCGGTGAGTTTCGTCAGAGCTTAGGATAAAAATTAGGCTGTATGCGGGAGAATAGGCTCTTTTGCTTCATCCCCACCGGAGTACTCCGTAGTTTGGACGAACTTTCGAGATGTTCTAATGGATGCAACATCAATTATATCCGACATTACTCCGTGACTTTGAGTAGAAAGAGCACGAGACTGTTTCAATTTGTGGGTCGGTCACCTAACCGCCATAGGGGGCACATACCGACTATTAAGATACCATTAGACACGACCTCCTATCCCAAGAGAGTATTGCTCATGCCCTCCCAGCCATCCTCCTAAAGAACCCAGATCTCTGCCTCCTAAAAACAAGCGTAGCCAACGCATTCGCTGCAAAATGCGCCGCAGCAACCACCAGCACCAGAAAAACAAGCGCCAACGGCCCCAGAATCGACAATACCGTAAATCCATACGAAGCCCTCTGAAACGCCTGACTCCCAGCCAACTGCTCCGTCGCAAGGCCCACCTGCATGGCCGTCAACACGAGCGCAAAGTATACCGTCATCGCCGTGATAGGCGCCAGATACGTATGTAAGAGCTCCTGGTAAGTCTGATACTTGGCGCGGTAGCCACGAAAGAGACTGCCAAGGTGGAAAGCATAGATTTTATTCAACCGTGACAGACGCAGTTCACCATATTTATACCGTCTGTTGATCCTGTCCGGGTTCATGACATCGTCATCCAGCAGGTTCTGCACGAGAGCCCGCCACTGCGGCCATGTCAGCTCTGCTGGGAGTAGGTTGTATTCTTGTGCGATGATGAAGTCGCTGGGATACTGGATCAGGGCTATATAGGATGTCAAGAAGCCCAGGGCGGACTTGGACAGATCGCAGCGGGAACAGGTGTCTGGGTCTGTGTTTGAGCTGGAGGGGCTGATATTCGCCGAGTCTGGTGTTGGAGTTTTGTCGCTTTCCAAATTGCTGGAGCAGCTGCAGGTTAGGTTTGCGGCCCAGAACCGTGAGTCGAGGAGGTATTGCGGTAAGGGTTTGATGTGGATGCGTCGCCCGGGCCCCCAGACTAGGTGCATGTCGATTTTCTCGTCGACAATTATCGTGCGCGAGACGGATATTTGGTAGTTTAGGGGTCTGGGCGGCATGGGCCGCCCAGCTAGCCAGAGGTATTCTTGGATGTCATTGAGGCGCTGGACAGAGAGGTCCAGGTGGAGGAATTTGGAGGTGTCGCTTAGCGGGGCGAGCAGTGACAGATCATCGTCGCGGAAAGATGCTGGGAGGAGGGTGGAGATGTCTGATTTATCGGTGGTTGGGGCGAAGGCCTCTGTGTTTATGAACATTATTGGGGTATTTCAGGGGTTGATGAGGATGATGGATTCCCCCTGGTGCCCGGCGAGCTGTATGCACTATCCACGCGCCACAACTGCATGAACTTGCTACGGGAATAAGTCACTTTTACGCCGACTGTGGCGCACTTGAAAACACATGTTAACACATGCTAACAATTATACCCGACTCCTGACTGCCGATGATAGGTAGTAGGGGAGATAAATCAACAGATAAATTGTAGACCATAGATCAGAACACAAAGTACAAATAGCGCGATATTAAACATGCAAGATCTCAACACTAAGCGCTACGCGCCAACTCGATACAAAACTCCCCCCAGTCCTGTCCCCCATTCAGCGACAGAATCTCTTCCGCAATAGCCTCCTCCAGCCGCTCATGGTAGCGCCGACGGTATTCCGTCTTCACAAGATCGAGATGTCTAGGCTCCCAATGCAGACGCACCAGACGGGAAATCAGCAGCTCGGAGCGCTCACGGCCGCTACGGGATTCACGTAGTGCCTGGTGGAGAAGTAGGGCGTCGCGCATAGGACGGTTGATTGCGCCGTTGAGGATATGGGCTAGTGTTTCGCCCTGGGAATTGTTAGCAATCACCGAAAAAGAAAAAAAAGAGACAAGAGAAACATACCACCAAATTCCTCGACTTCGAAATCATAGCCTTCGCAAAATTATGCCCATAAGTCTCCTCATACAAGCGCAACACCTCGCGCAGATGCGTATCACTCCTCAACACAATAATATGAATCATAGCCGTCTCCCCTCCCTCCCTTACAATCGCCCGATGCAAATCTTGCACATCATCCCGAATAAGCCTCTTATCCAGTGGCTCGCGCTCCTCCTGCCGCTGACCCTCAAGCGCAAGCAGGATCGCCACGCGGAACTTATCAGCCCTCAGCTCAGACCGCATACAGCGCTCGAGGCTATTTTCATAGCGGGTGTCACGGAAGGAGTTTTTGATTTCGCGGATTGCGGCATTCGACCGACCCATCAGGGACTCGATGAGGAGTTCGCGGCGCGAGGTGCCGGCTTGGTAATAGCAGTTTGCCCAGTACGCTTCTGATTCCCAGCGGCCGAGGGCGGTTGCGTAGGCGACTTTGCCGAAGGAGGAGGAGCCGAGTTTTAGACGGAGGTGTTTGGCTAGGTTGATACCTTTTCCTTGGAGGCGGACGCGGGCTTTGTATTCTTGCCGTAGGAGGAGGATCTCGTCGCTGGAGAGGCGAGGGAGGATTTTGATAATGGGTTTGCTGTCTATGTTGCGGGCGTGGTTGAGGGCGGATTGCAGTGCTGCGGCGTCGGCGCCGGCATCGTAGAAGGAGACGCGTTTGCGGCCGGTTGTTGGGGAGATGACCACTTTGCCGTCGCCTGGGATGGAGGAGCTCGAGTGGTGGCGGGTGTGGCTGGCTGATGGGCGGGTCAGGCGTTTGTCGTCTTTGCGCTCGCTGCGGTCTTTGTCGCGTTTGTCTTTGCTGCTGCGGTGAGATTCCACTTCGCTAATGGATGAGTGGGAGCGTCGGTGCTTGCTGCGACGGCCTGATTCTGACGTTGAACCTCCACCGTCGAGTGGCTCGAGGTCGGAGATGTCGTCGTCGCGGATGGATGGAATGACAATCGGCGACGGCATGGGTGAGATGGATTGGTATGTTCCGTGATACGGCTCGAGCAGGGGACTAGCCGGGGGATGAGCCGAGTGTCCTGAACTACCTCCAGCAACCGCAAGGTTGCTATTCGACGACACAGAGAGACCGTGAGGACGCGCGCTCGACCGACCTCCACCAGGTGTGATTTCCACAAACTGAGGCTCATTCCGGGGCGGCTGGTCCAGCCGATTCTGCTGCGCTTGCGACGGCGGCTGGAACTGCGATGACGAGTGGGACTGGGACGGCGACGGAGCCTGCGGGTAGTAGAAGTTCTGCAATTGCGGTGGCAGTGGTCTGACATAGTTTTCAGACGCAGGAGCAGCTGATGTTGCTGGCTTCGGCGCAGTCTTCGTCGTATACTTCACGTGGGGATCAATCTGCGCATACTGATACGTGCCGGGGTTCGCGTATCCAGCCGACGACGGGGGATACCCAGCATCACTCGCGGAGTAACCAGCATCGCTCGCAGAAGCAGTGCGGTAATGCCCAGGCATATACCCGCCACTGGTCGCCGCATACGGAACCTGCTGCTGGCTGGGTACGCTGGTGTACTGCAGCGGATGAGCCATCGCTGGGATAGAGCCATCGGCATAAGCTGAAACCGAGGGAAACGCGCCAGGCATAGAAGACAGTTCCGCAGGCTGCGACGAAGGCGGCACGAAACCTGGCCGCTCACACTCAGGCACAGAGGCCCAGTCCGACCCAGCGCCAGGGTATCCCGACTGCGGGCGGGGAGCACTCGATACAACCTGCGCCGGCTGCGCATAGCTATAACGGTTGGGGCGCGCATAGCTGGGGTGACTCCCCGGCTCATCGCCGTACGCCAGCGCATCGTCATCAGAGCCATCCGGGTCATGTTGGTTCACTCGACTGCCTGAGTCCGGCGAAGAAGGCCGCCGCCGATACGGCCGCGAAGGAGCATACTGCGACGGAGCAGTGGCTGAGCCCCGCTCGTCGTCCGAGTGTTCATAACGGTCTTCGCGACGTCGTCTCGAGCTCTTTGTGTCGCGATCACCTCGGCGCCGCGAATCCGATTCCGAGCCAGAGCGGTCCACGTCGTAGCGGGCAGGACTCCTTGGTGCGCGGGAGATCACGCTGCGGGGCTCTTCTGGCTCGGTGGTTTTGCGCTGGCGTCGCTCGCTGATTAGCTTGTATTGGCGCTCAATTTCGGCTTCTTCGTCGGCATTGTAGCTAGATCTTCGGGGTTCGACGGCTGGGGAGCGGGAGCGGTGGGAAGGAGACGGGGCCCGGCTGTCACGCGACCGTGAGCGTTCGCGAGATTTGGATCGGGTGCGTGACCGTGGGTCGTTCACTTGCAATGACATTTTGTCCGGGGATTTGTTTTGAATCTGTTCAACGTCTTTTATTTTCTTTTTCGTCCCACAAAGGAGTTTCGAGAAGTCTTAGGTCACACAAACGAGGGCACTTGGAGTGAGACTTAAGGCAACTGTCAGTCTGCGCAAGGCCACCACTCGAGTGTTCATCTGCTCTGTACAAGACCAGATGAAACCCTCTCCAAGTAGTGAATTGCAAATTGGAGGGGAAAAGAAGGAAAGAAAGCACAGTGCGACGGCGTTTATCGCACCTCGTATTCCATTTTGGCCCCAACTTAAGAGCTAGTCCACCTACTTCGAGCCCCCATGCAGCCAAGAATCAGCGGCTCTTATTGGCTTACAGCACTGGAGATCGTCGACTGCAGCGCTTCAGCCGCAGGCACTGGAGTCATTTGGCCAATGCGCATGTCAGATTGTAAATCCAGCCGAGGGATCAAGTGGTGCATGTTTACTGTCTACGGAGTACGCCGTAATTGTACAGGAAGGCCGAGGTAAACTAAGATCAAATACCGTGCATAATGAATAAATGGAAAGCACTGGTACAGGCGAACTTCGAACCATTTTAGTAGAAGGAGAATGACACTCGAGACAGAAGGTATGAGATAAAAAGAAGCCTTGCGAGGTGCCGGGCCGCGAAGAATTGGGGTATGTGCTGGAACAGAAAGCTATGCGAACAGGTTACAGAATGAACAAGGCAGAAAGAGAGAGCCCTATCGTGTGCGACGGCCATCACGGGGTCCCATACGGCCATTGTTTTGCTTCTGGATTTGGGGGGACTGTCCGTTGCGGTTGAGGCGGTTGGTTCTCCAGCGCTCATACCAGATAACGCGGCTAGCCTCTCGCAACTCGGTGCGCCAGTCGGAGAAAACGGAGTCCTTCAGGCGTACAAAATCGCAATGTTCAGCATCATAGGGGTCTGCAAAGCCCCAAGGGAATCGACGTCCGACAGGCTTGTCTCCAGCGGCCAACGAATGAGGGTCGGGAGACAGGATAGAGAACGGAACGTGCTGGTTGGTGGCCTGCGAGGCGGTGGAATGGCGAGTGCCCTCGCTCAGTTGTGACGGCGAGCGGCGAACTTTGTCGTCGGTTGCGGTCTCCTTCGCTTCGCTGCCTTCTGCAGCTTCAGACTCGGGTTTGGTCTCGGGCTCTACGGTTTCCTCTTCGTCGGCACTTTCCGACGAGCTGTATTCCTCCTGGTCCTCCAATGTCAAGATCTCAAGGGGGTCGATATTGGCCTGCTTCAAGCTGTTCCAAACCGCCTTGCGAAGATAGCTCATGTGTGCCGAGGTAATCGTGTCCGCTTTGCTGATAACCGGCACAACGGTGGTCTTGCCCAACACGGTGCGCAAGACCTGCAGATCGAGGTTCTGGTCGAGAATTCCAACGACGGGCGCATCGGTCGGCTTGGAAGTGCCGTTGGCAGCACGCTCTGCCATGGCGATGTTCTCATCAAGACGCACAGGGTCCAGAAGCAAGAAAGTGCAGTGGATGTGGGTATCACGGGCGCCGGGAGAGCGAACGACCTTCATCTCCTCGGCCAAGGTCTCCTCAAATTTGCTCTCCAAAAAGCCTGTCACGCCACGTAGCTGAAGGTCTGCGATATCCCGCTCGAGACCGACAGAGTCCCACAGAGTAAGGCCGACACGTTCTCCGTCAAACTCTGTCTCCAGATATTGTGCCGTGAATCCCTCCCAGGTAGTGGTTTGGCGTTCAAGTTCCTCGATCTCCTCGGGAGTGCGCGACGGGTGCTTATGCGCGGGCATGGTGAGGGCACTCCGCAGGAAGTTGAGGAACGAGGTTTTGCCTGAGTTGCGGGCACCGATGACAAGCACACTATACACGTTCCATTGTTAGGCTTTGGTCTCGTTGGGTTCTTGATATATCTCTTTCATCTGCGCGGCTTACTTGTAAGATGTGGGATCCTTGCGACGGCGAACACGGCGGGGGCTGTTGACAGTGCTGACGGCGCTGCTGGCATAGCTGTAGCGGCCGCGATGGGTCATGCTCTCCGTGCGGGCATATGGATCGATTGCGCTGGGGGATGATCCAGCCATAGTAGGCGATGCAGCGAATCCAGACTGTGGGCGGGGTGGAGTGGGATCGGCAATCTTGTCACGTTCCTCGCCTCCAAAGGTTTCCAGTTGGGGGGTGGGGGAAAGATCAGGCAAGCGGGGAGGGACTTTTGGAGCGTAAGATTCGCGCTGACGGCGCATCTCCTCCTCCATAGCTTTGGACATCTTTTTGCGATTACCAGAGAATTTGTGCTCGCCCAGGGGTTCGGTGGATTTAGAACGACGGAGGAAGCCGAGGGAGGTGCGACGGTTGACATCTGTCTCAGGCGCCAGGCGCGCAGCTGAGGGAGTTGCCATTATCTGTTTCTTTCCTGATTAGGTTAATATCTTATTACGACGTCACTTTTCACTTTCTCTTCTTTTTCTTTTTCTTCAACTCTTCTGATCCCTCACTGTTCTGGAGTATTCAACTTTGTCGACCAAAAGATTTTGAATTGACATTGTACGATCCTCCAGAACCCCTCACGGGCAGACGTCAGGGGTTATGGAAACGGCCACTCACCAATGAAATGATAGTAAAGATCGGAGTGAAATCACGGCGCTAACAAGTACAGCTCAACAGAAATGCAATAGAGCAATTCCAAACTGCCGAGGGGTCACGGTCTGAGACTGGATAAGCAATGTTGAATGTGGATTCAAGCCAACTGCTAGGAATATCCCGCGCTTTCGATTTCTTCCGATTGACGAAGGTATCTGCAACAGCAGCAAAAGAGAGAATAAGCGAGAGTGAAATTCAAACAATGTCCCCAGCCAGTGGGTGTGTGAAAGGGTCCTGGGATACAGGGGATGGAATTGAAATTGGGCCTTGAACAAAGTTCAACAAGAGTTCAATGTTCCCTTTTTTTTTGGTGATTTTCGTTGGTTCTTTTCTAGTTTCAAAATAGGCCTGCTCACAGCGTCCAGCAACAGCGGCGCTTGGAGAGAGTTGGAAAGGAGTGTGGTGGAAAGAGAAGGGAAGAATTTAATTTCGCTACATACACAGGGAGGGGGAAGACTAAAGGACCTAAGGGACTCGGGGTTAGGCAATTGGCGATCAATACTATCACACTCTGAAAACATCCTCCGATTCAGGGGTAAAATCCCAGCTTTGGTCCAGAGCCCCGGCTGTGCTCCACTTGGAGCTTGGTTGGATGGCGTGCGTCGTTCGTCTTTAATGGAGCTAACAGACGGGAGAAAATGGGGGCGATGTCACGCTTGATATCCGAGTCAGCATAGGAAGAAGCAACATCTCCCATGCTATCCTTGACGGCCTCCACCTCTATACTCCATACGCATGGTTCATCCACGTTGTTCTCATCTCGTGGTCTCCTGACGGCACCCGGCACGTGCGCCACGCCAGGGGCCGTTGAGGTCTCCACTTGCCTGTCCGATATCATTTTAGGCCGTAGATGGAACATCTGAAATTCGAGTTGAGTGCATTGTCAGAAGCCGAGGCGGAGAGCAACTGGTTCGTAATATACTACCGAAGAAGCAAAAGAACAGAACAGAGAGCAACGAGAAGCGAAATGATCGAGAACTATCAGGTGGTTTGTTTGCTTGTTTGTTTTGTTTGCACACGGTAAAGAATATAGCCCCACCTATGCTGTCGGGACTTTTTATGTCAATGAGATGAACTGATCTGGCGAAAGAAAAGACAACCAAGGACTGCTCCAGGCACATTATTAAATCAACCCAGGAGTAACCTTCCTTTGACAGCTGAAACGAGACCCCCAAAAGCATGGACATTGTTCATCCCACGGGGCAATGCCATTGGCTCCACCAATATGGGCTCGTGTAGCCGCAAGTTGCAACCCAAACACTCCCAAAGTGTCCCAAACTACTTAACGGCGCCGTTTAATATGACCATATCGTAGAAGAAAGACGACCTGGGCATTTCCTTGGCCAACTAGACTTTAGACTGGATCCTGAAACACGTTAATTTAAGATCTCAGCTTTGTAACAACCTTACAAATCGACATATCACGTTTTGGCCCTTTGGGTGTTTTGGCGGAGACGCGACGTGGGGCAAACTCAACCACGGAACCGCGACCGCGCTTCCTGAGATGCGACGGATGAACGATCGGAGTAATGTCTCCAAGGTTCTCCATTAGGTATGCTGTTACAGAACATCGTACGTTCAAAACAGATGGACTGCCGGTCCTGTTCTCGACAGTGCCGATCTCGTATTTTCTGCGTTTCGCACGTGCCAGGAACGAAGTGGATCGAGAGCGTGGTGGATTACCCTCGCGTGCAGCAACTTACTTTCGCTAAGGACCAGGGAAGAACGGCAGCACGGCTCCATCCGGAGGAAAGAAGAACCGGAAAAAAAAGACCCGGGGGCCGGGGCACTTCAAGAGCTCGCGAACATGTTCACGCAAAGGTACAGTTAAGGTACGTTCTTGATTCCCCGGTGTGACAGCCTGACAGGGGATTTTCCGAGCAAGCTTGGACCGGGTCTTTTTACTGGCATCGCCCGAACCTTTGATAGCGTACACTCCCGATCTAAACTGTATTCAGGCTCACGTCACTCGCTATGCCAGAGCTATCTATCTACTATATAATTATCATTGCGATATACCCCCACTACCTTCCAGAATTCCCAGAATTTACTATCCCGTAGGTAGCAGACCAAGCTGTACTTCACGAGGGCACCTCTTTGCCGAAGGTCCTCACAGGAAGCACAATGCACGGCTTTGATGGACACACTGTATCGCGATCCAGATGCTTAAATTTAGGACCATTGGGACCAGCAACGTTCTTCGCCTCGCCAAAGATTTCGGGTTCATTAGGTGGCTGATCGTCTCCCCATTTCCCATTGAGGTTCAACCATCCCACCGGATCATTGGAGTTCGCAGCCTGGAAGACACCTGTCGTGGTATTGTATGTATAGATGTACGCGTTTAGCACGGGATCCCACAGTACGCCGCGATCTGTATAGTCCATCAGGAACCCGGCAGGGAGGTTGAGTCCTGGTATGGTGTGGTCGTGCGTTCTGTGAGTTTGTTAGTTATTAGTATACAATCAACAGATGAGAATTATCTGATTCACCCTTCGATCGCATAGTTCGCATGTGTCCCTCTTGCCGAATAGGCATATGGTCTCTTCCCCTTCTTCTCAGCGGCATTGTATGTAAATGCCTGACCCCTCGCGTGCTGGCTGTACCATATTGCGTCTGGTTTGCCGCTGGCGAAGCGAATCATGTTATGTTCCCTGTGTTTTTTTGCGCCCTTAGCTTCAGTAATATCAGGTAAGATGTACATTGAGTTTACCAGTCTCCAATGTGGTCACCAAACTCCAAGCCGAGGACTTTGCCACCCTTGTTGAATCTAGGATAGAGTCAGTAACGATGCAGACTGGGAGTAACTACCAGGAGCTCACGCGTAGAAGTAGAAATAAAAAGCATCAACAGTCGTATCGTCGCGATGTACAACAATAATAGCACTCGCGGTACCATTGACCGTTCGTCCCTCTGGATCTGGTCCGATACCTCGGAACCAGGCTGGCTCGGGACTAGCTTCGATGCCTTCTAGAGAGGTTAGGTAGACGCTCTCATTACCCAGATTGTTCAGCGCATCCAGGTTATTGAGAGTCAGTGGCGAGGGTACCCCCGAGATGCTTGTCCAGTTGACCATAGGTCTGGTGTGATCGAGCTGTTGCTGGATGTCGCTCGGCATGTAGGTGTCCTCGCTATGGAGCCATACTAAAGGAGCTGGACACTTGCATTTAGTGGGATGGTTATTATATACTATCCCGCTAAAGCTTACCATATTCCAGGACATATTGTGGGACATCGGTTGAAACGGTGTCGCCAAGTGAGGCCCAGACTGGCTGGGTCGTGGATAGAGTTACCAGTGCCACGGATATGAAACAGCGCATCTTGTGTGACAAACCTCTCAAGCACTGAAGAGGAACATGTATTCTTTAAGTACCAGTGGCATCACCAAGAGGTCGTCTAAGGTTCAATAGTTGCTTGGGTGCTTAGTCTAGGAACTTATCAGCATGACTTCGTCACAAGGACGAAACTAGCAATGAACGAAGACAAATACATGCACTCAATAGATATAGAGTAGCAGTGCGCTCTCCAGACTTGTGTCATTCACTCGACACTATCCTGGATTCCTGGAAGTAAAACATCTCCTCGACGAGGATCATGCCAGTCTGACTCCAAGGTCTGGTCACGGCGACTGGACTCGTGTCTGTGAAGTATAGCTAAGACAGAGGGTGCATATAGCTCAGCTTGAATTGTAATTCCTAATCCTCTGCGATATGATGTGATTGTTGAGGATGACCTGTTTACGTTCTTTATCCTCCGGGGAAATGATATGCAACCCCGGAGAATGCGGAACATTGCGGACCTTATTTGGACACATGAGCAGGCTGGCAGGGTAGTAGTAGAAGAAGCCATGATTTGGTGCTTTTTGGTCATGAAGATGGGACAATGCATATGGCACACTTGGGGCTGAAGATCATTGCCCTGGATCTCTTTGGGCTGATGGGGTCACCTGCCCACGGAGCCCTCGCCCACGTTTCCCGGTCACAGGGTCTTTTAGTCTACAGAATGCATAACTTTCTCAAGTAAGGAAGGTCAAAAGTGTGTATATTGACTTGAAGCTGACTGTAAGAAACTCTACATCATCGAGGTATAAAAGAAACATTATGAACATTGGAACCTCGGAAGGTTTCCTCTACTTCGCCCTTGCAGCCTCTTCTTCCCGTCTCTTCTGCTTCAGCAACTTAAAAATTCTCAAATCCAACGGAATCCGATCACCAAGCCAAGTCGCACGTTGAGTATGATTGCGCTCCTCCTCCGTCTCAACCGTATTGGGGTGAATGAGAACACTAAGCGGACCCCGATTGATAACCAACCAGGGAACGAAAGCTCCAAACTGCGCCGGTGTAAACAAGTTCACCTCAAACATAGCCACCGGGTGAGGACCGATTGGGCGGTCGAAGAAGCTGTAGATTCGTAGTTCGGGGACTGTACGGGGCGTAGGTAAGCATCAAGGATATCAAGCTAAAACGGGGTGATCCCGCACCCCGCAGTTGATGATCACGCCACACAATCGCTGAACTACGGAAGGTAACGCTACTTACATTCTCGTCTGATACGTTCCCAGAGTGCTCTGGCAAATGCGGCTTGGTCGGGGTTATTCTTGTACTTGTCAGCTCGTTGCGATCTTGAGTTTGTGGTCACGGATGCATGAGTGGTGCGCGTCACATACTTGGAAATGATAGATGTGGATGTCGAAGCCCCCGTCCCGGCCTTTAGATAGGGGATCAGGGAACTCCTCGTAGGCTTTACTCAGAATGCCATGTTGAGGGTTCTTCAGCGATTTTCCGTCTTCGGCTTTCTCGCTGCAGCGAAGTGTTAGTGTTTTGACTTCGATGTGGTTGCGTAGCGCTTACTCGGACAGTGGCTCGAGGTTTTCGTATCCTTCCAGTGGAGACGGGTATGAAAAGGCAAATTGATCAGTCATCTTGGAATTTGTAGTATGAATAATTGAAGGAATGAAGAGGGAGCAGTGGTGGGTCAAGAAGTCAAGATATAGGTGGAGAGGTAGATTCCGGTTGATCAGCACGGCGCTGTGTTATCAATCAGCAAAGATCTCGGGTGAGTAACGCAATGCTTTGTCTATCAGCGTTAGCCAATCGCCCGACTGAAATGTCGTCAGTTAACGTGCTGAATCGTCAGGTTTGACATCTGCGACGGACAGATTTCCGCACTGTGACAAAGCAGCAAAGCTGCGGAACCCGCCCGACTTTCCCGTCGACGCCTTTGGGTCAAGCTCATTGTTGTTATGATCTTGGACACCTTGACGATAGGTTGATAACTATGAAGATTAGCTTACCGCCAGATGGAAAGACTTCTATTTTGTTGCCCGATTGTCCGGACATCCATCCCGATTCAAATACCTATTCCATTGGTGCTAGGTCTCCCGTACCTACTGAGGTAGGTGCAAATATATAGCGACTCAAACCAGTTGCACCAATGGATGAATGTTGTGGAGACCAAGGTATCATGGAACGATTTTTCGGATTCCAAGGTTGTAGGTAGTATTGACCAAGCTTGGATCATCGATCCATGATATACGTAGTAAATAATAGAGTCCATGCAATAGGACAGAATGAATAAACCAAAAAAAGCATACACCTTTGATATCACCATAACAGCAGACCCGAACGCCAATCACCATAACGCTCAAACACAACATAAAGTACTACCAGGTAGCTCTAACATCAATATGGCCTTCGTCATTCACGAACTTGCCACGATCCCATTCCCGCCCTTCACCTTTCTTCGCCCACTGTACATCCTCCGGTTTGCCTTCACCATCGAGACCCGCGAAAGCCGGTTCCGCCTTCCACTTGTCAATGGCTGCCTCGTCGATACCAGCTGCACGTAGTCTCTCCGCGCCTTTCTGTCTCCAGCGCTCACGATCGCGAAGCGCCTCCATAGCCATGTCCCAGTCATCGTCTTTGGTCATGAGCCCCGCAACAGGACGACGGGAGGATGGCTGGCCCGTTGAATGTAAATCGTCCTCATCTAAATGCAGGTCGGTATTCGGATCGTAGCCGGGTGCAAAGTGAGCATCAATGTTGCTTGAATTGGGTTTGTAGGCGCCACGCCCACGCGAGCGAACGGGTGCTTTGTTCTCTCGGAGAGGAAGTGGCCCGATGAGCTCTTCCAGAGGATCAGACTCGCTATCCGTCCCATTTTTATATGTAGATGTGGTAGGAGGTGGCGAAAGGCGGTTATGCCGCGTGCTGGTATCGAGACGAGAACGGTGAGAACCATGTGACGACGTCGACGCATCTTCAACCTTCGATCGCCGAGTTCTGGACGAATCCCGTGAGTAGGAACGCGAACGGGTGGAATGTGCGGGCCCACGGTGTCGTCTTCGATGGTGGTGACGATCGTTACTTCGGTCCCTGCGCGGAGAGCGACTGGCAGACCTTGAATATGACCGGTCATGTCGGCGTCTGGTGTGGTGCTTATCTCGATCTCGGCGATCCCGTCTGGATGAATCGTGGTCCCGGTGTGAGCGTCGATATTCATCGCGATCCCGGTCCTTCTCAGCAGTTCCAGCGTAGTCTTCATCTCTGTGTCGATGTCTCCGCGGCCGTTCCCGTTCTGTCGAGGGGGAACGACTTCGGTGCCTTTTTCGATGTGAGCGAGTATGGCTTTCTCGTTCTTCTCTGTGGCAATGCTCCCTTGATCCTCGCATACCACTTCGATTACCAGATCGTGTTGATGCACGATCCGTTGAAGATGGAGCCGAAGCACCTGATGTCGGATATTTCAGCTGGCGCATGCGCTCCCGTGCTTCTTTTTCTTCCTTGAGCTTGAGAGAGGCATTGTGACTATCGGTCACTTTGATGAGGTTCCGTAGGAAGCGCGTATTCGGTTTAGGGGCATTGCTTGCCGGCCTGCAGGTGTATGTCAGTCTTGTGCGCATGCAGACGCTAAATTGTGAAAGCAATGTGAGAGCAAACAAACTTTGAAGGCATAAAAGCACTCAGTCCTTGAGCCGAGTATTTCATGGAACTCTCCTTTGCCTCCTTGGCAAGGAGCTGCGCAACGTATTCATCGTCCATGATGCAATGGAGCCGTAGATCACGGGGCTCCGAGGGGACGAATCAGTGCACCAAAAACGAGTCGGTAGAGTAACACCGTAGCAAGTATATACTAGGCCATATCAGAAGGGAACAAAGGCGAGATACCCGACTTCAAAGAAGAAGGTAAGAATTCAAGACCTAAGAGAGGCGAAGAGTCGAAGACCACTCGCGCCTTCCAAAAGTTGGCCTCACCGCCTTTGATATCGGTTATCGCGATAATTGTTTACTTTGATGCACCTCGAAGGTTAAGGACTCGGCTCACCAAGCTCTCTAGCAGTCCAGACTGGCTTCTGTTGTTTCACAAGCCGCGTTTTCACCATACAGTATTTGATATGGCGACCTCGTCAGCAGAAGCCCTTGCAGCACTCAAGCAGCTGGAGGAGAAGGGCGATTTAAAGAAGCGTCTTGCGATTATTCGCATCAGCGAGCCAATTTCCGCGGAGGTGGGGGGATCTTACCCCTCTCCTTCAAAAAGAAGCTCTGATGTGTCTGTCTCGAACTTCGATGATCCAACCCCAGCCTCATTGGAGGCTGATCTCTCACATTACAAGGTTTGCGCGACGTACCCAAACACGCCATTGTGTGCCTTTGTGTGCAATTACTGATGTCTTTGCATAGGAACTATTCTCGAAGCTGCGATTCTCCTACCTCGAGCAAGTGACAAAGGAAAAGTTCCTGCGCTCCATTGTTGGCGACCCGCCGGTCATTGTCGGACACAATGAGAACACAGAACTGGAGACACAACTAGCAGACGTCAAAGCCGAACTTAAGGCACGAAAAGAAGATGCACGGATCATGATAGAGGAGATGGAGCAAATGGGGCGCGATTTGGCAAGCCGTGAGTGGTCGGTGACCGTACAAGATGAGCCTATTGACTGAAACGTCTCCCGTGCCATGATAGGTTATAAGAATGTTGAGCTACAGACAACGCAGCTCTCAACACTACCTGCATCGATTGAGAATCTTGAGTCCACAATCGCCACTCTCCGAGCTAAGCAGGTCGTCAATATGGATCCTTCCGATCCTAACAACGCTTCCTCGTCGCAGAACCTTCCTCTCCCTGCGACCTTGGCACTGTTAGCAGATCGTGAGGCAGAACTGGCGTCTTTGAATCGCCAGCTTGCTGCTTTGAAGAACACATTGCCTCGGAAGACTCGAGAGGCGGAGGCAATGGAGAGAGAGTGCGGTGTGCTGGAGCGACGGAAGTCAGATGCGATCATGCAAGCGCGTGAAGCACAACGCAAGAAGCAGCAAGGAGAGAGTGATGGACTAGAGGAGATGGGACGTTGGTATAGAGGAGCGGAAGAGACCCTAAAGGAACTGGTGGGTACGGAGTCTTAAGTTAAGAGGCCAAGCCCAGACATCGATACGACGACATGAAGGATTGAGCTTTTCTTAAGTGGGGAGCGGGGAACGGCGTTAGGATCTACTGCACATCGTACATATATGGAGAGTCATGGATATCATTACTAGTATTATTACATTTCCAAATCACAGTAGCAGACTCGGGTGGATAGATTCGGGTTCCAAATTGAAGCCGTTTGGCTGTTTTTGATTCATTTGTATTGCATGATCGAAGAACATGAGACGCTATGATGCAGTCATTTTGAACCTCCATGGATTGAAGGCGCCCCAAGCGAAACCCGTCCGTACTCCATTTTTGAGGGAATATAGGGAATAATTTACTCCTCATCCTCCTCCTCCTCAGCGTCCTCACCACCGGCAGCGGCGGCGGCCTTCTTGCGGCGAACACGACCGGGGCGGCCACCACCGAAGGGCGAGGTGAGAGAGAAGTCGATGTGCTTCTGGGAGTCGAGGCGGACCATGAACGAGGGAACGTTGACGATCTGCTTGCCGACACGGATGTGACGCTGCTTAATCAGGACACGGGCGTGGTGGATGGACTTGGCGAGGCCAAGCTTGTACACGCAGGTCTGGAGACGGCGCTCGAGGAAATCCTCGACCTTGAGGGCCAGGACGTAATCGAGCTTCATGCGGGCCTCATCGAGCACACCGATGCGGACAAGACGGCGAATGAGGGCATTGCCTTCGAAGAGACGCTTGGGGTCCTTCTCGTCGAGAGTGAGGAGCTCACTATTGGGAGAGAAGAATTAGCGCTATGTCTCTCTGATATGCTTGAACCCAAGTTTTCTCAGGCAAAAGCGTGGAAGTCTTTTATTCACATACCGAGCAGCACGACGGATCTTGGACAGGGTGAGCTGGACACGCCACACCTCGCGCTTGTTGCGCAGACCGTACTCGCCGACAACCTTGAGTTCAGAGTCACTAGAAAACTTAGGTTAGAGATATGAACACGACATGACCAGAAGCACGCTTCTGATCAGTGGCCGGAGAGTACTAACAGGCGGGCCGACTCGAAGGCTGTGATGAAGTTAGCGCTTGAATCTTCAGAAGACGGATTTTGATCGAAATTGACTTACGGCGACGGGGGACCTTGTAGGTCTTGGAGGAAACGCGACTGCACAGGAATCAATTAGAACAATGCGATGCATTTCATAGTCGATATATCGGTATACTCACGGAGCCATTGCTGCGGTTAGATGGGCGGTGGTTGTCGAGGAGGTCGAAGGGTCAAGGAGAATTGAGATTTTGAGTGTGTGTGATGCGAGCCCTACCTAGTCCCGATTAGGAAAGAAGATTATGTCAGCTGATTACGTTATGAGCCAATCGGCGGGCTCCCGCGGGCCCAGGAGCGGACCCGCTCTCGATGTACTCCGTACTCGTTTCCTCGTCAAATATCACAACTTCAACTCTATGGAATCTGCTGGGTTGTGTGGATTTCCGAGCTGCTCGGTATGTATATGGCAGCTGCCTACATGTACTTCGGTCATCAAGTACGGCGTAAAGCGCGCAAGGTCTTTTCAAGCACAAGTATCCTGAATACCTGATACTCCCTTTGACGGCTTATTGCCCTGTTGTTGTGTACTGTATTCTATTGCTGCCAGAGACCATTGGTTACGTGGTAAAAATCTGGTACTCAAGAATGTACCTGAGCTTGAAAACTCCGAAATTGCTATATTTTGCTGTATTTCGTTCCAATTGATGACGGTCAAGTCGATCATCATGCGATATGTCCAACGGCCAAGTACTACTGTGAATAGCAAACCTTAGAACTTTTGGAATGATGAAGGGCGATTCAAGCTATGATTGGGTGGAGATCGAAGGTTGCGCTAATTCCATTTGGGAAATAATTTAATAATCCTAAACGGGACTAGCGTCCACGGGGCTTAGCGAGCCCTCAGAATGGATTAGTCAGTAAATCCCACAAATTGTTATCCGACACTCTAGTTTTTCGAGTTGAAGGCCCCGTCGACAATTAACCACCAGCACCAACCACAACACCGCCGTCATGCCTCACTCGTACGGTCTGCGCGCCGGCACTCGGGTACGTTTTGATCTCCTTTGCGACACACGTCTTTTTTTGAAACTGGAAGAACGACTTCAACCGACCGGATATGCTCTTTGGTGGCCTGGGAGGATAAGTGCTAACGACACGACGAACAGTATGCCTTCAGCCGTGGCTTCAAGGAGAGCGGTATGATCCGTCTCTCTACCTACATGAAGACCTACCGGTATGCTCCAGTCCTCGAAACGCGAACAAATGAAAGGGATTGAAATCTAACAGATGTTTTTAGTGTTGGTGATATTGTCGACCTCAAGGTCAACGGTGCCGTCCAGAAGGGGTCAGTACAATCTCGATATTCCCATTCATTGCCATCGCTCGAACGCCCACTGCGATCACACGCCATAGGCAATGCGAAACTCGGAAAAGACACAAGAATCTAACAGTTTGAACAGTATGCCCCACAAGGTCTACCACGGTAAGACCGGTGTTGTCTACAACGTCACCAAGTCCTCCGTCGGTGTCATCCTCTACAAGAAGGTCGACAACCGCTACCTCGAGAAGCGCATCAACGTCCGCATTGAGCACGTCCAGCACTCCCGCTCCCGCGAGGACTTCATCAAGCGTGTCAAGGAGAACGCCATCAAGAAGCGTGAGGCCAAGGAGAAGGGTGTCCACGTTCACCTGAAGCGCCAGGCCGTTGGTCCCCGTGAGGGCCACATCGTCAAGCCCGCCGGCAACAAGCCCGAGACCGTCGTCCCCATCGCCTACGATACCCACATTTAAAGGATTCGTTTTCGAATTGGGACGGTGTGTGCGGTTGTTAGGTGTTTACTGGGTTTCCACTCCATTTTTGCCTAGACTGAAATGGAATTTGATACATGAGACGAAGCGCAAAGGGTTTCGGATGCCCTGGCACATCTCTCGCCTGTGCATAGATTCCCCTGAATGAAACAAAATCAAAAAATTTCCGAGTTCATGTCTACATTTTTCCAGCTCAGTTTGACCAAGCTTTGATCTACCGTTCTAGACCTGCGTAGTGTTGTTCGCTCTTGATCTTGGTGACAGTCTGATCTCAACCATCTGTACGCACGGAGTACACAGGTTGAGCAAAGCTCAAACTCCATGTTTACAAGTTCCAATAGCTACACAGTATTCTCAGCGATTGGATTTGGCCACAATTGGTATCCGACAGTTCCGAATGATGGGGTTTCTAGAAGGGCTTTGCGTATCTGCCATACTCCAGGATCGAACGTCATTTACTAGGAAATTGATCATTCCGCTTTACCAGTCACATTGATGAAATTGAGAACTTCAGATATAGATTCATATATGATATGACACGTCCCCGTCTCAACGTGAAGTAGTCATTGGTAGTAGATTTGCCCCTTAGGAAGGCCTCCGCCTGGAGAGCGGAGAGAAAAAGTCAGACCCGCTCAGGAAAAGAAATGTTGCTTGACAAGAAACTTCATCTCTTCATGTACACCAATTCGACTCTACTTCTTTGGGTGATGATTTAATTTGCGTCGCGTTTGACATTTCTTACTTTTTTATTTTCTTCCACAATCTCAGCCTTCGTGGCGGCTTCTACTTCCGGGCCCAATGACCTTCTCAACCACCGCAGCTCCCAGCTCTGCGCCGGCGCAACTGGGAGGCACTTCTCCATCATATAATAAAGACCCTGTTCCACAATCGCGTGAAATGGGGGATGTTATCCCCAACCAGACACAGGCCCCTAGTCAGGAAAAGCCTGATGCGAAGCCATTTGCACACTTCGTTGCTGGCGGGTACGTTTTCCCCAGAAGACAAATGGCCCATTAGGGCTTCACCGGAGGCAAAGAGATCATATCAGCTAACCCTCAATCATAGACTAGGTGGCATGACTGCCGCAACGCTCACTTCGCCGCTAGATGTCCTGAAAACACGCCTGCAGTCCGACTTCTACCAAGCACAGCTCCAGGCTCTACGCGCCGCGAAGCCTGCGCCGGTGCCCACGTCCAATACTTTAGTTAATCTCACCCGGACGGCCGGTATGCACTTCAGCGAAACCTTCCAAATCCTCCGCTCAATACACGTACACGAAGGATGGCGCGCGCTGTTCAAGGGTCTGGGACCGAACTTGATTGGCGTGGTTCCCGCACGCGCTATCAATTTCTATGTCTACGGAAACGGGAAGCGGATACTGAGCGATTACTTCAATTACCAGAATGCCCAGCAGACTCCCATGGGGATTCACCTGGCCGCTGCGGCAATCGCCGGCATCGCCACAGGTACGGCGACGAACCCGATTTGGCTGGTCAAGACACGTTTGCAACTGGATAAATCCAATGCGGAGCATGGCAAGAGTCGTCAGTATCGCAACAGCTTCGACTGCATCAAGCAGACTGTGCGCCATGAAGGCATCCGCGGTCTCTACCGCGGCCTTTCCGCTTCTTATCTGGGTGTGACCGAGTCATCTCTTCAATGGGTGATGTACGAGCAGATGAAAATGTATCTCGCCCGCCGTGATTCTCTTAAGCAAAATGACCCAGGCTACGAGTACACCTCGTGGGATTCAGCGGAGCTCTGGGGTGGTCGTATCACTGCGGCTGGTCTGGCCAAGCTGGTTGCTGCTGCTATCACCTACCCGCATGAGGTTGTCCGAACACGTCTACGCCAGGCCCCGACTGTCTCGTTGGGCAATGGCAAGGTTGAGATGAAATACACTGGCTTAGTGCAGTGCTTCAAGACTGTCTGGAAGGAAGAGGGAATGGTCGCCATGTATGGTGGCCTGACACCTCACTTACTACGTGTCGTTCCCTCCGCTGCGATTATGTTCGGAATGTGAGTTGCGCCAGATTTCCTGAAGATGCATGGAGATGCCATATACTGACTTGATTTACTAGGTACGAATTCATTTTGAGAATGTTCGGCACGACATCATAATTCGGCCCCGTCACTTTCAGCTCTACCCTCAGGGCATTGCTTCTCCACTCCCCCGCCGCCATTGTACAATACTTCGCTTCTATCTCGCTTTCCTCTCCCCTTCCTAGTGACTAGGGAGAAGCTTTCTTCGGCTTTTCTTACTATCTATTGTGAATAGAAGAGAACATGGACCTCCTGCATGGGTACGGCGCATGCGATTTGGGTTGCAGTCCAATCTGAACAGGCGTCTCTACTCCGACTTTATAACGAAAGGCAAAAAACATGACTTTTAATTGGCTGTTCACCTGGGAATCATGATTTCGACGGGGCGAAGCTCCGGGGCATTGCACGCTGCCTTGTGTATTATAGAATTTACCTGCGACCCTTGTTAGAATGACAGTTATTCCTGAAACACTTCAACTGGCCACAGCCAGGGTCATGCACGATCTATGCACGGTATATGCAGACTGCATTGCAGATGTCGGAGAATAGCTAAAGAGCTTAGGTCTAGGTATTGCACCGCCACCATATGAAAGCTTACACTGTCCCCCTCCGAGGCACTGCTGCTCGCACAAGACCTCGAGTCTCATTGGGCACCTAACCTGCTATACCCAGGCGACGAACAATGGAATCCAAATCCACCCACTTGTATGTTACCCATGAACTTGCGTGAACACTCCGCCACGCTTTACTTCAAGCTGGTCAAGCGCCCTGTGGGCTATATGGGAGCCATGGAATATTCCTCAACGGGCATATCATTTTCGCGGATAGGTGATTGTCTACACATTGCCCCTGCAATACAAAGGAGTACCCGGGGCGAGCAAGACTTGGCAGACAATGAATAGAGAGCCCTGGGGCTTTGTGCCCGATTATCGTCATGCTTCCATTTGCCCAACCCGGAGCGGCTCTATGTAGAACTGGGGGGAGCCGGGCGATGGTTCCTTGTGTTTCGGACCCTGTTCGCATGTGGAGAGAATGAGATTACCTTTACTTCTCGATCGATCTAGAAGGCCACTTCTTACCGTGACTCCATGATCTTCATGGATGCAGATCATTCGCACATAACGCGCATGTACATGAACGTCTAGAGCTTGCGGCATCTGGATGCGCTCAAAAGTACCAGCTTGTGGGTCGTTTAGACCTGAGGAGTTACCAAGCCACTGTTGAGAGCAACACACCTTAGGTACCAGACGTTTTGCAGAACAAGGCGATGGGTTGAGATCAGCTGCTGCGCCACGAATGCCTTATTTCGAGAACTTTTTGATGTCACGTACACCATGTTCACGCGATAGAGCAATAGTAGAGAATTCTTTCAAACACATCATTCCCCTTACCCCTCACCTTGTCGCCTGAAACCCCCAGAACAAATTCCCTGGAGCCCACATTCTGAAGATGAGGCTGTATCAGGAGGCTTAGACTGGAAAATTGGCAATGTCCATCTCGACACGACATTCAGTTCCATTATGTCAAGTGACTTTCTGTGGCTGGTAGCCTGATATTATTCGAATTATCAGCGAATCGTACGACCTGCAAGAAATAAATGCAAGGTCCTCTTGTCTGCCTAGCTCTGGGCAAGATCTCAATCCCGGCCGAACCCTATCCTAATGTTCCTAATGCTGAGGCTACTGGCTAATGTGACATGGCTGCAATATCGAATACAAATTGGCGGGCGATTATGATACCATGTACTATCAACAGGTTGCGTGTGTTTTACATTTTGCAGTAATGGATATCAGTGGTCGAATTCAAGACTATTCTTCTCTGCTGCATTGAAGAAAGGGATTATGAGGAGATCGCCATCGGCATCAGCCCCTACACCGCAAGTTGAACCCTCCTATCAGAAATCCGGGGAAGTGGCTTCTGGTGATGATTGTAAGTGATTAGGCTTAAGAATTCAGGTGAAATTTGGGCATTTGGGGAAGCTCAGAAGTCCCTAATCCCTATACACTGGTAGTCTGGTACTGAGCAAGTGACATTGAATGTGCAGCTGAATTATGCTTCCTGGGCCGCATACTCATACTCCCGCGAGCTTGGGTGAACGAAATGTCATGGGAACGCCACTGGCGACGGGCGCAAGATACTCAGGTATCGGAAATTTTGCGCCTGACAGGCGCGGGGAGAGGCGAAAAGGCAGCCCGTTCGGGGTTGATCGGCAGGGGCCACGGCCACGTTACGAATTTGATTGAGCGAGTTCTGAGGTGTTCGTTTCGATCTATGCCGGTCTTCACGTGGGGCAAATGACCATTGCCCAATGCATCTCATATCCTTGGGAACATGTCAAGTCCGAATGCCCGGTTCAATAAAGCCAATAAACTATGACATCGCAGACGTGCGGCCACTGTTGGCTCTGAACATATCAATATCCATTTGACATCTCCACTAAATGCATTTTTGTTATTCTGCTTTATGAAAAGAACAGAAACAAAGCCCCATACGCTATCTAAATGTCCATTGTTCAACATGTGCGTGAACCAAGTCGCATCTTGGCCAGCACTATGTTTTATGTCAAATTTCTAGAAATGCTCCTTAGAAATGTCAACGCCTGGGATAGGATAGGGCGATCCATCGTAGATCGTCACACCGATTTGCTTCACCTCATTTCACCACTACCTGACACCCTAATATTTCCAACCCGGGAACACAATGGCCCAATGTCACCCGGGTGGTTTTTCCGTAGGCAACGAGATGCTGAAGTGCTCCATCTTCTCAACTTATAACTGAGGCATCTTCCCCTTCAAGTTCAAGATGTGTATATCCACAATCATTGCCTAGGTATCTACTTCTGCAAGATAGTTGAATACCTTTCCTGGCTAGGTACCAGCTCTATCAATAGACTCGATTTCCGCATACCTAAAGCTCTGGCTTGCCTTTACTGTCACTGCCGACCCCAATTCTACAAACAAGTGCCAAAATGAGCCACAAACAGTAAGCTGGCAGCTTTTATCCCGTCAACCATCGATACTCAATACCCAGATAACCCAATTACAGATGCACTTGTCTATCTGTATTAATCAATTATCTAACCTTGGAATTTCACTCTTCCTCAGGACCTCGTCTGACTACCTCGCGGCCAAAACCCCCAACAGCTCTGACAGAAGTACCACTGCCTTCGGCCACAGTGGCGCCTCCCAGACTTCTTCGCTTGGCTCTGGAAACGATACAACGAGAAGTTCGTACGCACTGGACACATGGACGAAAGCGGGACCCTCATTGGATCCGTGGTCATCGGCCAAAGCTTCCTATTATCCAAAAGAGCAATCTTAGGATATTGTGTTTCACTGGCATTTGTCAGGATTGGGTTCTGTATCTGCCTATCTGGTATCAGGGTTTGGTACTGATTATTGGTACAACGCTTTATGGGGTGTTTTGTGGTTATAGAACGGGTCGGGGCTTGGGCAATACTAAAAGGGTCTGTAGGGCAGATTAGAGTTGACCGTTTAGGATTGCGGGGCCTGCCTTGTGGATCGAGACGATCATCATTCATCTCCACTGGTCTTGACTCTCCGCATTTTTCCTTTTCCTTTCTGTATATTTACTTTTGATCTCATTTTGGCTTGTCGCTTCATGCTTGTACTGGAAGGTTACAGTGGAATACTACCGGGTATAGAGAATAAATCCAGTCACTCGCGGTTCTTTTGGATTCTTGGTCTTTGAGTATCCTTCTTTCTTAGGTCAAGATCGGGGGACTGGCTTTTGTAACACACCACATAACCAGTGCACGAGTTAATTCCATATTCCTGTCATAATTCTGTCAGAGCGCAATCAAAACAGCAAATTCCCCATCGACTGGAAGCGTCTTGAAGTTGTTTGCCAGATCAAATGTGATCAAGCTTAGATTCATACTTTGGAAAGTTTGGATGAGCCATGGTAGCATCTCTCGGTCTATCCCGTCGCCGCCTGATCCAAACAATCGAATCACTTTACTGTCACTTCACTACGAACAGTTAACTATTCTTCTCTTCGTCCTTTTACAATCCTGCTCCCTGCTCCTCTGCCGCGCTCACAGCCTGTTACTCCATTGTATTCCAAGGATGGGCTCAATTACCCAACCTCCACGTCGTCTACGCTGCCTCACTTTGCAAGTCTTGGCCAGACCACATAACCCATGATGAAATAATATCTCCTCGTGGGTGGCTGGAGAAGGGACAAAGCGAGGAAGCTGGGTGGCGACTCTCACCACCCTATGCGGCCCGGCGGCCGTGTGAATTGAGCCTTGGCTAGAGACAGCCACCAAATAACCACAATGAGGAAAGCAACAGTCGGTGAACCTGGAGAACAGGCGAACTCGGTGGCGAGTATCACCATCTATTGCCCAAATCATGGGATCCAAGGGCGAGAAGACAAAAGTACTGCTGGGTATAATTGTCCGCCACTATCCGACGTTCCGACGACAGGTGGGATGGATCGATTGGCACAGGGACAAGGGGAGGTTAGTCTTATCTTTGTCAGAACAGAGTGTCAGCGTCGAGCTATCCGAGGTCCCGTTCTCCATCGAGAAAATGTGGTTGATTCCGCCTTGAGCCCGGAGCCCCTATGCAACTTCCCCCGTCCAGTGCCAGCTTTCAATCACCTGCCCATTCATTCCTGCACCCGAATCCTGACGATTCTACGCGCGCCTGATGGTCTCGCCTCACTGGCTGGGGTGTTGGTGGAGTTTTGCACTTATTTTTCATTACTTTTGAGTCTTGACCTCCCTCAGGCCTCAGCCGTCAGCCCCCGGCCCGGGGCCGCTGACGCGCTCCCCCGCTTTTGCCCTCTGCACAGCACACTATTCTGAAAATTCAAGCTCGCTTCATAGTTTCCTCAAGAAATTCGGACGCCCTACGACATACCCTCGGCCGATCAATGGCGGCTCTTTGGGTTTAATCGAGTCCATGGTCCGTGCACTGTGGGTACAAAGGATAGGACAGGAAGCATGTGTATAAGCATGTCACATATGATATTGATCGGTGTTAGGCATCAACGGGCCGTAGTTTAGCTGTCTTATCCGCAGTGGCCAATAAAATCTATTGGTTTGCTCAACTTTTCATTGGAGGTCTCCAATTCTCCAATCCAGATTCCAGTCTATTGATCTACCCTCCGCTGCGAACACTTGTCCATTGGAACCCTGGGGAAAACGGGAAATGTCCGTAGTGGACATCGTTGTTTGTCGTTGAACTCTTTCTCGCAACTGTCGGGCTCTCCGGAAACCGAACTGTCGAAGGATCTGCATATTGAATCAACAACGTGTACAAATCGACCTGCGCCCAAAGCACTGCCTCCTGAATCTTTGCTCCCTCCCGGATGTCCCAAGTCCGAAAGACCGAAACCTGCCAAAACAGTGGATAGTGTCACCGCTATACTTCTAGGAGACTAGGTTCTCACCGCTATACTTCTAGGTTCTCACTATTATGCTTGATTTCCAAGCGACTCCGGCTCGGTGGCAAGACAACAGATCTGGATCCGCAACTACCGGCGGTCTACCGCAAGTCATGTGTAAAGAGCCCCTCCAACTGCAAGAGGGGAATTTTCTGATTGGTTGCCTCATGATATCAGCCGCCATATGCAGATCACAAAATCTGACAAGGTACCGCCTCGTCACAATATAGTGCACGTACAAAGCTCATACCCTTGCGGGCCTTGCCTTGGGCTCGAGTTTTCAGGAACCGGGATAACTAGTACTGCATAACTTATAACCATCAGGAACGGTCTTTGGCTGGAGTAACGACGAGTGGAAGACCTTCCTTCCGGCCCGAGGTCTGGTTTTATTTTATTTTATTTCTCTTTTTCCCTTATTTTTTCGTTTTTATCCTCCCCTTCAAACCCGGGTTTTATGTCTTCATACCCTATAGGTTGAGGCGCAGAGGCCATGCCCCAGTTCACCTGAGAACTATAAGTACTCATAACACGCTTTCTTATGTACTTTTTGTCCTACTTTCACTGGCCAATTTCTCGAGCCTACACCCTAACCTTGTTTGAGAATACTTCTATGTGAATTTATCTTACAATATCAAGGCCAACGAGATGGACGACTTAAACCAGTGGGACTTCCCTCTTGACTCTGCGTCCTCCGAAGGGTGGAATGCTGAAATCAATGCCGGAGTAGGCACCTCATCCGTACATTCAAGCTTCATAATACTAATTTCATGTCTCATAGGGCTATATGACAGACTTCACCGGCGCATCGAGCTCGACGAGTTGGGACGCCCCTCTCCATGATCCATTAGACTCCACATTTTACGCCACTGAATCCAGTGGTCAATTGACAGCACATCCTATACAATATGAGGATGATGCGAGCAACATGGAAAGGGATCTGCCCTTTAAGGAGATCCCTCAATATCTTGATTTACCGGGTTTCCCAGAGCCGAACATCAGTCCTCAGGCTGCACAGTTTCTCTCGGGTCATTCCTCAGAGCTTGACCGCATTGCAATGGGAATACCAGATCCCAGGCCCTTCTCCATGCAACCCCCTCTTGCGGAATTTGGGGATCAAATGGTCAGGGCTTTTGCCGCTTGCAAGAATCGTATGTCTGCTAAGTCATACCCTCAAGATGAAGTTTCTGAAGTTCTGGAAACGCTTCGAATCATGACCACCTTCTTCACTTCCAAGCTCTCCCCATCCCCAGCCTCGCCATCGCCAGCCTCGCCATCCTCGGCCTCGCCAGACAAGCCTGTCTGCCAGGCTAGGGTTAGATTCCAGTGTTACCTGTGTGAAGATAAGGCGAATCCAAAGATGTACACAGCCTTTAATACACTCAAAAGACACCTCAGTACGACACATAGGATTTCCAGCGAGCAGTGGCACTGTTCCAGATGCAAAACTATCACATTCCGGCGGGACAGGATGCGTGAACATTTTATCTATCACCACAGGTTCGACATAACTTCAGCCGAGCTGGAGCAAACACGATCGCCATTGCCCGCTCCAGACTCATGTCCCATTTGCTCCAAGCCAGTAGTAGCTGAGTGGGATGAAATTTTCAAGCACATCAGAGAGAACTGTTCTAGTCCTCGTCCAGAAGCTGTTCCGACCAATGGCAATCAGTCTCGTCGTGGCAGCGACGGGAGAGGGAGCGTTGGAACAGGTAATGGTCATAGCCAATGCCACGGGTATGGCTCTTTCACTGCTGAAGCTAGTCACCACAGCGGACAGTTGCCGTCCTACCTCGACGAATCATGGAATCAATCCAATAACCAGAGGGGATATAACCCCTACCCTGACGCGCACTATGAGGACCCCGGAAGCATAAGCAACGCGGAACCTGGTTCTGCATTGCATTCTGTGATAGATGGCCAGCTCAATCTCGGCCATCATCAAAGGTCTACCAATGTTATTGGAAAACTCCCAATGAACGACTTGCCTTCCAGGTCGGTTGAATCCAGAGCCCACCTTCCTGGAGGAGTCGACAAGCAGCCCAGGAAACTGCAGCCTCCACATACACCAGGAAATTCGAGATCGGGACAATCTTCCCAGAAGCGCAAGCGTCCGAGAAAAGAGAAGGAGCCAACACAACAGAATGAACCTGACCCAAGAGCGTGCGAACAGTGTTCTCATATTATGACCAGGTGTGAGGAGTGCAGCACGGTCAGAGGCTGCCACATATGCGGACCTGGTCCGTCTGGGGGTGCTATTGAAGCTGGAAATACCTCGGGGATGCTTGTGCGAGGCTACCTAAGCCCGTCGTCAGCTGTCACCACTCTAAACCCGACTTATCTTGACTTCCAGAATATGCTTGAACCATCCGGTCTCATGCCCACTCAACCCTCTTATCATCCTACCGGCGGGGCCACCCAGCAATTCTGGACGCAAACTCCATATCAATCATTCCAAAGTATGACGGACACATTAGTAGGCGACTCATTCCCTGGAGATCAGTTCATGACGATAGCGCAAGTTGCCGGAGGCCACGAAGTTCTGAGAGGTCTCAACGGCAAGATCCAGGAATCCTCTGTTGTTGAATGTGATACCAGGTTGCTTCGCAGTATTGGGCTTGATTCATTCATTTGCTCGTCCCAAGTGAAGGGTCAAACGAAACAACTGCAGCCCGAGGCTGCAGTTGTCCTGACTCCAAGTTTATATACAGATTTTGTCTTACGAAGCAAAGCGTCGTCGGGAATTTCCAATGCCCCACAGCCGGCATTATTTCAATGCCAATGCGCATGCATCACCAAGCCCCTCCTGAGTCGCGAATGCCGCGCTGTCTTCCAATTATCGCCGAACGAGTGGGTTGATATGACATTCAAGATATCTCCAGCACACGAAACCAGTCATCCTCTCCGCACTCGGATACAAATCTTTGCCAAACTTCTCAAGCTCCGCACAGCGGCAGCGCAGTCAACTACGCAGAAGCAGAGACGTCGCTCTATCGAGTCTGTATCCAAGTGTGAGGATCTCGATGATACCGACTCGGACCAAGGTCTCCTAGCGACATCACCTTCCGGTTCTGAGCTTACGCCAGTATCCTACTGGACTGAAGAAGTGCAGGACTGGTCCTTCAACTTTGATATCAATTGGGCTGCCCTGGCGAATCTCGCCCAGTGGGCCGGCGGCATCGATGCCGATACGTGCCAGAATCTCTTACTATCTGATCATGGCCACGTACTGGACTTGATAGCAATGTATATCAAGTGCAAGTTTGAGATATATTGGCTGTTGATGGGGTCCAGTGGTCTCAGTTTGCTTTTGAGCATCTAGACCCGGCTTGTCACTTTCAACTATCTTCTACTTGGGTCCTATATTTTGTCCCATTTATTCCTTTTATCCACATGTCTTCCATGTCTATTACCCCCAACCCCCTTATACCCAATTTCTTCCATGTTTCCCTCCTGCTGTCTTTCTATTGTCGATGTACCGCATTATACTATACATAGAGAGCCTCCTGTACAAGTCTGTATACTGCGCGATTAGCATCTGACTTCCATGAAGGATACACACCGTCATGCGTTCATGGGTGGAAGACTACTTACATTACACGAATTACAGAATGGCGTTCTGATTCACGCAATACAATGTCATATTATTTCGTACTTCTATTTCTTTAAAACTGAGCTCTGAAAGAAGTAGATATGCAACTGGTCATGTGATATCAAACAAGCCCTAATAAAGACCGAACAGAAATATCCAAGACAAGACAGCAGAGCAAACGAGGCCAGTGAGGTGGCAGCGTGCTGAATTTCCGGGCAGTACTATTATTGTACTGTGTATCGATTTTTAGATTTTGCGTTGGTTGGCGAGATATCGCGAAATCTCGAAAATCGGCCGTGATGTACTTCAGTAGTAAATATGCGTAAAATGGTGATCTAGTCTTAGTGGCCACTGTATTCCCGTCCCAGACGTTCCGCAAAAAGGATGATTCAGCATCCTCAGGCAGGCGGTGGAATGGCCAATGCCACCGCCTTTTTTGCGGGGCGTCTAAGGACACTGAGGCAAGAAGAACATGCGAAGACGGAAGATTAGATGCTTGACGGGCGTTGAAATTGGTAAAGCTAAAAAGGGAGGCATGTCATTAACTGTTTGAAGATACATAATACGCAACGTGGAACGAACTGCAAACGACGTCAACGACAGACAATGTTCACAGTCCGAGCCTCAAAACGTGAAACCGTATTGCGTGAATTTTGAGTGGTAAGAAGAAAAAAGTGCCCTCCCTCCGGACCTCATCATCGGGCCACCCAGTCTGGTAGAAAAAGTGTGAGGGCATCGAGCCCATGTTCTCCTGCGAGTGGTGGACTTTGCGCAATATATTGCAATTGAATTAAGTCTGGCGAGAACGCTTAGCACCATGAGGGTTCCAGGAACCATCAGCGCCAGCACCCTGTCCTTGGTTGTTGGGACCGCCCTGGTTGCTGGGACCACTCTGGCTGTTGGGACGGCCTTGGTTCGCATTGTTGTTGTAGAAGTTAGCAGGGGTGAAGGGCTGACCGGCGCCCTGGTAACCATGCTGACCTGGACAAAGTTAGGACCAAAAGACCGAGAAAAAAAAGTTAGAGCCAAGATCACTTACCTTGTGGCTGCATATTAGCCCCCATACCGGGTCTCATGTTACCCATGTTTCCCATAGCAGGATTCATATTTCCCATACCGGCACCCATACCACCCATGCCAGCACCAGCCATATTGCCCATGCCGGCACCCATCATACCCATACCGGGCATCGCGTTCATACCCATCCCACCCATAGCAGGCATGGCAGGCATTCCCATCATGCCACCAGGGCCCATAGCTCCACCACGGCCGCCACGCATGCCGCCGCGCATGCCACCCATCATGCCACCGCGATTGGCATTAAAGTTGAAGTTTTGCATACCGCCCATAGCAGGGCCCTGGAAACCACCCATCATGGGGTTGGGGACACCTTGATATCCGCCCATGCCACCACCAAAATTGCCGCGAGCATTGTAGTTGCCACCCATGCCGCCACGGTTGTTGTAGCCCCCGCGACCGCGGAATGAACCGCCGCCAGCATTGGCATTGTAGTTGTTGCCGCCGGTGTGAGGGCCGCTGCCAGTTCGGCCAGCAGCGCCGCGAGCGGGATTGTCTTTGGGAAGCGTTCTAAACGGATTCTGGTGAGCATTGGTGTAGTGAACGGCGTGACCCTGTCCGTTGTTAGGGATAGACTCAATGCTACGACGGGCAGCTGCGGCTGCCTGAGCGGTTGTGAACAGGACAAAGGCTTGACTGTTAAGTCGTAAGTAAGAACTCCGATATAGTTGTTGGAATTATGTATAGGATGTCCTTACCCCTTGCTTTTTCCGTTAACCTTGTGCTCACTGAAGGTCACCTCCTTCAGCTCAGTCTCAACGCCGGCATGATTGGTCCAGGCGCGAATATCTTCTTCGTTATTCCACCAGTTGAGGTCGGTAATCATCAAAGCACTCGTAGCATTTGCATCGCGCTCTGATTGAACTCCCTCGGGCTCCTTGCGCTTGGTACCTTGCTGGACAGCCGGTAGACCGTTGGGCTGCTGCTGAGGAGCCTCCTGAGCTCCGTCGGTGGCAGCGGGCTGGTTATCAGCAGGAGCAGGCTTCTCCTCCTTCACGTTGTCTGACTGGTTATTGGCGTTGGTCGCACCCGCGGCATTCGTCTGGGGAACATCTGAAGCATCCAGAAGCAGCTCAGCGTCCTCATGCTTGAAATCAGCTGGTTCATTGGCATTGTAGGTGCCATCGCCGTAGATGTCGATGTCAAAATTGTCTTCGTCGGTAGCCATCGTGACCTAGATTAGCGTCCTACACGAGAGGATTCAGTTTTCAAAAGTAAGTTGTAGATTGGCTGAATTTCAAGCTCGAAGATACAGGCCCGCTTTCTTGTCTGCAGATTCAATTTATCAATTAGCATTGACAATAACATCAGTGGGAATAACAGTATGAGAGGGTGGGGTCAGCGAGATTCCCGTATTAGCTCCCAGGAGCCCGTGGGATCAAGTCCTCACGGGGTAAAGCAGACGAGAAACGGCCAAAAGCCCCGAAGGGTGACATGGTAATCAGAAACATGAGAGGCGCCGTGGATACGTACAATCCGAAGCGATGAAACGCTTCTGGTGAACAACACTCGCGCGAGTTGTGAACGCGGCGTACAGGATACAGGTTTGTCCCTTGAAAGTGCCGGAACAGATGGGGAAAACGGGGAGATAATGACGACTGCCACAGACAGGCAAGACGAACAGAAGATGGGTATGGAGAGATAGAAACAGGATAGGGAAGCAACAAGATGAGCAAGGGAATGAAGTAAAACGCCGTTCGGGCCGTCGAAAGTGATGAACAAGAACAATCGTCCAGTTGGTAAGCCCTCGCGTGGACCTCCCTGGCTTTCGATAAACAGGAGACAGATAGAAGAGAGTCACAGGAGACCAGGGACGTGAAATGGTCGTAGCGACAGCGGTGGCTGGATGGTTTCAAGGAAGAGTCAGCGAGACGACCTTAAGTCTCGGGGCGGCGAAGCAGCGAGGCAGCGTTGGAGCAATCGCGCAGGCCCGAGCTTCCTAATCTCGGGGCCTGGAACAACTATGACCCGCTCGGACTGAGGCCCGAGCCCGATTGGTCGATGCCATGGGGAAACCACCTGTCTTTTGGACATTCGGCCTCCTTCCTTTAACTTCATTCTTCTCGACATCTTGTGATCTTTACGAAAATATCCAATATTCGCAATCATGTCCGAGACTTTCCAGGAACTTGCCGATATCCCTAAGGACTTTGTCCGGGAGGGTTCCCAATTCGTCCGCCGCTGCACCAAGCGTATGTGCACACTTGTCGTCGAGGGGAATTCATGACACGCTGACCTTCGTGATAGCCGACAAGCGTGAATTTATCAAAATCAGCCAAGCTGTTGGCATGGGTTTCCTTGTTATGGTATGTGTTTACGCGGTTCTCCTCAAGGCACATCAAGTGGCCGAGTAACTGACATTGGTAATAGGGAGCAATTGGCTACTTCGTCAAGCTGAGTAAGTGTCCGAACGTTCGAAACAAACTCCGTGTATGCGATTCGCACGTCACCTGGTACTAATGCATCGTGCTAGTCCATATTCCCGTCAACCAAGTTCTGGTCGGTGGCGCATAAGGGGGATACAAGCCTTGCCGGGCTCTGATCCCGCGGGGTTGTTAAGGAGGATGAGATGATGAGATGGATATTTGAAGAAAATTCTGTTGCCGGTGAGGGGCTAAGGGGTCACTGCCAGGGTGGGCAAACGCCTTATTGATCGATGCCTCGATGCTCGTTACCTGCCGAACTGTGTGTATACGAAGGTGGAAGATGATTGTCAGGAACGCAATCGCTTTATTGCCCGGTGCCTCAATGCCTTGAGCTTGTATGGTTTCGAAATCATCCATTATCCTCTTCGCCGAGACTACAGACGGGTCCCGACCCTTTATGCACTGTCTGTCCTCAACTTTGTTTTTCCGTGACGCCTGCCGTCACTTGGCGCTGTTTTCCTTTTTTTGTGCGATGCAATCCGAAGCACAGAGTGATCGCTGTCTATGAGATACCACCTTTTATCGCATCTTGTATCACCAAGGAGCCCTTTTTTTACTTAATCCACACATTTCAGACAATGATTTCTATGTTCTACGTGCCATTGTTTGCCATTGGCCTCGCGTGTAGCCCGGAATCCCATCTGCGAATTAAAAGGAAGAACAAAGAAGTTGCATTGCATTCGTTATTGGCGAGGTTGAGATCTCAGTATCGTTAAAAATATACTACTAGGTTACATGTTTGTGACAGCGCACAATGAAGGTTCCATCAAACAGATCGTGAATGTTTTCGTACAGTGGGCAAAAACCACATGACTCCCATCACTGGTATTGGGTTCCATTCACCTACCATACTGTATCCTCTGCGTCCTCGTTGATGATCCAACGACGAACGGGCCGACTGCGCAATGGGCGCCGGGAGCGCGGTGCAGTTTTGCGGTATCGATTGAACTCCGGAATGGACCGCAACTTGTCATCATAACTATCTGCCGGAGCTGGGTAGCCTTCATCTTCTGTGGCTCCAGCGTTCCATGAATGGACGGTGCAAGTGCCGGTAGAAAGACCCCAGCCATTCCAGGAGGTTGCTAAGAGAGAGGCTGCGTTAGCGATGTGTACTAGGTCACAGATACCACAGGGGGTCCTACCAGCTAGCACTGGCGCACTGGGGTGCCAGCTTGCATCCCGCACACAAGTTCTCCACACCATATCCCCGCTCATTTCGTAGGCCGTAGCATACGCCTCTGGATCACGCGGCCGGGAGTTGGCCGTTGCTTTGCCAACATCAATTGTACCGGCCAGAGTGGCATCTAGGTTGTACACATAGACCTTGCCGTCCTCGCTGCCGCTATACACATAGCGTGAGTTTGTACTGTCGGGCGGCGAGAAATGGCAGCGAATTAGGGTCTTTAAAACGCGGTGGCCCCGGTATGTAACGACGGAGCAGTCTTTCCTAGGGTCTTTTCGGTACCTGTCTGGATACGCATCGAAGCGGTAATCAAACCCAGTCATACGTTCAAGTGGATTAGCTTCGTCGACATCGGCGGATGTCAGCATCTTTCGTAGATCCCAGAGCTTCATGGTTTGATCTTTGCTGTTGGATAAGACATATCGACCGTCGCCCTTGCTGTCGACATAGGTCAGTCCTTCCGTGTGTCCCAGGAAAGCGCCAGCTTCGCGCCCGTCACCCATTGATCGTCGATCCCAGACCCGGATGGTGCTATCGTCCGATCCTGAGTACAGGATGTGCGGAGACGAGGTATCGCCGTAGCATACGGCGTTTACATGGCGTAAATGGCGGTCCCGCATGGTTAGAACTGGGTACATGCGTTCCACGTCATAAACGATGATGGAATCATCAGATGTGCCAGCAACTATCTCGCGTCCATCTCCGGAGAACCGGAGAGACCAGATCTGTAGCAATATTAAGTGAGTTATTGAAATACTTATATTTCAGCGCCAATACGTACCCCAAATTCATCATCCCTGTCAAGAGATACCCGAGGTCGGCTGATTGGATCACAAAAGTCCAAAACAGTGGGATCTGAGCTGTCCTCTGGGTCTGTGAGAGCCATGTAGACCTGGCTCTTTATTGAACTATAGGCCAGGAAGCGGTTGTCAGGGCTCAATGTCGCATCTGTGATGGTCCATCGGCCGAATGGATAATCGACTGTTTTATAATACTTCCAATCCGAAGGGTTGGATGTATCATACATCCGAACCTTGAAGTCTTGAGCGCAGCAGAAGAAGAAATTCCCATCGTCAGAAAACTGCCCTGAGTAACTTCGGGTATCATAGTGGATGATCCTGTCTGTGACTGACCCTGGAATCAAGCCCTGACGCAGCCCCGAAGGCGTGGGTTAGTCTCCCTTGTCGAACAAATATTAAACATCAACGGAGCACGTGCAGTTTGCGTACCTGGGAAATGGATTGACCGGCTCTTTTCTGCACTCCATAAGTATCAACGCCTAATTCTCGCCACATCAATCTAGTCGCTAGGGCGTTCTTGCGCTTCTTCAGTCGGTCGACATAATGTTCGTCCACTCCAAAATGGCCTTCGCGCATCAACTTCTTGCCTTCTGGATGGGGGACTGGAGGATATTTCGGGGCTTCTCCAGATCCCCTGGCTCGAGGTCTATATCGAAAAAGGCTCATGAAGGCCTCGTCGCCTGGGTCATCTTCGTCGGGTTCCCACTGCTCTCCTTCATGCTCATCCATGGCTGTCGTCCAACCATAGGAGTGAAGGAGGTGTTGTAGCCCACTAGCGGCAATTAACTCGAACAAGCCGGAACCCGGGGCAAGAACTGCTGCAACCTATGAGCCACTGGTTCAAACTCCGCGCAGGATCTTCTATACGACGTACCCCGTGGGTGGCCCCCGTTCGAATCTAAATCCTCGCTGACCTGCGAATCATCCGCTGTAAGCTCGATCTCAATGTTGCCTATGGCGATGTGCGGGTTTCCTATGGAAGGAAGCCTGCGGTTAGTCGCATTGCAAGCCACATGGAGTCATGGTCAACGGTCGAGACTATGGGCCTACCATCTGTGATAGAGAATCCTGGATGATTATCTTCACTGTCCATTTCATCCTCCCAGTCGCCATCGTCCTCGGACGCCTCTTGCGCGGGGCGAGAGTCGGTCATCACGCCTTCTTCCAGCCATTCGCTGGCAGGGTGCCAGGTTCTGTCTGATCCCCCTGTTGAGTCGGTTTCATTATCAGGCATCTTGAAAATGATGTTGTATTATTGTACTTGTGGCACAGGGGATGACTCGATGGATCGCCCAAGTGAGGAGACACCCTGCTTATCGATCCGCCAGATGCTTTGTTATGTCATTCCTCTTATCTCCGAGCCTTATCGCCGATATCGAATACGTAGTACTACCCGGCATAATAAGCGGCTTCGTCGCGAAGGGTCTCTTCACTCTTGTGTCGAGATGTTCGCGAACAGTCTGTCTCAGTATGCTCGTACCGTCGTACGAACCAGCCTATTATCCGACCAGCTGTATCGTAGCCTCGTAGGAAAAACCACGCTTTCTGTAGGATTCTTCTCGCAGTACGCATTTGCCAAATCGATTCGATGGAAGCAAAAATGAGTTGATAATCTTTCTGATTACCTTCGCCTACCATGACGCAATAGTTGACATAAACTCTCCTTACTCGTCTACCACAAACATGACTGAGCTCTAGAACTCAACTATAACCCATAGTACGTCTGCCGGTCCTCGCGGCTGGTCGCACCCTGAAGCTTCCAGCAGCGTCAGTCAACGACGATAGTGAATTATGGGATTCTGCACGCCAGTCTTGAGCAGGATACTAGTTGTACCACTTGATGACTCGATCACTCATCGCCGCCGCCGCCGCCGGTAGAGATGTTCCCGATACGATATCGGCAAAATTTCGAGTCTCCCGATAATTATCCGCCGATATTATCGCCAGGACTCCCGATATTATCGCCAGTTAGCCGAACATACTACACACAGTACACAGTAAGCAAATGATTCAAAATTCTTAAATACCTCCTTCCCCCTCTGATTCCCCCCTCCTTCCAACTTCACTCCTAATTTCACTTCCAACCTCCATAATGCCTGACAGCAATCCCGCATCGCAGCTTATACTTAGGCGAGCTACATCGGGCAAATGTCTCTCTCTCTCTCTTTCCAACCTCCATAATGGATTTCAACGAAAGGAGTATGCGGAGTGTGCCATTGACTATGAATTGCTCAATGGTGACCCTGATTCGGCTAATGGACGGCTGCCATCAGACCAATTGACTGAATCTGATATACCCCAGTTTGTGCAACTCGACGCTGATCATACCTCTATAGATCACGACTCTCTTCTGTTTTTCAGTGTTTTACCTCAAGGATTTGCCTCACAGAACCAGTCCTTTCCTTGAACGATCAAGAAGCCTCGCACAGCACCAACCACTCAATGGGTCTGGAATTACTTCCCCACAACTGAAGTATCCCACTATCCCGTGAGTGGACGGAAAAGTGATTCCAGACTCATTGAATGGTAGGTGCTGGTCGAGGCTTCTTGATCGTCCAAGGACTGGGTCTGTGAGGCAGATTCGTGAGGTAAAACATCTGAAAACAGAAGAGAGTAGTGATCTATAGGTATGATCAGCATAGAGTTGCAAAGACTGAGGTATATCGTATTCAGTCAATTGGTCTGATGGCAGCCCTCCATTAGGCGAATCAGGGCCACAGGTAGGCCGTAGGCCAAATATAAGTGGAATGGAGCCGAGTGAGCCCATGACTTCTACATACATACTACGACCGTGCTACAATGTACCAATGCTAGGCAAATCTCCATATTCGGGTGGCCATACTTGATCATACAGAACATACCATAATTCATGACACTTTTAGCCCAGAATGCAACCGAGCTTTGGATCTACCTCTACCAGACCCATTGAGCCAGCCATCATAATCATCAGCCCATCAGTGGGGTCATAGGACATCAGAGGGTGAAATAGGCAAAAAAACGTGACGGGGAAAACCGTAGAAAAAAGTGACATACCGAACCCAAGAGACACCGACTACTCATCGGTAGCACTCATCGGTAGGTAGCGCTGGGCATGATCGAGAATAGCTAAAAAGCTGTCAGCTCAGTTGGTCATGTTATGCAGGACTTTTACCTCCAAGGTTGTGGGATGAAGTTTATGTTAGCAGAGGCACCGGGCTGCATCCCATTTGATTATCTTCAAACGCTTAGACGGAATGCGTCTATAGATGCATTCTAGGCCAGAATTATTGGAAGCCAGCTGTTAGGTGGAATTCATTTTAATTCTAGTTTTCTCCTTTTCTTTCGAGACGGAGTGTTCAAGACGTAACTAGTTCTGAGCCAAGCGGTGCACTACCAGGAATTTGGATGGCATAGGGTTGTTCTTTCAGCGTTGAACGATAGTCCTGAAATCGCATATTCAAAAATAACATTATTTAGACAGAGACAATCTTAAGCCTCCTGTGATTCATATCATGAAGCAAACATAGATAAGCCAAACGGATCAATTATCACCCGGCCCCCCCCCTCCCTCCCCCCCCCCCTGGGCCCCCACGATAGCGGATAGAGAGCTTCTCCAACTTCCGAGCTCGGGGCATCTTAAGTTCTCGTCTGTAGTTCAGTTCTTGGGGCTTAAAGTGAGGCAAGCTGTCCACTGGAACACACGCCCAAATCCCAACTTAAGCTCTCACCCACAAAAAAGATAATCCTACCAACCGTCCCCTCAACTCTCCCTCCGCATCAACCCAACCCCACCACAATGCAGTCCGTCCCGGAATCGCGACAGCAGTCCTTCGAGGAGATCTACGGGCCTCCCGAGAACTTCCTCGAGATCGAGGTAACCCACCCAGCTACAAGCTCCCAATTTCCCAGCTCTACCCGAGATCTACAATCAATCCCCAGTACCCCGCGAGTCTCGAGACCCAGCTCTATCTATCCCCTAATCAAACCCCATATATCTCCACCCAAACCCCACGTCACGATGCGCATACCAGCCTTACAAAAAAATAATACGCCCAAACTAACAACATTATCCAGGTCCGCAACCCTCAAACCCACGGCACCTCCCGCAACATGTACACGTCGTACGAGATTGTGTGCCGGACCAACATCCCCGCCTTCAAACTCAAGCACTCGGTCGTGCGCCGCCGCTACTCTGATTTCGAGTACTTCCGCGATATCCTGGAGCGTGAAAGCACGCGCGTCACGATACCCCCGCTCCCCGGAAAGGTCTTCACCAACCGGTTCAGCGACGACGTCATCGAGCACCGGCGCGAGGGTCTGCAGCGGTTCCTCCAGATCGTTGCTGGACATCCGCTGCTGCAGACGGGGAGTAAAGTACTGGCCAGTTTCATACAAGGTGGGTTTGATATCATCCTGTGTTTTATGATTCCTGTGCTGGGTTTTTTGCTGATGCTGTTCTGTAGATCCAAACTGGGACCGCAATGCGTGGTAGATGGCTGTTGCCTCGATAATTTATTATACTAACGAGAAGCGTGTCTGCTGGGCGTTACATTCGGCTATGCTGGACTTTTTGTCGCACCAACTTCATCTCCTTCCATTCATTTTTTACCACCCCATAGTTTCATGTCAGACGTCTTTTGTGATTGAAAATGGGCCCCTGCTGGAGTGTATGCTATATGATGATCATTGCCCTGATGTTTTGTGCTCATCTGATATCCGAATCCACCTCTTGTTTTTGTTCTTTCATTTTACTGTCTTCGTGCATAGTTGGAAGCCTGAACTCAGTCCATCTAGGTTCTTAGCAATATCAACGTAACTCGGAACTCGGACAAGAGCAAAACTTTTGATTGATAAGATTCCAAAGTAGCAAAAACCATCGTGTACTGCGGGATATAGTTAAACACAAAAAACAGGCGACAAGCTGAGAACGAAACAAGAAATACTGGTCCTCCGCAGAGCACCGAAAGTAGCAACAAGCGAACAAGCCGCGAAAAGAAAAGACACCCGAGAGGATACGGACAAACGTCAAAAGTTCATGAGACATGTCAGCAGCGAAGACCGGGCATCCATTCCTTGCCGCGATTAGTTCAGTTCATCCCACATCATAGGAGCAAGCGTATTATCCTCCCACGGTGTCTCCACCGTCGCCGAGGCGCCAGTCCCGGAGGCATCATCCAAAGAGAACGAAAGCGCACCCGCAGCAGCAGGAGGAAGACCCATAGAATGTTCCATAAACCCATGAGGAGGCGGAGGCAATAGCGCAGGATCAATCTGAGCAAGGCTAGACTGGGAAGACGTAGCCGTGTGACGACTCCTTGACGCCGAGTTGCGGGGAGTAGTAGCCGGCGTTTGAGTTGGAGTAATTGTATAAGCCTTGCTTGGGGATTGTGCACTGACAGTAACAGGGTGCGGCCGAGGAGTCGAGGCGCCTGCTGTGGGATCCTGGCCGTGGTTTGGGTTGGTTAGGGCTTTGCCACTCACAGAACCGCCATCGCGGTAGGCGCGCGGGAATTTCGTTCTGAAGCGGTCGCGGAGGTCAGTCGCTTTGCGGTGGATTAGATTCAGGCGTGGATCTTGCTGGATCAGCGTCCACTGAAAACCGTGGACGGCGTAGCCTTTGAGGAGGGCTTCGTCTTCGGTGCTTGTGAATGGTCGTCTGGAGCGACGTTTGGGTTTTGCAACGTGGGGTTCGGGGATTCCGAGGGATGCGAGGGTTGGGCGAGATGTGGTTGAGATGGCGGGTGTGCTGTTTCCCGATGTTGGTGATTGGGATTGGGCGCTGCTATTACTGCCTGGATCTGTGCCTGGCGTGGATGAGAGTGTGCTTGAGATAGGCGGCTTGTGTGTAGTAGAAGCTGGGCTTCCGCCTTCGGAGATTGGCTCCAAGGCTTGCTCGGAAGGGATTAGATGAGAGGGATAATTTTTGCCAATTGATTCCTCGGATCTCTCAGCTTTGGCTTTGAGTAAGGCATTAGTGAGAATTCCGTGTAGTTTTTTCGCAGCTTCATTGGGATCGGATGCACTGTGAGGGTATTAGCAAATAGGGCTGAATGAGGTGGGGCATCAAAGGGTCGGAATCGTGTTGCTTACCGGTATGCCCATGGATATAGAACTCGAAACCTTCAATAATGCGAGATAACGAGCTTAGTTTAAGGACGGAGAGTTATGTAGGACAGTGGACTATACCTGTCTTTCAGATTCGACGCAGTCCGCTGATTAAACTCCAACTCCGGTTGCGCAAGAATAGCAGTCCAGTTGCCAATCCCACACTTGAGAACCCCGCGAAGTAAAGACCTCGTCTCTTCGTCCGTCCACCTTCTGAGGTTCTTACGGGACCGGCCGCGAGCCTTGGGGGACATGGGCGCATCTTGTCCCGACTTGGGAGACAATGCCTTATCTCTCTTAAGATGATCTGGTTCGCGGGTATCAGGGTCCACTGGATCAGTACTTTCAAGATATTCATCATTATCGTCATGATCGTCGTCTTCTTCCACATCGAGGGATGTGCCGAGGATCTCTTCAAGTTTAGCGTCGCGTCTCTCCACGGGTTGGCCCTCTGCGACCAATCCATGAGCTGACACCAAGGCCCCAGAGTCGACAGCAGCATCGTCCCCGGAGGGCTTGATTAATAGCTGGGAGATATTAGACCCAGCCTCAATGGGTGGAAGCAGAGCAGCATTGGGTGGCGGCTCATTGAGTCCGTTTAGGATAGCAAATGGCCCAAATGGGGGAGGCCGCTGCTCCTTTTGAGCCTGGGGGATAGGCAACTGTAGATGCTCGCTGAAGGAATCAGCTTGAAGGTCTCGGCAACGACGTTTGCGAGGCCCTTGGAGGGCATCATCGTCAAAAGATGACGAAAATGGGAACTTTTCCAGGGCTCGAAGATTCACAAAAGCAGGAAGTATCGGCCTCGGAGGGCGTTCCACATTTGACTGCGCATCTGTTGAGAGTTCGGTATTCTTTGTCCGCGCAGCGTTCAAAAACTCCGTCACTGTCGGCAAGCTTGCCTTTGCATTTGCTGGGACTTTTCCATTCTTGGTGTTTGAATTGGAGATAGTATTCGACTCCCGTGTCCCACTGGCATTGGGTTCGAGAGGCGATGGGGCGCTTAGGGTTCGTGAGGATACTGGTTCTCGTAGAGGGGCGATACGGAGAGAGAGTTGAGGGAGTTCGCGCAGTAGTGATTCATCAAAATGCCGCAAGGCATTACCAGAATCCATCGCCAGCTATCACAGATATAAAATCATTTTGAATGTCCAAGATAGATTGTGTCCATGGGGATTTGCAGAAGATCGATCTCTGATAAGGATGCGATAACACATTAGGCGGTGACGCGTGTCAATAAAGCGGTGGCCCGTGGGTAGGTTTCAAGGGTCTACGTCAGCTGGCATTCTATGGACCGAGATCGTCAATATCCCCTGACAATCCCCTTCGATTGTGTTTATTAGAAACTTTTCTCATTGAATGATCTACTTTCCACATCCATATACAATTATCTTGTCCCTTGATATCCATTTTGGACCTGTGTTGTCTTTCATCTCCGCGGAAGAGCTAGAGCTATCCCGAGCCTCAATTATACAGACCGCTTCAATTGAATTGCAGTCACGACCAAAGCGCAACAACGGAGAACACACAAACAAGGAGTAACGTGGAGAGCCACAGCTTCCCAAAATGCCCACTATATTGCCAACGTGGCCGCACATCCTATTCGGAGTGCTTGAGCCCATCTCACTGTACGACCCAACATTTTCCGTCATGCAAGAGCAAGACCGCCCGTTAATTAATTTTATTCATCATGCAGGGCCCTAGGAAGTTTTTTTCCCCTCTATGATCTGCCAGGGTTTATCTCTGGCCAAACACCCACCATCCCAGCCCCGGAAACCTTGCACGCAAGTAGCGTCGCACTCGCCTACCAACTCGGCAACGTCTACTCGCTCATGGCTCTAGTCGGCGTGGGCGTGTGTCACGCAACAACAGAGCCAAGAGTGCTGCGCAACTACCTAATTGGGCTGGCTATTGGCGACATAGGCCATGTCTACGCCACATACTTGGGGATGGGCTGGGACGCGTTTACGGACGTTGCGGCGTGGAACGCTTTGACGTGGGGTAATGTCGGGGTCACGACATTCCTGTTCATTAATAGGCTGGCTTATTTCACTGGTGTTTTTGGGTATGCGAAGGCGCCTAAGGCGGCTGCAAAACGAGAGTGAGGTGTCAGCTGCTTTGTTAGGTGAGCTGGTTTCAATATGTATCTTCACCTTTCTGGCCAAAGAAAAAAAAGCAACGCATTTGAGGGCGGGGTACTTGACCTCCCCTCCCTTGCGTATCTGGGAGACTGTATATCTGCGCAGTTGAATCTATGTCCTTTTATCGATGAAGGGGGCTCTTCGGATGCGATGGGTTTCATTTGATTCGCGGGTATGTGGTCGGCGCAAAGAGGGCCAGGCCGCAAGGGTAGCAGTGTGCTGTGGCTTGGATGGACATGTCAATCGGCTAGATTTGGTTGATCGGGTATGGCTTGGGAGCGAGATACGCTGGCCTGTTTACGTTTCGAGATCCAATGACCGTGGTTTGGAATGCAAGTATGAAAGAATCATGAGTTGTCCACAACAGGGAATAAAAGAGAAAATCCATTGATCATAGCATAACGCAACGCCGGACGCCCCGGTGCTGCCCGACGCAGCGACGCAAGCATGGGTATAAGAGCAGAAATACAGATCACATAGATAATGGAGCATTTCAAGTCGTCATCTGGTGTAGATCGCCTATCCTCTCATGAGTCCGCCAAGAACACCACACCACCAATACACTACTTACTAACCAGGGAGACAAACAATGATTTCAAACAACTCTGAGCCCCCCGGTCCTCGCAAAATGAGCAGTCTCGCCACCTGCAGCCACCACAAGCCAAGCACACACCGGTGTTGCTTGAAATCTCTCACCGGAGCCGAAGAGTGGCCCACTGGCCCGATGGGGTTACTGATCTGCCACTTCTGTGAGCTCATTGGATGCTCTGGAGATACTGGAAAACGGGCTGAAGCACGGAGTCGCCGTTTTGTTTGCGATCCCGAATATGAGGGATCAAGAAGGGGATGCCGGGAAATTTCTGGTAATGCTGGCGATAGGCGGCGTAATTCTGAGCCGGATTCATGAGGAAGGCGATCTCCTGTGGAATTAGAGCCTTGGGGGTGGTCGTGTTTCCCTGGCTGGCGTCCGTATTGCCAGCGCGCATAGTCGAGATAGTGTAGGTGTGGAGGCCGCTGGTAATAGCCGTGAGAGAATGATAGTTGCGCGCTGTGAAGAGCGACTAATTGCGGAGTTGATTAGACTTGGTATAACGCATATGGAGTCTCGATCCATTACGAGATGATAATCGCTTCTTACCTGCGCACAAGCTTGTAGATCTGGAATCATATCTGGGAGGGCAGCACAGCATTCCCAGACGGAGGTACTCAGTGCATGCCAGTGAGCCACTAATTCTCCCACAATAGCATCGCCGGCCACAAAGTTTCGCCGGGTCATCTCGGCAAACCTCTGCTCGTCCTGGGTGCTCAGATTGCGGGCCAAACTCGTTTCCGATGACGAGGTGAGACAATCTTCCATGAAGGGCATTGAGGTATCAAATGGTGTCTGCCAGTCCATGGCAGGGGCATGAATATACTGTCGGCGGAATCGGATTGCCAAAACGCTTAGCATTTTCAGCATGACTCCAAGCCTTCCCGGCTGCTCTTTGAAGAGAGCCTGGATAGGGCCTGCGATGAATTCAAACCCAGCAGTATTGGATTGAGGAAGGTCACATCTAGCAGCAGGGCGCACAGCCCGAAGGCACTGAACTAGCGCTCGGTGTGCGAATGGACTCCGCGAGCGAAGGTGCTAAAATCATCGGTTCAGGATCTATGTGGTACATACTGGCGACTAATCAAGAGATTTCCTTCACAACGTACCTTTTCCACTTCCGTATACAAAGGGATGTCCTCCGGATAGGCGTTCAGATGATCTGAGAGAATGATATAGAGAGCGGTATGTTGCTGCAAGAACCACTCCACAGAGACAGCATCGTACCCAAGAGCCGCGCGTACAATCTCTTCAAAGGCGATCTGCCTAAAGTGGAAATGGCTCTCGGCCTCGATTGCAGTAGCGATTGCCTGTGGATCCAGGGCGGGGCTCGATTGCGGCGGAAGCCAGCTCCAAGGAATCCTGCGGAAAGGAAGGATACTTGACCGACGTAGGATCTCCTCCACTCTCTGCATATGAGAGAGGTTAGCTAGCAGCTGGTGCTCATGGGGCTCGGAAAGCGCAGCCAAAAACGTGTCGATAGTATCCGCATTTCGAGAGCGGAGGGAAGTCCTCGGCAAGTTCTCGTTGCGGAAGAGGCCAAATTGAATCACGCGGCTGATTTCCTGGATTTCGAATGCCCAGAACACCGTCGTTGCCTCATCTTCCCACCAGCGGTAAGACATGTAAAAGGCGGGTATCTCCAAATCAGATTGGAAGATCTGCGGGTAGGAATGACCCGTGGTTGAGATCGCGCTGTCGGATTGCGTTGACATTTTTATCTTCTTGTGTTGTCTGCCCTCGGGAGAGAGAAGGGTGGTGGGAGGTGGTTCGAAGGTCGCTTTTTCTGGGCTGGTCGATTGCATTTATGCGGTCACCATATACACTATACACACGCACCATGGGAAAAGTCAAGGCTGACACGTTGGGTAAGGTACTGGCTCATGTAACACGGGGCTTGAATAGAGTAATTATAGGGCAGGGATGAGGGATGTATGGTAGACGCGACAGAAACTGTCCGGATGAGGAGCATATTAGGATGTAAGAGGGAGGCGGGAAAATAACGAAACAATGCACAGATAATAAACAAGCGGGTTACTCGGAGAGACAAGGGTGATTGGATTTAGACTTAAGATCAGAGCCGGTGGTTTCCTTTATCCCTGTCACTCGTTCCGCCACGTTCGACACATCACGAGGGTTCAAAATAGGCAAGGAATTTGACTGGGCACATTAACAACGGGGCGCCAATCCCAGTTTCCCAGCTGGATGGTCCCGAGTCCCGACGGGAAGAACCTTCGAAATAAAAAGGGGGAACGGGATAGTGACATATCGATGATGATAGGATGTACTCCATACCCCCAGATCGGGGAGAAGTAGGTGAACTCCACTGGGGATCTGCAAGTTGGGCTTCTCTGCTAGTTACCGAGATCCTGATTTTATGTCGAACACCCGTTGCCCGTTGGGCTGCAGAAAGGGAAGGATTAGTCCAGTTGTCAATATGACGAGGTTCTTGTGTCGATCGGCTGGGAGGCCAATATCGTGGTGGAATCGATGAATTATCCTACGGTCCTACCTGTATGCCCAGGTAGGTAATCAGTCAGGGGGATGTATTGTATGCTATATTGTACACAGTATGGGGTATACAAAGGGGAAAAGAAAAGAAAAAGACTAATCTCCACTCAAACTCCTGATTGGTCCAGACTCAATCTTTCCAATGATTTCATGAGGGCGCTAACGTAGTGGCCGTAAATTCCACTAGATTGCTGTGGAGCCTGACGATCTGGAAGGATTTCCTACTTTTCTACTTTTTCTTTTTTATTTTCCTTTAGGGACTGGAACATTTGGAATATATTTCTTTGACAAGTATTTCATGCAACTCGGCAATTGGAGTATGTGAAACGGGATTGATCGGGAGGAAATCAAATTTGCGGTCCGATAAACACTCGAACCACACACCGCTGATATTCGGATCCTTTATGTACTAGGTTTGTGGCAATACTAAGCATCTCAGCTACATTGAACTCTATGAATCATAGAAACATATCAGTATTACTATTAATGATTCATTATCGTGTAGACTTTCAGCATAGCTTCATATCGAGATTGTTGATCAATGATATCACGTTCCAAGGAAAAGACAAGGAACAAACAATGCTAGGCCTTGATCCCTCCCAGTCCCAGCCATTTTTACACCGCTAGAACCATGCTAGACTTGGAAAGGTGGATGCCATATAACTTAAGCCCCAAAAATGGAGTTCGTGGAGTCCCGAGTCATTGAAATTGACAAATTGTCCATCGATTCTGAGTGAATCATCCCATGCCCCAGCTGGTGGCGTGTGAACGATTCCCCACCCGATAACAAGATAATGGTTTCGAAGCAAAACACCCTGCAAGAATGGCAACAATTCGATGGACATACAAATTTCGCCTAGTATTTCTTACGCAGTACAAACTGAAATGCATGTTGGGGGCCACGTGAAATTGGCCATTGACATTCTTGGGGACAGTCCCAGTTCCTTGGGACTGGGACGGATCTCGGTAGATCCACGCGTTCCAAACTTTTCAGAGTTTGTGGGGGAAAATGCCTTCTTAGAGGTGATGTTTATTTGATCTTATTCAGGCCTTTCAATGTCCCTCAAATAATTTTCATTGAGAATAGATCAATCAATACAATTGCCCAAACTGCGTCAAGCCCCAGTGGTCTAGACCAAGCAGTTCCAACGCATGAAAAGCGCGCCCCATGACCTGCAGCTCGAAGGCGCCATATCTGTGGCTCTTGTGCAGGTTCAACCTCCACCGGGGATCCATTTCAGTCGCTTTACCCCGGCGATCCTCGGATCTGAATACGGAGTACATACTGAAGCACATACTGTGTAGAGCACAGATTGACCGGAGCATTCAACCTGCATCTGAAGCCGATGCAGGTCAATGCTTGGGAAAACTCGGGATCTTGACTAACAGATAATGCAGCACAAAGCACTTATTCATGCAAATCCCGATGTAGTCTCCCCATTGTGCGTCCTCGGTAGCGTCGATTCCAAATCCCCATCGCACATGCTACCTGCATGCTAGTCAAGCCAGCCAGCCGCGGAAAATGGGGCACGAAGGCAACCCCGTCAAGGCAAGATCCCCCTATGACAAAATGTCCTGTGCGCCCCTTGCCCACAAGTTAGGTACTTTTTTTTCTCTTTGACCTTGCCTTGACTTCGCGTTATCTTGACACCCCTACCGCTACCTTCCCCTGCAAAGGGTCAACTCGCTTAAGTCCACGTTGCATAAATTGATGGGTCAGGAATCCGGGCGCCCCAATCTCGTCGTACAGATTTTTCCCAACAGCATGGCGCTTGGAATACGGAGAATTCTTCCCTGTAAATATGGGAACGTGGGATGGCCTAGTGCGAGGATTGGCTTTTGACTTTGGATCTATCAGATTGTTCTACCAATCGCCCCCCTCAATCGTCGCATTAGACCATCGGAAATTTTTAAGAAGTTAGTCATATTTCGATGGTCTGGGCATGCCAGCCTCTCGTATGTGACTATGTCCTTCTCTATTTCGCCCCCGTGATCCTAGGGCTGGATTGAACAGATCACGCCCTCATTCCTATTCGCAGCTGTTGGAATCGCTTTTCTGATGGTGTACATTTGCTCGTACCCCGATCGGATGGGGTCAAATAGACCCCTCGATGAGGCTGCAGTGTTGGAAAGGACAGAGAAATGAAAATAGATTGCTCGGCCATCTACAACCTGGCACCGGCGATGGGTGAGTTTATTCTTAGACTCTTGGCCTTCCTCTAGTCATTCGTTTTGCATGTTGTACCCGGTTACCCCACGAAGCGTGACCGCTCACCGTACTCGTTCCTGCACAAACAACTAAGCCAAGCAGCTTCAAGATACGAATCTCATAGAAGAAAAAAAAAGAAAGACACGCTATGAATTAAACCAACCAGACCTCGGATCCGACACATTATGCTGGACGCTGGTGATGCATAGACTAGGTGCCAAGTTTCATACGGAGTACATACATATCCGTACTTACAGCTCACTACATGTATGCATTGTGACCCCACTCCACGCGGACGTCGAGTCGGCGACAACCTCGAATCTTCATAGCCATACACTGAACCCTTCAGCTGGGCGGCAATACATTTGCCACCGCCGAAATCCACAAGCCACGCTGATCGCCTCCGCAGGCGATGATCGTTTCCCTATAGCGGGCACCCGACTGCTTGGGCGAAAGTCAATAATTAAGTATTGAGAGTTCACGAGGCTGGACAGACACTGTACGCAGCATATTGCTTCTTCTGCTGTGAAAATCATCTTCACACTTGCAGGCTGGACGAGCTGTACTCTCCGCGTTTCCCGTACTCCTGTACACCGACTCGGACATGCCGTCTGCGTGGGACGGGTAGACCCGCTTGGAGGAGTACGGTGTGGGGCTGTCGAGGTACAGTAGTTCCACATGATGTTCCAATTGGAAGGTTGTTACTGTAGTTAGTTATAGTTGAACGAAGCAAGCTTGTAGGTGCCTACTGGGTTGGGCGGGAGAGGAATACACAGTAAATCATATTGATGCTGATAGGATGTGTTAAATTGAAGCAAGCAACAATTTAGCAAATGTAACCTTGAGCTATTCGATATGGGAGGATGCGGCTCACAGGCGAAAGAAGAAAATGAATTGTCCAACAGAACGTGTGTATGGCTTCACGATAGTCAAATTGTCCAACTAGCTAAAAACAACAAAGTCTGAATTTGACCATCTGGTCGCACAGTAATGACTAAGCAAGTCATGCTGGGCTAGGTTAGTATGGCTTAGTATGTCCGCACGTCACATGTCTACAGAATGAATGGTCCTTGAATTGACCGAATGGCCGCTGCCAGAGCCTTAGCAAAGCGTAGGCTTGGCATCGCAGCCTCATTCACCCAGAAACTTCCGGCTGAATTCAACATGGTCAATTGACATGAGTCAATATTTCACGGCGAAATTCATGCGGGAACTGTTGACCGGAAAAGCCGGTAATCTCTCGGAAGACCATGAATACTATACGTATCTGGAGACGCTCAAGACAATTGGCGCGCAGGCAATCAAGGAGTCTGTGTCGTCAATTGTCTTGAGCGTCTCCAGATACGTATAGTATTTATGGTCTTCCGGGAGATTACCGGCTTTTCCGGTCAACAGTTCCCGCATGAATTTCGCCGTGAAATATTGACTCACGTCAATTGACCATTCCTTGTAGTTGGCCCGACCACTAAGAGGAGTGATCTTACCAGTCGACATACCCCTGTTCTTGAATAGCTTGCTCGGCGATTGGTGGTTCCTGATGAACTGGATTGCAAGCTGTTCGTCCTCTGCGAAAGGAACAGGGTGGTCGTCCATGGGGCCGGTGAAGGTTGAGTCTTCACGGCGATGAGGTTCTCTGCGAGGAGATTCACTGCGCGACACCCCTCGGCGGGGGGACTCGCTGCGGGGGAGAGCCTCTCGTCGAGGCTGATGGGCTTCGGCCCGGGCGAAAGCCGGGGTAGGTGCAAAGTGCACCGCCGGGGGATACACCGATTGTTGCATCCCATAGTCCATCTCAGTTGACTGGATCGGTGTGTCCACGCTTCGATGGTCATACGAGCTGAGACGAGCTCGCAGATCATTGATCTCGTTGCTCAAGGCCTGGAGCTGGGCCTGCTGGTCGTCGGTTGGGACATTACCAGCTGGAGCCTTGCCTTTGTCCTGGGCGCTGATGGGCTCTCGAATGGCCGGAACGGAGGGTCCGGCTTCATCGTGATGATGACTGTTTTCGGCAGGAGCATCGTCAGAGTCGAAGCCGCCTGGGGGGCCGGAGGAACGAGTTTGTGGCATATCGAAATAGTCACAAGGTCAGGGGAATCAGCGATTCTTATAAGATCCGATTTGAGTTCAAACCGGGCTCATAACCTGTTAAATTGAGGCAAGCAACAATTTAGCAAATGTAACCTTGCTCTATTCGATATGTAAGGATGTGGCTCGCAAGTGATCAACTAAACCAAATATATTTGTCTGTCTAAGGAAACTATCTGGATAGGGAGGTTTTCTTCCATTTGTCTTGTCCGGAACATACTAGTGCCGTTCCGCACACAGGACCAAGTCCGATCACGTGCCTTGTCTTGGCAAGGAGCGGCCCTCCTGCGATAGTCCTGCAATTGACCAAATGGCGGTTGCTAGAGCCTTGGGAAAACATACCTAGGCTTGGCATCGCCGCCTGATTCATCCAGGAATTTCTGGCTGAATTCAACAAGTAGTAACATCTAATCGATAAGCACCTTTCATGGAGGCTACCTATCTCTTAGATTGGAACTATATATTTCCAAAAACCTACATGGAAACAGGTAGTCATCCCACCTGCTAGGGAGCATTTCAGCTTCGAACGAAGACGCGGTCACGCGGCTTTAGGTGGTCCGTGGAACGCAGTACTTCTGGCCTAGAAGGCAAACTGCTACATACACTGGAAGCCAAAGGGAGAGCAAAGGTGATCATATTGTCTACTGTAGTCTGTAGCGCCACCAGGTCACGTGAGAAATATGTAGCTCTATACGGAGTAGACTATGGGGAATTGGACTGGCTATTGGTTACAGTTAGCCGCCTGACACTAGCCAAAGGTTACAAAATCTTTTAGTGTACGAACGTGGATGAATGCCTTGGGATGATTGCCGGATAACGAGGGCCCGAGAACGAGGGGTGCAATTCAGCCCTGAGAGCGACAGCGGAATTAATGAGCCGGATAGAGGCGAAAGGGTGAAAGCTCAAGGGAGGAAAAAAATTACGGTCATTAAATCATTCAAACAAGAAGTAACGTCAAATGGTATCATATCACTCGGAAACGAAGCGGTTAACCCGTCCCTGGTTTGTTTGCTATGGTTCGAACCTACAAGAACAATGCATTATCCAAGTACGTCAAGCAAGTCAAGACGCCGTTTCCCAGCTACTGTTTTTAGTGTTTGCTTTTAGCAGCCAGCTATTCCACGAATATCAGAAGATATGGTGAATTTAGTTGGCGAGCTCGTGGGCACGGCGGCGGTCACGCTCCTCAGCAATGGAGAGCTAGAAGACATCGTTAGTTGAATTCGTAGGTGGCGAGGCTAGGGGCTGATAACATACCTTGACACCCTTACCCTTGGGCAGGGAAACCCAAGGCTTGTCCTGTCCAATGACGAAGACGTTGGACTCACGGGTAGCGAACTGGTTGTCAAGAGCATCGCGAACGTGGACGATGTTGAAACCACCGTCGTGACGCTCACGGTGAGTGATGACACCAACGCGACCCATGTTGCGACCACCAGTGGCCATAATGACAACACCGGTGTCGAACTTGACGAAGTCAACGATCTTGCCAGTGGCGAGGTCGACCTTGACGGAGTCGTTGACCTTGATGGCAGGGTCGGGGTAACGGATGCTGTAGACGCAAGCGCAAGTTAGCAAAACTTTGTTCTTATAAGTGGGATCTTACTGTTTCCAGAAAGATGGAACAGATGTTCCAAGTTCTCTTGTCCTCCGCCGATCAACCAAAGCCTGGTCCAACGACTGAATGACACGGAACTTGTGGAGTGTGGAACTCACGTTCGCGCATCGTGCGTAACCAAGAATGGGATCCCGCCCTTGCCGAGCTGAACACGCTTGACCTTGCAGAGCTTGAACTCAGCCTCCTCAGCCTGGATGCGGTGGACGGTGAAACGACCCTTGGTGTCGTAGATGAGACGGAAGTGCTCGCCGGTCTTCTCGAGGGAGATGACGTCCATGAAGCCAGCGGGGTAGGTGGTGTCGGTGCGGACCTTGCCGTCAACCTTGACCAGACGCTGCATCATGATGGCCTTAACCTCGCGACCGTTCAGGGCGTACTTGAGACTATAACACACCGAAAAATTAGTTCATTGTTCGTCGCATAGCGAGTGTAGTATCGCGAGCGTACCGGTTACGGATGAAGACAATCAGGGGAAGGCAGTCCCGGAGCTTGTGGGGACCGGGGGAGGCCTTGGGCGCGTAGGTTCCGGACATCTTGTCCAAGAGCCAGTGCGAGGGCGCACTGAGGCGCTTCTGGTGCTTTCCGCTGTAAAAACATAGGCATTAGCGATGCTGTTCGATGCCGATAAAAAATTCGATCACTGCGGTAGCGACTGGCCAAACTCGCGCTCTGGAGTAAAACGAGGCCAGCGCACACAACAGTGATGGAAATCATCTCATGACACTTACGGGCCGCGCATTTTGACTGATTTGTCGACTGAAGGTTAGGTGGTCGGAGTGTCGAAGGAGAAGGCTCAATCTGAGAATCGACGATCCAAATCAGAAAGGAATTCGCTTAGTGTGCGGTGGTTGTGAGCCCTATTCCCCACTCCCACCAATCAGACTCCACTAGTGGATTCTCAACGCTTGCTTATGTCATCACATATTGGGGACTGATCCACCCCATGGATTTCCCTTTTTGCAGTCGAGACCACCGAGATCTAAATCATTCGTACGATGTATGAAATTTGTATCTATTTGACATGCGCTGCTAATTGCACTTTTTCGTAAAATGTCTTTAAATGTAACCCTTGATCACAGCAACCTCAGCATTAAGGATGGATGATCCAGCAGCTCCAATAACGGTGTTGTGAGAGAGAGCAGCGAACCGAATATCGAAGTGACCACCCGGAGCACCCTCACGCACGCGACCAACACTCACGGTGTACCCACCGCAAATGTTGCGGTCCAAGCGGGGCTGGGGGCGGTCGGGCTCATCGAACACCTTGATCGCAGGCTCTGGTGCGGAAGGAGCACCTAACTTCTGTGCCTCGGACTTGTACTCCCGCAGAGCTTCCTTGACCTGTTCAGCGGTGGGAGTCTGTCGATTCTTGAAGCGCAGAGAGACAAATGCCATGTGCCCGTCAGTGACACCGACACGGGTGCAGGTGGCACCGACGCGGAGACCCGATTGCTCGTCGAAACCGGTCGCATTAGAATTCAATGCGCCCAAGATCTTTTGGGCTTCGTTCTCGAGCTTATCCTCCTCGCCACTGATGTATGGAATGACGTTGTCCAAGATATCCATAGTAGGCACACCGGGGTAGCCAGCTCCGGAGACGGCCTGCTCGGTGAAGACCTCAACTTCCTCGACAGGGCCAAACTTGGCCTGGAGAGCTGCGAAGGGGATGACAATGCCAATGACAGCACAGTTGGAGTTGCAGACCAGGAAGCCCTTCTTGAGGCCATATTGCTCGCGCTGATGAGGAATGAGGTCCATGTGTTGGGGGTTCACAGTAGGAACCACCAGAGGCACCAAGGGGTCCTTGCGGAAGTTCTTTGCGTTTGAGAAGACAGGAATCTCCGCCTTGATGAATGCCATTTCTGTGTTACTTTGTTAATACATGTTCCATCATCAATATATGAAATCACATACCAGTCTCGCCAGCAATATCACTGTTCAATCCGGAGAAGACAAGGTCACAGTCTGAGAACTGCTCAGGCTTGCAATCACGCAAGACCAAATTGCTGAGCTTTTCGGACATGGGAGAAGCCTGCTTCCACTTCACAGCGTCCTTGTACTTTTTGTTGGCTGAGCGCTCCGAAGCTCCCACTGCCTGAAGCTCAAGGAAGGGGTGGTCTGCCAGCAGCAGGATGAAGCGCTGGCCCACGGAGCCAGTGGCACCAAGAACGCCTGTGTTTTGTTAGGACTAAATCGTGCACCCGGTATCTCGTCAGGATCGAGAACTTACCGCATTTCTTCTTAGGGTATGCAGGCGCCATGTTGTTTTTGGGGTTTTAACGAAGGCGGGTATCAATCTGGCCTGAGTTAGCAAACGTAAAACTTCAAACCGAAAAGGAATCTCCAGCAAATATGCGTAACATGACAACAGTTACATGTCGAATTTGGCAATACAAAACAAGAGGCCTGTATGAGTCAAAGCGTTTCTACAGCCCCGCATGCAGTACAGGAGGCATCATAAGCTTCAATGACTCGCAGACCTCATAGCCGTGATCAACTAGGCATTTCCAGGATAAAATATCAGGCTGTAACAGAAATTGCACTTACCAATTTGGGGAGTGAGGAAGTTGAAGGCTTGTGGCAATAATTGACCGCGAAAGCGCTGGAGCGATATCGCTCTCGGCCCCAGCCCCTGAGTCAGCATCCTGCAATTGGACACAATTTTCACTCTCCTGATTGGCTTTTCAGTGTGGGTCTCAGGTTCGATTTTAGAGTTGCAGAGTTTGGCTGGTTTGCACTGCGCAGAACCAGGCCAGGAGATAATATTAATCCTTATTCCTCACGGTCATTGGTGTTGAGGACAATCGTGCAGGAGATGGTCTTTATCACCTGCAGAATAGAACATCGACATGCACTGGACGGGCGTCAGAGATACAGCCCCTGAGGCTGCCTGAGCCCTTGTAACAAAACTCGGAATTCCCAATCAATCATCAAAAATTCAAAATAATGCACTCATGTGGTAAATCACAAAGACAGGGCCCTTTCCCAGGCAACCCTGACCTTCAGCGTCGAATACGCTTGTTCGTCTTGCATAATCCTAAGCTACTTTCTGCGTTGGCCCTCAAGCTGAGTAAAAGCTGCAAAAAAAAAAGAAACACTCGATGGTTGACTCCGATAGGGGGAATCGAACCCCCGGCTGCCGTGTGAGAGACGGCGATGTTAGCCACTACACCATATCGGATAATTGCTTGATGAGGACTAGCTTTATGCAACTAAGACCCTTTAGGTTAGCGTAGTCGGTCGCTTTGCGCTCCTGTGCGCGGTACTAGTATGAATTTTGACAAGAAAAGCTACATATTCGTGTAGCGCTAATAATAAAGAACGAGTAATATTGATAAGGCAGAATAGAGAGTGAGAAAGAATGGCTTGAATACTTCCACTATAGCCTTGCCAGTTCGGCGAAAGGCTTGCCAGTTCGCGGAAAGCTCGCTACCGTACCAACCGTACCAACACAGGGTGTGTTGGTGCACATGGTATGATACTGTTTTCATGGCCCTAATGGCACGCACCCTTGCTATGTGACAACCCTAGCAATGTGTAGTGTCTCTGGTGCGAAGGACGGGTCATACAAACGCATCTTTCAGGCCGTGACCGCTCGCTCGCTTATTGTGCAACTTTTGCTAGCCGTTGAGTACATCCACAGCAAAGGAGTTGTTCATGGAGGTTAGTCCCCATTCTTTATAGCTGTACAACCATATGCTTACAACTACACCAGACCTTCACACCGGCAATATTCTCTTATGTCTCCCAGCTGATATTGATCAGCTCTCAATCGAAAGATTATACGAAAAATACGGTTCGCCCGCGTCAGAACCAGTTATTCGTTTTGATGGTCAGCCTCCTGAGCCTAGTGTTCCATCTACCGCCGTCCTTCCCATCTGGCTTGGAAAAGCTTCAGAGAAATTCTCCCTTCCAGAATCTAAGATCCTGCTCAGTGATTTTGGAGAGGCATACAGACCCTCTACAGAGTCCCGATATAGCTCGCACGCCCCTATGTCCTTTGTGCCCCCTGAAGCCCGTTTCGAGCCAGAATGTGGTCTTTCTTTTTCAGCTGATATTTGGACACTCGCATGTTCCATCTGGATAATACTCGGCCAGCGTCCCTTATTTGAGGACATACTTGCCACGCCGGACGATATCACAGCGGAGCAGATTGATACTCGAGGGAACTTACCCCTACGGTGGTGGGAGAAATGGGCGGCGCGCCACACATACTTCGATGAAAGTGGGCAACCAAACGAAGGTCGACAGGTGAGGTCTTGGGAAGACCGCTTTGAAAAGCACATTCAACTCCCACGACGCCAGGCTGGAATCGTGGGTTTCGAAGTAGAAGAGAAAGCTGCTGTTATGAATATGTTGCGGTCGATGCTCTCTTTTGAGCCAGAAAAGCGGCCCACTGCGCAGGATATTCTAAAATGCGAGTGGATGAAGAGATGGGCGATACCGGACTTTAACAAATGGGCCGCGAACAACTCTCTGTGATGCTGTTCCCCCTTAGGATGTGATGGATGTTGTAGCCGCATGCAAAATCTCCTCTGCACCCCGAGCCATTTTGTGTTATTCTATTCCACGCCACAGATTCTTTCTCTTGGCCTATTGATTATTCTGTCATCTCTCATTTCTTCTTGGAGCACGTTGGAACACTGGCGATCCGATGCTATTGGTACAGGAAGCACCTAGTAGTAAGGTTACAAGGTACCTGCAGGAAGTTGGGGGGTTCTGAAATACAGTGTCACTATTATTTTCAAAGTTCGAATGGTCGCAACATGGTTGCGCAACCATTTTCTTCAAAAGATAGTCACAAGACTAAATCACACGAAATACGGACTCCATCAAACTATAGTATTTGGAGCCAAACACGTAGTATCCTTGAAATATGTGTCAACGCAAAATTTGATGAAATACAATATTTCATATCAAATACGTCTCCAGTTGACTGGCCGACTAGAAAATACCTTTTATCCATTTCACTCACTACCTACCTACTTAGTAGGTACTTAGGGACCGTACTTAGGCGGCGTTAGGCCTCCAGGGATTGGAGTTAATCACCACCTCACCATTGCCCAGCCCTCCGGGGATCAATCCAACATGGCATAGGGCTATGTTTACAACACGTCCTCCTCCTACTCACCGGACACGTCCTTACTAACAGCTCACCTTCATCACTAGTCCCCAGTCCTTTACCAATACACGTTGTATCAGTGAGTATCGACCCCGATCTTTATCTCCATCAGCCAAATATGACATAGTACTAACTGGATCCGCCATATGCAGGAATAATTCCATTGACATTGGTTAGTGTCTTGCCTCTCTACTTATCCATTCTTGCCTGCAATGATCGATACTATCGATATTGATAAGTATGACTGGACAAAACATCGAACATCTGGAGAGGTATTCTGGTATTAATTTGATACGGAAAATGATATTCGCTCGAATACGATTTCAGAAGACCATCTGTATTGTGCTAGGTGTGTAAGGTATTAGGTTGGATATAGCACCAAATAGAAATTAGTAGCCAAGTAAATCTTGTCATGTATTGACTTCCTTCCAAAATACAGTCTTTATCTTAAGATGGTAGCGCTATAGTAGTGACACTGAACTTATTTCTGGAATTATAATTCCAGGAGACTGTCGGTATGGCAAAGCAATTGAAATCCTTTTTCATCATCTACCTAGGCAGCAATCAATTTCAAATGACCATCCAGAAATACCAAGTCTTTACTCTTCTTGAAATCTTCAGCCTCTTCAAGATTAATCCAAGAGAATCTTCCTGCCAGCTTCCAAGTCGGCGATTTCCTTCTGCAGCTGTAGACGTCTCCGCTTTGTGTTGCCATCCTCCCCGGCAATCTCCTCCAATGCTTTGTCCGAGAGACCATTGACCCACGATGGCGAGAACAACTTCATGGGAGCTTCCGGGCCGGTCACGAGGAAATAATCCGCTCCCTGCATGCAAACATTGTCGACAAATCGTTTCCGGGCCACTTTGTAGTACGCCTGTAGAATGTCATGGAGATCGTGGACAGTATGCTCGGCATTGCTCATGTTGTCACAGTATGAGAGATCGCTAACACGGACGACCTCTCCATGTTGACAGCCTTCCAGACTCTTCGAGGATAGCGCTTCTTTGAACCTTTTTTGTCGGCACTTTTGGAGGTTATCGTTCAAGTAATGGTTCAAGGTCATCGGCGTCCCTACACGTTCGACCTTCAACAGAAAGTCAACATGTAAAATAGCCTGCTTATACTTGCCGATTAATTCATCCCATAGGCGAGTGAGGATGTTGGTCGAAATCCTGATATCACCGCAGGCAGCGAGAAGTGCCTTTCTGATGAATCGGTGAACCATGGTGATCACATCACTCATGTATCCTTGCGCCAGGGTCGACCACTTCGCGGATTGTTTTTTTATCAATGCCGACAGCAAGGTATGATTGAAGGTTCCAATTTCGAAGCCACGAGATTCACGATAGACCGTTCCCATCCAGATTGAGATACCATCTTTAGCTCTAGGGACGTTAACAGCATCATGCAAAATTTCCTGCACTTCTTCATCTGCCTGAATTCCGCGGCTTGGAATGAAATCAACTCCGCACTGTTTCGCTGGCTCAATTTCTGCGGCGAACTCGTCGGATGAACCTGCCAATTCTTCTGACCCTTTTGATCCTTCTGGTTCTTTTGGCTCTGGTAGAGGGTTTGGTAGAGGGTCTGTCTGGGATGTATCGGTAAATGCGAATTCGTGACCCCATGTGGAAACGTGATTCGAAAACTCCTCATTTCTGCTGGAGACCATGGTTGCCAACCGAACATCCCGATCTGTATCGAAAATGTCATCCAAACTGTAGTTCGCGACTAGCGCCAGATGTGTGATTTGTTGAAATGATGAAACGATGTCCAGAAGCGTCATGCGTTGCTGTTCCGGGGTCTGCCGCTCAGTTCCAAGCGATTGGAGAGCTTTTCGTGCGGCATTAAGCCTCTTAGTTGTTTCCGAACGTACCTAGAGCCGCGGATGTCATTAGCGAGTTTATAACTATCACAAAATCCCCAATGTGGCCTACCGAAGGAAATGTGCGGCGAACGTGTGATGTGAGAACAAGTTGGAGCTGTTTTCTTAAAGCATTGATGCCAAAGTTCTCAGCTCGCACACGGTTCCACGGAGGACTTTGATGCCACTTTTTCTCTAGAAGGTCTCGATCGACATTTCCATCCTCAAGCTCCTGTTGTCCTAGGTTCCGGACAACAATCCACCCAAGCTTGCCACTGGTATTCTGGTCCTCGATCATATCGATTACTTTCTTTTGGGTTCCTTGATCGACCAGGTCGATTTTGGTCATGATTTGCAGCGTTCTTTCGCCAGTAGGATCGATTTCGCGGGCTATCTCGATAATCTCCTGCGTCGCAATGTCGACATTTGCTGGAACAACGGTCAACACGACAGAGCGTGGGTTCTTCATGTAATTGTAAACCATGTTTCTAACGAGCACTATGTCATCTTTTGTGGTGATTCCATGGATCGTGGTTTTGAATATTCCTGGAACATCAATCACACTGAGATGATCCTCCTGGGGGCCAGAGATCTCAAGCCGGAGAACACTGTTGGAAAAAGTCGCCTTTCCAAAGGATCCAATAACTTGTAAATCACTGAGATTCAGAAGCTTATGGACCTAGCCAAGTCAGGGCACATTCTGAGGAAATATGGAAGAACTTCGTAACCCTACCTCTCTCATCATCTGAGCAAATCCTTCTCCGCCGAGAGCCTGCAGACCAGTAGCATTCCAGTCTCTTAGTTTCTGTGCCTCGTCCGTTCCTAGATCCGGTGCTGGAATTATGGAAGCCGAGATCTCTCGGCCAACCAAGTTGACGTTTCGCCGGAAGATGATCTGGGTAGCGAAGCGAGTGCAGAGACCACTGTCACGGGGGAAGTTCAGCTTGGTTAAGCCCTCTAGGACAGAGCTCTTTCCACTTGATTGGTCGCCCACTACCACAAGCTGTGGAAGATCGACGTATTCTCCCACATTACAAGCAAATAGTTGGTCAATTTTCTCAAGCAGGCCAGGGTCTGCCAAAGTTATACTTCCCACCTCCTTGGCGATCATGATTTCTGACAATGTTTCCGGAAGATGCAACAATCCGGAAGAGAACGTGCCAAAAGTAAGAATTCAAAACGGGCAGGTCTGTCAGCCTGTCGGGCCGGAGGGAGGGCTATGAAGGGAGTGTCGAGCGGAGTCTACAGATAAGGTTCATGGAAGAGGAGATAGATAGGTCGATGATAAAGAAGGAAAGGACTACCTTGGTGGGAAGTATCTTATATAGTGCTAGGGAGCACCCTAGGGTCACATGACGAGACAAACATCTCAGGTGTCGATTGTCAGTTGTCACCCACATACGTATTGAATGCTCTTTTGTATCTAGGAAGGCAAACGCAGGCTACACCCGCGGTGGCCCAGGCGACAACTGAATGTGGCTTCAGGGTGGCTGCGAATTGTTAGCAGAGTGCGGAACGAGGATATGGAGGAGGAAAACATACACGCATCATACCCGGGAAGGTCGGTACTGCACAGTGCACAACTCGGTCAAGGCACGCCAGGACCCAAGTGGCCCTCGTTGCTATAACCTCGCGCTAGTATCGAAGCAGTCGACTGCCAACTGGCCAGTCAAAGATTGCGGCATTGCGATTGCGACGGGAGTCTGTAAGGTGAATTATAGATCCAGGTAGAAGAGGTCTTCATGGTGCGCATGTATATATTTGTTAACTACCTATCATCACCAAATTCTATATCTGGCCCATAGCGAGGCTTAAGGCATGGTAGCTCAAGAAAAAGTCCCAAGACGCCTCGGCCTCGCTCGTGAAGCTGTAGGTAGGCGACGCTCTGACTTTCAAGACACCAGACTTGTTAAATTTAGCCAGCATGAGACGTCCGCGTGGCGGCCCGAACAGCGAGATGAGCAACACCTATAGGGTTTAACAGCGTACTTGGTTAACATACATGCCAAAGATGAGTAGGAAAGTTGTGATATGATACCGGTAAAGCGAGGTCTTCTCAAATTCCTTCTGTTGTAAACGATTTCGGATTACCTGCGCAATACATCCTAGCTCGCAAAAAAGCAGTTTCCCTTCGATAGCATCTTAACCAGTGTACATAACGAGCATCATGTGCGGGCGAAGCGTTTCTGGTTGACGGTAGTTAGATTGCCACTCGTAATGACCCCTGAGCCTCCAAGGGCCCAAGGCGGGATCTGGTTAGTCAAGAGATGGCCAGCGAGTAGCCCCCGGGGCAGATCTGCAAATGGGTTGCCCTACCTAATGTGGTATGTAGTCTCTTTAAGATAAGTGTGCGGGGCTAAGGTGAACGCGGTGAAGCTGATTGGCTAATAAAACTCCTCATTCTAAAAAAGGCGCTACGCAGTGCGTACATAACTGCACATGACAGCGGGCGCTAGTCCCCTCCTGGACTAGCGTTAACGTTATTTATACCTAAGCCCTGTCAATGTACTGTTTAGATTCGGTATGGAAGACTATCAAATGTGGTCTTTTCATGTAGCACACTTTGGTGAAGTTTACCTACCGGCTTCATTGACAATGCAATACAAATAGCCTTACCATATATGGATTAGCGTTTCATGGCCCCCGAAATCATTGTCTTGGTTTTATGCAGAGTGAGGTGCATGTTATATCGTCACGAGAGAGAAATTCCATTATTCGGAATAAGACCTGGACCGGAAGTTCAGGTAATGAATTTCGTTCAGGGCCCAGGAATCGGGATACCAAGAAAGAGGAGTAAAGAAGGGGTGCAGCATGGCCATGGTGCTTGGCATATGCAGCTTGCTTGGGGGGGGGGGGGGGGGGGGGGGGGGGGAACTGCGAAGATTACACACCGAGGTAAGTGGCTGAGTTGGAGGTGTGTACAAATATTGTTTGAGGTCATTGAAAATGAACGAGCTCAAGAAAAGCTGTTGATTGATCAAAGAAGGAAGAATATCAGGAAACGCCGGAGGGGCTGATGCCTGGCATTCAACTATGACACATTAGACGGTAATAAAAATCGCTAGAAAACCCCATCTAGCCATGGATCCCATCAATGGATGCTGGAGTTTCAAAGGTTAGTCCACGGGTCCACGGGTCCTGGTTCCTTACGGACGCCGGTAGCCGCCATGCTTGACTTTGATCCTATTGGCTTTTAGGTCAACTGGTTCCTGTTGAGATGACTCATGTATTTCCTTGTTTTTGCGAGATTTGGAAGGAGTCACTATTTTCTGGTACACAGTACAAACGTTTCCAGGGTGCAGAAGAGTCGACGAGTCACACGGGAAAGGGAGTAAAGGAGTTCAGGAGCTCGGTGATACGGATCAATAGCAAAAAATGCCTCACCTGCAGGACCCAGGGATTACCGGGAGACGAGGTCACGAGGGCGAAAGGAAAAAGAACCTGGATTGTTGGGTATTGGGTTGGGAACAGGGGACTATATAGGACCAAACTCGGGTACGCCCAAAGCCAAGTGCGCCAGATTAGAAGGGTCAGAACTAATGGAACTAAATTGAAACTCATCAGTACCCATCCGATATGGTGTAGTGGCTAACATCGCCGTCTCTCACACGGCAGCCGGGGGTTCGATTCCCCCTATCGGAGTCTATCAAGGAGTGTTTTTTTTTTTTCGCAAATTTTGCTCGGCTTGAGGACCAACGCAGAAAGTACTAAGTAGCTTAGGTCCTTAGGATTATACAAAAGAACAAGCGTATTCGACGCGGAACCTCAGGGTTCCCTTGGAAAGGGCCTGGTCTTTGTCATTTACCACGTGAGTGCATTTTGATGATTGATTGGAATTCGAGTTCTGTTAAAAGGGCTGTATACCTCTGACGCCTGTCCAGTGCATATCGATGTTCTATTCTGCAGGCGATAAAGACCATCTCCTGCACGATTGTTCTCAACACCAATGACCGTGAGGACTAATCTCCTGGCCAGGATCTTGCCACCCAGCCGTACCATTGAAGCCGGGATAAGTCCCCGTCGAGCAATAGCATTCCTGGCGATGCGCCGAAGGTCGCGGACGAGTAAAGGTAGTATAGTGGTAGGAATACGGCCGGTCTGGACCTGACCTCCACAAAAGTTCACTTCGTGTGAAGTTAAGTGGTTGGGGAGGGTTGCCGGTGGGCTCAGGGAAGATAATCCCTCTCTGTTGAAGCTGCGCTATCCCTTGTCGGTCGAGAGGCCTTTGGGTCCACAAGTGGGGAATCTCGAAGGGATCTCCCTAAGTCAGATTATTAGCATTCACTCCTTGTTAAAATCTAGAACTCATAGTCATGCTCGACATCCTTCAAGTACAATGGAGGATATTCCTTTAGATATCAGGAGGAACCAGTCATGTCCATCCAAGTAGTCTGATTGGAAAGCTGTATGGGGGATGTTGACTTACAGTTAGACATGTCCTTGTGCTCACAGATCTCTGACAGTGTGACAATCTCCGGCACCGTCTCTTTATGCTTGTCGCTAATTTGCTCTGATGAAATTGTATCAGTGAGGGTTTTGTGATTCCTAGGCTCTATTTCCCAGGACCACTTCGTATAGCCTTTGTTATGCTCGATGAACATTCCCCCAAAACAACAAGGAACTTGCATCGGGCACAGAAGCTATACACAAGGTGCTAGGGAGTAGAGTGTCTTGAAAGTCATCACATACCAAACAAAGCATGGTTGTTGTCACTTGTCACAGAAATCAGCGAGGCTGACCAAGACCGACTTCAGGGGGGCGGGTCGCTCAGTTGAAAACGCCTTTCCGCGGGAGAGCCATATCACCTAAGCATTGAATTCCTGTTAACTAACTAATACTGCAGAGAAAACACGAAATGGGGCGAAGGGTAGTCCTCACCAGGCTCAACATGGTTACAACCAGGCACCTGAGCCGCCGCTACCATGCACCAGCCGCGCCCCAAAACAAGCCGCTTTCTGGCATATTGCCACGTTTGACGAAGACAACGGAGAGTCGGATGCGAGGGGCGATTTCGGTGGTTGACTCCGACTCCCACCCGGCACCACATGGTAAAAACAACATGGGGTGAAGGTAACGCATGACGATGGCTTTATAGGCAGATTGAGTGCGCTAGACATGGGAAAGGGATCTTCGAAGTCCCGCGTTTGAGCTCGATCGGCTGGGGTACGTGCCAGATGTCGCAGGTGTTGCCGGTGGCGTGCATAGGATCTGGGCGCCCCTGATTTGCTGCGGTAGTAGGAAGCCTCCTTTGATCCTGAAGCGCTTGACGTCCAGGTGTCTCGCACGAAGTCGGAAGTTACAGAGAGAGAGCCACATCATGGGTCATTTGTGAGGACAGATTGATGAATTTCCTTGTTTTGTCCGTCTGAAAGATCGGTCCATGCCACCCTTGGTTCACTGTAGAGGGTCGGAGGTTTCCTGCCATCGCACAGTTCGCAAAACATGCGGTAATCGTTGTAAAGAATCCCCGCACGCTATTACCGTTCAGACGCCGAACAGGGAACGGACATGAGGAAGTGCAGGATGGGGGCACCTAGGGACCTCTCCTGGTACCTAATCGACGAAGAAATTAACTTCTTAGGCATAATTGACTAGGCGTGTGGTCGCGACTTACCTAGATGGTGGGAATGAGATTTTCCTCAAATGTCGCGCTGATGCTCGCGGTGGGTGAGCGAGTGTTGATGTCGAACAGTAAGGTTGGGAACCCGAGGAAGTTAAGAGTACAAGTAACCCATTCATATCGTGGAGGTCATCGTATGACTCGCTAAATCCAGACTCAACTGTAAGGGGAGGGGGAAATTAGGAATTCGCCATGGTTGATGTGATGAGGATGTTTGTTTGAAGACGTTTGGCCAAGAGGCAAGAGTTGCGGAGAGGAAAGAGCAACAAAGGTCATAGGGTCATATCCTGGTCATACCTACGTACTACTTCTTTAAGTGGTCTACTCCTTCCGGATTAGCGACATGTCCGGTGGCTGGTGATGGCTGTACCCTTAGACTAACACTACTAGTCTTGATTAGATTAGACCGCCTATACGTCTTCGTAGTCACCTTTTCGCAAGCCTGGACCCTCGCCGTGGAGACACCGTCCCGACATCACTTCGCCCATCTTCACTGAATATTCTTAGATGCTAAACCAAATCTATTGTTTTGGGAACTATTTACAATGTTGAATCACAATCAGTGCCCCGGGCCAGGTGTTTCGTCATCGTGATCGAATATCTTGCCAGGGTTGAGCAGCCAGTGCGGATCCAATGAACGCTTTAAACTACGCATAACGTTGATTGTTTCAGGCCCAACTTCCTTTTTCAGGGATCCCTTCTTGCCTAAACCAACACCGTGTTCGCCCTGTAGTATCGTAGTACCTGATCAGCCAGCATCCTAGTATCGATCTCACGCAAAAACTTACTGTGCATGAGCCCTCCATTTCCAATCCACGATCAACCATATCGTATACCACTTTCTCCACGCGCTCCCTCTCAACGGGATCGTTTCGGTTGTACATAATGCTGGAATGGAAGTTACCGTCGCCAATGTGGCCAAGAATACTGGCGAAGAGGCCCAGGTCGACCAGTTCTTTCTTGGAGATTTCTGCAGCGGTCAGTATTTGCGACTGAGTAAACTTTTCCATGGACCTACCGATGATATCAGGCAAACGAGAAATAGGCACCGCCACATCCGTCGACCACACCTCCGACCCCTTCTTGCGCAAAGCCATCATGCTCCACAAAGATTGCTTCCGCGCAGACCACAGGTCATGAGCTTCACGGTCATCACGAGCAAACTCGAAAGACTCCGCCTTATTGCGTTTCGCAATCTTCGTGGTCAAATCGATACTATCCGCAACGCCAGCCTTGGTTCCCGAGAACTTGAAGAACAAGGTAGGCGAGACCTTCCATTCACGACCGGTTCCACCCGCCCGATTGATAACGTCCATCTGGACATCATCCATGATCTCCATGCACTGCACAACGACACCCTTCCGTATCAGCTGCATAGCAGTTGAAGCAGCGTCACGGATAGTCGGGAACGCAACAACACCAACGCGAGTCTGCTCAGGGAGCGGGGCCAGCTTCAGCGTAGCCTCGGTGACGATGCCGAGCGTCCCCTCGGAGCCTACAAACAATCCAGTAAGATTGTATCCTGCAGAAGTCTTGCGTGGACGTCTGCGGGTCTTGATAATGCGGCCGTCAGCCAGGACGACCGTGAGATTGATGACCCAGTCCTTCATGGTGCCATAGCGGACGGCATTGGTGCCACTGCAGTTCGTGCCCACCATACCACCGATCATTGCGGATGGGCCTGGGTCAACAGGGAAGAAGAGGCCGGTTTCCTTGATCTTCTCGTTCAGATCCATCCATTGGATGGAGGGCTGGACGACGACGTCCATGTCTTCGGGGTGGATGTCGAGCACTTTGTTCATGAACGCGAAGTCGATGGTCATGCCACCGTGCGGGGCGGAGAAATTGGCTTCTAGACTTGAGCCGCCGGAGTACGGGATCATCGGCATGCGGTACTTGTTGCAGACTTTGGCGATCTCAGAGACTTCTTCGGTGGTCGTGGGGTATGCAATTGCGACTGGTAGTCGCTCAGCATTTAAACTGGACCATTCCGAGTAGCCGTGTTGGTGGAGTTCGTCTTCTTCTGTGCTGATTGAGTCGTCGCCGAGCTTCGCTCTCAGCTCACTGATGGCCTGATTGGGTGTCGGGTGTTAGTTTTGTTGTGCTGGTCTGGTGTGAAATCATGCCGCAGCAGGGGTTAGGCAATTTACCTTTTCAAAATCCTTTGTCGAGCCATATTGTGGCTTCTTCGACGCTTGTGATGGTGTCTGGTTATACGAGGCGTAACCGTAGCCCAACCCCGCAGCAAATGCGGAGACGAGCAGAGCCTTGGTTGGGGTCCAGAAGGGCGAGGTCGTAGACTCTGAACTGGAAAAGTCGCTTTCTTTTGTGTTCTCTGTTTTTCCAGTGGCATTGGTACTGTTCAATCTAGCACCGCGAGCCAGGTCAATGCGAGGTGGGATTCGGGGACGACAGACCGGTGCCGGTAGCGCACGCGGAACCCTAAGGACTGGTCGCATGGTGAATAGAAAAATGAAGGCACTTTGGGATATAGAATGCGAATTCAGGGGGAAACGAGGTTATTCTGTACGATGCAAAGCAGAAATGGGTGCTAGGAAGCAACACACCAGGGCGCGCAGAAGGCGCCTGTCCTACTCCGCCATTCGGGTCAATAATCTCGGAGTTCGGCCGAGAAGAAGAGCCGGGGGGGGGGGGGGGGGGGAGCTTTTTAGTCTCTTCCGGGGTCTTCCCTGTAGATTGAAGGATGTCGAAGGTGGGTACTCCGGCTTGGACCCTCCTCGGTAAGAGTCAAGTGCGGAGAAGCAGAACGTGGGGGTGACCAGGTACCCGTTTAACGCGTGTTATTCATCCGCTTGATGCTTCCCAAGAGCAGTCTTATCAAGAAAGGCGATTGATATCTCTCGACTGGTCAGTGATATTTTGTTCTTATCCTCTTAGCACCAATAACTAGAGTAGTAGTTGGACAAAGAGTTGAAATGTCGGTCCAAATGGTTGACGGGGCAACGAGCGGCAAAGAACCTCATCCGTGTCGTCCCAACAGCGGGAGACAAAGATGACCGCGTAACCACCCAGATTCGGTATTGAATACTGCTTGCGCCTGCTTGATAAGTTTGTAGTAATGCCAGAGCTTCTCGCCCAGCTAGTGCGCGAGGTGGAACGCGTGGTTACCGCGCCCTATGCGCCTTCGTTACAGGTGAGTTGTAAGCCGCGGGCATCGAGGGTGTCCATACTGACCGATAATACCAGGACCTCAACGAGCTGGTTCACCAAAGAAGACAATCAACAATTAGCTCTTGGGCAATCTCGAAGCCCTGTCAAGTCGGCTTGTTAGCCGATGTTTTGGTCGAAGCCTTATCGCGGTCACGCGTCGCTCTGCCTCTTATCACTGTATTTGGTGTGTATTCAGCTCTGACGTGATTTTTTATGGAACTGGAGTTTGACATAGTTAGCATCTGCCTCGGCATTTAGAGATGCCTTGCTAGAGCGGAATCCGGTACTTTTAGACGCGTTTCTGGAAAAAGCCGTGAGAGATGAGGGCGTCGAGGTGAGATTTGCCTCGAACCATTGAACGCTAGTCAGAAGGCAACAACTGATTGTTATAGTACTCCTCGGCATGCATTGCTTTATTATCATCGCCCCTACCAGCGGGTGTTGTTCCACCCGCCAGGATAGCCCCCTTCATCACGAAGTTGGTCGACACAATGGCAGGGAAGCCCTGCATTGAGACAATAGCACCTATTCACGCCCTGATTTCCGGAATCAGGGGCTCACCACGAATATTGGATGATATTCCATCCGACATCATGTCCAATCTCCAGCTGGAGTTCACCAAGATATTGCGCAATCTCGACGACCATATGGGCAACCTCTTGTGCCTGGCAACCTTTGCACAAATAGCGACAGCACTAGACACAACATCCCAGAACCAACACGGATCAGAGAGCCCGACATGGTTGCTCAACATTAAACATTTCTTTGGCCAGAAGCGCGGCCTCAAAACACTCGATTTGGTTGTCTTGCGTGTCATACTGGCTTGTTCGTCCAGTTGCAATTTGGCACCGTCCGAGGCTGCTGAGAGTATTCGGCTGGCAATATGCATTGCTGATGCCACTGGACCAGAGCAAAAAAGGGCTTGGATAGCTGGTAATTCTTCAAAGATTGCCAAGCTGTGCGAGAAAGCTGCTAGAGAGGGTCTTGAAGGTGTAACGCGGACGATGGTGAGTTAGGGTACTCTCCTAAAGCCGTACTCATGCAACACGCTAATTGTTCGACGACAGGTGATCATCTTCCTGCACACTCTTCTCCCGTCGCATTCGCTGTCTTCTCAGCTAAGGGATCTTGGCATGGATGTTCTTCTGTCCAAGGATAGTCACGGGACGATAGGAGTTATACCCCCGACGTTGGTTTCACGTCTGGCAAAGTCTTTAGCGGTAAGGACAGGAGCTCCCATGCCTAAACAAGGACTTACTGATGACCCATCTTACATTAGGAATTGGGAGAATCCACTGCCCGCCGACTCTTGATCTTCACTCTTGATGCCTTGAAAGGTAGCAAGTGGCCGGCAGCAGGAACTATGGAAATGCTGCACTTAGCAGACTTGGTATTAGCAGGCCTACATCAGACAACCATACTTACAAGCGCTAATACATTAGTAACCCCTCTGGGGGAGGTTCTTGGGGAAATGGTCGAGTATTTTCTGCGCGAGCCAAGTGAAAGCCAATGCAGCGGTCAGACGATGTGCACATCGCAGCTGTACTCAATGCGGAACAGGCTATTTCTCTCCTTGTTTGGGCTCTACGACATGATTTTCTCGGCACATGACGGCAAGATCATGAAATCCTTCCTAGCACGGGTGGCGAGATCTGTTTTAAAAGCCGATTGTGCCTTCTCGAGAACCAGTACGAAGGACTTCCGCGGATTCTTCACTCTGCGCGACGGACGTGACCCCTCCAACCCCATCAATCGCGATTGGCGCTCTGGGGTCACCGAGCTTTTCGTGAAAAATGCACAGACCTCTCAGGAGACGATGATGAGAAAGATTGAGGATACGTGCTTTGATCTCGAGCGCCGCTGTAATGATGTCGAAGGACCCTTGCGGGCTGCCGAGGCAGAGCGAGACAGATATGCCCATGACAACGAGGAACTGAAAAGGCAAAATGAAGAGTTGAAGACTCAAGTGAGACAATCATCTGAGTCTTTCACTGAACTTGGATATGAGAATACACGCCTTGAACAACTCCTCCAGGAACACGTCGTGTACCGCGAGGAGTTGACATCGTCTCTAGGCTCTGTCCAAGAAAAGCTTTGGGAGCTGCAGCAGAGCTCTGAGCAAGCCATTCTGACAGAGAAAGAGAAGTCACGCTCTAAGGAGTTAGAGATAATAGCTATTCTAACCGAGAAAGAAGATCAGCTGGAAGAGCTTCATGAGAAGATTTGTGGCTTACAGACGAGGAATGAAGAGGCACGCCAGGCTCTTGATCAACTAACTTCTGAGAAGGCCACCTTGTCAGACCTATCTACTTCTTTGAAGCAAGAGCTTGTCGACACTGTAAACACTCTGGAGCAGGCTAAGCTTCGTGCTGATCAGACAGAGGATGGCATGCGAACTGAACTAGAATCTTTGAAATCAAGGGTAAGATCATTGACATCACTCAGTATTCACCGGTCTATACTGACGATTTACAGGTGGCGGAACAGAATAGTGAACTCGAAAGGCTCTCTTCTGCACTTCACAAAGCTGATGGATTACGGAGTGATATTGAGAGTTTGAACACAAATCTTCAAGCCGAGGCCACCAGGGCCATGTCTGAGGTATGTATAAAAGACACATGAACCAAGCCCAAGAGTCAAACTGACTGATATGTGAAAATCTCTAGATTGCAAAGCACGAGACAGAGAAGTGCCGATTGCAAACTGCTCTAAAGGCTGTCTTCCTTGAAGCATCTAAAGCTGCCGAATTGAAAGAGAAACGCATACAGCACTTGGAAAGAAAGGTAAACACCACTCCGTTCTGCCCCCTCCCATTCCTTTCCCCTCTCAAGGCCTAGGCATTCTAACTCTAATCTCAGGTGCAAGCCTTGCGTGATGAACGCGCCTCCAAGGCCCGTGAATTCTCCGAAGCACAGCAACACATCGGCCGATTAATGGGTGTAATGGGCTTCTCTGCCAATGCCCCTGGAACAAACGAACCCAAACACCAGCGCACCAGATCCTCTATGCACCCCACAACCCCTGCTGCAAGGGTCCCTCAACCAATCAGCGACGACGAAGATGGTACAAAACTAACAGAGTCGTTTGAATCGATGGCTTCCAATCTGAACGAGCCTACACCGAAGCGACCAAGAAGCAACAGCAAGCCAACGAACGAATCAGGAGTCCCAGTTAATTCTTTCGCTGCAGGGCTGGGGCCTAAAACCAGAAGTCCACCGCCTACTAGCAGGGTGTCTCGCTCTATGAGAATGCCACTATCCGAGGCTGACCCCAACAGCCTGACTAAGTCACAGTCGAGGAGTGTGTCGAAACGCAGTCAAGTTGATGAACTCTCTCAGGAGCCGCAGGCTGGGCGGAAATATGAGGAGAATCGACTTCAGGATCTTAATCTGGATATGGATCTGGAATTTTCGAGAGACTTTTTATTCACTAGTACGGATTTTACTAGGTCGGGCGATCAGATAGATCAGTGACCTCTGCAATAAACTGTTCTTGCGGTTTTGTTTCTGTGTATGGCGCTTCGTGCTCCAGATGTCTATGTAATATGCTGCTTTTCCTTTTGCTGGTGGTGTTATAGGTGGTCTTCTTGGGATTGTTCGCAGTATTCTCTTGCATAGTCGCAATTTTTCGTCGCTTCACTGGTACTTTCACGTTACCTCACTCGCACTTGTTAGTCAACTCGCACTCTAGCCTTACTTCGCTCGCACTCCAACCAGTGGAGGTTAGATTTTTTAACTCACAGTTTGGCGATAGTGATATAGAGGTCTCGCAGCTTATATAGTGCTTATATTTTGCTATCGTATCTCTGAGGCCATCCAGATTCCACCAGCGTCGCTCTCAGGCTCCTTCCATATTAGGCAATTCACCTCCAGTGCATGTGACTTCCTATATTTACTGGAGATCTCGCACGTCTCTTCTCCTTCCTTCCTTTCCTTCCTCCTTCCATCACCCCTGATTCCTTTGACAAGAGCACTTCACTTATTTTCCTACCTTCAGGCAAACAACCAGCAATGGCAGGTGAACGCGCAAGTTTCCAATATTACTCCCCCAGAATAACACGAAGTTCCCCCACACAGCCTGGTCAAGGTTGGGACACCTGGAAGTCATGTGAGACCACTGCGATCGACCTGTCTAGCCTTCCCAAGGAGGCCAATACCCACGACCTATATGATGCTTTCAACTCCTACGGTAACATCGTATCTATTGACCTTTGGAGTGACGCCACTGGTCAGCAGAGCTCAAAAGGCCGCCTTCGGTTCAGGTGAGCATTTACCATTTCATATTAGTGAGATACTGTCGCTAAAAGTCCATAGGCCTCCCCCAGACATAGATTTCTGGACTTCCGGCTATTGCGAGGTGCAATTTCGGAGTGGCCGTGTCTATAAGATACAACTACGTATCTTCTGTGGCCGGTCAAGCGATAGTATCCAGAGCCCCGTTCGTCCAGAAATAAATCTTCCAGCGGAGTTGGTATGTGCGAACTGAGTACGAAGTCATTTGAGAGTATGAATCGCTGATTTTGATCCCGGTCAAGGAACTAAAAGTCACTCAAGTCGACATCGGCGTCCTCCTCGGTCCCTCAAAAGTTCACTTCTTGCAGAGTTTCCACGGCATGGCATACCCAAGATTCGTCGTGAATGTCCGGCGCAAGTGCCTGTACATATATTTCAAAGTGGGAATTCGAGGATCGGAGAAGACTGCGGATATGACCCAGCATGACTATCGGATCAAGCTTACATTTCTCCAACTGGCTCAAGTTTACGACCGATCCGACCCTGTTTCGAACAAACAATCACTTCTGATTGTTCTCAATTCCGCTTCCATCTGCCATCGAAAGGCCAACGACACCCTTTCCACTTTGATCGAGGAGAGAAGCTGGAATGAAGAGGATAGCTGGTATCGTCAGACCGCCGTGACCCATAACCCGCATTCGCTGAGGACACTTCCCACCACTTTGAAGAAGCCCGGGCATATCATTGACCTTGGTAAGTATCCTCTTACTATTATAAACCTAATCCGAAGCTCACCAGTGTTTTAAATAGGGCGATGGAACGTGTTCAAGATCACATTCTCTGCCGATGAATCCCATGGATTTCATGTCAACAACCCTGACTGCAATTTGCAGCTCATGCATAACATCCTGAGCGACTACAATGTCCCTATCAATGATGGAAGCTCCTTTGTAGAGAGCCCAGACCGACCGATACCGGTGTGGCATTGGATTGATCGTTCTGAGACCAAGTCAAACAAAGATTCCGCGTTGTTGCGAGATTTGGGAGACCAGAACTATGTGCACCTCCCCTTTGCGATCCGATACCAACTCGAGGTCTGCTTGTCTCAGGGATTCCTTTCCGAATTTACCATGACTCGCGAATTCGTGGAGAGATTGCAGGATCTAGGAGATGACCAGGCTAGAAGGCTGCTGGAGTTTGTTGCGACCGACAAGAAACAGTATCTTGACCCCATGAAAATCTTTGACCTCAAATATGTCAAAGGAGTCACAGACTCAAAGATCCCAAGCTACTGTTGCTTCATGCACACGGCCCGAGTGACTCCAACCACCATCTATCTCAACACTCCCACTGTGGACATCTCAAATCGAGTCGTGCGCGAGTTCTCTCACACAGCCACACCTGGACGCTTTCTCCGGGTTCGATTTACAGATGAGAAGACCGAAGGTCGAATTAATTCTTCCCAGGGAAGTGCCAATGATGAAATCTTCACCCGTGTCAAACGGACCCTATCAAATGGCATTGTCATCGGAGATCGCCATTACGAGTTCCTCGCATTCGGCAACTCTCAATTTCGTGAGCACGGTGCGTACTTTTTCGCATCGGACGCCGGTGTCTCAGCCGCAAGCATCCGAGCATGGATGGGACAATTCAACCATATCCGAAATGTGGCAAAATATGCTGCGAGACTGGGACAATGCTTCTCGACCACTCGAGCTTTCACGGGTTCTTCAGTCCAAACTGTCCCATGCGATGACGTTGTCCGTAATGGCTTTACTTTCTCAGACGGCATTGGGAAGATATCCAAATTCCTGGCTCAGATGGTCACATCCCAACACAAGATCACGACTCCAACTGATGACCCTCCGTCTGCCTTCCAATTTCGCCTTGGGGGAGCCAAAGGCATGCTGGCTATCTCCTCGGATCCTCAGCCCCAGGAAGTACACATCCGTCCAAGTCAACAGAAGTTTGAAACCAACCAGAACAGCTTGGAGATAATCCGTTGGTCCCAGTACTCACTTGCAACTCTAAACCGCCAGCTGATCCTGGTGCTTTCAGCTCTGAACATTTCAGATGGAGTGTTCCACGACAAACTTGAATTTATGTTGAATAACATTCAACAAGCCATGTGCAACGACTCGAAAGCAACCGAGATACTTCAGAAGTACACCGACACGAACCAAATAACCTTGATATTGTCTGGGATGGTCAATCATGGCTTCAGACGAACTGAGGAGCCATTTGTCAATACCATGCTTGAGCTTTGGAAATCCTGGCATCTTAAGCACCTCAAGGAGAAAGCCAAAATTGCCATAGACCAGGGGGCCAACGTACTCGGCGTCATGGACGAGACAGGAGTTCTCAAGGGCTTCTTCAAAGACAGGGTACCGTCGCCACTTGCCTCGTATGAGGAAAAACTAGCCGCACTTCCCGAGATCTTCGTGCAGATCTGCCGGCTACCAGAGAGTGGTGACTTTGAGATCATTGAGGGCCTTTGTATCCTCGCTCGAAACCCCTCCCTTCACCCCGGGGATATCCGTGTAGTTCGAGCAGTGAACAGACCGGAGCTGCGGGAACTTCGGGACGTAGTCGTTCTTCCTCAGACAGGGGACCAGGACATTGCTAGCATGTGCTCTGGAGGTGATCTCGATGGAGATGACTACCTCGTAATTTGGGACCCGGATCTGATTCCCCAGGACTGGTTCACCAGGTGCATGGATTACAAGGGCTCCAGAGCCCCAGACCTTGACCACGACGTGACAGTCGATGAAGTCACATCGTTCTTTGTCACTTATATGAAGAATGACTGCCTTCCCAGAATTGCGCACGCCCATATGTCCTGGGCTGATCAGCTCCCGCGGGGGGTTTGGGAAGACAAATGCATTCGCCTCGCTCAACTCCACTCCGATGCCGTTGATTACAACAAAAGCGGCGCACATGCTAGGATGGAACGCTCTTTGAATCCCAGGGCGTGGCCACACTTTATGGAAAAACGTCACAAGAACCCATCTTGCATCTACACATCTCGAAAAATCCTCGGACAACTGTATGATGCGGTGATAAGCCCTTGTTTCGCTCCCAATCTGGAGAAGCCTTTCGACTCGCGCATCCTGGAATCCCCATTAGCTGCTGGTAGTGACCTTTACATGGGGTTTGCCCGCAATCTCAAAGCCGAATATGACACTAGCATGCGACAAATCATGGCCCAATATGAGATCGAGACTGAGTTCGAGGTTTGGTCGACCTTTGTACTCGGTCACGGCTGTGTCATTCGTGACTACAAGTTGCAGGAAGAGCTGGGCGGAATTGTGGGCACTCTGCGCCGTGGATTTCAGCGTCAATGTTACGACAAATTCGGGCGCTCCGACGGACCCATATTTTCCTTGGTCATCGCCATGTACCGTGTCACGCAGGAGCAGGTAGCGGCTGCACTGGAGGCCCGTCGCATTGAAGAACAACAGAGAAAGAACCCTTCGAACGTGACGGTACCTCGCACTGAACTCCCTCTCATAAGCTTCCCTTGGCTATTCCCGGAGGAACTCGGTCAAATTGCGACCAGCCAAGCGCGCACTCGGGGCCCCGGGGGAGCAGTTGACGCTGATTCTGAGATGCCTATCAGCAAAGACCGTGTCTACACCCACGAAGAGATCATTGAGCTTGTCGCTGATATGGATGAAGATGAAAAGGAAGGAGGGTGACGTTGTCCGCTGATCAAGTCAACGGAGAGAAGAAACCAATGGAGAATGAAGTTAAGACAACGTTAGTCGAAGAGACTCAAGCTATGCATATCGTGGAAGAGACGGATGATATGAAGCCGTCCGCGCTGGACAATCTTATGGACTTGCTCAACGACTAATCGGTTGCTCTTCTCAGACAACAATGGAAGGATAGGATCAGCCCGGGCTGAGTTCAAGTGCCTCTGAGGATGTGTTACTTGGGCGTTTACTGGCGCAGTTATGGCGTTTACACATGCAATTGATATGAAGAGAATTTCAATTTCGAAATTTTACACCAACTTGTAGGATTCGAGACCAAGAATGTAAGCGTGATCGTGATTTTGTGCTAGGGGGGTATATCCAAAGTCCACAACCTAACTCCCAAGTCCCCAACTAAGTACCTCCCAAGACTGACGCCCGAAACAATCCCAAGAAAGAACTACCAATCCAATCCCTCATCGCCCTTGCGCTCCAACAACTCAACAACAGGCTCCAAGACACCCTTTGAGTGTCTCCAATTAGCCGCATCCCTTGTCCTCGAGTAGTAGACCGGGCAATCCAGACTATCACAACTAACCTCGTCAACAGGAGAAACCCCCATACAGGAACGACAAATAGCCTCCAAACCAACAACCCTCTTCTCCGCCCTCTGCAACCGCGAAACAACATCAAGCAAAGCAATATGCGGCTGCTGCATACACTCCCCACAAACCGGGACAGCAGTATCCGACAACTTCGACCGACAAATAACACACGCCGACGACTGCATATAAGACTCCAGCGTCTTCCTACTCGGCGCAACGAGCGCCCCAGACCCGGACCTCGACGTCGAAACATCAACCCTCCGAATCCGCTGCACCTTCGGCATCTCATCATACCACTGCCTTACATTCGCACCCACAAGATTGAAAATCCGCTCCAGCGGCGGAACGAGGTTCTTCGTGATATAGTACTCCGCATCAAGCTCCAGCTGCGCATCGTGCAGAAGCGTCTGCGGCGCCACGCACCGGTCAATAAGTCGCGACCCCGGCGCACCGGTCACAACAACGTACGGCACGCGCTCGCCGGTCTGCGGCTCCGAGCGCGGATCCTCGAGCATGCGTTTCGTGCTGAGCATTGCTCCGGCGGGGAGTGTTCCGCGGTCTGAGTATGTGCCCAGACGGACTTCGCGTGCGAAGCAGAAGTCTTGAATGGAGACGCGGCCTTGCATTATTTTTGCGCATTGGCGCTGGAAGTAGGATTTCACCTGGCTTAGGTCTGCGGTGCGGAAGAGGATTTTCAGGGCTTTTTCTTCGATTTTTTGTTCGGCGGGCGTGCCGTCGCGACGGACGGTTTCGATGCCCTTTGCGTCGAAGTCGGGCTCTTTCTGGTTGCGATGCTCGTATTTGAAGCCTACGTAGCGTTTCTTGGCCAGGAGGACGCAGGGGTGGTAGACTTTTTCGAATTTGAGTTTTATCGGGCGTGGGTTCATGTCTGTTATTGCTTGGGCGATTTCTTCGCCTATGTCGAAGGCTTCGTCGCGGGTTCGGCCTTTCAGGTGTACGAATAGACTGTCTGTGTCGCCGTAGACGACTTCGGCGCCCCAGCGTTCGACTGAGTGGATGAAGGCGATGGCTTTTTCGAGTGTTTCTCGTCCTGTCTGGACGATGCTGTCGGCGATCTCGGAGCACGGCATTCGGCCGGAGAATGAGGCGGATGTGTAGCCGTATGTGACGTTGGCGATCAGCTTCAGCGCCAATTGTCTGTTGTTTAGAAGGCGCTGCAAGACTTTGTCGTCTTGGTCGGCTTTCATGCCGTTTTTGAGCATCACACGGGTTTCGAGGATCTCGGAAAGCATCTTCGCCAGCAAGGACTGGCGTGCTTCCTGCTTTGCATACATCATGCCGTTGGGTGCGATGTTGACCTTGTCTTTGAGTAATTCAAGTAATCTGGGCTGTCGCTTGTAATCCAGGAAACCCATTTTGTCTCGCCCACGCCAGTGCATTGCTCTGCCCAGGAAAGTCGAGTAGCAATAGTTGTACGCGATCATGACACTCGGGTACAATGACTGGAAATCAAGCACGAGGACTGGGCTTGTATAGAAGTCACTTTGTGGCTCCATGACGAGCGGCAAGCATTCCAATGCGTTCTGCTGTCCCACCTGCTTCTTACTTGGTGACACGAGCAGGAAGTTCTCGGGTTTCGCAATTCGGAACATCAGCGATTCAACTTTGAACTGGGATCCGCGGGAAATCACCGAGGCAAAATCAATGCCCAGCAATCTCGCCTGTTCGCTCGTTCTTGGTGTTAATTCATTGGCCTCGAGAATTTCCAGATTCAACTGCACACGGGAGGTAAAATAATCCACAACTTTGAGGATGTTTCGAGGCCTGCCGCTTTGGTACCACTTCGTCAATTCCTGAGTGGAATAATGAGGAATTCGACGATGTAATACATGGAACACGACATTTTCCATAGTATACTGCAGCAGGTTCAGCTCTCCTTTCATGGCGCGCCAGATATTGAACATGTGTCGCCCAGTGATACGAACGGATGATGAATGGTCGAATCCCCATCGATCTGCGTTTTTCCCGAACCGTCCATGGGATTGAGATTTGGTTCTTGAGAGTTCCTCGCAGATGTCGAAATCGTACTTCTTCCGGGCTCGCTCAATGACATAACCCCAAGAAGCGCTGTGGACCTCATACCCTGTGATAATGTCTGGATCATGATATCGGACCATATCTATGAGTCGGTTGATCAGGTCTAGCTCCGTAGGCTCACTCTCAACGTCAATTGTCAATGCTTTGATGACTTTGGCTTCTGGCCTCTCGCCCTCGCCATGGTAAACCATCCCAACATGAACGCCAGGGAGGTGACTATTGACCTCGAGATCCTCGTCTTCTGATTGAACGCACCAGAACATGCAAGTGATCTCATCCTCGTCTGGGTTTGGTAAAAGAGTTCCGCGCGTGTTTACGTGCACTTCTAAGCTCATTGTGCTCATGTATTGAGCCTGGTGCTCCACGCTAGTAGACACACCCTTCTGCGAGTATTTGAACCCGTGTGCATTCTTCTGTGTTGGGCCCTCAATCTGCGAGAGCAGAGCTCCCTTGGTCTCGGTATGTGTGACTCGGGTTTTTTTCTTGCGCTTGGGCTCTGATGAGGCTTCCAGCTGTTCGAACCATTCTATGACTTCTGATCGGCTTGGCGGAACGGGGGCAAACTCCCAGACCTTGGCTGTACACTCTTCTCGGAGCTGCTGATCAGCCTTTTCTTGTTGACTCTGGTCGCGTGTAACCGGCGTTTGCTCGCCATATATTGCAGGTGCCTGACACGTCGGATCAAAATCGGGTAAATAGTGGATAGTGTTGCTTTCCAGCCGAAACTCTCTGCCGCCATATTCTCTTGGTCGTTCGGGCACATCCGCTTCATCACTGTAAAATGCCTTCTGGTATACAGCCGAAGGGCGTCCATACTCATTCATCGTTGACTGAACCTCCTTAGGCGTTGGGCAGGCATATCTAAAACAACGTAACGATGCGTTGGGTCCAATTTTGAAAGACTGGTGGATCTTTCCCATGGTCTCGGCGAGACGTGGGTCTAGAGAGGCGGTTCCCACGACTGTTGGAGAGGAGTGGATATCGGAAGATGACTGTGTTTCGCCAGCCTGGCCTGACATGTCATTGGCGGACCCAGAGGGGAAAGAACACGTGAAAGGTTGAGATGATTGCGAATCTTTCTTCGAGCAATGGGATTCATTTTGGCTGTAGCGCATAATAGTCAGGGGGTCATTGGGGTCCTTGACTACCGGAAACTTCAGCCCGCTGTTGTAACCATGCGCCTTTGGACAAAGCGTTTCCTGCGAGGAAGATGATCTTGGTGCTGACAACGGCCTTTCCGCATGCGAGTCCAACTTGTTTTCGAAAGAAACAGATTTCCGTTTGTCCTGTTGCTGTTGCTGCCGCATATTGGGTGATCCTGAATGTCCGTGGGACAGGCCCACACTTGCTGAATTTCTAGGTCTTTTCGTGGGCGGGTGGGAAGACTCGACTTCAAAATAAGGCCTCTTAGGTGCGACACTTTTGGTTTGATTTGGACCTCTGGGCGTTTCTTCCTGGGATCCACTCGTTTGAGGTGCCAGATGTCCTTCTCTTGCTTTGGGGGTCTCGGGCTGCGCAGATTTGACAGACACAGCGACATCTGAGAATGGAACTTCGTCAAAAACAGCATCGTAAAAGCTATCACCAGCCGGGTCTCCTTGCGGCTCAGGCTCCTGATCCGGTCTGTTCTCAAATGATTCATCCTCTTGATCAGTGTCAGAGTAATACTGCCCATCGGTTTGGGAGGACAGAGCGAGACTCTCATCAACTGAGATTTCCGGTGCGTTCTGCTGGGCGGACTCATGAGTGCGCTGGTTATTGAAAGTCAAGCTACAGATTTTGTCGGGGAAAAAGTCTTCCACACTATCCAGCGCCGTCTTGACGTTTTTGGCGTGATCTTCAGTACTCAGAAAGTCCTCGAATGTCACAACTTTCTTGTGATCCTGTTCTTTCTCGTTCGCGACAAGTTGCGATGCCATTTCACGGAATTCTTCTTCGTGTATCCAACCGCCCTTGGACTGATCTCTTGGATCCGCAGACATTGAAACCAATTCCTCAGGCCCAAAGGGAGTACTTCCGGGATCGGTGATACCCATCCGCTTTTTTCGTCTGCGAGTTTCATCCTGCCAAAGTCCAGCCATACTAGGAACAAGCCGCTCGCTGACCGCAACTGGTCTCAAAAGCTCCGTGAAATCGTGGTGTAAAGGTCGCTCTTTGACGTCGAGGCGGTTCAATATGTCCTGTACACAGATATCGACTTCCAACGCACAATTGCTTTGCTTCTGTAACGCAGGGTGGTCAAGTATGCTCTCGGGATCAATAGAACGGTCGTGCCAACGATGCTCTAGATTGCTGAGCTCAAGGTACTCGGGTACCGGGGCTCGGAATTTGACCTTCCCACACCTCATGATTGCACATCCATACAAATTGTAATCGCACATCCATTGCGGGACGTATTGCACGTGTGCCTCGTATGGTTGAAGCGGACGTTTCATCACAGCTCCCTGGTGCAGAAGATCGACTAAACGGGTTGTGTGGAAAGGGTTCAAGAGATAGATCTTGAAGAAGAACCGCCATCCTACATGGTATCCGTAAAAGGGAACTCCTTTCACCAAGGTGATATGCGCCACAAACGCGGTTCTTCTATCGTATGCATTTCGGCGAAAGCTGACTGCGAGGGCGTGGTCGATGGAAAGGTGAAGCGTTCGGATCGCAGAATTTACTGAAACTTGTGTAAGCTATGGTCATATTGATGTGTGGAGGGAGTAACCAACCATCTTCTGGCGCCAAAGACCCATTGTACTCAATGTAAAGGTATGGAAACGCGCCATGAACATGTACACAGACTCTCTGTCCAGCCTCGGTGGCTCCAAATATCCGTATAACAGGCACCTTGGGCTTCCAGTCCTTTTCTGAGACCGCATCACGAAAAGGCAGTGGAGGATCCAACTCCGACGCGGTCGCCTGGTAATGATCGATACAGTTGAGGCGCACCTGAAATGGCTCCATCGCTCTGGTGTGTGGCAGTCCAAAGCCACAGCGACATTGCGGAGACAGATGGTTTGAGCACCGGTTATCGCATGGGTGTTTTTTCTAGCGTTCAAGTATGTAGGGACAACTCCAAACAAGTAAGAATGCGACGATAGCTGTTATGCCTACGATAACGCGAGATAACGCCTGATCACGTGCCGCATATCGATTCTCCACCCGCCAAGCTCGGCCGATCGCGACTTCACTCATCTTTCATCTCACAATAGGAGAGCTGCAGGTGGCTGGAACCTATTTCTACTTGGCTCTGCTTTTTTTTTCTTGTCAAAGATTGCCGCCACTCAAACATCATCAATCATGTCACGAAAACCCGCAGACGTGGCGTCGAAAACGCCCAACGAGTACATTCCGTCCTTCATCTCGAAAAAGCCATTCTACGTCGACGATGAGACGAACAACGACTACCTGGAGCATCAACGTCTGCAGAAGGCCGCTCGCGATGAGTCAAAATGGTATGACCGAGGGAAGCGTGCAGGCCCAGCAGCCACCAAATACCGCAAAGGCGCATGCGAAAACTGCGGCGCAATGACCCATAAGACCAAAGAGTGTCTAAGTCGACCCCGAAAGCAAGGCGCCAGATGGACCGGTAAAGATATTCAGGCGGATGAAGTTGTCCAGAAAGTCGACATGGGCTGGGATGCCAAAAGAGATCGGTGGAACGGCTACGACGCGAGCGAATACCGCCAGGTTGTGAACGAATTCGAAGAAATGGAATCCCTTAAGCAACTGGCGAAGGAAGAAGCAAAACTTAAGAAGCTTCAAGAGGGTGAAGATGGTGAAGAGGGTCCGGATTCAGACATCCGCTATGCCGAAGAATCCGACATGGGACGGCAACAGAGCACCGCCACTCGCAACCTACGTATTCGAGAAGACACCGCGAAGTACCTCCTCAACTTAGACCTTGATTCAGCCAAATACGACCCGAAGACACGCCGAATGGTCGACATGGGCGCTCAAGACGACCAGGCTGCTGCACTGGTGGAAGAAGAAAATTTCATCCGTGCTTCGGGTGATGCTGCAGAGTTCGAGAAGGCACAGAAATATGCATGGGAGTCTCAAGAGAAGGGTCTTCCTCACCTTCACATCCAAGCCAACCCCACATCTGGAGAAGTTCTGAGGAAGAAAGAGAAAGAGGATAGTGAGGCGAAACGTGAAGCGCATCGCAAGGCTCTCCTGGAGAAATACGGCGGCGGAGAACACGCGCAACCTAGTGCACTACGGGAGACAATGGTCGTTGAGAATGAACGGTTCGTCGAATATGACGAGAGCGGTGCTATCAAGGGCGCGCCCAAGAAGGCGACCAAATCTAAATACCCCGAAGATGTGATGGTGAACAATCACACCTCGGTCTTCGGCAGCTGGTGGTACGAATTCAAATGGGGATATGCATGCTGCTATTCTACCGTGAAGAACAGCTACTGCACCGGAGAAGACGGAAAGAAAGCTTTCGAGGATGAGGGCAATCTGCTCCTGATGACCGGGGCAGGCGACAACACCGAAGAAATGCCCGAGGATGACGAAGGAGCGGATCACGCTCACGATTCTGAACGCAATGGCGAACAGGAATCGAAAACTGGTGGGAAAAAGCGGACACTAGAGGAATTGAAGTCCGGCATCACAGAGGAGGAACTGGACTCATACAAGCGAAGCCGGCTGGCTGCTCAGGATCCCATGGCGAATTTCCTCGGCAAGGACTGATCAGTTGATGTTTCTCGTATACTACTCGCATGGGCGTTCGGATGTACTAAAATACCCTTTTGATATGCTGTTTACATAGTGGAATGCATAACTCAGTAATCTATGTTCTAGTACCTCTTCTCATAGCTAGATATTTGCCCATACACAGTAAGGAGGCACATCAACATGTTAGATCTACTGTGTAAACTGTGAAGCGAGAATAATACCCCAGTTGTACAGCCGGGTCGATCACTCTTAGTGGATACATTCTGGGCAGTCTTGAAGACAATGGGCCCGCCGCCCGGGGGAAGCCGCGGTCACGTGATGCTATGGTGCACGGGCCAGTATTTCCATAGAGGGCTTGGTTGGATCCCGTGACCGACTAGCCCTGACGGATCCACGTGATTAACTAACGCACTCGCTTAGAGCACAATCGCCAGATCTTGGGCAAGTTTCGAGACGCTTAGCGACGACGACCCGACAACCAGCCCCTTTAACGGAATTGCCAGGTACGTTCGCATGCCGGTTCCTTTACCAGTGCACACTTCGCCGTTCCATTTGTCAAATCACTAACGTCTTTCCTCGCCCACAGTTCCATAATTCAAGATGAGTACGTCCGACGCCGAAACATCGCACCGCGATCCTCCGCAACGCCGAATAACTTGAAACTAACAACGACTACAGCTAAGGGTACCTCCAGCTTCGGAAAGCGCCACAACAAGACGCACACTCTCTGCCGTCGTTGTGGTTAGTATTACACCTATTTTTCACGATCCCACCCATCCGACCCGCAGTCGCAAATTTCTACATCGAAAGACGGAATTGGCGATTACGGCGAAGACAATCACACAACATAGCAAGGATAAATGGGCTAACCGGTGATATCTGCGACTCTACAGGCAAGCGGTCTTTCCACATCCAGAAGTCGACTTGCTCCAACTGTGGCTACCCTGCTGCCAAGACCCGCAAGTGTACGCATATACCCCTCCCGAGAGCGTTGGTGATATGAAGATTGCCATCCGTTTAGGAATATGGACAACCAAGTTGAGAACACTGGCTTACATGGATTTTTTTTCTCTCGAACAGACAACTGGAGCGAGAAGGCCAAGCGCCGCAAGACCACCGGCTCCGGTCGCATGCGCTCCCTGCGCGATGTCCACCGCCGCTTCCTGAACGGCTTCCAGACCGGTACCCCCAAGGGTGCCCGCGGTCCCCAGACCAACTAGATTCCCTTTTTCGTCCGCTCGGCGTCGCGTTTTCGGTATCAGAGAGGCTGGAATAGGAATGAATGGAGGGATCCTGGCATGACATGAATTAGCATTACGGGATAGCTCGAAATGCAATGGCAGTTCCGGAATCTTCCCGCTTTCTTGTTGGAGTTGGTGTGTGCAACTGTCGATTACGTTGGTTCTCTTTGCCAGACCAAGGATGACAAGGTAGAATTTGCGAGATGATTGGAAAAGTTTCGTTGAGGGGCTCTTTTCTACGGAGAGAGCTGGATAAAAAATAAGCTGGGAAAGCGTGCATGAATTTCCTTTTTCTATGTTTATGGCTGGCGAATATCCCATGTCATGACAGATGCAATGTGAAGACTCTTCCTACCATTTCATGATCTTTCTACTCATTCTATTCGGTATGGGGCTTACGGTGGAAAGGCGGAGATATCTGGATTAGCCATCATTCAATGGTTTCTGTACGCTCGCGGCTCCTGCGGACATCCAACTCATAGTGTACAGCCTTTGTTCATGATTCCCCACGCCCGAATACCTTGACACCCCCATCCCGTTGGATGAAGTACAATGCCTCTCGCTCCTCCAGGTTGTCCTCTTCGGTGATCATTCCACCACCTCGGCTGATTCGCAGCACTCCGCTCACATCCTTTGCTGCCCCTGTATCCAGAGTGCGGAGCTGCATTACCGACCGAGCCCGATGCGCCAGCCCGATAGCAAGTGCCGCATGTTCGGTCTCTATGGGCGTCGCCAACTGCCCAGACATTGTAGATGCATTGTGTATTAACGGTGCATCCGTAGCCAACGTCAAAACTGTAGCATGTGCACGCTATGGAGAATCTTGTCAGCCCTGTCGTAAACTTGTTTCTGCCTATCGCAATTTGATAGCGCCTTACCTGTTGTAGCCCTGTGATCCACTCCGCCATCTCTGTTGCACCAATTCCCATACTGGGACTTGTTGCCGCAAGGAGCAAGTCAGGCTGGTCTATAATGAGTAGAAGCTCATCCCCATCTTCCATTGAGCTCTTCTGCTGCTCAATCACCGAGGAGATATCGGCTTCCAGTGCGTCGAGGGAAGCGAGACCACGGCCAGTGAAATGGAGCTTCTTTGCAATTCCAGACTCCGCTGGCTTCGCCAGATTTCCTCTTACTGCTGTAGCTGTCGGTCTCACCGGCTGCGGTGACCTTCCAGGCACAGCACCAGGTGGAGACCGCATGGGAAGGGTTGTGCGTGGGCTGCTTCCCATACCAGCCGGTGAGACACTAGCAGGAGTGGCTGTGGCTGCTGGTGCGTAGAATAGTTCAGACAATCCATCTACGAATGCGAATTGTTTCTTATCTGCCAGACGTGTGAGGTCAAGGCCCTATCCAACCGTTAGTGCTGTTGATCAAGACATGTATCGTCTTATGCACGATTGTAGAAATTGAACAAATGCATGTTTCAATTTCGAGTACCGTTCAGCTGGTCGAGTACACTTACCAGTCTCTTCGCCTCCGTCTTCCAGAAATCATAACTGCGCATGAAGCTCACCAGCACTACCTTCTTCTTGGCGCCATTCTGCAGCTCGTCCAAGCCAAATGCCGCGTTAGGACTGGCTGAGCTCAACGCAGCATATAAAAACCTCAGGACCAGCCAGTTCGACGTTGCACCAAGAATAGAAGAGATTAATGTGAGGGATGAGTCGGGAAGAGTTGATACATATGGAGCGAGGAGGGGCGGCAGTGGGGGTTGAGAAGGCATGATTGTGGCTCAATTAAGTTGTTGATGCTGTCTGCTGTTCCCAGCGGTTTAGAGACGGTGTCAATTAGAGTCCCACCGCTTTTATCGTGTGTTTAGTCCTTGTTTGCGGGTGTTGTCGGTGATTGAAGTCGTGGAGATGATCTCAAGAAAAAATGTCTCCAGCTTGTGATTGGCTCCTCAGGTATCCGGCCATGCCAAGACAATTGCATATCGAGTTGTATGGCAGGAGAGTTGGCTCTTCTTGTATATATGCACTATGTGCTCTTAGACTTGTAATATTATATCAGGGCTCAAGTTTCTGATGGGTTAGTTTGACCTCTTTATTTGAACATTTCTAGTTTTCAATCCTAGGTGAAGTACCAACTATATATTTGTACTGTTCCTCGCTATTTATACTTGCATCACAACATTGATACAATCCATTCATATCAGAATGGAAACAGCACCTGCCCTAGACAGTTAAGGTAACTGGGTAAAGCATAAGCTACAGAGATGAAGAACTCTAGGTCGAGATTACATACAAGAATCAGCTAAAGACTTGTAGTCAAATCCAATGCTGCCTCAGGCAGCAATATGAGTTTTCTCCATCACCTGACCATTTCCCCACCATCGAGGGGAGCGATGGCTGCATCTTATCCATCGCATTGCAAGAGGCTATGCTCTAGCGCCGATCGTGAGTACATTCTCCTTATGTACATCCACCGAGCAGATATGTACACATACTAGCCTAGTCTATGTGTTATACATGCCATTCCCGATCCCGTCGCAAAAGGGTCCATATATCACATGCATCACGCGGCTAACGGATTAGATGATTGCCGTTGCATGGCATGATCAAGCATTGGATACACGATATAAGATATCCAGCTTGCCTCGATGAAAATGGCGAGCACTCGTGATTCTCACTCATTTGCTGTATGTATTCAGCGCGTGTCACTGGAAATTATAGAAGAGAGTTGAGATCTGACTATCTGATTAGTGCGATGAATGCCGCTTGCGCAAGTCAAGAGTAAGCAATCCCTGACATTATATCCTTGACAAGCACCCTTAACACGGGTATTATAGTGTTCGAAAGAGCGTCCAGTCTGTCTGCAATGCAGACAGCTGAACAAAGAATGTATATACAGTCCGAAAGTCAACAGGAGTCCTCTGACTCGGCAGTAAGTAATTAAAGGTGGAAAAAAAGGTGTATTCGAAGACAAACTGACTTGCCTCTCCAGACACTTGACCTATGTCGAAGATCGTCTACACTCATTTGAAACGGCTCTGGGAAGGTTGTTCCCAGGCGGCGATCTGGATGCTACCCTTCGTTCTCTTTTGCAAAACCCAGAGGTCCCAAGGGCCCCGTCATCCAAGTCCTCATCAAGGCATTCTACCCCGGCCAAGCATGAGGCAGAAAGGGCCGAGCCAGCGCCAGAAGCTCTCCCACAACAAGCTGATGGCTTTGACTGGGCTGAGAAAGAAATCACACGTGATCTGACGGACGGCATGGCTGCGCTGTCAATCAGGCCCGAAGGAGCTGGCTACTTTGGTTGGTTATACAGGATCCATGCTCATGTTGTCTAAAACTGACATAACTTCCAGGAGCTTCTTCAAGTGTTGTACCACTTAGAGCACTTTTTGATCATGGGTTTGACTTGAATATTCCTGTTCGCTCGGCAAGGTCAGGAGGGGTGCCTCTAAAATCACAGCTCCTGGAGAGTGCCCCATCCGGGCTGATTGAACAAGCGTTCATCGACGCCTTCTTCCTCAACTATCATACCAGCTATCCGTTTGTCCACGAGCCTACATTCCGGATGCAGTTTAGTGACCCGTCATTACGTCCACATGGTACGGCCTGGCATATCCTCCTGAACACGATTCTCGCCCTTGGTGCATGGAGTATCGGCGACGACAGCTCAGACCTTGATATCACGTTCTATCAAGAAGCCAGGGGATACTTGCAGCAAGCATCTGTATTCGAAACTGGCAACCTGACTTTAGTCCAAGGATTATTGTTATTGAGCAACTATGCACAGAAGCGAAACAAGCCCAACACCGGATGGAACTATCTCGGTCTGGCAGTTCGAATGGCCATGAGCCTAGGTCTCCACAAGGAGTTCCCCGGCTGGAAAATCAGTCTCCTGCAAAGAGAAATTCGCAGAAGACTGTGGTGGGGGGTGTTCATCTTCGACAGCGGTGCAGCGAAAACTTTTGGAAGACCAATTCTCCTTCCAGAAGACAGTGTCATGGATGCCAAGCAAGTTCGAAACATCCCCGAAGAGGTATTGTCGAAACTAAATCGCAGGAGAGCAACTGTAACTAATACATACCACAGGCCTTGACTCCGACAACGACAACTCTCCCAGCCGAATCACCCGGCCCAACCATTTACTCAGGCTTAATTGCCCAAGCACGCTTCCACCTCCTCACCAACAGCGTCTACCAAAGACTCATCTCGAGCCCCAGCCTCACTCCAGAAGATACTCTGAACCTACAAAAGCCCATCGAAGAGTGGTACAACGGTCTCCCACCTTACCTCAAACACCCCCAGCTCCCTCTATCTATGCAGCCAACGAATCCAGACCCAGACTCGCTCGCCCTCGTGCGCAACCGCCTGCTCTGGCGAAACTGGAACCTCACAATCCTGATTTACAGGCCTATCCTTCTCCGCTGGGCCGCTAGACGCTGGGCCCCACTTAGCGGCAGCGGACCAGGCACGCCAGACGGAGGCAGCGAAGATCCCTGCGAAACAGAGTGCCGATTACGATGTCTACAGAACGCACGACTAACCATCTCCTCGATATCCGAGTACATGGAGAACTACATCTGCACCAGACTAGGAGCCTGGTACATGCTGTACGTATCCCTCATTTACCATTTACCTCGAATCTTTTCACATCAACCACCGAAGAAAGAAAGAAAAAATAAATCTAACAACAAACCAGCTACTTCCTCTTCCAAGCCGGCCTAATCCCAATAGTCTTCCTAATGACCGACCCCTCAAACCCCGAAGCCGCCACCTGGCTCCAAGACATCGAAACCACAAAATCCCTCCTCACACACCCATCCCTCGGCACAAACAGTTTCGCAATTCGCTGTTTAGAAGTCATCAATCGTCTCCTCGGCCCGCCAACAAACCAAGACCCAGTCGTCCCTGGTCTTTTAGACGGAGACCAGAAACACGACCCGCAGCACTACGATCACCAGCACATACCGCAGACACAGCCTATCATGCCGTTCCCGGAGCAGTTGTTCAGTGATCCAGGATTTGGGGGCAGTTTATTTCCTGTTGAGCAGCAGATGCAGATGCATAATGCTGGGGGAATGGATTTCTCCGATTGGGTGAATTTCGGGCCTGTGGAATGAGCAAATGAGCAAAGCCCTGGCCATCCTGGGGGGCTTTTGTTTGGAAATTGGCATTGGGAAAACTTGGGATATGGGTTTTGGAATGGGCATTGGATTGGAAAATAGTTTCTGCTTTGGTATAGTACGCAGTATAGTATAGGCAATCAGCACATACTGAGAATTCATTTGGGTTTTTGGTGTACAGGTTGTGTGACGTTGACCAACTGGGGTATTTAGTAGTGCAGGATTCAGGAGGATTTGCGGTGATAAATCCCATGCGATTCAAGCTTCTTCCGCGTGTGAATCGACTGGCTTCATGAGGTCGTCGTCGTCGATGGGTGTACCGCGCAATTCGGCTTCGATGCGCTTGATGCGCTTCTTTTCTTCGTGGGCGGCTGTGTCGCCGAAGATGAGATCCATGTCTTCGAGTGTCTGTCAAAGAGATTTAGTATCATCGACGTCATATAATAGACCTGAAGGGAGATGCTGATGCATATGGGTAAACGTACCTTCCCCCGAGTCTCGGGAATACAGAAGAAGGTGAATGCTAGCGCAAGAAGACAAAAGGCAGCGAAGAAGATGTAAGTGCCCCAGGTAATAGACTCGAGCATGTCGGGGGTGACGAGGCCAATGATGCTACAGCACGGTGTGTGTTAGATGTAGACAACATGTTGAAAGCGACTTGAACTTACAAGTTACACATCCAAGTTGCCGACGTCGTGATGGAGATAGCCTTCGATCTGATGGAGAGGTTGAAAATCTCCGAAGGAAGAACCCAACCAATTGGCGCTGAGAGGGGAAGTTAGTTAAGATCGCAGACTTGCCACTAGTTAACGAGGCTTGATCTTACCGAATGAGTAGGAGAAGTTGATATCGTAGATATAGATGAACGCAATACCGGCCCATCCTGCAGACACATTGCCCACAAGAGAGGACCCATAGCCGCCCAAGATGCCGCCGACAATCACAAGCGAGATGCAAGTACCCGTGGCGCCGGCCATGAGAAGAGGTCGACGACCGACTTTGTCGATGAAGAAGAGTGCGGGGAGAGTGCTGAGACAGTTGACGATGCCGTAGACACCTGTAGCGAGGAGGGAGGTGGTGTTACCGTCCAGACCGAGTTGGGCGAAGATTGTGGGTGCGTAGTAGATCATGGCTGTGGGAATTAGATGTTGCTTTGAACGGGGTTCGGGGAGAATAGTCTATAGAGGGACCGAACGGACATACCATTGCAGCCCATGAATTGCTGGAAGAACATCACGATGCAGCCAATCGATAGCCGTTTGAAATGGGCCCAGTTTGTGAGCAAGGACATGTACTGTGAGAGAGTCAGAGAGAGTTTGAGAGACTGCCCGGCTTGCAGGTAAGGGTTTGGTACATACCTGAGTAGCGTGGAGCTTATATCCGGACAAATTGGGGAAATTGTCCCTCGCAAATGAGTTTTCCAACATGATAGAAGCCTTGATTTCGAGATACTCGTTGAGAAGCACCGGACTATCGCGGGACTGCCTACGCAATCTGGAGAGCGCATTCAGCGATTCGTCATCACGCTCCTTCATCAGCAGCCACCGTGGAGAATCAGGGAAGAACAGCATGCCGATACCCAGGATGACAGCTGGGACAATCTGCAATGCAAGCGGAAGACGCCATGAAGCCTCGGACTGGCCAGTACAGCCTCCCAAAGGAACATCGAAGTAAGGGTTGAAGGCAGGCTTAGCCAGCGTACCACCGGAATACGGGACCGCAGGAGCACATCGGGTCCCGCCGATGTAGTTCGTTCCATAGTCAATCCAGTAACTGAACAAGATTCCCAGAGTGACAGATACTGGGCCGCTTATCAGTCGATTTGCGCCATAAATTATAACCCCCACGAAATAAACCACTTACATTGCTGCAGAACCACCAGTCCTCCACGGATATCCGGGATAGAGACTTCAGAGATGTACAGAGGCACGACCATGGTCAATTGACCAACAGCCAAGCCGGCAATGGCACGACCGGCGAATAGCATCGGCACGTTCACCGCGGCGCACTGGAGAACAGAGCCGATGGTGAAGACCACCACGGCGAGATTGATAGACAGCTTCCGACCAATACGGTCGGCAATAGGACCGTTGATCAAGGAGCCCAGCCAGGCTGCTAACAACAGGGTTGACACGAACCAGCCTTTGAATCCGCTCTCGGTGTAGATACGGGGATACCGTGCCCCGAAGGACTCCATGGTTATAACACCGCTGATGACACCTTGGTCGTAGCCGAACAATAGACCACCGAGGGTTGAAAACTGCGATCATGTTAGAACTGAACAAAGCTAGACGCCAGATTTGTGTACATACCGCAGCGACACCACAGAGGAAAGGATTCTGTAGGACAAGGGCGAAGCCGCCCTTGGGAGCGCTATCCGATACAGTAGCCATGATACCAATGATTCTCTCTATGTTGATATCAAGCGATACAGCGCCGTCGCGTTATATATGCTTGACTTTCAACCTTGGAACCCGGGGTAAACCTTGTAGACCTGTTACTTTGGACTCTGGATTCAGGAACACAGTACTCCGTCTGGCATTGATGAAGCCAGGAACACAGTACTCCGTCAGAGGAGCATGATATATGCCCATCGAAGACGGAGTAGTCTACTCCGCTCCAATGGAAGGTGCAAGTAAAAAGGGGCCGAAACTGGGGAAACAAGAATGGTTCCCCGATCTTGTGGGCCGGTCCCGAGGAGAATGCGGGGAAACCTTGTGGGTTTGGACGGGCCGACATTCAGAAGGGTCGGCTTGGATCTTTTCTTTTTATTGTATCCTCTATTTTCTCTCTTGAATGTAAGTAGATATCTCTCTCATTCACAGAACACCACCAGAAAAAGAATAGAACTGATGCCTACACTGTACACATTGAGGGACTTCCCGTAGTCCCGAAGCCCCGAAGCCCCATGGGGGACGTGGCGTCAACCTTGGAAGTGGGAACTCTTAAGGTTCGAGTCGGGGGACTTCCGATATATCGGCGTTCTTCGGTTTACACTTCCACTCATATCATCGTCGAACTACTCTAATATCTATCCAACTCCAAGAGAACCAAAAATCAGTGACCCACAAGATCCGTTACAAGCGAACCCTTCCACCAAACCAGATTCAAAGCTACTGACTCGGGTACTTACAGTGCCCAGTTCTCTGCTTCGCGCTGCACATGTAGTCATGTACCACATCGTCGCTAAAAAGAGAGAATTTGGGGAAATTATGCGCACATTGAGGGTCACAACTCACCCGATTCTTGCATTACCCATTTGACGCAGTAACCAAAGCAAGACACCTGCGGTCATCGCCCGCGGGTCTGTTCGCCCCCTCCCTCCTCCCTAACTATAGAAGAAGTATACAAGTAGAGAACTATACAACCTGAAAACAAGATAACCTCCATAAACACCTATATAGTCCCTCCATCAGCCCTATCACATACTACCCCCCTCTCCAACCCTTCCCCAAAATCCATACCCAAATCACAATGTCCCTCCCCCTCCGAATCGGCGTCCTCCTAGCAGGAACCATCCAACTCCTCGACCTAGCCTCAATCGACCTCCTCTACATGTCAACCCCCACCTATCTCGCCTCCCTCGCCCTCCCTCAAACTTTAGTCTCCATGGGCCGTCCCTGTGAAATTCACTACATCTCCACAGCCAACCCCTCCAACAGAACAACCACAACCGCCGAGCTCTCCCTCGCCCTAACGGACTCACCATCCGACCCAGCCGTGTCACCGGGAAACCTCGACATCGTAATCGTTCCCGGTCCATCGCCCGTGTCGCCACCGCCGACGGAGGCAGATCTCGATTTCGTGCGCAGGCATAATGCGGCTAATACTTCGATCTTGAGTCTGTGTACTGGAGCTTATATTATTGGATACTCGGGAATTGCGAATGGGAGACAGATAACCGGGCCGAAGACGTTGATTCCGGAGTTGAAGCAGAGGTTTCCCGGGGCGAGGTGGGATGATGGGGTTAGGGTTCTTAGGGATGGGAATTTGTGGAGTAGTGGTATTTTCCCTTTTTTCTTTTTTCTTGTTAACAATTACCATGACCCGTTTTCATGGTAAATAATGAGATCATAGTTGTGGATGCTAATCGGTACAGGTGGAATAGCAAACGGTCATGATCTCGTCCTTTGGTTCCTGCGTGAACATTATCCTGCTGAGCTGGTTGATACTATCCGCCTTGCTGTGGATATGGCCGAGCGGCCGGTGGAATATGAGCCTTCATTGAGTGCGAATGGAACAGAAGTGGTTTAATTGCTGGGAATGAGAGGTGAACGTACTTGACACCTGGAAGTAAATTGATGAGGTACCTTATATAGTTCATGCCATAACTGTCGAAATCCAACAGCGGCACAAAGATGGAAACATTTCAATGATAGTGCATTTCTTGCATTCCAAGCCCTAGAATAGGAATAGAAAGACTGGAGAGAAAATGAAGACAAGAACCCCTCGGCTAAGCAATATGAAGAAACCAAGAAACAATCTGGGCGAGAACGCTCGTACCATGCAACGCGCTGGACCACGCTAAAGAAAACAATCACAGAGATGTGAAGAGAAGAATAGTAAACGAAGGAAGAAAGGCACCTGTAACCGGACCCCTGAAGATCCGAGGGGAGGTGGATGCAGTTGGTAGTATTATCCCGAGAAACACGCCGAGTCCATCCAAACCATCCCACCAGTCAAGTCAATCACCCCGGGCATGAGCATGTCATTGCAAGGAAGGCAATGAAAGAGAAAGAAAGCACGACAAAACCAGCAATCACCACTCCTGCATCATCTTCGATCATGCGGTTCCCAATGAATGGGTTCAAAATCTGAGTTCTGGAAATGTGCCTGGTTATATGGTGAACTGCGAAAGTTAGTACACCCCCTTCCCTATTTTACGGCGAAAACTCACTTTTTGAAAGGAGGCGAGACTGGCAGGGACCGGCTCAAATTCGGTTTCATTACGAGGGGATTCAGGCGGATCTGTGGGCCCTCCGACGATCGACTCGGCAGCGAGGTCATCGGCGGCGGGGCGGCGGAGGGAGGCGCGAGTTGTGCCGGTGGAGAGGAGATGGGGATCGACGGGATTGCGTGGGTTTGCATGGGCGATGAGTGCATGGGTGATGAATGCATGGGCGGTGAGTAGACGTCCTGTTGTGGGGACATGCGGAATGGACTGGCGGGTGTTGGCGAGACAGATGGCATAGGCGACATGGGGGCGCCCATGCCGAACGATGGGTCCTGCATCAGATTGGGAATGGCCATCAGGCTTGAGTTGACATCGAATCCGAGTGCGGATTGGTCCCAAGGGGAGTAGTCGGATGTCATTTCGTATTGGAGATTGACGATGGGGGCCATGTTTAGATGGTTGTTGGCTGGGTAAAGGATATCATAGTGGCCTCTGTAATACCGGTTAGCTTCCGACCTAGCAGGGTTCCGGGGTCACTGACGGTCGGTACAGGAGGCGAATCGTTGCGTCGTTGGGGCGGTTCGAGGACAGTTGGTGAGGTGTCACAACATCGCCTTGACTTCGGTCGAGGTATAGGATTTCGACGCCGAAGCCAGATCCGTCAATGACGCAGTCGACCAAAGCCTGAAGGCCAATCTCGTCGATTTCGGTCTTTACTGGGTCGATCCGCGTGGCACAGTACGACTCCAGCGGCATATTAAGGAAAGCTTGATAGCGACTTGAATTGATCTTCAGCCAGGCACTAGTCAAAAGCTTCCAGGCGAGAGGGTTAGTACACCAGGTATAATCCAAGATCTCGCATGACTTACCCGGAAGTGAGTGATGATCGCCTCGGAGGTGTAGCCCTCATTAAACGTTTCAACAAGAAAAGACTCATCTTGTGCGCCGCCGAGGATAGCCGCATGCGTTTGGTTGAGGACATCTTCGGTGGTATCGACAAAGATCTCATAGATCGAGTCCGAAAGTCCGACCTGTTCTAACAGTGCAGTAAGGGACTTCATCCTCTGAATTTCCGCCTCGATCCGAATCGTATCTCGGAGGGCGAAAAGGGTCTCGAAATAACCAAATGCCACAGCTGCACCGCGTTAGCCGGAAATGTATCCCATATCGCACGAGACATTTCACACACCTCTCCACCCGCAGTTCCCATCGCCTTTCATAATGCGACACTCTGGGTGGGTGACGGCAAGCGCCTATTTACAGCACGTTAGATGCGAGACACACTGTGGTTACACAGGAGGCTGAAGCCACTGAAGCTTACATTTGTTTTTGTAGCTAGAGTCGAATCTGCATTCGAGTAATCCAAGGCAATGCTGTGACTGGACTGTTTATTGGAGACTAGGGGTCCCTGTGGTCATGTCAGCCATGGCCGGTCATCGGCGATCAATGCTCAATACCTGGACGTCGGGTTCATAGGTGTTGGACAGCTTCTGAAAGCGCTCCATCTCATCATGTGATAGCGGATTCATCGTGACGGAGTTGCAAGAGATCGGGGAGAATGCCGATAATGAAAGGGCTACTGGAGAGAAGAAAGATGAGGGAATGGTGTCCGGATAGAAAGGATTCTGCTTTTCCAGGAACGGCTGGTGAGGACCGAGATGATTCCAAGTGGATTTTGCCATGGACATCGCATACGAGGTTGAGCTTAATCTGGAAGGAGTCAACGAGTCCCCTCTGCGGTGTTTTTTTCAAGTGCTGTTTGTCTGTCAGAATCAAACATGGAAAAAGGAAAGAAACGAAATGCAGGGACATGGCAGAATCTAAGAATTAGTCTGACATACATATCAGAGGTCACTCGTCGTCTGTACCCTTCTCGCCTGTTATAACTCTGCGAGTCCCGGCACAGATCCGATTCTACTATCACATAGTCTCAGCGTGCCGATCAAGCAAGAAGCATAGTCATCAATGGTATGGAAAAAGCCACAATGTAAAACCAATAAGGAGGGGGAGAGGGGGGAAGAATACACGAAACATGAGAGGAAGAGAGGGCATGTGTGTTCTACAAGTCTCTTTTGGATATGAGCTCAGGCTCTGATTTGTGGGAGAAAAGGTCCAGTCACAAAAGAGTGTGAACATCAACAATCACATTGTGGGAAAAGGAAAGAGATGATGTCAGGCCTCCACAATCAAAAGGGTAAAGAAAACAGAGCTCAGGGGGATCTTTTAAGCACGAACCACCGTAAAAGACACAGGGATCAGAAGCTGATCTCCCTTTTTTTCTCTCTCACGGATATGACTTCCGGAGAATTGAGGAAGATTTTGGGGGCCGAGAGACCAGCACAATTACAAAAGGGAAATATGCCCACCTTTGGGATTTCTGGTTCTTTTTCTTTTTGTTCTTTGTGCTTTCAGTTTCTTGTTTTCTTGTTGGAGGTGGTTGGAGGTGGCCAGGTGCTATGATGACCTTGCGCACGATGAGATAATCATGGAGGGGGTGGAAGAGCCGAATGAGAGATCGAGAGCAGTGGTCAGACTCGGAAAAGTACGAGATGGCGGAAGAAGTCCTTCCCAGAACCGGAGAAATGAACTCTGATCAGTAAGAGAAGAGTTTGGGGAAGTTTCTCGGAGCTCAGAAGTGTGAAGGTGGAAAGTTAGGAGAAGTTGGAGATTTTGGGAGATTTGCGGGGAGAAGGTAAATCAACGGTCCAAGGTTCGTAAATAAGAGAAAACAAGAACACAAATAAGATAGAAAGAAAGGAAAGAACAAGAAAAGCAGAAAAAAAGAAATCAATATCAAATATCAAATATCAACCCCCAGTACTCCGTATGAAAGTAACCATGCACCGTGCCCCAGTGACCCTCCCGTCTGAAGATGCTGATCGAACACAAACATCTCGCGTAAACGGCATTTTTTGATTTATTTCTTAATGTTTATGTTGGGAGTACATGCATCTATACTCCGCAAAACTCTCGGTTGAGATATGAATTGAATTGTATTGAATTGTAATATCGGATCACTTGGAAATTTCACTATTTCACTTGCCAATTGACGCTAATCCGAGCTTCTCATTCTCCACGGACTTGCCTAACTGGGGATATAACATATTATCATATAACATCCAGAGGAACGGGTAAAAGGGCCCAGAAGCGGGGTTTGGTTTCAGGGCTGAGAGAGACTGCGTGTTTGATTCCTGCGGGTGATTGGGCACCCCAGTCAATATGCAGTTGGTCTGATTTTTGCCTCTTTTCCTTTTGAGAGTTGAATTCGTCATTTAGAGGGAAATCCTATGCTCTTTCTCTCTCAAAGGAACATTATACCCGGGTAAGAGTCGAGGACTGGATGGCTTGTCATCCGACCTGGTGCTCGGATATTGTTAGGCTGAGACAGCTTTCTTTGTGATTGTGAGAGAAGCGTACCTGAGGCCACGATCAGCCACACGGTGACACACCTATAGGAGATAAAGGTTCCCATGTCGGCGCCAAAATCTGTTCACATGCTTCTACAGAATTGCTTTTTCTCTAGTTATGACCTTTCTTTGTTCTATCGGAGTACCCTTCCTTTTCTCAGCCGAGTCCCGTCGAATTGTAATCCAGCCTACCATTAACAATTAATTGAGAGGTCCAGGTGTTCATAGACTTTGAGCTTCCGAGCATCTTACACATCTTACGCGAGACTAGGGGATCAAGGCGAACCCCCTCAATGGGGCCAGCCCGGGAAGGGACAAAATGAGTTATCATCCCATAGTTCCATAGTCCACACATGTAACAGATTGTAAACTTTCGATTCATCTTATCGTGATTTTAGCGTCTGTCAGACCAACTTTAAATAGCGGGTCTGGAAACAGTCCTGCTGTTCGCACTGCATTCGCGCTGTTGGAAGCTAGTGAGCCCACTGCAGCCACGAGCCACGGACGAAGAATCGGTGTACGATCTCGTCCTTGCTTTCTCCCGCCTTTCCCAAAAAAAAAAGATCAACAACGCGGCTCAGCCGCTCCCACGTTATTTGACACCCTTCCCGGGACACGTGCGGGTAGACCGGGTACACCCAGGCGCTTAACAAAGGACCTGACAACCGCTTTCAAAATGGCTAGACTGGCTAGGCCACCCATTTCGCTGGTTGTTTGCCTCGGCCTTCCTTGCGTGCACGGGGCCCTGTCGATCGACCCTCGTCCCCAACACTCGACTCGAAGGGAAATCTGGAAGGCTCGTTTGCCCGCAGCCCCTCACTTTTCAGGGTTGTTTGCCAGAGACTGCGCAGCGCGGAGCTCCACTCTCCCACAGCGCGCAGTCGCTCCACGTCACTCGCACTCTCCACTACCACGGTCCCGTTATCCTGGTCAATCTTGGCATTGAGTTTCTTGTCGAGAATCAAGAAGCTGAGAATGTCCAACACTTCGGGGACGGCGATCTTGATATGTTTGGAGATAAATTGCAAGGTGAACCGGGTATACGGGGCGATCAACTTAAGCACGGCCTTGGTGCGCATGTTGCGGCTAACCTCGTCGATGTTTTCGGCGATGAAAGGGTCAGCCAAAACGTCGGGATGTTTGCTTAGCACGGCCTCATATGCATGAATGTCGTCCCGTTGGAAGGCATCAACCAGGTCGGTCATCGCGGAGATCCGGGGATCATTCCGGTACGGTTTGGTCTCTTGGGAATCGAAGGGATTGATGTCGGACTTCATGAGCATGGTCGTTAAGACAAGGTACTTGAGCACTTGGATTCGCTGAATGGAGCCCGCCTCATCGTAATTTCGGAACGACTCGAAGAAATCGCTCTGTGCCTCCTTCCAGTTCTCCTCACTCATGTGCATCTTGCCTCCACATTCTCGGATAATACCCATGATCTTGGGATGGGGCACTGCCGACCGCACTCGAAGCGCGCGCTGGTACAGGACCTTCAGTCGTTTGTTATTCTTCGTTTCGGCGAACATTTGGATTTCCAGGGCGTAAAGCTCCAGTAGGTAGGTTCCTTTGCTGGTATCGTCCGATCCGTCCTCGTTCTGGCATGCTCGGTGCAACTCGCGCACTTTCTTCGCCAGCTGGCCGTATTGTTTACGCTCGAGCCAAAGGCGGGCCAGCTTAATGTTCGTCTTCAACCAAAGGCGCTCGTTATTTGTATTCTGGAAGGACTCGAGGGTCAAAGAGTAAAACTGCTCCATGCATTGATACGCCTCTGCATTATCGGACCCTTTCTCGATGAAGTCGAGCATGTTATTGATTGATTTTTCCGAGTAGTTTCGCGTCACGGCGGATTTGACATATGTGAGCAGTTCCCGGTAGTGTTCAACCGTCTAATGAAAAGCCGGAAGTCAGTACGCGGACAGTTTAAGATCATCTCGAGCTAGGAACTTACATCGCTGTATCTGCCGAGCTTGAATTCGAGTTTGATGGCCTGCTTCAGACCTTTGAATCCCCTAGATGCTGTATTCAGCGTCGGTCCCTGCGAATCAGTCCAAAATTCAAGTCTTACCATTCGCTTTTGTCTTGCTCCATAGGCGCTATGCCTAGGAACTCGTCGACTGCCTCTTCCGGGTTGTCCAATTTGATCTGCTTGGCATTGTAGTATTTGTTTTCGATCCCGATATCCCCGGATTCATCCTCATCTGCGTCCTCATATTCAAAGTCGTAACTGCGCACCAGTTAGCTTGGTCTGAAGGCAGAGTGGGAGGGGCTATTACTCTTCATCCCCGGAATCCTGCATGAAATCATCATCGTCCGACATCTTGGGCGTGTAGTGTGGTAACGAGAAGATAAGGTTGGAGAGGAGTCGCGAAGTGGTGGGGTTGCAGTGTTGGAGAAGCTCGGTCAGATAACAAGCTCCCCTGGTTGCCTGAGGCTAGCGGGACTTTGTACAACTTCGCCGCACTGGCACGTGCTTTTGGGTTGCTAGGGAGGTGCATCCATGAAATATTCGCGGCATAAACCAATTCGTTTACCTACCACTTTTGTTCGATATTCACGGATTCGAAGACGAGTATGTCTTTGGAAGCTGCTCCGTTGGTGAGCCTACGAACATATGATCCTCACCTAAGACCACCACATGATGTACGAGACTTGGCCATTCCGCATGACTTCTTCCGCAATATGATCTCAACTATGAGCGGTCTGAGCATGATCTCCAGGGCTATCTGTTATTCTTAGGCAAGCAGAACCCTAGGAGCATCTACGCAGTATGGATCGCGCCTGCATCCTCGCCCTTGGCTCCTTCCTCACACACCAGCTGGACATCTCGACCTTCAGTGCTTACTTCTTACCTTTCCATTAACCAGCTCTACTTACACCTCAGCCTCCATCTATACTTGTCATCATCTCCACATGCCTACAGTCGCACACGTGACACGCGTGCGTTTCGAATACTGGCAGTCAGCATCTCCAGCCCACCCGCTGACCGGAGATTAACAACAAGCTTGGCGAAGACCGTGTGAACATGTCGCCCCCCATAAAACAACCACTCAAGGCACAATAGCCACATCGTTGTGCCGAGGATGATGTGACTGCAGATTTGTTGATGGAGTACGCAGTACTAGTAGTACATGGAGTTCCAGAGTGAATTCATCGCATCCCGTAAGCTTTTGCTACCAGTCAGGGGCTGGGTGCGCTGATTTTCGCAGCCTGACCTCTTTTCGCATTGATATGAGCATTAAGAGGCATAGCAAGAAAGATGCAGGGTCAGCCTTAGATTGAAAGTAAATAAATAAGCTGTCGAATATGCGTAGATAGCTTCTTCATTGACGTCAAAGTCAATTGGTAGCCCTGAAGAACAGCGAGTATACTTCCTTTAAGGCACCACCAACATTTAGAAACATGCATCACACCCTGCATCATTCGTATAGTAAGACAGCTCTAAAACTGGACTGAAATTGCCGACCAAGTCATCAAAGAAGGGAACCCAAGTGGAAGAATCCGACCAAAAGGGGGCTTGGTACGCTATTTGCCGATCCCTTTCGCGCGATGTCATCGATTCAGCTGTCCTGGAATCTTCTCCCGACAACAACCTCACTCTTCTACTGTTCCCTAAATACCCTCGATTTCAGTACGATCTGTCGCTCCACGATTTAGCATACAGACCGCCAACACCCCGCCGACCACCCTCCTCCCAACCCTACTCCGAGCCTCCTGAATCGAATCACCTTGCGCAATGCAGCTGTGCGGCCGACAGAACGTAGTCCAGCGCAAGATGGTGCTGCTGTTAGTTTTGATCGGAATTTCACCTGATAATCTGCGATTGGTCTGACACTCCTACAGAGGCGATGGAGCCTGTGGCAAGACATCTGCGCTGAACGTGTTTACTCGTGGGTGCGCACCTCCCCCCCCCCTCGCATTCATCTCCCCTCATCTTCCCCAACCTCCGACAGCATAGCTAACGTTAGGTTCTTCGCGTAGATTTTTCCCGACTGTCTAGTAAGAAATACCATTCCCGCACACTTCCAATTGCAGTGTATTGATTCAGGTAATCGTTTTCTAGCGAACCTACTGTTTTTGGTATGCGCGCATTCCTCGATCTACTCAATGAACACGTTACTGACCTCGGAGGAATATAGAAAACTACGTCCATGGTATTTACCCCGCTTCTCTCCTTTCTCCTTTGAGTGACCATCGAAACTCAGGCGCGCCTTAGATATCTTCGTTGATAACATACATGTGGAGCTTTCGCTATGGGATACGGCCGGTCAAGAAGAGTTCGATCGATTGCGCGCGCTGTCTTATGAGGACACGCATGTCTTAATGCTTTGCTTCAGTGTATGTGGGATATCTCATGTTGCATAGCGCATTGTCACTTGGAACTTACAAATGTTGTGAACAGGTCGACAGCCCGGATTCCTTCGAGAACGTCTCATCAAAATGGATCGCAGAGATCAACGAGAACTGTCCCGGGGTGCGGGTCGTCCTGACAGCACTGAAGTGTGATTTGCGCAAGGATGAGGAAATGAACGATAACCCAAATACCATCAGCTTCGACCAGGGCTTGGCGAAGGCGAAGGAGATTGGCGCGGTGAAATACCTAGGTAAGTGGTTGAACTCCATTTACTAAAGATCGCCAGGCTTACTCTTCCCCCAGAGTGCTCTGCGGTTCAAAACCGCGGCATCAGAGAAAGCTTCTACGAAGCTGCTAAGGTCGCCCTCGATGTGCACCCAGCTGGGCACTCGTCCTCCGGCTCGAAGTGCGTTATCCAGTGAGGTGATAATCCTATAGAGCATGCCTGACCCGCATCACGGCTCCATGTCTCTTCATCTAATGATTCTCACCTGGTTGGATTCATTCCCTCTTTCCTCCCTTCTTCGCCTCTCCAATTTTGCTTTTCCTCACCTCTCTCCCTCTCCCGGTTGAGTCTATTGATTCCCCCCTGCATTTGGTGTTTTGCTTTTACTTCTCTTTCACTGGAGTAGACTTTGGTCTCCTCCTTTCAAACTCAACATCCCGTGACGCGGAAATTGATCTATATTGACTGTATTTTACATTGCTCCGGCTATGTGTCCGAGCATTTCCAGCGAGGTCGGCTTTTTGACGTTGATTATGATACACAAATATAATATTGTTGATTTTGATTATCTTTCATGCGACTTATTGCAATACAAGGCCAAGGCCTATGCTCGCTTCACACCACAAGGCCAGGTTCTTGCCACTGACCTTGTATAGCGAGACTTGGGTTCCTTTGACAATATGCTCCTGTGATCGACGGAGGCGCAGTATCAGCGCGCGATGGGAATTGACAAAGAGCAAACAGATGGCTTCCCGGGGTACGCCTTGAGCTCGAGGCGTCCACTTGCTCAGCCAAACCCGCTGATGCATCAACTACAATCATCGCCGACAAAGCTTACTGTTCCGTACAGAGCCAAGGACAACCGTGCCCTCAAGCCAGGGTCAGCCACCCAGACGCTGTCAGCTCTTTGACATCTTCAGGCTATTCTCACGCGGGACTTGGTGTCAGATCTCCTCTAGGCCTCTAGACACCTCGTGAACTCCGACCAGGCACATGCAAAACACCAAAAATGAGTCAACGATGCCTTAGACTGGTTCCACAACTGCCGATGCCGCCGCTGTGACCTACCTGCCGGCAGTTACTACCTGTGCCTTTCAGCTTACCCACCCCTTCCTGGTGTATGAGTACTCCAAGGTCCTACCACCCATTCCCCTCCACTTTAAACCTGCTTTCAATCACCGACGCAGGCTAATTCGCAACATGACCATCTCATAAAACAAAAACCTCCATGCAGATCCGCATTAGGGGTTATACATACATTGCATCCCATCATGATCCAGGCCACCCACTGAACCCACAATAGGCAATAGCCCTCCACCCTCACGATCAGCCCGGATAAGTACATACACAGGTTCCACAAGCTCCCCAGACTCCAACATTCACATCGCCAACAGAACACCCTAGGAAGAACCCAGCAAATCCTCCTCACCAACCCGATAAACCTCCTCAATCCTCTCCCCCACTGAGCCCTCCCCCACAAGCAAAATTCTTATTAACCCTCTCAACAAACCTCTCCACAAACCCATCCGCAACATCCCCAATCTCCAAACCCCCAACCCCAACCCCTTGCAAACTAGTCGCCTCCTTCCCCTCAAGCCCACAAGCAACAATCTGCTTAAAGAACCACATCGGCTCATCCGTAACATTCAACCCAATCCCAAAACTACTAATATTCCTCCTCAAATGCACCCCAACAGCCGTAATCTTCTTCGCCTGCTCCCTCCCCTGCCCACCAGAAACCCAAACCCCAGGATCCTCAGTCGTGAACCCCTCAACCCCATACCTGCCCAGTAAATCAATCACACTATTCTCCAAAACCCGTATATGACACCGCGGCGTTAGACCCAGTCTCTTCAGATCCAGGATCGTATACGCAACCATCTGCCCTGGTCCATGGTACGTCGTCTGACCCCCGCGGAGCGTCGGGCGGTACTCTGCCTTCGGCGGGTTGGTGCCGTCCGATGTGAGCAGGGAGCGGATGGGTTCCAGGGCTGGGGGGAGGGAGAGGTTTGTGGTTGTTGTTGGTGGGCTTGTGTTTGAGGGTGGTAGGTCGCGGCGCCCGGTTGTGTAGACGGGGTTGGGGGTGAAGGTTATGATTGTTGGGTCCGGGGGTGGAGGTGGTGTGTTGGGTAGTGTGAAATTCGGCTCTTGGGAGGTGAGGGAGTGTGCGGAGGTGAGCTTTTTGTGCGTGAGGAGGCGGGTTGTGAGGGCTTGTTGGATTTGAGAGACGCGGTTGAAGGGCGTGGTGTTTGGGAGGTGGAGGTGGGCGAGTCTCATTCTGGTTTGGTTTGTTGCCGGATACTTCGGGTAGTGGTAGGATATTGGATCTTTGGGTGTACGGAGTAGTTAATGAGGGTTGTGGGAGAGGTTGTGTTGTCCGCGGACGAGGTTGGTTTGCGGAGAAGCTGCTCCGATAAGGGTCGATAAGTGGCAGCGAGATTGGACTTGGGCATTGCCCATTACGAGCTTTTATGTCCAGCCTTTCTGAACTAAATTCAATTCATATTTCTTGCGCTTTCTAGGCTTTTGGATGATGCAGAACAACACTGGCTAGACAATCCTGGATAGACCGACCTATCGAATGAGATGTAGATTCATACATTGGATCGAAAGATATGGGTTGAAGGGCCAAACGGTAATTTTCCACACAGTCTGGAGACATATCATCGCAATAGCGACACAGGCATGAACCCAAACTATGAGGAAGCCACGCCATTGACCAACCCAGCATCCTGCTGCTCAGCAGGAAGCAGAACCCAGTCGCGCACACCACCTTTCCAATCAGCAATGCGACCCTCAGTAACCCTTACAGTAACCACCTGCACATCAGAATCAATCGAGAGACTAGGCCGTCTCCGACTCGGATCCTGCTGCTGCTGCTGCTGACCAAAGAGGGTAATCTCTTCCTCCTCGAAAGTATTGTTCTCCAAATGACGATCCTTGCACCACGCCTCCTCCTCCGAACCAGATTCCAAGAACCGCGCCTCACCTGTAATGGTAGTCGAGATGCTGGACAGAGCGCTGGTGTTCAGATTCAGCAGCAGGCTCGCAAGCGATGAGCGGGTAGCGGCGGGTGGTGGGGAGCCATCGCGGTCACCGTGCGTGGGGGCCCGGGTCGGCGGGCGATGTGACACCCAGTCGTGGACCAGCAGCGAGACTCGCGGGTTAGACAGCAGGTGGTTGGTTTTCCGCGATGCGGGGTTCGTGGTCATGATGATGGTGGGGTGCGGGTCGAACGGCGTCGAGGGGAGGTAGGTGTAGGACATCAGTGAGATATGGGGCGTTTTGTCGTCACATGTTGCCAGGTGCAACTTGATTGAGGCAGGTATGGTCAGTTTTTCGATGGATTGGTTATGGTTATCGGGTTACTGAGCCCCCGGGCTGTGGGGGATGTACTCACGAAGCGGGAGTTCTTGAGGCATGAGATGACCTCAGATGGCAATGAGGTTGCGACATGAGGATGGGTGGTTGTCGCAGATGCCTCGTAGGACAGTGGTGGGTTGAGTGATTCAGTCATTTTTGCAGGATTGGAGAACCAAAAGCAGTAATCATGAAGCTTCGCAGAGGAGGAGGATCGAGAACTGCTGACACGGGCGGTGTCCCATTACTCGGTCTGGCCCACTGTCTGGGCAGGAGTTTATTCGGTCGCGACGTCATTACTATTCTTCCAACCTATTGTCCCTTTGTAGAGGAAATGTGGCTATCATCGACCATCGTTATTACTTTACAGCCTTAGGAATTTGAAATGGCGTGCGGGACTGAAGTACATGCCCATAGGGTTGATAGAGTGATGCAAGAGCGTGGGAATAAGAGGTTTCGTTATGGCAATGTTCACGGGTATGGCATATCTTTTGCATCTATTCTGTATTCTACTACTCGCATGGTTGTTTTGTCTCCTATGATCTTATTGATGACTAGGGTCTCTCCATCAGTATAGAACTACTGCGTAGACCGCCGGCTGACCCTTAACACGAGGGAAAGAAATCTCATTCATGGTTGGATGCTGCCGCTATGTCTTTCTGAGCATAATCGCTACCTGTATTACCTATTAGAAAGTAGTAATTTAAGCCTGCCTTTTGACAGATATCTGTCTAGTACACAGTACAGCAACATTTTATCATGTACGGAGTACGATGTACTCTGTAGGTAGACCGTAGCACTGATGATCCTAAGCCCCACGTACCAAATACCTCCCAGCGATGTCATCATTATCCACATTTTTAGTGTAGATTGGCCCTGATCTGCCCCGAGGCTACCAGCACAGCATGTCGTCAGTACTCAGTACGAGGAACTCGGGGAAGCTATTTCCCCGCACATAAGCTACTCCTGTTCATCTACTCCGTACCAAATCAATTCTCACCGGATTAATTTTATCCTCTTCCCCCCGTCAATTACCCGTTCCGTACTGCCCGTTGTGTTCCAGGTTGCATTCTCATACTCTGCCGCTCAATCGGTGCACACAACCCCGGATCATCGTGTGCCCCCTTCAAAACAGTACCTTCCCCCAATCCCTGCTCTTACCTCTCCACTCTACTCCCCCTCTCTTCCCTTCTCCACACATCTTGTCTCTCCCTCTTCTTTCTCACTCCTTCAAACAACAGCATTCCTTCCTAGCTTATTTTGAACTTCCGAATCCCATCTTTGTGAAGCGCGTTTTTGTTCCTTGATTGTTTTCCACATCATGTTGGGCCCACGCACAGTTCGCACAGTCCGCTCAGCGACCTCGCTGCTGCGACCTTTAGCTCGTCGGCTGTGGCCTACCGAGCTCCGTCCATCCGAGATCTTACACCTGACTCGGCTGAGGAGTTCCTCAGAAGACAGAAAGAGTTCCGCGAGAACCTGGAACAAGCTCGTGTGAGAAGAGAGCAAGAGAGTCAGTCTGTCAATGCTTCTGTTTCTTCATCTACCCCTTCCCGTGAGTACGCTCCCACTGCTCCGCAAGTGAGCAATGCGAGTCAAGATGGTCTTCGCCCTGCTTTTGATGCCGCCGCAGCGCTTGATCACAAGGCACTGGGCTCACTCTCGACGCACCGTTTTCTAGGGAATGAACACAATCAAGAATCCACCACCAAGCGTGGCCCTCTATCCTCACTCATCTACGGCACCAAGGAGGGCCAGCACTTTGACAAGGACATGGAGCGCTCCTTCTCGCAGGTCCTAGCTCGCGGCAAATACGTCCATTCTATCGTCATGCACGACGTGAAACCCGACAAGGTCGATGAATATGTGGACCTGGTTGGCCAGTGGTACCCACGCATGGCCGGGACCGAGGAGAACCGTGTCAACCTCGTAGGCAGCTGGCGGACGCAAGTGGGCGACAACGATACCTTTGGTAAGCGCCGAACTCGCGTAATCTGACATTTGATTGCGGGCTGACCCTTGTTTCTATTTAAACAGTCCACATCTGGGAATACCAACGCTACGAAGGCTACCATGCCTCGCTTCACAACATTTCGGAACACCCAGAGTTCCGTGACTTCGATCGCAAACTCAAGTCCCTAATCAAGAGCAAGAAGACCTCATTGATGCAGGAATTCTCATTCTGGCCAACCACCCCACCTCGCCGTCTCGGTGGTCTGTTTGAGCTTCGGTCGTACACACTGCACCCGGGTAACCTCTTGGAGTGGGAGACACACTGGCGCCGTGGGCTCACAGCTCGCCGCGAGGTGATGGAGGGTGTGGGCGCGTGGTTTGTGCAAATTGGCGAGTTGAATACAGTGCACCACCTGTGGCAGTTTGCAAACCTCGAGGAACGCAAGATCCGCCGCGAACAGTCGTGGGAGGTCGAGGGTTGGGCGGAGACGGTTCACAAGACTGTCCCCCTCATTCAAACCATGCAGAGTCGGATTCTTGTCCCGATGCCCTGGAGCCCTGTCGGCTAAGTTGAGACGCCGGTTAAAGCGTTCTCTTTGAATTCTTGGACTCTTGCTTCCGAGGGATATTCGTTATGCAAGCCAAGATGCAGCAATGCGGGGAGCGGGGATGAGTCTCTCTCTACTGCCGTATTCTTATATTTTCTTTTCCTTCTGGATGTATGAGATGGAGCGTCTCAGACTTCTCGTGCATCCTACTCTGTATTGTGTACCTAGGCATCAAAGCATGTGTTGGATCCAATCAAACATCAAACCTTCATGAAAGAGCTTCAGTTCTCCCATATGTCCGTAGAGTACTGATGACAGCCGACCGATGGCCCTCGGATAACCCCACTCTTTGTCGCGGATGATCTCGAATTCTCGATGATGGGTGACGTACTGACGTTTCATTGGGGGTACGGCGGTACGCTCAGATAGCAAAGGTACGACGCCGTAAATACGATTCGTATCGATCTGCACGTGGACTGCCGAACTTTCAATAAGTATAGGGTAATGAAAGAACATATTTAGAAGACAGTGAAGTTCTCTTCAATGTCCATATAGTTAGAGCCTTAGAGGTAAACATGATATCTCATCTCCACGGCTGATCCAAAACCTCAACACTCCGCCGGCAGAAAAAAAGTTACAAGAAAACAAAAAACATCGGGACCAAGTGGCCTCTCCTGTCTGTCTAATGCCGATCTTTTGAGATCAAGCCCCATAGACCCGCGTGACGGCTATTTGTTTCTAACGAGATCCAATCTCTTTTTTCATACCTTCCTTTGTTTCCCATTTCATTTCCCCGGCGATATCTCCCTCCATCACCATCCTCTCATTACTCGAGCCTGACCACGCGTTTACGTCTCGCGACAGACCAACTGCGCGTATTTGCATGCGAACACCACCGCGGCCATCCCATCGATTATATGCCTTGCGCTCGGAACGATATACCCCAATAATAGACAACCGCGCGTACCCAGACGCGCAAACCAAGCCAGAGAATGGTGTACATCCGACAGCATGAGTTGGCGAATCTCAAGAACTACAAATATGCTGGAGTCGACCATTCGCCCGTCAGTCGGTTTATTCTCAAGCCCTTCTACAACAAATGCGTGATTCGCTGTTTCCCCATGGGGATGGCGTAAGTATACTACTCTCTCTCTCCTGATTTTGTTCCCTGGGCTTCGGTGTGCGTGGAAGTACAATCTCGTTGCGGGCTTTCCCTGCCCGCTTAGAAGCCTTGATCTATTCTCTGGCAATGTTTCCCTTCCATTACGATCGATCTATACGCAGCGCAATGTGACTAACTCTTATTCTCTTATTCGCGTGTCTACAGACCCAATGCCGTAAGTCTTGCCCATGCGACCACTGCTTCAATTGAAGCCACAAGAGCATAATCTAATTCTCGCTCGTTTGGTAGATCACCCTCACCGGTTTCATGTTCGTGGTGATTAATTTCTTCACTGTTATGTGGTATAACCCGAACTTGGATACGGATTGCCCTCCCTGGGTCTATGCCAGTTGCGCCATCGGCTTGTTCCTATACCAGACCTTCGATGCTGTAGATGGCATGCAGGCGTATGTTCATGCTCCTTTTCGGTTGTAAAGTTGAGGGTCACTCTACTGACACTATGGCGCTACAGACGGAGGACGAGACAAAGTGGTCCATTGGGCGAGCTCTTTGATCACAGTGGGTTACCGAAGACAAGACGAAAAGAGGCTGAAATGATGTGCGGCTAACACTTCGCTCCTGCGTTGCTAGGTGTCGATGCATGCAACACCGGTCTCGGTGTCTTGGTTTTCGCGGCCGCAATGAACCTGGGCCAGTCCTGGACGACCTTCCTCGCGCTATTCGGCGGTAAGCCTAGCCCTTCCCGTGCTCAAAGATTGAATCATTTCTGACAGGCGCAGCAACGATGACGTTCTACGTCCAAACATGGGACGAGTACTACACCCAGATCCTCACCCTGGGCGTGATCTCAGGCCCCGTCGAGGGCGTCCTGACACTCTGCGCGGTTTATGGGTTTACCGCCTATGTGGGCGGTGGCAGCTTCTGGCACCAGTCCATGCTGGAGACCTTCGGTGTGTCTAAGCCCAGCTTCCTCTCAAGCCGTGTGTACAACATGCCCTTCACGGAATGGTACCTGGTCTACGGTGGTATTGTGCTCTGCTTCGCCATCACCTCGAGCATCATGCATGTCATGAAGGTGCGTCGCCAGCGAGGCCAGGACCCTATCGCACCGCTGTACGGCCTGCTTCCCTTGGTCGCTATCTGGACTCTTATCCCCGTCTACCTGTATCTGCACCCGGCGATTCTGCACAACTACACCATTCCCTTCGGACTGTTTGTTAGTCTCGTCAATGCCTATTCCGTCGGTCGGATCATCATCGGCCACCTCACTCAGACGAGCTTCCCCTACCAAAACGTCCTGATATACCCCCTCGCTCTGGGTGTGTTGGACAGCGCTGGAGCTGCGGTCGGCTTGTGGTCTGCCCCCGTGCTTGGATATGGTGTTGGGCAGGTGGCATTTGTGTTCGGATGCTTGGGCCTGGCCGTTGGTGTATACGGAAGCTTCGTGGTATGTTTTCGTTCCTGTTTCCTTGCGTGTGACTGCTGATTTTGATTGTCTTCCAGTACGATATTATCACCACGATATGCGATTACATCGATATCTGGTGCCTCACGATCAAGTACCCATTTGTCGAAGAGACCGAGCGCAAGAACGGCATGTCGAAGAAGACCAAATAGCGTTATTATAGGTCAGCTCCGAAGTAGTTGGCGGGCGTGTGAGTGAGAAGCAGTTCAACCTCCAATCACCACAGGCCAGGACAGCTCCATGGGAGCTAAGTGGAAGAATCGAGTATCAGTCGATACTTGAGAACGAGCGTTGGACAGAGTAATGCCTGATGACGTTTTCAGTAAATAGGTCTTGTTTTCCTTCCACCTGAGCAGGTAGTTTCAGGTGGCAAATTTAGCGATAGAATACGCAACGTTGTAATATTGTTTCAATTCGTTTCTTGAATGTTGTAGAAAAATCACGAAGCACCTGACTGCCTGCCCGCAGCGGAATTGATGTCTCCACCCGGATCCCGCGATTGAAGTTGTGCTTACATCAGTGACTTATCTAAGCAGATTTTGATTGGTGGAAAGTCCGCCACCTTCCCCAATCAGGACAAGCGAGGGCACAAACTGGCACAAAGCCCTACCTCCACCCAAAGTGGTCCAAATCCCTTCAGAGTTCTCTTGGAAGACCACCTCATCCGCATCACACAAGGCCATCGCCATCAGCGCCATTAATCAACTATCTCGCTGATCGACTTTCACTCGTCAAGATGGTGAGCTCCCATTTTCGCCCTGATTTTCCGGTCCTTGCTCGAAGCGATACCCTTGGAGGGGAGACGACTGAAACAACCCGGATTATCGCAAATTTTAACGTCTCAATGCTAACATGCTGTCGTCGTTAGGTTCTCGCGGTCGATCTCCTCAACCCCACCCCTCAGGCCGAGGCTCGCAAGCACAAGCTTAAGGTATGCAAAACCACCCGAACTCCGAAATACAACACGAAAGATGTCGAGACATCCGGATCCCAGGGGACGACCGAAAAATGAAAACTCTGCACGACTCGACCCGGACCCGAATCTCCGATTATTCAACATGGAGCAAACGGGGAAGAAGGGGAATTCGACGTCAGGATGAAAGATGGAACATCGGAGACAACTTGAATATATGGACAATGATGGCTGATTTTCGATTTTCTCGCCTACAGACCCTCGTGCCCCAGCCCCGCTCCTTCTTCATGGATGTGAAGTGCCCCGGCTGCTTCACCATCACCACCGTCTTCTCGCACGCCCAGACTGTCGTCATCTGCGCCGGTTGCTCGACCGTCCTCTGCCAGCCCACCGGTGGCAAGGCCCGTCTCACTGAGGGCTGCTCTTTCCGCCGCAAGTAAACGAGAAACGAAATGAAAAACTTTTTTTTCTTGTTATGTTCCGGTTGAAACGTCAAAGAGAGATTTAGCATGGAGAAATTAGGATGACAATACCAAAACCCGGGGTTGACCTCTTCTTACCTTTTTTTGATCGTCTCGGCTTCGGTTTTCGGTGGGAAAGAGAGTTGCTATTCTGGCCCAGTTCCATATACTGGGTCTCTCTCTCTTTCTATCTTCCTACGGGGCTTCAAAATGTCACATACCAAACAACCCTTTTTTATCAATACCACCCTTCCCTGCCGATCTACATGAACGGACAACTTTGCTTAATGTTTTCTTTCCTGGTGTTGGGTTTGGAGGGGGTGCTATTTGCAGATGATGTGATATGGTTCTGTTCCATACCATGTCAGTCTGCATATCCCCTCTGGTGGAAAAGGACAAATTTGAATGTGGCCTTTTGGGATCCTCTCCCATTCCAATTTCCTCCATCGTCTATTCTTTCTTTGCATTTCACGGTGATGATTAATATTCTCAGCGTTGAATTCTTGTTTTTGCATGTTACGACAGATAGAAGATGGAATGCCCCGACCCTGTCAACGACCCCCAAAAAGCATTTGAAAAAAAAGCAACCAGCATTCTGCTAGGGAGTTCCGGATATCTGGCACAAAAAATGGCACCTTGCTTGACTTTGTGCTTTGCTTTCTGTTATTCAGTTTCTGGCTTCTTGTGTTTAATGTGAAAATGTATCTGCGACTGTATATTGGGTTCTACGCTCAATCTTATGAGTTGTGCCTTGTGCAACGGTCAGTTGTAGATTTGTATGCTGTAAACTGTCACCATTCACTTATTCCGTACATATCAGCAGTAACATGGCGAATAGTCACCAGTCGGGCACTCAACACTGGAGGCTTTGTGGTTCTGCACGTGCTCGGTGGTACCCTACAGGCTACACCCAGTCTATTGACACCAGCGCCCAACTCTAATGCAAATACCTATACACATATACACATAATGTCATGTCAGGGTTATGGACAGACAACTTGCAATTATTCCCCCCATACTTTCAGACATTGGCCCCATTCCCAAGACTGCGGGGGCCCCGTTCCCCCACCTTGCGCACCACATTTCATTGTTGATGTTGCAGAGCCCAAACAGTTCAGCAATAGTCCATATAAAAGTATGAGTACTATTTGTATCTCGCTGCTGATAATCTACATGCAGGTATTGGCTATGGCCTACCAGAATATGTGTACTGTGACATAACCTGGGATAGTCAATAGTGTAGACACTCGGTCTTGTCCAGATTCCACATATCAAAAGAAACTAGACGTAAACTAGACCCCAGAGTCCATCCATGCCCACGTAGATATGGGTATTGCTATCTTATGCATCATAACTTATGCTCCATAGAAATAAAGGTCCAGTCGCCGGATAAAACCAGTCACCCATGTAGAAAAACAAGAGCAACTCAAGTCCCATAAAGCTGATCCCATCCCCCTCGTCCCCCGAAATCAACCCCAAGAAGACTCTTACTGAGCCAAAGCCGAAACCTTAGTCTTGATCTCCGGTCCAAAATCAGGCCGGTCCGACGGGTCGGCACCAGTCATCGCCGCCAACTTCCCCGATCCATCATGGATAAGCAGAGTGGCAAAGGTATTGCGGCCATCCGCCTCGGCAACGGCACTCTTAATAGCCGGGTCACCGGCAGCGAACTTGTCTGCGTCGAGGTCCTTGATCTGGTTGTACGTATTCTTAATGAAGTCGTACGTGAAGAAGATCGTGGGGTTCCTGTTGGGAGGCTGGCACTGCGGGTGCGCCTCGAATGCGCTGTTCATTTTTGTCTTCTTGTTAGCTATATGTAGTATTGATTTGAGTGTTTGGAGTGTTGGGGTATGAGCTTAGGGCTTAAAGATAGAACTGCGTGAGAAAGTTGGCTGGTGGGGTGTCGAGTGTGTGTAGTACTAGTGGGGGAGATGTACGCGATGAGGGCCTGCATGTTGACCTTGAGGTCTCGGAGGTTCGATGTAGGCATTCTGATGAGGGGTTTTTTTTTTTCTCGGCAAAGTCTCGACAGAAGCGTTGAATATTGAGAGGTGTCGTTGGATGGATGTTTGTTGATGTGATGGACGTGGGAACGGAACTTCCCAGGTACAAGTACTACGCGATAAGGGCTTATCGAATCTCCATCGTGACCGACCCGAGTTGGAGAGATCCCCTTTTCCCTCGAATGTGACTCCCCTCCCAATGTACAAGACAGTCCTCACCTCCAATCCATTGAAATCCCTCCTCTACAAGCCTACGACCATTACCACTCGCCACTTAAGCACAATGGGTTCCAACGGCACATCCACGCGGCAACCGCTCAAACTCCTCATGCTTCATGGCTACACCCAGTCCGGCAGTCTCTTCCACGCCAAAAGCCGCGCCCTAACAAAACACATCCAAAAAGCTTTCCCCCTCCACGAAGTCACCCCAATCTACCCAACCGGACCCCTCCGTCTCCGCCCCGCCGACATCCCAGGCTACGAGCCCTCCACCACCGGCACCGCAGACGAAGAAATCGAGTCCTACGCCTGGTGGCGCCGCTCCAACACCGCAAAGCCACCATTATACATCGACCTGGAAGAAGGCCTGGCATCCGTCGCACGCACACTGCAAGAAGAAGGCCCCTTCGACGGCGTAATCGGGTTCTCGCAGGGCGCGGCGCTGGCAGCCATGGTAGCTTCGCTGCTGGAGCCTGGACGGAAAGAGTCGTTCGAGCATTTTTCTAAGATTGCCGTCGATGGCGCGGCGGGGATGGAGATGCCGGCGCCGTTTGGGGCGGAAGGGTTCAAGCATCCGCAGCTTAAGTTTGCGGTTTGTTATTCGGGGTTCAGGGCGCCGGGGCCGAGGTATAGGGCTTTTTATGAGGAGCCGGCTATTCAGACGCCTGTTTTGCATGTGCTTGGGTCTTTGGATGCTGTTGTGGAGGAGGCGAGGAGTCGCGCTTTGGTTGAGGCTTGTGCCGGGGAGCCGGAGAAGGATGGGTCTGTTGTTTGGCATCCTGGTGGTCACTTTTTGCCGAGTCAGAGGCCTTATCTTGATGCTGTTGTGCGGTTCATTCGGGAGAAGATGGAAGGGTCGGATGGGAAAGGGAAGGAGGTGGAGGAGGATGTGAATGATATGGATATGCCGTTTTAGATGAGGACTTTGTATAGACAGAGCAGGATCTTTATACCCTAGATTCTTTTGGACATTAGATTATGACTATTTAGCACATATACGCCTTTCATATGGTTATGAGGACTTGTCCTGGTAACTGTACGAAGTAGAAGACTTGTATATGTGATAGATCATTGCTCTGATTCACTATTCCTGAGTCTAGGGACGAATTATTTTACACGCGGTGGCAGTCATCCCCGCGTCCAAGTCTCATCCACGCTTCTCAAATCAACTCAATGCGCCTTGCCCATGTCACTGCGTGTGGGCTGGATGCGGGCCATCATCTCCTCCTTGGTGATCAAATGATCGATTCGCTCGAGCAGACCCAGCAAGCTCTTCATGTCACTGCTCCACTCGTTCAGGACATCATCGGCATCCCGGGGTTTGGCAAAGTTGACCATGCGCGCGGGTCGGTCGATTTTAGCATAGATGGTCTTCGACGTGACTAGGTCGCTGATGTACTTCTCCGTCTCTTCCTCGGTTAAATCCAAAAGTTGGGTCAAACGCCCCATCTGGATGCGAGTGTAGTACTTGGCTACTACACGGACATTGTGCTCAATGACCCGCTTCCGCAGATCCTTCCACCTCTGGTTTGCTTGATTGTCGGTAGACTGCTTCGCCTCGGCATCGAACACGTCTGTGCTGCACAGGTGAGGGCCAAACTGCTCGGCGACCATAGGCCAGCGCATCAGCTCGGGGATAGTAAAGAGCTTCAGCAAACGTGATTCCTGGGGGACTTGAGACAATCGCGAGTCTTGCTTGATGCGGTGCAAGAGGTCGGATTGTTCATTATCGTAGGGAGACAGTACAACGTAGTATACAACGCGGGCAAGTGACTAGACCTGAGTTAGTGATGGCCCAAGCTACTGCGGGAAGGGGATACATACAGCACGCAGATGCTCTGGGTTGTTCTCGACTGCTTCTGTGTCCAGGACTTCTCGGTAGTTCTTGCAAACTTCGAGGTATTTGTTTTCGTGGTTGGCCAAGATGATCTGCTGCTCGTAATAACGGAGCTTAAGATCCGTGACATCGTCGTCCACCTCCATGGGTGCCTCATCCGGCGCACGGGTCTTCTCCCGCTCATCTGCCTCCTTCTTGAGCTTCTCGATCTCCTCGGCGGACTTCTTCGGCTTCCGGCTGAAGTATCGCTTGTTGATCTTTCGGCTGAGAACTTGAGCTTGGGTCCAGTCTTCACGATCAATGCACAAAGACACCTGCTCCAGGATAAACTCTGTCTTTTCCCGTCTCGTCATTGACCCGAAGGTCTCCACCTGCAGCTCACACAGGATGTCGGCCGCGGAAGTGAGATCGCCCTGGCTCTTCTTGATATCTGAGAGTATGCGGGTGACGCGGGCCCGCTCTACTTCAACAAAGATCTTCACTAATTGTTAACGTCGCTCCGGTCAATATGTAACGGGTCTCGGCATACCTTTCCTTCGGTCACTGTGCGCAGAGTCTCGATCACGGACATCTTGACCTCCACACTGGGTGTCTCATCCAGGAACTTCATCACCGTCTGGACCATCTTCGTCGTGGCCTGCTTGAGTTGGGCATGTTTCTTGGAGAGGAGTAGCACTTGATCATTGAGAAGGTTCCAGTCGCCTGTATTCTTGCTGATGGTGACAATGGCAATCAAGAGTCGCGAGGTAGTGGCAAGGTCAGATGCCTGAATAGAACATTCCGTATTAGGTCTTGGTGTATTGGTTATGGGGATGGCACTCAGCGTCATACCTGTCTCGATTGCTTCTCCAAACCCAACAGCTTATCGATCGCTCCCTGGACATCGGTCTAGAATCCCTTGCGTTAGTATCAGTGCTGGATGAATATCCATGTCTGGGTGTACCTTTGCGAGATCTTCTGCCTCTGGGATGAGCTTGTCGGCATCCTTGGTGAAGTCCTTCTCGGGCTTCAACAGGCCGCCGGACATGATGACGAATGAGGTTGGGGGAGCCGGCGAGTTGGTTTAGGAAGAATGGGAGCGTATATTATAGTAGATTTCTTGGGACACGTTTGTTGCGCTTCTCAACGTGAGACTCGTGAAATGATAGAGGATGGGATGGAGATGATGCTAAAGCTCCAGTGTTGCGCCCTTAGCAGCTGGAAGCTCTGACTCACGTGACCGAAACATCACTCTGTCTTTCTGAAGTTGAACTTCCATTCCAAGTCATCTTTCTCTACGCCTTTCTCTTCATATACATTTGAATGTAAACATGAATTGTTCTATTTGACCAGTTATTCGTTTTCCTGATTCAATCGAAGGTTGACATAAAGTATACACTGTCCATATCTCTCGATAGTCCAACGATACCTGTCATATAGATCAATATATGAGCTTCAAAGGTACAAGTGCAAAACATCCATGTATTTCCATTCGACCAGCAGCCAAATACCAATCTATGCATGTGTTGACTACGGAGTAGTATACAGCGTAAGCAACCTTTAACAACCTCCCGAGTCCCGACATCGCATGATCATGTGACCATTAGCCACATGCAATCACGCAATCTGCCCAAATAGGCTAAAGGCGATGGTACAATCTACAATTTTTTTGCAGCAGAAAGATATCGATGTCTGTTATATGTGCTATGGATGGATGTATGAGTCAATGCGATAACCCTGCCTCCGTACAACTTCATCCAACTCTCCTCGTTCACTTTAATCGAATTTTATACGTCCTGTTGAGCTAGGATCGTCACCCGCTTCGATAGCCTTATCGCTCGTTATCACCAATCGTGACTGGCCGTTTACTCATTGAATATTCGCCGCTTTCTCCGCGGAAATCTCGAAAGTCAGACAATTGGGTACTCGCATTTGTTAATATAGACCTGCAGCTCCCTTGAAGTATTGGTGCTCAGGAGCCTTCTGCGTTCTGGTCTCCTCTGTGTCCAAAAGCTTCCTATCTCATACTTCGAAATTATTAGCGGGGCTTGACTTCATCCCACCATACTTCGCCATGAAGGACGCTTCATGCCCCAGCTCTCCAGCGCCCTTGATGGCTGCGTGGAATACCAAATCACAGGTTCACTTGATCGTGGGTTCGAACCCAATCGCCGCCGCTCGTTGCGCAAAGAGTATAGAAGTCGGCGCAAAGCCGATCATCATTGCGCCGGAAACAGATGACATGCATTTCACGCTTTCTGAACATATTTCAAATGGCTCTGCTCAATGGATTCGTCATGAGTTCCAGGATAAGGACTTAACAACCCTGGGCAGGGAAGAAGTTGATCACGTTGTGGACTTGGTCTTCGTGACCTTGGGTAGCAACAACTCTTTGAGTATGTCCGGGTTGTCTCATGCCCTAGAACACCTTTGACTGACTTTCACCAGGCTCACACATCTCAAAGCTCTGCCGACGCCTCAGGATCCCCGTAAATGTATCAGATGCACCGCAGCTTTGTTCCTTCACGCTACTGTCCACATACTCAGACGGCCCTCTGCACATTGGAATCACGACATCAGGTCGGGGGTGTAAGCTTGCTTCTCGGCTCCGGAGGGAGATTGCCGCCTTCTTGCCTCAAAACCTTGGCACGGCCATCGACAGACTTGGTGCCGTACGGCGACGATTGTGGGAGGAGGACAATGCCGCTGGATTAGGAGACACATACGATGGGGAGGATGATGATACCACAGCACAAAAACACACATTCAACAACTTGGTCACAGAAGGCGATGTTGTCGCCGCAAAGACGAGAAGAGTACGTTGGCTCTCTCAGATCTGCGAATACTGGCCTCTCCGAAAGCTCGTGTCCCTCACCGATGCGGATATGGATACAATCCTGGAAGCCTATTCATCTGGGAATGGCACTGCGAATGGCACAGACGGTCTCAACACACCATCTAGGAAGGGGAAGATCGTCCTCGCCGGCTCTGGCCCTGGTCATCCAGATCTACTCACTCGCGCTACTTACAACGCAATTCACAATGCCGACCTTATTCTCGCGGATAAACTCGTCCCTGCCCCAGTTCTGGACCTGATCCCTCGCCGAACCGAAGTCCACATCGCGCGAAAGTTCCCCGGCAATGCAGACCAAGCGCAGGAAGAATTCCTGCAGATGGGCCTGGCCGCTCTGAATCAGGGACGGCAAGTCCTCCGCTTGAAGCAGGGAGACCCATATCTCTATGGACGTGGCGCAGAAGAGTTTGAGTTCTTCAGAGCGGAAGGCTACTCCCCAGTCGTCTTGCCAGGTATCACCAGCGCCATGAGCGCATCCTTATTCGCCGATATTCCGGCAACCCACCGCGGCGTCTCCGACCAGGTCCTCGTGTGCACTGGAACCGGCCGAAAAGGGGCTGCTCCGAACCCTCCCACCTACGTACCCACTCAAACTGTCGTCTTCCTCATGGCTCTCCACCGGATTTCTGCTCTCGTGGAGTCTCTCACTTCCTTCCCCGCCGAAGAAGCTGGTTCGCAGTCGCGCATACTCTGGCCTAAGGAGACACCCTGTGCAATTGTTGAGCGGGCTTCATGCCCAGATCAGCGTGTCATTCGCTCGACCCTCGAGCACGTCTGCTTGGCCTTTGAGGAGGCAGGGTCGCGGCCACCAGGGTTGCTGGTCGTTGGTGCCAGCTGCCACGTGCTGCACAACCCTCATGGTCAACGATGGGTGGTCGAAGAGGGATTCCATGGACTGGACGAGCTTCGCAGTGAGGTGGATGCGATCGGTGTTTCATTGGACGAGAAGAACTGATTCTTGTTGTTATATATTACGGGCAATAGTTGCCGATTTTGGTGCATTTTACATAGACAGCATTCAGATACCCATAGAAATGAGACTTGCATAACCATTGAACTAATAAAATTCATGACTGAGGGAGGAGAAAGCTCTATAGTAAATATGTAGAGCAACCTAAAGGTCAGTCCCTAGGTACACAGTGAAGTGTCTTGAAGATGCGGCTGTTAGTGGACCCGGGCTCGGCCGTTGATCACTCCACCTCATCCACACCTATCTTCAATTCTGACAACCACCTACGCCCGCAACAATGTCTACCAGACCACAGAAGCCAGTCTATTTCTCCAACGGGGTGGCTCTTGAGACGTGAGATCTCCACTTTGTCAACAACAATAAACCAAAATCACTGACCAGCGCATTCCACAGCCCCCCGATCAGCGTGCGGCTCACCCGCTTCATCGAGAGCATCTACTACTTCTTTGGCCTCTACTTCACTACCCTCCTATCGGTACGTATCTCTCTCACTACACTCTGGACCGTGGCACCTTCTTTTATTTCCTCTATCTTCACCCACCTTACGCTGTTCCATTTACCTGCGCAATCGGATCGAAATCTGACTTGTCACAGCTCGACGCGTACGCCGCTGCCGAAAACTCGTCTTTCAATATCAACAACCCGAGCAACAGACATAATACTCGCTCTCGCTGGGGAGGTAGCACGAGTCCATACGGTGGTGGTGGTGGAGGTGGAGGTGGAGGAGGCGGCGGAGGTCCTGGATCTGGCCCGCGGCGCTTGGGCCGTGTGGACGATGTGCGCGGGCCGGAGTGCGGAAGTTGTAAATAGACGAATGGGCTACATTGCCAGGGAATTGTCACTCAAATGTCGCGTTAGGGGGATATAGCGAGGATGGGATATGGACCAAGGGCGACACCTTCTACGATCCTCCACTTAAGTGGACTTTTTGGACGGGGACCCTCGTCGCATACAATGCACCCCGCCATGCATTTCTGATATCTCAAATGAAGCTTATAGTTACCTTCCAGGGTTCTTCTTACAACGTCCTAAACAGACACATGTTGAGCAAGGTTCACTAGACTCAACATTTCGCCAATAATCACCCAACTTTCCACCTTAGGGATATACGAGACTAGCCTCTAGCGCCGCAGGCTGAGACAGCATCTCTCCCCCAAGGTAACATCGTGCGTGGGTCGTCATGATGATACTACCTCCACGTGACGACCCCTCTTCCCCTTGGTACTCGGAGAGTTAAACACATATCAAGTAGGAATACTCAGAAACTACTCCGACAGCGTTCTCCCAAACCCAAGACAAACACACCACCAACCCGCCCAGCATGAGCATCATCCCAGAAACCGACGCCGAATGGGCAGAGAAGCTATCAAAAATGAAAAAGACCTTACCAAGCACGCTCTCCGCAACTCCAATCCCAACAAGCATCCACCACACAATAGACCACACCCTCCTCTCAACCCCAATCGAACCCAGTCAAATCGACACCCTCTGCCAAGAAGCTCTGGACTCCAACTTCGCAACCGTCTGCGTGCGCCTCGAGCACGTCGCCCGTGCCGTCTCCCACGTCAAAAACTCCACAACCGGCGTCGCCTGCGTCGTAGGCTTCCCCGAGGGCACACACCCGACAGCCGACAAAGTGCGCGAAGCGCAAGAGGCTGTTGCGCAGGGCGCCGCGGAGCTCGACATGGTCATTCGATACTCGCTGTTGAAGGAGGGCCGGTACAAGGAGGTGTATGAAGATGTGCATGCGGTGCGGAAGGCGGCGCCGGCGCCGACTATCCTGAAGACGATTTTGGAGGCCTCGTTGCTTAGCGAGGATGAGTTGCTTGATGCGACGATTGTGTGTTGTTTGGCGGGCGCGGATTTCGTTAAGACTAGTACTGGGTGGCATGGCGGTGCTAGTGTTGAGCAGGTGAGGTTGATGCGGGCTGCGGTGGATGTTTGTGGGGTTGCGTGTAGAATTAAGGCTAGTGGTGGGATACGGAGTGCGCGGGATGCGGTTAAGATGCTTAAGGCTGGGGCGCACAGGATTGGGACCAGTTCTGGGATGAAGATTATGCGCGAGGTGAATGATGAGGAGGAGGTTTTGGAGCAGGGGTGTAGTCATGATGCGTATTGATGGAGATTACAGTAGGATAACCATGGGTATTCCTGAATACCTTCATATCTCATTCTTTGTCGTGCACTAAATGATCTGAATGGTAGTGGAATCCAGATGAAACCCCTGTGTATAGGCCTAACGGCGAAGGGGACAGGATGAGTTACCTGGATAATGTATTCCAAGGAGTGTGACCTTGTTCGATATCATCATCTGGGATATTTCCTCAGCAACGGTGGAAACAATAAACGCAGTGCTTAAGTGAAACAATTGTACATGTCCTTGCGCATGAGGACCCTGCATTGCCCCTTAGGGGTTGCCTCGTGAACACCCTGACCCCATTCAAAAACAAGATCCTCATCCCTCGTGTATTTCAATCTATAGATACAGTGCCCCTGCTTCCAGGAACCAGATGACCTTTGAAACAGAAATGGAAGTATGATCACTGTCAAGGCTGATCTTCACCCAAGCGGTATGCCAATTGAAGGTCGATATCTAGTCGATTGTAAAGTTTAGGTATATGAGACTGTTTCAAAGATGCGAGGAAAAGTGATAAACCATATTCATAGTATGATAGTCATGAACGTGGTGGTCATCTTTATTATTTCGCCGAGAAGTGCAAAAAATGATGTAGATATAGTTCGAAGTATTCCCAAACCCTGCGCCGATCCATTGACAATGACAAAAATCCAAGGCTTCTGTTTTATTCGTCGCTCTGATCATCTGAATCGCTAGTCACAGCGTCATCAATGTCCATTTTTTGAATGACTGCATCCCCACTGCGGCCGCTTTTCTCTGCGGCCAGCCAAGCTTCCCGTTTCTTTGCCTCGTGCTCTTGCTTCCTTGCTTGCCGCAGCACTTTCTTTTGCTGTGCGGCCTCCTGCTTCTCATGGAGCTCATTGATGTAATCCTGTAGATTGGCGAGATCTGAGCGCAATTTGACAACCTCGTCATCTGCAGTATGGCGAGCTGTCTCATTGACTGCCACCTTCTTCTTTAGCACGGCTACTTCATTTTCTAAATCAGTGACCTGGGAATCAGAGGCAGCTGCACCCGCAGAGTTGACCGTGGTGGGCGTCGTGCTTGGGGCGACATGAGTAACTTCAGCGCCGCCTGGTTGGCGGAAGGCCGCCAACTCAGCAAGTCCTTCCTCAAGCATAGACTTGGGGAATGAGGAATGAGTAAGCGCTTGGGAGAACAGGGTTGGTTGGCGAAGTTTAGGGGCGGATGGGGTGATGATCTGAGTGTGGAACATATACTCTGCGGGGACGGCGCTTGGGGCATGCGACGGGGCTGCAAGTCCACTGTCATGGCGGGGTTTCACGATAGTGTGGGCCTTTCTCTTCAAGTCGGAGGAAGGATGCGGGATGCCACCCGGAGGTAGCATGACCAGGTTCGTAATCGAGTGCGTGTAGTCGGCAACCGAGGATATGTACTTTCGCCGCGCGACATTCCATGATAGAACCTTTCCACTTGTGTGGCCCGAAAGTAACGTGGTGCCATCGTATGTAAGGGAGATGGTCTTCACTGAGCCTGACTCGGCCGAGGGAGGAAGCCACCGGTCCTCCATGGACACTTGGGCCGGTGTCGACTGTGCATAGGGATCATGGAGAGGGTGTTGCGTGGAGTTGCCCCGGTAGAAGTCAACTGATTGAACGCTGCCATCTTCGTAACCCACGTAGAAAGCCCGGTCGACAGGATCGAGAGTTACAGATGTTGCGGATAAGGGAAGGAGGAAGTGCCTCAGCACACGGCCGGTATGATAGTCCCATGCGATCGCGGTATTGTCCTTTGCGGTCGATACCACGATGTTATGGCGGCCATTGCTATGTCCGACAGCAAGCGAGGTGATAGCTGCGCGGTGGTTGGAGAAAGTTCGGATAGGGGAGTTCGAGGGTTGGCGACTCGCGCTGAAAGCGGGCTTCGAGAACGAGAGGATACCAGGCAGGGACCAGACATGTACACTAGCATCAGAGGATCCGGACAAGATGAAGTTAGATGTGGGATCGACGACGAGTGAGGTCACGGGTTGCAAGTGGGAGGCCGTCGTCGCTACTTGGCGTCCTGTGCAAGTCTTGAAGAGAGCGTCAGATACATGACATATAACCAATCATCGATAGGGATCTAACATACCTCCCAAACAATCAACCGACCACCCTCGGTACCCAAGACCAAAATATCACCATACTTGCCCCCCGCAACGGCAATGCTGCGTATCCGCTCCGGAAATGGAACAATGCCTTCTTGGTTGCCCTTTTCCCGACTGTACACGTGCACAACAGCTTTATCTGCTTGAGCTGTGAAAATATGCGAGGGGCTGACCGCCAAACAATTGGTCGAGGTTGAGCTCTTCTTGAAAGTCGATCGCAATATCGACGAAGGCTGTAATTCATGAACGCAGATCCCTACATCTCTAAGCGAGGCTGTCGGAGATTTGGCGGATGACAGCGTGGACGTCACAAATGATTCGGAAAGCATCAGGAACGGAAGAATGAGGCTATCATACGTATGGGGAGGTTGGTTTCAAGTTGGCTCATTCCGAGCTTTTTTTTTTCTTAATCAATTGATAAGAGATGTTTGCACTGTTTGACTGGATACCCGAGATGGAACCACGGGGTCAATGTGATCGATCTTACGGCTTTGGCTTTCTCGCTAATGCAACCTTCTAGAGATTTCTCCGATCTATCTTGAACAATGACACGGCAATTGTTTCAAGAGAATCTATCAACTATTTGTGCCGCGTTTTAGATTGGACCCCGCTAACAGTTCGACCTATCACTCTTAGTCAGCGCGATCTGAGACGAGTGACGACTACGGACGAGCAAGTATGAGCCATCAGCTTCCAATCTATCGATCCCAATGATTTTTGGTCTCTCATCTGAGGCTGAGGGACACCTGGATAGATGCCCAGGACGACCAATGCAAACCACTCACAAGTATTTATACAAACCCTGTACAAATCATGCTCATATGTACAATTTCACCGGTATGGATCTGATGTATGCAAGGGATGGCAAAATGTCAACAGGAAGGGGTGGATTGCTGTTGCGACGAGACACGACATCCAATGAAGCCCCACTTTCATACACCCTTTGGTAGATCCTGTTGCCCTGCTCAAGGGTCTGATTCGCCACGGCTCTCCTTCTTCCATCCTGCATCCCAATTGTCTCATTCCCTGTGTCCACTCGGAACCTGACTATGACGAGATAAGCCGGCGGATGAGGGTCTCTCCACGTTTACAGGCTCCTGCAGGACGAAGGTTGAGATCTGGAGCCAATTGCCACTCCTGGTTGTCCTGGTTTCTCATCTTCTTTGGAATGCAAGGATGAGGCGACCTCATTCTCACTATAATGACCATGGCCCGTGCCTGGCACCAAATGACTCCAGCTGTTCGTGCCGGACGGTGGATCGTCTGTCCACGCCTGAAGGGGGAATGACCTGGCCGAACATTTTCGGGGTTCTTCATGGCAGGGCCTTAGTCCTGTCAAGGGATGTGCGCCTTAGCCCGATCGCCCTGCCCACCTTAAATTAGCTGGCTAGCGCCACAGCGCTGTATAAGGACATATCGAGCCCCTGCATGGACGAAGGTCCATTTGTTTTGACTTTCACTGTAAACAATCAACTTTGAATTGCAATCTCATCTGGGTCACTCTCGTGCAACACATTTTGCTTTTTCTCTTCCAACTTACAACCATCATTGCTACTCACAGCCGCGTGCACCATTGTCCAGTATGGACTCTGGTTTGGCAGAGATCCCTGCTCATGCATGCTTTCCGGCCCGGATGCGAACTCATATCAAGAACCAGGGCTCAAACTCTTCCGCAATGAGCCACGACCAGATGACAGCCGCCGAACCCATCCCATCACCCCGCCGCTGGTCGCCCACCTACATACCCCGAAGGCGTAGCAGACCAATGCCCTCACTATCATTTGTACCTTCACCAGTGATGCCGCGCATAGAGTCTCATGATTTTTCGGCCCCATTGTCTCGGAGGCCTGCAGAACGGGCGCCAGCTTGCATGTCCCCGTTTCGCTCCGTGCGAAGGATGAAAGAACCATTCCAGCTAATGCTTCCGTCATCCCCGGCATCGCTCGATGGCGGTGCTCCCAACTTTCCCGAGAAGCCCTACAGACCGTACAAAGCCCCGACAGAACATACGCTCAGAACATGGCGTTCCGATCAAAACCTGACCTGTGGCAACTTGGAGGGATTCGGCCTTTTGCCCAGTCCACCTATATCGGAGTCAAGGCCTGCAAGTACTGGGGCAGAGTTGTCTTATTTTGATTTCCAGTCAGATAAATCAGATGAATCCAAAGTTGGGAAGGATGCAGAAGATGGAAACGGTCCGGAAGACGAGCTCGAGGTTACGAAATCGGTTGATGTTGTCCCATCGACGACGTTGGAAGTCGAGGAAAAGATCAACTATAAGGCCTACCGCCCCCCGGATTGGCAGGCACCACCTCGAACAGACGTTATGAACGTCCATGAAGCGCACTCTGTCTTTGTACGTCGATGCGAGTCTGGCAACCAACAAGCACCACCAGCTACTGCTCCTAGCCCGCATAAGTCCACATCCTCGCTAGCATCGGTAAGATCGGGCTACAGTGAGACACCCCTCGTTCCTGGAAGCTCACCTAGACCCCAGCGGCCTAGGACTGAGACAGTGTCCAGTGAAACTAGTTGGGTGCCGAGCAATTTTTCCTACTGTGAAAGATGGCTCCAAGGCGTGCCGGTCGACAAAGTGAACAACCACGACCCATCCACCAAGGAATTTAACAACAGGCGCAAATTCCAAATTGTCGAAAACGATCCTCCTATGCCACAATTGGACATCATCCCTGGAGCTAAAGCTCTTGAGGAACCCGTAGTAAGTATTTTACCACCTCAACTTTACATGACGTGAATCTGACTCCCTTCTAGCGATTTGTCGTTGCCAGCAAAACCAAACCAAAACTTGTTGATATTGCACGACAATCATCCCCATCCGTCCCGTTGGTTCCCCCGCCGGCCCTCCTGCCGCAGACTGTCCCGACAACGCCAGACCAGCGGCAAGAGGAAGTATCCGCATTCAGCCCGGATACTCCACTTGATGTGTCTGACAGTGGTTATGGGACTCGTGATTCACGTTACTCATTCGATAGCTTCGATGACACCACAGTCAATGTCGATGATGACGACGCATTCACTGATCCGGGGTCATTGACCTCTTCGGACAGTGTAGGATCCACTGTCATTGGCGAGAGGCCTGACTCGGCGCAGGGAGAGCGCGAAATATGCCCGCAACCTGAAATACGTTCCGGCAGTGTGAGCCCTAAGGCACCATCACCACCGGTACCTCATTCACCGGGGCGGACATCCACCAAGTCCGAGAAGGAAGAAGAGAAACCACGACTATGGCACCATGACTGGACGCTGGACGATCATGAATGGACCCTAGACGAGCTAGATCACTCCGTGAAGGACTTCCCTCGCCACATGCTCCGTCTCACATCACCTGTGATAGTATTCCTCCGCAAAAATGACGAGAAGGCCCTCATCAGGCCCTTCCGCACTATATTCCCCGACGTTACAGAGAATCTCCTCGATTGTCTTTGTGCCGCCCTCCTCGCCCGAAACTACCTCCTTTCTCTTTCAACAATTCACCGAACTAGACCATCCTCTTCCTCCCGCAAGGAAGCATACGCTCTCGATGCCGTCCCAACAAAAGCATACAGCACATTAGGCATCCAGCTTCCATCCAGATCTCCTCGCAGGTCAAAAGACCGCGTCCTTGGTCCTCGCAGTGCAGAGCTCCGAAGACACCTCGAGCGAATCGTGGATAACCTCCTCTTTGCCATCTGCGGCCGATCTGATCCTACTTTGAAATCCGCCGTCGAAGTTCTTGCCCAAGTTCTCGAATCCAACGCATAGCATTCGTCACTCCTTGCATTCAAAATTTCCTTACCTTCGAGTCTTTCCTCTCTACCCGTCTCTCGTTCACTTCCAATTTCCTTTGAATCTATTCTACATCTCTTTTTGTGAACTTTCTCCTCACTGTCCCTGCTCTCTCATTTCATCTCTGGCCCTACTGCCATCTCTCGCTCTAAACGATGAGCTCTCTCCTATCCTGTCACACTGTACTTGTCTTTCTTTTGCTCCACTCTCATACCCTTGCATTGCGCGGTCCTTGGTTGGTTTGGCGCGTTGGGGATCAAGCATGTATAATTAGTGTTTCAGTAGCATAACAACCATAATAATAATGGAATCATCCACCAGACTTTACCTCCGATCCATCCAGTAAATCCTCATAAATCTCAAATCCAACTCCACAACATTCTTGCTTTGCCTTGATCGGACGAATGAGCCGTGGTCGCACTTTCCCGCCCGATCTGATGGCGACTTTCTGCTGAGTCATACTTTTCCGCGGGATTGGCCCGATAACGTTACAACTCCAGTTCAGCATTCTTCCTACATTTTCACAGAGCATTTACGCACATCATGGCAGCTTCAACGAACAGCCTACGACGCCTGACGTCTTTTAGAACCACCCTATTACCATCTGTCACACCAATTACCCCCATCGGCTGCCGAAGCTATGCTACGACGGAATCTTCATCTGCTATCGCACCAGGAACCACACGGCGGAAAGCAACAACGTTCCAGGATAAGCTGAATGCCGGACCCTCATTCTCAGACTTTGTCTCCGGAGACAAAGACGAAATCCTCGACCCCTCGGAAGCCTACGCCCTAAAGACCGCGCTCGTCGGCCCCGCCGGCCGCAAAAGGAAATGACTCGTCTTCCCGAATGGCTCAAGACCCCGATCCCAGACTCCAAGAACTACCAGCGCCTAAAGAAAGATCTCAGAGGATTGAACCTACACACCGTTTGTGAGGAGGCCCGATGCCCCAACATTTCCGACTGCTGGGGTGGCAGCGACAAGTCCTCCGCCACAGCGACAATCATGCTGATGGGTGATACCTGCACGCGCGGATGCCGCTTCTGCAGTGTCAAGACCTCCCGCGCTCCGCCACCGCTCGACCCCCACGAACCCGAGAACACCGCCGAGGCCATTTCCCGCTGGAGCTTGGGTTACGTGGTGCTGACGAGTGTGGACCGTGACGATCTGGCGGACGGCGGCGCACGCCATTTCGCTGAGACAGTCATCAAAATCAAGCAGAAGAAGCCGAGTATGCTCGTCGAGTGTTTGACGGGTGACTACCGCGGTGATTTGGAGATGGCGGCGTTGGTCGCACGGTCTGGTTTGGACGTTTATGCGCACAATGTTGAGACCGTTGAGGAGCTTACGCCTTATGTTCGTGATCGTCGCGCTACTTTCCAGCAGTCGATTAGCGTGCTTGATGCTGCTAAGAAGGCTGTTCCCGAGCTTATCACTAAGACTTCGCTCATGCTTGGTCTCGGCGAGACGGATGAACAGCTCTGGGATGCCCTGCGCCAGCTCCGCGCTGTCAACGTTGATGTCGTTACTTTTGGTCAGTACATGCGTCCGACGAAGCGCCACATGGCTGTCCATGAGTATGTGACGCCTGATCGCTTCGAGTTGTGGCGGCAGCGTGCCCTTGACATGGGTTTCTTGTACTGTGCTTCGGGTCCCTTGGTGCGTAGCAGTTACAAGGCTGGCGAGGCGTTCATCGAGAATGTCCTGAAGAAGCGTCGTTCTGGTTCAGGCACTGCTGAGGGCACTGTCAAGCAGAGCACTGCTGCAGTTGGCGAGGCTATACAGTGATGTGCCCGCTTTGTAACAAAGAGTTCGACTAACCACCTGTCCACCTACGTCTTGTCGATTTACCATGTCGTGCGCGTGTCATTCAACCACTTGGCGCTGTCATTCTTGCATTTTCCGTCTGGGTTGCCGGCGCTGGCGTTTTTCATATAAAGGCTTTTTGCTGGATTTTGTCATTTCAACATCTCGAAACAGGGATTCTGCTTTGTACTGCCATGGAGGAAGTCATCCATGCCCATTCCTCTTTGTATCTAATTTCAAGCTGCGCTAGAAATCAATTCAGTGCTATCTTCCACATATCAACATTTACATCATAAGATCCTCCATCAGATATCATAGTCCGACCTTCAAAGCGCGAAGAACCCGCCGCACATGTAAAAGGCCCACGCTCCGCACTACGTGCCAGTGCAGCTACCCAAACCGATCTTAGCACCAGCTCCCCTCCTCCGTAAGGACCGACATGGCTCCGCAACTCAGCAACACACAAAATCATCAAGACGAGCCCTGAAAGCCAGCCGCAAAAGCCATTCCGATACTCGACTTGATTCTGGGGGGTATATAGTATCCGAGAAATTGGATCATGGACAGCATCAGCAAACAGCAAGTCTATTGCTCTACTGGAAACGGGCGTCAACCTAGCTATGCCGAAATCATTTAGTCTCGGAGGTCAACTCCGCGATGTCCTCATTATCCAAACCGAGCAGGTATAGGACGTCGACAAGACTTTCGCCGTTGATGCGGGTAGGAGCCTCGAGCTGGACCTTGGACTTGGCACGCCAGGCGACGCCGAGGCCAGCGGCGTGAAGCATGAGGAGATCATTGGCGCCATCGCCGACGGCCATGGTTTGCGAGAGGGGGATGCCGTGTTCGGCGGCGATGGATTGGAGGAGAGTGCGCTTTTGCGCGGCGTCGACGATGGGGTGGGATGGTACCAGCTTTCCGGTTAGGGTCTGGGTGGCCTCGTCGATTTCGAGCTGTATTAATTGGTTAGTACTAGATCCGGTGGTCCGAGGGATATAGTAGGGCTTACGTGGTTGGCAACGGCGATGTCGATGCCGAGCTGCTCGGCCAGCCACTCGGCGAGGGGCTGGAAACCGCCGCTCAGTACGGCGATCTTGTAGCCCAGGGTCTTCAATGCGCGGCAGAGCTCGCGGGCGCCCTTCGCGATTTTCAGGACGGACTTGAGCTTCTCGAAGACGTCGGCTGGGACGCCGTTGAGGAGACTAACGCGCTCTTTTAGTGATGCGGTGAAGTCTAGGTCGCCGTTCATGGCGCGTTCGGTGATTTCCTGCGTTTTTGCGTTAGTCTGCTGGCATCGAGAATCGAAATTCTTGGCGAGGGGGAACATACGGAAACCTGCTTCTCAACACCAATGAACTTGGCGATTTCGTCAATACACTCATTGTCAATCAAGGTGCTGTCCATGTCGAACACAGCCAAACGCTTGTGTCTGCGGAAAACGCTTTCCTTTTGGAGAACGACCTCGACATTCCACTCGCGCTCAAAGCGCCAGATGCTCTCGTGTTTGCGCAGATCCGGGAAGGAGAGATACTCCGGGTTTGGCGGGGGCGAAAATGTGACCTCCACGACGCGGGGTTGTTCGTCTCGATCGAGACAACGGTGCGAAGTGTTCATGCGCTGGTAGGGCGTGGGAAGAGTTTCCAAGATTTGAAGGAAGTTGGTAAGGCACATTTGGGAGACATACGGGCCGTAAAGGTGGTCGAGTGGCTCCGGTCCCGGAGCAGGTGGCTCGCGCGGGAACTTGTCCATGTCTTCTGTCGGGGCAGAGCCCTTGGGCACAGTGGGAGCTGGTAGCTTATCACCTGGAGAGTGTTGAGGGCCAGAGTCAGGGTGGAAGTGGGGGTGGACGGGGTTGTTGGATTTGTAGTAGATGGTCGCGACGATTTGCGACGTGCCGCTAGGAAGAGGATTTGCGTGATGGTTGAAGATGCTATGAATGATGCCACTATCAGTGACCCTTTCGGGGTCTGGCTTGATTGGGTTTGCGCTTAGCACCAGGTTTTCGTCCACTTGGCTTGCTAGAACCTCGCCGATGGTTTGATTCATTGGGGTGATCGGCGCCATGGGTTTGTACTGCTGGTGGTCTTGCAGGAATGAGCTGCTGCGCATTTGACCGAGGGACGGCCTCGTGGGACGGGTTGGGTCAGTCATGTTTGGCATGTATGTACTATGCTGTGTAGATGGTGCCAGGTACAGTACAGTACAAAGTCCCGCACTTCCTCTCAAAAACGACCCTCCGCCGATCGGCACGTGGACCCGGCCCAGTGGGAAGCACGTGATATATAGCACGTGACCTTATCGGGGTTCCCGAATCGCGAGTCACCGGCTTTGTAATGCTGGGCCCGTTCATCACCCATCATGACATCAATGAATCAATGAAAAGCAGCTACATAGATGGATTCTTCGATTGATCCTATTCCCATCATACACGGATTACGATGCGGCACGTTGCCAGTGTTATGCGCTTGATACTGATATCCTCTTCGGCCTCATTTGGTGCCCGAACCAAACATAATGAAATCATACTCGGATACTCCACACAATGATACCCACTGAGATTGGCCCGATTTACCCTTTGCGGTACGCGGTTTTGCGGCTTATTTCGTCCGTGTTTTGCGCTGGTCCTATAAAAATAGCTTGCTTTGCTATCAGTCTTATAAATCATTCTCCCACCTCATTCCAACCTTCGCCTACTCGAGACCCGTCTGTGAAAACCCTCATCATTATCAAAGACTACCTCCACCATGGCTCTCTCCCAGCGGGCACAAACTCTGGCCGATGCGGGCCGCAATAACCCATTTTGGAACGTCATGAAGGATATCTGGTCCCCGGCCAACCCCAATGGATACGTCAACGTGGGCATAGCCGAAAACTCGATGATGCATGACGAGCTACTGAAGTACATCAACGAAAGACACGAACTGCCGGTCAAGTACCTCACATACAATGACGGTGGATCCGGTTCCTCCAGATTGAAGGCGGCTATCTCCGGCTTCTTGAACCGCCACATGAAGCCAGTCACACCTCTGGAGCCTGGTCATGTCACAGCAACGAACGGGGTCTCCCCTGCTATCGAGCATGTTGTATGGTCATTCGCCGATGCAGGTGAAGGAATTCTCCTCGGAAGACCGTACTATGGCGCTTTCATACCAGATATCTCACTGCGTCTAGGAGGCTCCGTCGTCCCTGTCAGCTTTGGAGATCTTGATCCGCTCAGCGCCGAGGGCGTGGATAAGTACGAAGAAGCTCTGCTCGAGTTCCAACAGAGGACGGGCAAGAAAGTTAGAGCCTTGATGCTTGCGCATCCGCACAATCCCCTCGGACGCTGCTATCCCAGGGAAGTGCTCATCAAACTCATGGAGTTCTGCCAGAAGTATCAAGTTCATTTCATCAGCGATGAAATCTATGCTCTTTCTACCTTTGAGAATACTGTTGACGAGCCACCGCACGTCAAATTTGAATCAGCCCTGTCGATCGACACAACCGGCATTATCGACCCTCGTCTGGTCCATGTCCTGTGGGGCATGAGTAAAGACTTTGGTGCAAATGGAATACGACTCGGAGCCATCATCTCACAGGCTAATCCTGATGTCCATACGGCGTTGACTATGCCATCCCTGTATACCTATGTTTCTGCACATACCGATTATCTGGCATCTATCATTCTTGAAGACTTCGCCTATACGGACTGGTACCTTCACGAAAATCAAAAGAAGCTATCCGAGTCATACGCACATACGACGAAATACCTGAAAGACCACGGAATTGAATATGGCACTGGATGCAATGCTGCATTCTTTGTTTGGATGAATCTTGGCAAGAAGTACCGAGAACTTCACCCAGAAGATGAGTGTGAGGATATTGGAGACAGAGTCATGCAACGCCTCCTACAGAAGAAGGTGTTCTTGGTCAGTGATTCTTTGGCCGGATCGGAGAAGAGCGGATGGTTCCGAATGGTCTTCACGCAGGGGCAGCAACATGTGGATCTGGCATTAGAAAGGATCCTCGCAGCCATGGACGAGTAGGGCTGTGTATTTTCGAAGTTACGTACCAGATAGCATGCACTTACTAAACCCGAAGCGTTCAAATATCGACTTTAAAGATGATCAGCATCAACCTCATGTCCAATAAGAATCTTGTCTTCGACCAGTCCCTGCAAGATGTCTAACCTGGCCAGCTTGCAGAGTTCACACGTGTCCTTGTAGAGCTACCTAGATCAACGTATGAACATCTAGTGTGGCAGATATAGGTAGGTATGCAGTATATTCATCCCCTAGGTTGTGGTATGAAGTATTTGGTCGTCTGTTGGTCGTCTCTTAGTCGTTTCTTACCTAGAGTCGGCCCCTAGGGCCAGGTTCCATTTGGGGATCGCTTAGTCGTTGACAATGGACCCTTACACAGATGTTCAAATCAGTCTTCATTGGAGTCATAATATTCCGAACGATAGGAATCTGGATCAGAACGATAGGAATCTGCATCATCTCTCCGCTGTAACCATTTGGCATATGGATATTCAAAGCCAGGCTCCAACGCATCCCTCACCACACCAACTGGACGGTCGACGCACTGGCGGGACCGGTAACCACAGTCCATAATAGGATTTGCTCCTTCACCGTAGATGAAATCCTCTACCTCCTTTTCAATCCATACACCGAGTCCCCTATCACAGCTCACGGGCCCGATTGGCACGCCGATGGTAATTTTGGGTCTTGATCCCGCATCCCGGTCTCCCCACAGGGTGCCCTCCGATACCATTCGTTTGATTTCTTCCAGCAGTCCATACAAGTTCTCATCGTCATTGATAAAGTGCAGCGTACTAAGTTCAATGGAGCGAATGGATTTTGGTAGCGTCTTGAGCAAAGAGACACAATTATCCCGTGAAATAACAAAGCCGGAGATTCCGAAATGGCGCAGTTTTGGCCATTGTTCCACAGGCACAAGGTCCTGTAATGGGATCGCTGAATATCCGCCGCGTCTGTAGAGAGCCGTATCAATTGTTGCATCTAGCCTGAACTCTTCCAGTTCTTTTGCTTCACCAAGTGCCTGGCGCAGCCGCCCATTAAGCAGATGCCGCCAGCATGCTCCGTAGTCTTCCTCGAGATCATCTGTGACAAGCAAGGTCATATCCAGACGGCGGAAGCCCGGCTTCTTAAGCACGGCAGCGAAATGGTCGTACTCTTCGCGGGGTTCGTCGAAGATGGTGCAGTTGATCCCCGTGGCGATAGAGTTAGAAGTCATCACCAGCTCGAAAACAGAGTTTGGTTCGTTGGCGAGGACGCGCATTGCCGTGCGGAACCCGCGGTACCGATCTTTAAGTTCTGGGTACTGATTCCATGAATATGATTTAGCGGTTTGCTCATAGCCGCCTCTACAGTACAGCCAACCACGAGGAACAGGGTAATTGAACCCGTCCGGAAAAGCACGAATCATAGGGGTTTGGTAAAGCGGGTTGTTGAGGCCGCCGTGGGCTGCAGGTGTGATGGTAACTCTCTTTAGAGCAGGAAACTGCTTAACTCCGAACGCGAACGCTTCCAAATCACTCCGACCGGCAAGAACGCGCTTCTGTTGACGCAGCAACCGCCGATAATGTTTGAAGCTCTTCTCCAGTGAAAACTGAGCGAAAACCAGCTCTCGGCGCGCGATAAGGTCGGGCCTGTCCTCATCACGAAGTTCCCGCCTCTCTAGATAGAGATAGTTATCCCGAGAAGCGTGTTTGAACCATTTGGGACACAAGTCCCGCTCCTCTTCCTCATGGCGCTCGTTAATCCACTCTCTGGATTGAGGGCGGCATGCCGCAACCCATTCTCTGTCATCATCGGGTTTATCCTCGTCCGACAGCAATTCATGTCCCTCATAACGTTCATGTAGTCATTCTGGACCCCGATACAAGCGCGTCTCATCCCAGATAATCTCGTTGACCTGATGGCGGAACTTGTCGTGTGATGCGATCTTGCGGAAAACCTCTATGTTGAGGGGGTTGGCGGATAAGAAAACACGATTGAGTCGAAGAGACTGCATTGTTGAATTGCTTACATGCCAGACGCAAAGATTTTATGTCGGCATTGGATAGATATGACTCAATGCAGCCCCAGAGCTCCAGGGGAAGCACAGGGGGACTGGTATAAACCATAATGTGGACCTGAAAAGGTTGCAGAGTGTTAGCGAAGCACCCATACCGTAATTCGTAAGACGGCAAGAGGGAAGCGAGGGGCTCTGATCACGTGATCCATACACAGCCCAGGTAAGTACTACTAGCTAGGAGGGAGGAGCGAGCACGGAAGAAAAATATTACTAGGTGTGGAGAAGGAATTACCTAGTCTGCACAGGTCTTCAGCTTCTTCTTTCCAGGCTTTCTTCTCCCCTTCTCCAGTTCTGTAGTACGCAGCACAACAAAACTCATCTCTTCTGTTCTTTTCGCCTTCTGGCTTGTAACAAATCTACTCTTATTTGCATTTTGCCCCAGCTTGTTCGAGATTTGAGGGAAATGGACTTTGCATAAACTTGAAAGGCGCACCGTGTACCCCTTTCTAAGGGATGCCATACAAAAAGTAGGCACCTTGTTTATGTTAGCTGATATGACGGGTTTGTCACTTGCTGTCTGCTTCATTGTTTGCTTTGAAGGGTTGTTTGCTATGTATTACACAATATGTTGTTGCTACCTAGACCGAATGCATGGAGTGTAGTAGCTGTTCAAGTGGCCGTCTGCCCGTCTCCTGCTTTCTCTCCGTGACGTGCATGGGAGGGAACTAGGGCTGGACTCTCACGTGATGCTGCCCACTAAACACAACCAAAGGTCGAAAAGGATTTGGAGATCAAGATCATGAATTCTAATGTATAGAAGTGAGATCTAGAAAATAAATAATGTAAAATAATAATGCTATTTTCATTTGTCATCTAAGTTGTCATTATCATAGCTTGGTAGACCCAGTGTGGGTGTAAGAGATCTGAAACAACTCCTGAAGCAAGGAAGTTGGTGAATGCGAAAGGCACTGATGGTACCGTATTTTGAGGAAAAACGACTCGCTTGGAAGAAACAGCAAAAAGGTATCATGTAAAAGAACGCCGAAGATATGCAGGTGAAAGGAGGCAAGAAAGAAATTACACAATAGGTGCAGCCTGGTTGTTCAATCCCTGTGAAAGGGATTCCTCCTGACGCTTGCGCTCCATTTCCATGAGGTACTGGGCGTACTTCGAGCGAGGGTTGTGGATACCACACTCGGTCTTTTGTTGTCCCTTCCAGCGGCCAGAGCGCTCGTCCTCGTTGTCAGCAACGGGCTGGGTGGAGTGCCAATCGCCAATGCTCTTGTAGCCACGGTCGAGAAGCTCGTTGTAGGGGACATCGTTCTCCTTGACGTACTGCTTGACCTGATCAAAGGACCAGTTGGCCATGGGGTTGATCTTGATAAGGCCGGCCTCGTCGACTTCGATGATGTCGAGGTCGCCACGCTTGCCGCCCTGGCTGCGGCGGCGGCCGGTGAGAACAGCGTGGACGTTCATCTCGCGATAGGCACGCTGAGCAGGCTCAACCTTGGCGACCCAGTCGTAAAGCTGGTCATCGACCTCCCAGAGCTTGGCGCCATACTTGGCTTCGAATTCGGCGGTGGTATCGACACCAGCGGGCTTGTAGATGTGCACGTTGTTGTTGGGGTACTTGCGACGTACACGGTCGACGAGGGCCATTGTCTCATCGAAGTGGTAGAGAGTGTCGAGGAAGATGAGGTCAACCATCTGAGGGCGAGGCACTTCCAATTTTGACAACATGTCCAATGTGACGAGACCTGTGAGACCGAATGCAGTGGTCTGGAAAAGGTGAGGAAGAGAAGTGATGCACCATTTCAGGATGTCTGGAAGGAGAGTCAGTTCATGGCCCGTCTGGGTTAGAGTCGTGGACATCACTACGAACCTTGGGGCTCAAGGAACTGCAACTGGCGGTTCAGGAACTGCAGATGGGGTCTCGTGAAGACAATCTCGGGGACATAGTCCTCGCTGCCAGAACCAGAGGCGGCACTGACATAGCCAGACTCGGTCATGGCATCGTGGTTGTCAATGCTCTCCATCTCGGAGTGATAGTTGGGCATTTTGGCGGGCATGATGTTATGCAATGGAGATGATTACAGAGACGAGTGAAGATGAGATATGATCAAAAGATGTCAAATTGGCTGTGGGGAGTGTAGATGGTATGAAGACGAAACCACAATTGACAGGAAGTATTATGAGGATGAGAACAGCGGGGGCAAGCGCAACATCATCCGGAGCTTCGTCCCTGCCATCATCTCTCATATACCAATATCACGGTACTAGTTCGAGATTGCAAATCGCAAGTAACCGCCTAACCAAAACGGATGGTGGATGTACTGTTTGTATGGGGACCCCGTACAAAGGGTACTTGAGAAAAAAAATGGTGCAATCGATCACGCCATCGTTGCTGTATGTATGGGACCCACATACAACCCTATTTGGGCTTAGCGTGGATTTGCAATGTGGCACTGGATCAACCAGATTATCCGACTTGATGCCTTCTCCGTAGATTCCAATCCTGCTCGCAGCTCAAGTGCCCAGGTGAGGGAATGTTATGGAATCATCATGATGATTGTCCCCTGGGGTCTTTGGGGAAAGCTCGTTGCACATCCCGGGTACAGTATTGGTAATTGGCGCTGACCAACCCAGTTGATGATCTTTCCGACCGTGATCTTGGAATCTTTGTTAGCAGGTTTTATGCGCAATTGATCATTGATGTCTGGGTATACCTGATCCGAGACAGAGGCTGATCAATATTGTTATACGCAATCTGTACACTTCCACGGTTGAAATACTGTGTACCCCAGCATGTTCGTGACAGTCATGGTGAGCTCGAGTGAGGGGTGCCCCATCTCTTCCAGAGGCTGTTCCAGCGCCACTGTTCTATTCTGCCAGGCGGTCAGTCATGTGACTGGTACTTGTCTTGCGACGTGGTTTTGCCGGAGAGCCGGGTAAGGGTAAGCGCCAGGGATTGAGTCTCCAGTTTGACACGAACCCTCTTGACGTGGACTTTGAAAGAGAGCTTCCGGTCGAGTCAAACCCCGAGAAATCGAGCTAACTCAACGAATCAACAGGGGCCAGGGTAGCCCTGCTCTCGTCGAGGATGCGGACTCCTCCATTCGGGCAAGACGCGTCCTGGTGAAATGGATCAGCTCGCTTTTCTCTGGCTCAAATCTCATACCTATGAGAAAGGCGAGCTGATCCTCTTCACCAGGACGCGCCTTCCCGATAGAAGCACTGCCCTGTTTGTCCCGAACCAGCCGACAATAAAGGCTAAGAATCATATTACCTTACTAGGTCGAGATAAATATCAATATTCCAACACCTACAATGGCCCAGATATACCTATGCGTAGCATGGCCCGGGTATTCCATGAATATTCATATCCGGGCATTGAGCGGGTGTGACCTAGCTAGGTACCTCAGAGGTTATGATTTCAGGGACATGATAAAGGGCCAATTAGTTATGAATCAATCGATAACTAGCAATGACCTCTAAGCTAGTTCACATGACCAGGTTCGAGGCGCCCGACCTTTGAACGAGGGCGGCTCACCTGTAACCTGCATCACCAATGTGAACACAGGTCACATCACCAATTGACATCGATAGCACCACGGGAACTGCGGAACCGCTGCCAGGATGATCGATGTCTCCGAAGGTGTCCCTTTTTGGACACAAAATCTTCAAGAAGGAAACCGATATATCAAAAGAGGCGAAACATTATTCCCATGTCCATCCTCCGTGAATCTGTTAGTCCCCTTGAAAGAAGAAACCGCTTTTACGGGTTCGGACAGCCAAGCGCCTTGGTGGCTCATCTCGACGTTTATCTGTGCCTTTTAGCTTCCCACCCCTTAAAGGCACAGATGATAGTTAACCAAAGTCGGCAGCCCGTCAGCTCATAGCTCATCGAATGTCCAAGTCACCTAGCGTTGTGATGTAAGCAAACATGTGCAACTGAGCCTCAACTCCGCTACAAAGACTGCGACTATGCAAACATCACGCGTGTATTATGTATACTTTGCCGGTGTTACTAGGTACGTTAGCAGGAGTTCTCAATACCGCAGTTCAGATGGTAACATGGTTAATGTTATAAATATCATCACGTCAATATCCCTAAGTTCTAAATACACTCAACCAAACATCGGCTCCTGCTTAGCACCAGCAACAGGAGCGAGGTAACTAGGACGGTCCTTAACATAGAACTCAATCTCAACCTTTCCTCCGAGGTTAGCCTCGCCTCCGTCCAGGGTTCCAGCCTTAACGCAAGTCATGTCAGGCATGACCTCCAGCTCGGTGTAGAGACCTGAGCCGCAGGTAGGGCAGAAGAAGTGCTTGTTGATCTTGCCACTCTTGCCAGTAGCATCGTAGGAGTTGGGTGTGCCTATATACACGGGAGGAAATCAGAGGCTTGAACATTGGCGAGTGACAAGAGATGTGTTTACCTTTGGTGACCTTGACGCTGGCACGGGGAACAACGGCGTTGGAGGTGAATGCACCGCCGGTCCACTGCTTAATATTAGATATTGTGCTTAGGGTTGGGTTTGAATGAGCTGTTAGTTCACCTTTTGGCAGTCGATGCAGTGACACAAGGCGGACAGGTACTTGTCAGCTAGAATGTCGTTAGCTTCGTAACTAAAGTACCCAATCGGGATTGTATCATACCCTCAATGGCGTAAGTAATGCCGCCGCACATGCAGCTTCCCGTGAAAGTCATTTTGTAGATAAAGCGAAGAATAAGCTTGTGAATAGTACCTTGGGGGAATCGAAACAGAAGAAGCGGGGTTAGCTGTATTTAGGTGGCTTTTATAGTCTCGGAGAAATTGCCGGTGTGTTTTCCAATCATTGGACCCATTTTTATCTTGTGGAGGGGTCGAGGTACTCCAAATGATTCCTATTCAGGTAGGTAAGTCATGCAGCATGCGGAGATTTAGGGCTTGTCGGTTGTATGCGGGGCAAAAACTAATCTCCGTGACTCACCTGCCGTGTACATCTGCCGTGGAACAGGAGATACATGTACTACTTGTGGACCATGACGTCTCCTCACGCTAGGACTTTATGCATAAAAGTTCCGGCAAAATTGAGCTTAACTTCGCGGGGCAGGCAGAGACAACATTGGCTTCATTTCCTAGAAACCAGAACCTGCTTTATGTACATCATACAAAAATCGAAAGCAGTAGAAGGATAAATCCAACGCCAGGTCTCTAGAACAAAGAACCAAAACGCAGCATTAGAAGATCAAAATAAGAAAGAAATGAAAGTAAAAGTTGACACAAGATAGCAACTGGTATATCACTTAGAAATCCAACGTGAGAGAGATCAATGAAATAAGAAAGAGATAAAGACATAAGAAAATGGCGAAAGAAAGGATGGAACGTCAATAACCGGGGTATAGAAAGGATACATGACTAGAGGCGTGAGCGGACTGGAGATGGAGGGATTCAAATGCCCCCAGGGCAAAAGGAGTTATAGGGTACTGACAAGAAAGTGCGGTTCCAAGTCCAATTGGACAATCCCTTGGTCAAAATGCCAGCACTTGAAGGGGGGCGACTCTCCCCTAGAAGAGAGGTGAGCCCCAGCCAGAAATCATCAGGGTTTTGGTTTCTTGTTTGCACTTTCTCCAGTGGACCCACCTTCTGGGCTTTTTCTCTTCTTGTCATGTTCGTCTTCTCGAGAAAAGCTGGGTCCACTTTGTACTGCCGGCGTCGGGAAGGTGAGAGGACTGGGCAGCATGTTGGAGTCAGGGCCGGAGCGGCCAAAGCCCCATTCGGGGAAGAAGCTGGAAGGTGATGGGAGGAGGGCGTCAGAAACGAAGCGGCTAGGCAAGGCTGATATGGGCGTCTCGATGTTATTCGAGTTGTTCCCATTGTTCTGATTTCCGCTATTGCTGCTGTACGAGTCGTTTCGCGTGGTGGCAACCGGGGGAGGCGGTCGCGCAAACGGATTGGGAGGGCCTTGGGCGCCCGCACTCAGTATTGCACCGGCTGAGGGGGATGGAGGGGGTAGAACCACACCCGAGGGGCCATTCTCAGAGTTCCCTTTTGGGGGCGTGGAGGTTTTATTCCCAGCAGAATCGCGTGATGAGTCGCCTGTGGCACTGCCTCCCTCTGAGGGTTCGCTAGGAATCTGCACCTTCAACTGCGGTCTTTTCGATGGCAGCGGTCCACTGTTAGTTCGTGATGGTGGTTTTATATCCGATGTCGACGCAGTTAACCCTGCACGCGGAGCCTCCGTTGCTGCTCGAACAGGCATTGACTTTGGACCAGAGGCTTGTGCTGCTGTCTCTAGCTTAAGGGAATGATTGTCATGGGATTCATATGATGGCGCCCCAGCTCCGAAATGACGGGCGAGGACAGACCCTCGGTCATCAATCGGCGTGAATATACTACGCGACTTGGACAATGACTTCATCTGAGGCGGCGATTGATTGTCCTCCGCCTTCATCGCACCCGAGGAATCATCTTGTGAGTGAGTTGCGGCGGGCCGTTCTTGATGGCCATCTGGCGCGAATCCCGGAGGCATGGAATTTCTCCCATGTTCCTGCATGTATGCCTGCTGCACCTGTTGATGGGACCCAGGAGGCATCCCTACATGATTGTGCTGTTGGAAATGCGCTGGGCCCTGGTGCTGCGGTGGCATTTGCTGTGGCGGCAAACCGTGCGGATGCATAGGAGGCGTCCCTTGATGTCCCGGTGGGTGTCCATAGTGTGCAAACTGTCCCGGTCGAGGCTGATTCATTGTGCTGTGAACATTCGGGTTGTACATAGGTGCATTTGGCATATATGTAAAACCACCATTTTGAGGAACCGGGGGCGGAGGCGGCGGAGGTGTACCACGTTGCTGTGGGCCAAGATTCGAGCTCACTCGGCGGATATGATTCCGTGAAGAGGGGCGGGAAGTGCTTTGTGACTGTGGTGTACCATGGCGTGTCATAGCATGATGGATCGGTGGGGATGCGGAAGGTGCGTGATTCATGTGCTGAAACGCAGGCTGGTTCTGGAGGTGAGTGGGAATGGCGGGGTGATTTTGCTGGATTGCTTGTATGTCCTCGGGGGCGGGTGACGCTTCATCTTCATCGTCATCATCGTCTCGCTTGCCCGCAAAATCTTCTGGTCCTTTATGCTCGTGGGGAGGGCCGAACTAGAACAATCACGGTCGGTTAGAACCTTTTCACGAAGTACCAAACAAGTATTACCCACATATTGATAGCGACCGAGAGCATCATGCATGTCGCATGATGAATACTCATACAACTTCTTGTTGTGACCAAAGATGATGACGGCTACATCAACGGAGCAAAGAACAGCCAGCTCATGCGCCTTCTTGAACAAACCTCCCTTTCGTTTCAGGAACGTGCTAAAACCGACAAAAAATATGATCAGCTATGACCAAAATACTCGACTAGAGTGATTAACTCACACTGAGCGATTGCGGTCATCTTTGATGGCCTTGATCTCGATTTTTCTCCGGCCCATGATGGATTACTACGGGCGCACCAAACGCGCACCGACAGCAAGACAGGCTAAAAAATGGCACAGCGAGCTGCAGAGCGACTTGTGAGAGAACTCGCGCGATTAGATGAGATTACTCGAGATGCAGAATCGACGCGACGGTGATCCTAGTCGCGCGGTGGCACAGAGTACTGTATGTGAAGACTATGTCACCTCTTCAGTTGGAGTCAACCTGGGTGGCGTGACTAGTCAACAAAGAGCCCTGAACCCGAGAACTAAGGTCTTTGGCGCAAGAAACCTTGTAGATTGGAGAGGGGGCGGGGGGGCAGGACGCGACTCGAACGAAACAATGACCCCTCGGAGTTCAAAGAGAAAAAATGAACCCGAGGAGAAAGTTTTAGGAGGAAACAAAGAAAACAAACAAAGATCCAAACGAAGTCACGAATGGGTGCGGAGAAAGGATGATTGACGATGCAGGAAAGGTTGATTCTAAAGATAGAATCGAGGAGGAAGTTAGAAGAATCAATCGGCTGACTCATCACCTTAAGCGCCGTTGATCTAAATTTATCCCTTTAGTCTCACATCAACACGGCTAACGAGTAACCAGCCACTACTGAGTGTAGGTGATCTGGTTCCTGCAGTGGCTTGTCACAGTGGGGCTATATCCTTTCCAGCTCCCCCATTGGTATTTTTATTGACTTTTAGTAGTTCTGGAGATATTCCGCGGGTATTCGTTCTTTTGGCCAGTGGGCGTCGGATGGGTCCATGATGTCAACCTGGGGAAGCTCAGAGCACGGATGTAAGATATAAGATGTGCTAGATCGAGGTAGATTCAAGATCTACGGTCCTCTCCTACAGTTTGGGTATAAACTCCTACAGTCATTTTGCTCTCCATCTTGAACCCAAGTCTTAACCAGTTCCAACTACCCCGTGACGCCGCCAACCCTACCTCACTCCATTTTCCCCTTACTGCGTATAAAGAGTAAAGCGCCAGATCTTAAATCTACGATTGGATCTGATATCAAAATCATCTACGCCTTATATAAAGAGTAGGAGATAATCTCGACTCAACCATGTGCCCTATTATGGGCATACACAATTCACTGAATTCAGGCTTCCCGCCAAATACATTCATAGCGACTACACACAGTATTTGGAACTGATTGGTTCCAGCACGGAAACGACCGTTTGACCAGTCGTCGTGATCGTCGCTCGGAGATTGGGCTGATAGGTCTTCCGTATGGAATGTTGGACACGTTCGACCCTCGAAGATCAGGCCGAAACCATCAATAACCTTGGATCTCCCAAACCCAGTTCACTGAGTTCAGCACAAATGATCACCGAGAGTATCATTCATTGTCAATACTAAAGAGAACAGTGTCCCACTTTTGACACTCAATTTTATTTGGTGGATCGTTGCTTTTGTGTGGGCGGCCATCAGTCGAGACTCGCGGCTTAGTTTCCTTTACCCCTGAGCTTCGTGAATTGCTTCCTTGGTTTCTTCCCTCTCAACTCTTTCGCTTCCTGTTCCTTTCACTTCTACTCTCTCTCTTTTTTATTTTCTTTATTTTCTCGTTTCTCGTTCCTCCTGGTTACCCACCAATCTAGTCTAGAAGCACAGACAATCTGATTCCAGACCAGGAATCCTCTTGTCCCTGCTGTACCGGGGCTGCAGGACATCCCGGACCTAGACGTTTTTATTCATTCAGCTTGGTCTAAGTCTAATTACATGTCGGTTATCTGCATCTTTGTCTGCGTTGAGAACCTCAACTAATCTTTTGTTGACAACCGACAGAAGCAAAAAAAAGCGGACCCCCCCAGTCTCTCCCCCACAGTCCGTTTCCTGACGCGCAAAGTCAATTATCAGCGGTCACAGTTCCGCCCAAAATGCCCTTCTTTTCTCGTGTCTTTCGGGGCAAAGACTCCACCGCAACAAAGAAACAGGCCAAGCCTACTGCGGCTGTAGACCTGGTCCCTGCGAAGCCCAAATGGACGGATGCATGGCAGCGGACAGAGGTTGCGCCGGAGGAAGTCCAAGACCTTGTAAGAGGGTGTGTGCATGAGCTCAAGGCCCGAGGTAGGTGGATTTAAATCCTGCGGGATGTCATTTTGTTATTTCCGGAGTGCTTATCATTCGTCACAGCTCTGGATACCCCATTCCTCCTCCTACCGTTCCGTCCCAGCTCCGATCCCAGTGCAGCCCGCACGTTCATTCGCAATTACTTCAATCAATCCGTTGAGAAGGGCTCCCCTGTAAATGGCGATGATTTGACGCAGGAGCTCCGGCTCACTGAGCCGATGGTGAGGAATAATGTCTTTCTAGGGGAATAGGAATATGGTCACTAACGGCATCTATGCAGGTTCTCTGCAGTGTGATGAAATGGTGCTGGAGCAGACTCCCTGGTGGTGTTGTCACCTGGGAGGCGTACGAAACATTCAAGATGGGCGAACATGGTACACGATTCTGAATGGAATGCGGGGAATGTCCGCGCTGATAAATGTCTTAGATTCGGATATGGCCCGTGATGCCTTCTCGACTTTCATTCCGATTGGCGGTGATTCCGATGCGCGCACCAACATCATCTTGGACTTTTTCGACCTCCTGGCTGCCATTGCGGCGCATGGGAAATCCAACGGGTTGGGAGGCCGCAAGCTTTCCCGGTATGCCGGATGGTGGGCGTTCGAACATGTCGATACAGGCAATGGCTTCGAAGCTGCCTATAAAAATTGGGCTATGTAAGGGATTCCCATTTCTCCGACTATTCGTGGTCTTCTAACATGATCGCTTTCTAGTGCCGCCGATGCTACCAGTCACTTGTTCTTCGCCTATCTTCGCTCATTGGCCCCCGATGTTCCTCGTGGCGTGAGCGGCATCTCCTCGCTCCCCATTTCACTTCAGTCCCTGGTTGAGGCGACCGAATATCCTCCACAGACCCCCACTTTGCTGCAGGTTACGACTACCAAGGTAGTCATGATCGTGGAGAATGTCTCCCCGACGCCATTTGCCTTGTTGCGACGAGCTAGGAACTTTGAGTACCGCGACGACGACTGGCACCTGCAGGAGTTTGCCAACTACGAGGACCCCACCACTGCGTTGACTGACGAATGTCTCCGCGTGCTCAAGTGCATTTCATCGGCCAACCAATCCAGCGTCTCAAGCACCAAGCAGTCGACCAGTCTACGTGATGCATCTTGGTCTCGTTTCGAGGATATTGGATTCGGTGGTTCCATCGACTCTGACCCGGAAGACGAAAATGATGCACCGCCGGCAACCGCAAAGAGTGGAACTGTGGGGTTGAACATCGCTCCTAAATCTGGAACGGGTGACCTTGGCCGCCCTACCACCCCCTCGTGGGCAGACTTCATGTCCTCCGGGTTTGCGGAAGAGAGCAACCTGAAGCCCAACGTGGGTCCTCTGCTCTTGCCCCCCGATAAGGTTCTCCCTCCCATTGCCGCTGTACGTGGCCAGAGCTCTCAATCCCACAAGCGCTCCCTGGATATCGAGCCGGCTCTGGAGCCAGCCGAGTTGGCGAGCATCAACACCTTGGACATGGATGACTCTTTCTGGTGGGTCTGGATCAGCAGTTTGTCAGATGATGAGCCAGCTGCCCGCAAGGCTGTGTTTGGCAGGTGCGCCCTTCTGGAGACAATCATTCGGGATACGAAATGGCTGGTTCTTGAGGAGCAGGTGAAGGGCGCAGCCCCTGAGCCCGAGGCCGGAGCTCAAATTGTTGAGAAGAAGCGATTCTTCAGCTTTGGTAGCAAGAGGGGTAAGCTCAGTCGCCGCAAATCGTCGGCTAAGAAGGTCGACTCCATTGAAGACTCGTACAAGCGGCCCAACAATGCGGGTCCACAAAGCAAGACCAGCATTGGACCCGACCAACACAAGCGTATCCAGGCTGCCGCGGCTGCTCTCCAAAAGAAGCACCGCGAGCAAGAAGCGGAGGCGAAGCAGAATCGCGCAGACGCCGCTACCAACCGTTCCACCAAGACCAATTCCGTCATGACCCTCCAGCCTGCCATTGTGGACGAGGCTTCCCCAGCTATGAAGTGGACTAAGAACTACGACAAGGGTGCATTCCGGGCTGCGTATCTCAGTGACTCCCGCGCAGGCACTGGCCATGTTGAAGAAATCCGGAACACACCTGAGCCTACCTCCAATGTGTCCGCGGAGAAGACTACCACGCCGTTGCCGCCTCTTCCAGATAACACCACTGAAAGCGCTCCTGTGCCACCCCCTAAGGAAACAGCAACAGCAGCGATAGCTACTCCTCTTCCCCCTTCTCCTAAAGAAGCGCCGAAGAAAGTCGTCAAGGTTGCCACTCCCGAAGAGGAAAAGGTCGCCGTGAAGCCTATCGTTGTTGAGCAGCCCGTTGAGCCTCGGGAATCACTAGACGACTCAGGCAAGAAGCTGAAGAAGAAGACCGGCAACTCCGCCTTCAAGAGCATGTTCACCGCCAAGAAGAAGCCGGAACAGCCACAGCCTCCCATGAAGGACATCGGTTCCAAGGAAACCTCTGCTGTAGCGGCTGCCCGTGCGGCTCTCGAAGCCAGAACGAAAGCGGCCCAGGAGTCCACTCCCGTGGTGAAGAAGAAACCTCTCCCCAAAGAGGCCGCTGTTGCGGCTACTACGCCCGCAGTGGCTGAACTTGAAACCCCCTCAACACCTCAGCAGGCTGAGCCTTCCGTCGAGCAATCCGAGACCAAGCCCGCGAGCCCTACACAGCCCACAACCATCGAAGGTAACGGGGCGCCGCCAAAGACCAGACGCGCCGTGGAATACGAGGCTCTCTCACGCGTTGCTACCCACGAACGCGACGCGGCCGATCAGGAGTTCTCCAAGTTCGACCAAGGACCCTTGACTGACCAACCTGCTTTCGTCCCCGAGGACTCTCCCGTAGAGCCTGTTGTGCCTGTCGAAGAGAAGACCGAGCTTCCCCAGACTCCTGTGAACGGCAACGGTATCCATCCCGAACCCGCCGCCTCGCCCGCGGCAACCGATGCTACACAGGACCGCTGGAAGGCGATCCGTGAGGCTGCTGCCCAGCGTGCCGCAGCCGCAGCTGCCGCCGCCCAGGCGGAACAAAAACAAGAAATAGAACTGGAGAGCGAGACCAACACCCGCACTAGCCAGTCAGAGCGCACCGATGAGGGAGACACCAGCGGAGAAGAGAGTAAGTATTCTACATCTTCCAAACGGAAACTCAATACTAATTGTCTTCTCACAGCAATCGAAGCTCGCGTCGCTCGCATCAAGGCCCGAGTAGCCGAATTGACCGGCGGTAACTCAGACGAGGCACGGCGTTGATCCGCACACGACATTCCCTTCATTCACCCTGATCATTCTCCCTGGCTCTCGCATTCGCTCTGATGATCCAGGATGTACCTTTTGTTTTAATTGTATACCCTTCTCCCGACCAGCCGTTAGTCGTGTCTGTTTATTGAGCGCGGTCTGATGAGTGACCCAAAGGTCCCCATGTCCACACCTTGGAATGGGCAGACTGACGAATATCGCGATACGATTGATGGATTTTGTTATTGACATCTATGCCTCTTTTTTACCTTTTCTTATTTCATGTTCAAAGTGTGTTTCTGGCCCTGTCGCCGATCTTCGTCCCGACTGTGATAAATATCCTCTGTCCTGATTTCTTTCTCCCCATCTACTGACTTTGGGCTATCTGCTTTTTTCTTTTTTTCTGTCACTTTGCTCTATTCCCCTTTTGCTGTTATTGATTCTGATTTCGCTGCCAATATGGAACGTACTTTTTGAAATTTGGAAGTAGTGTGCTGCTACTCTACATGCTGAACTCCTCGACTTCATCCTCCAACATTAGAAACCAGAGAAAGTAGCTATAGCCGCAACACCCACATTCTCACTTCCCATTTCCATGGATTATACCAAAACAAAGAACACCTAAACCTTCAAAGCCTTAAGAATCGCCTCCCCAACCCCCTTCGCCGAAGCCGGATTCTGCCCGGTAATAATCGTCGACCCCGTCCCAGCCGCCTTACCAACAACAACCATCTCCCCCAAGGCTCCTTAGCCTTAACATACTTGCCGCCCGTAACCCTACCCAGCTCCGTCTCAAGCATAAACGGCATCTCCTTCGAAAGGCCCGTCTGATCCTCCTCCGCATTCGAGAAGCCCGTCACCGAAACACCGTGAATAAGCTTCTCACCGGACGGCGCAGTCGCATGCAGCAGCACACAGGGGCCATGGCAGACAGCCGAGACGATCTTACCGGCTGCCGCGAAAGCCTGGATGAGGGCCAGAGAGGATTGATCGTTGGTTAGATCGAACATGGGGCCGTGGCCGCCGACGTAGAAGATGGCGTCGAATTCGTTCACGCGGGAGACCATGTCGGATAGTTTGTGGGTGTTTGTCCATAGCGTCTTTTGCTCTTTTAGGAAGGTTTGGGAAACTGCGTCTGATTCGAAGGCCTTTACGGAGGCTGGGTCGAGGGGGGCTTCGCCGCCATTTGGGGAGGCGATTGTTAGGGAGACTTTGTTGTGGAGGACTTCGTGGGGGTGGGCGAATTCGGGCTGTGTTTACTTGTTAGTGAGGGTTTTGGGGGGTGGTTATGTGAATTGGAGCTGGGGTTAGATGGAGCTACGTACCAGATACCAGCCGGATGGGTTACCGTTGGGAAGCTTGTTGTAGGAGGTGAGAACGACGAGGACTTTTGGAGTCATTTTTGCTGGTTTTGGTGGTTATTGAATATAGGATGGAATTGTAGATGTGGGAGACTGCAGGATTGGAGAATGAGATTGATATGAATTCAACTGCTTGAGGGGCAATGGAATGCCTTTTATGTACCACACTTGATGATCTCCGTTTCCGGTGTTTTGGGAATGGATCAGCGTCACTATATCACAATCTCGTCACTTGGTTGATTCATCATTGGATCGAGCCAATTAGATTGCTTGGAGAATAGAGCCCTCGTGTAGAGCTACCGGAGTATGTACGGACTACGGGCTCACGGAGATAAGGAACGGCGTAGCTGATCGACCTCGGGATGGGCAGATCGCAAATATGGAATGATGTCATTAGATGGAAGATACAAAGTTCGACCATGGCATTAGGTTGTAATCGGCAGGTCTAGAAGATCTAGGTAGAAGGTTCATTATTGCCCGTGTGTAGACCAGCTCATGACTTTTAGGGTTGAAGAGTCGAAGAGTGTAGGTGATACACAGATTCCAGTACTGTACATTAGGTATATGCTCTCTTTCTCTCTCTCTGTACACAAGAAACAAACATGAATCCCAAGTCAGACACGCTCGTATGCAATCGGGTATCGAGCAGAAAATCAAACAGTTCATCGCAACGATCGTGATATTACAGCTTCCACTCAAAGTATATACCTCAAACGCCTCGTAGCCTCAGCCGCCACAAGCGCACTGATAGCCCCAATAAACAAACAAATGGCAATAGCATTCGGCCGATCCTTATCGAGGTTCATCCACTGCGTATCATCCGGTTTATCCGGCGCCGGCTCCTTGCCCGGTTCCAGAATACTGAAAACAATCCAGCTGATGAACGTGCCCACGAACTGGGGTAGCGTGGTATACACGTTCAGCACGCCGAGATAGATACCAGCCAATTCACCGGTTGACGGGATATTAGACGAGGGATCTTCTTCATCTGTGTCGCTGTCGAAGGAATCATCCCGGTGGTTCAGCCTGAGGACATCGAGCTCGTTGTCAGAGGCTGCGTTGCGCAGACTGGCGGATGTGATCATCGTCACGCCGGAGCGGGAGGCGGGCACGGCGGGGGAATAGCCGCCCATGGTTAGTCGGTTTATTTCGACGCCCATGAAGGCGAAGGGGGCCCAGCCGCTGATTGCCCAGGGGATGCCGCAGACTGCGACGAGGAAGGTTGCGAAGCTGCGGGAGTGGGCTAGTGGCGCGAAGATCATGGTTGCGGCGAACATTATTTGCGAGATTAGCCAGGCGGTCTGGAGGTCGGGGCGGACAGAGGTGATGGCTTTGAGGACGCCGGCGAACCCGGGTGGTGGTCGGGGGGTGAATTTTGTGCGCTTGGTGTCTGGGGACTGGATGCAGAAGGGGAGGAGGACGGAGCTGAGGAATGTTATGGATGAGAAGACTGTTAGTGAGAGACTGCCTACGCGGCCGACTTCGCCGAGCATATCGGTTGATTTGGCCATGTCGTCTTTTGGGACTTCGTAGCGGAAGTAGGTTTCGCCGACCCAGGTCGTGCTGTAGAAGAGGAAGGGGAACCAGCCTGGTTGATGTTAGTGTCGTTGTTTAAAGTAGGGGTAGATCATTGTCATACCAATCCACGCCCAGAATTGAGCCCAGCAGATTGCTTGGATGCGAGGGGGCAATTCAAAGGTGGTTTTGAACAGCTGAGAGAGGACTTGGATAGCGCCGGATTTTCCATCATCCCTACGATCACGAAAAAGTTAGTCGATGGAAATGATATCGATTGCAAGATGAACGCACCGTGCTGTGATCAGAACTCGCTCTCGGACTGAATATGAGGTGACTGCGACGGCAAACACTAATAACATAGCAGCGATCACTGTCATCTGCTTGAACTGCGTATCTCCTAGGAAGGTGCCGAAGATGCTGACGGTATTAATTGCGCCGACAATATATGCAAAGAGCTGACCGATGGCACACATTCTCCCAGCTATACCATATGTTAGCCTTGCTCGGGTTGAGGCGAAAGGGACAAACCATACCCCAGGCGGATCCAGCTTGCTGCGATGGAATAGGCAATGTATCCACAATCAGACTGCGACAACATGCTTGTACTAGAATAGTGTGAGCTTCATCCATTGAGACCAGGAAGAGGCAGCCACTTACCAACGTTGATGGAGAAGTCCACCGCATAGATACTCAAGACGGCCAGCGCAATCGTGCCATTCTTCGCCTGTTGAACGTCAATATTAGTTCCCATAATACCAATAGACCTTCAAATACATACCTTTTCCGGATCCTTAACGAATAACCCAACAATCTCCGACGTCCAGCCAAGAACAATCAGACAAAAAGCGACGACCAGCGACCCAAAGACCATGAAAGGTCTGCGCCGACCCCATTTCGACCGTGACCGATCCGCAATAACGCCAATAAGTGGCTGGATGATCAATCCAGACAACGGACCAGCAATCCACACCAACGAAGTCTTAGACTTCGTCAAACCGAGCTGAAGAAGGTAAGGCGTGCAGTCTAAACCACGTTAGCAAAGACGCCTCAAAGGGATCGAAGTAGATTGCGCTTACAGGTCATCTCAGTGCCCCACGTGAACCTAAACTCAAACGGAGTCAGCCATGGACATACAAAGGTTATCCCCGGAGTTCCAGTTCCTCCATTGCCTCCGAGGTACAGCGCCAGGGAAGAAATACGCACTGCAGTCCCAGTAGACTAAACGTCAAAAGCGCCATCCTCGTGGACTCATTCCGACCCTTGATAGACGGCGTCCCCGCCCACCTCGCAGCCTGCGGCATTGCTGAATATCCGCCTGCTAACTTTCATGCGCTCAGTGTCCTTCACATCCACAGCCTAATTCGTAGAAAAAAAAAACGTAGGAGCCTAGCAGCCGGACCACCAAGTCCAAAAGGTCCACTAAGTCCAGGTGTGTCTAGATGCGCAATTCGTACTGGACACAAAGGGTACAGTCCAGCAGATCGGGTATGACTGTCGAGTATCCAAAGAGAGTCCGATGTGTGTTTTATGGCTTCGGAAAAGGTGTCGCGTGCCTTCGGGAGACGCTGGGACTAGAGCTCGCGGGGGCCGAAATCGCGCACGGTGCCTTCGGAGTTTCGTCGCGTCGGACGGAGGGTCCCGTCGCGATGGAGGCTAGCAATGAGAAGGTGCTGGCGCTCGCGCTGGTCAGGGAGGTTTGGATTGTCTATCAGAAATTCTAAGTGAAAGAGAGTGGCTGTACTGGTCGAAGAAAGGAAGAAAATCCGTATTGGCCTGAGCGCCTCTATGCGGGCCCCCGGCCTTATTGATTCATTTTAATTTTGTGGAGACCCGCCCTTTTCCATATACCGAGTCCGGACTTTTTTGGTCTTGACATGGCTGGCCCGGACCGGGCTTTTGATTGATGTCTGTATACGGCGCTGTTTTCCAATTGACACGAATTCATTTCACGATACAAGACTTCTTGACTGTTTGCAGTCCTGCAGGAGCTCAGCCTTATGTCAGCGGTGAGGGTGAACGCTGTTGGCGCTGATTGGTCACTTTTGATGACGTAACTCAGACCGGGATGGGATCCCTGAATGCCAATTATAGAAACAGGGGATAGGCAGAGCCCTAGTATGGGTTGGGATTGCTTGACTACTGTGTACTATGTACGGAGTACTCCGTAGGACATTGGGAGATATTGATGGAAGGCGACTCTGTGTCCAAGACTCCAAATCTCGTGCCTAGAGACAATCAAGGTCAGCATAAGGTTATCAGGGGGCAGGGGGGCTTTGGCGCCCCCCCGGGGCCCGGACCCCCAGCCTCTGTTGCTGAGCGTTAGCTTCATCCAACTTTTTAGACGCCAGTCTCAGTCCGTAGGTCGTTACGATTAAGTATCTCATAGTTACAGTTATTGGCGCTGCTAATAGAGGTATGTCAGTTATTGCTCACCCTCGATGTTTCAGTTTAGCAGCCTAGCCAGCAGCGAAGATAATCTTTCTACTCCGTGCTCTGGACAATGATACTACTAGTTAGCTCTAGGACTAGACCCCAGGAAGCTCTTCGATGGCATCACCTGCGCTGGTTCCATGTGAAGAATCATGAGGCCCTGATACTAGAGGCTATCCCAGAAGCTGCAGGCAATACTGAAAACCTTAGGAGAAGCCAGGACCATCATCTGCGACCGAACCAAAAACTAGAAGTCTAAGACTCCGTGGGTAAGACGGAGTCTTAGACTTCCAATTTTTTGTTCGGTCGCAGATCATTGTTCTGCTTCTCTAGGCTTTCAACATTGCTTGCAGCTTATAGTCTAGGAGGGCGTCGTGATTCTTGAAATGGAATCGGCAAGGTTGCAACGCGATTTCTGCGAGAGCACTTTCCAAGAGAAGATGTAGGAGGTAGGAAGTTCTATGAGACGAACTGAAACTAAATACCCCTGACTCTTAGCCCTAAGCCCTCAGCTAGTGACATCACATGATTGAACAGTGAGGTCCAATGTGCGTTCAGTGAGTGCTTGTGACATCACTGATTACTTACTGTAGCCGTGAATCCTGATGAGAAGGATCAAGGAAGTTGGATTTGCAGGTTTGCACGATAACAGGGCCATTTTGTGAACTGTGAGCACTTAGCCGACGGCCCGATGCTTACACAGTAGCCGATACCTACACAGTAAAGGAGCGCATTGCCATACACAGTAATGATGTATCGGTCTAACCCCGGGCTCACATGCAATCGGGAAATCCCCGATTTATCAAAAGCTTGAGTCGTTCAAGGCTAAAGGCTAGTAAACCGCTTTTCCTCGTCATTACGTAGAACCAATGTGAAGTCACTTTGCATTAGTTTGTGAACAAGATCATCAGATCATCACCCATTGATCAATGGCAGGCTAATCTGAAGTAAAACCACCACAGACAGAGCCAAAAAATAAAAGCGTAAATTTCTTTTCATTGCTTGCATTTCATCCAATCCTGATATAGAATTGGTTTGGAAAACCTAAGTATCACAATATGACACGACTCCTGCTGGCCGACCACCAACCTAAGTCGGAAAATAAAGATTGCATTCCTTTCCATATCCGATCCGCTTCCCATAATCATCGTAAACAGCTATATCCCGAGCACCTACAACCGGTTGGGGGCTGAGGTAGTCACTGGCCATTGGTAGCCAGCGGCGTCGCTGAACTTGTACCCATATGAAGCAGTGAAGTCATCAAGGACGGCGGGTCCACGGGAGCCTGGGAAGAAGTAAATTAGCTATGACTCAGGGTTGAAGGAAAGCGGAGCGACTCACCGTAAGGGTATTCCATGGGGATGATCTCCTTGTTGTCATCCAGGTAGTGCAGGAGGGGAGAGAAGATGCGCCAGCTGGCGTCCAACTCGTCGTCACGAACAAAGTTGGAGTGATCACCCTTGAAGGCGTCCAGAATCAAGGACTCGTAGGCCTCAGGGATCTTAAGGTCGGAGAAGCGGCGGCGGTAGGTCAAGTCCAGCTCGGTGACCACCGTCTGCATGGAGAGACCGGGCAGTTTAGAGTTCATCTTGATGTAGACGGACTCGTTGGGCTGCACACGGATGACGAGCTCGTTACGGGGGATGTCCTTGAAGATACCAGAAGTCACATCCTTGAATTGGATGCGGACCTCGGTCTTCTGTTCGTTCAGGGCCTTTCCAGCCTTCAGGATGAAGGGGACACCGTCCCACCGCTCGTTCTTAATGTAAGCAACCAGTGCGCAGAAAGTCGGGCAACGCGACTCCTTGGGCACGGTATCGTCCTCCATGTAACCGGGCTTGCTGCCGTCGAGGGAGCGGCCGTACTGGCCAATGATGACGTTCTTGGGCTCAATGGCGTCCATGGCGCGCAAAACACGTACCTTCTCGTCACGGATATCCTCGGATGAGAAAGAGATAGGACGCTCCATGGCGAGCAAGGTAAGGACCTGCAGAAGGTCTATAAAATGGTCAGAACGATCCGGATCTAGCCGACGGTGTTGAAATATACGTACGGTTCTGCATAACATCACGGATTATACCGAACTCATCGAAGTAGCCACCACGACCCTCGGTACCGAACGGCTCCTTGAATGTGATCTATACCTGGTGTCAGCAGCTGAATACTGGGATGAACCGATTGGATCCCATACTTGAATGTTATCGATGTGGTGGCGGTTCCACGTAGCGTTGAAGAACTCGTTGCCGAATCGCAGAATCAAGATGTTCTTGACCATCTCCTTACCGAGGTAGTGGTCGATACGGAAGATCTCCTCCTCCTTCCAGTTGGGCTCGAGAGCCTTCTGGAGGTCGCGCGAGCTCTGAAGGTCTTTACCGAAGGGTTTCTCGACCTAGGAGGAAAGAAAGAAATATCAATATGAGGCTCAGTCTGGCTCAGCTGCTCGGAGGAACTCACAATAATGCGAGCGAGACCGCTCTTGGGGTAGCAGTTGCGCTTCAGCTGCTCGGACACGGTAATAAACACACTGGGTGGCAAAGCCATGTAGAACACGCGGTTTTGCTCCTTGCTTTGACGGTCCTTCTCGATACCCTCGAGGTGCTTGTTCAAGTTGATGAAGGAATCATCCTGGTCATATTGGCCGGAGACGTAGGTGCACATCTTGCAGAATTGGTCTAATTGCTCCTCGATCTCCTTTGTGGGAACCTTGATGTACGAGCGGACGCGCTTAAGGTATTCGTCATGGTCCATCTTTGTCCGCGCATAGCCGACGATCTGAATATCCTTGGGGAGGAATTTGTTGCGGAACTATTGCAGAGTGTTAGTCGACTGAACGGGGAATGATTAGTAGATTAAAGCACATACAAGGCCGAAGAGTGCAGGGAACTATGCAATAGTTAGTATATGAAGTCATCACATCCGAGCGGGAGGGGATACGAACAGTCTTCTTCTTCGCCAAATCACCCGATGCGCCTAGTACCACGATGATGGTATCATCCTTAAGTTCGATGGTGCTGAATGCGATATCCATTGTTAGTTGTCTGAAATTGACCGAGGCTGAATTCGTAGTTGACGGGGCAATTGAGGGGCTGGGCTGGGGGAGCTCTCTGCGCAGGAAAAATATATTGAGAGCTTCAGAGACAGAATTGAAGAATATCGAGATGTAGTGCAAGATCGAGTCCCCTAGGCAGGACAAATTGAGGTTGAAATGGATGAGGTCGGTGGGCTCCCGCGGAGGGGGAGTGATGTCAGAGACGCAGGAGGGGGAGGTGGAAAACTCACCCAGCATTCTGGCGCTCATCGCCATGATTGATCGTAGTCATTCTTGCTCCGACCGCTTGAATACACAAAGATGAAGAGGTAAAATGGAATTGAGGGGGTAAAAAAAAGAAGAGGAGAAGATTGTTGGAGGCTACGGAGTAACAGGATCCGGCGGAGTACTTTTTTTAAAGAGGAAGTCACTCTCTCACAGCTTTTGGTGGGGCCTGGGTATGGTAAGATTTATGACTTCAATGTATTAAACCGCTTTTTTTGCCTTAACTATGACGATTATTTGTCTTTCCTGTTTTTCTCTACTAATTTTATGTACTCCGTAGTTATTTACCTACTCGTAGCCTCGCAAATTGCCTATCCTACTATGTAAACCTTTACTCTGATCTTCACTTGACTTTGAATTTCGTTCGGATCTCACAGGTCCGGTCTGACTTAGTGATTTATGATCATGACCCCGCGCAGATTATCGTTAATTATATCCTAGGATCGGGCTCGGCCTCGGTCTCGGGTTGGTACATCGGAGTCATCAAGCTTGTACGACCTCATGTCGCTCCCGGTCCACAATGACATTTCAGTGATAACTCAGTCCAATTATCCTTATACTGTGTATGGTCCATGGAGAGGGTACAAAAAAAAGGGTGGTCATCTGATAACCGATAAGAAATGCAGCTCACTTATCAGGTGGATTCACACTGCCTGAACAGGCTGAATTGAATTGAACCGACTGGTAGACTGGCGTTTTCACAAGTCTATTGTACTGTGCATTATCCTGTACTTGAATAGCCAGCTTTCTGCTCCGCATGTACATTGATGTACATTGATCATGCATATCGAGAGCAGAACTAGCAGAACTACTGTGTACTGCTTGAAGTGACAAACCTCATTATCTCATAACATCACTAATTGCCAAATCTCCGGGTGTATCATATTCAATACAATACCATGAAGAGTTAGAGCACGCAACTTCATCAGAAATGTCTACCGGTGACCGAAATCGTGGGGATGGATCGGCGAATTTGTC